ATCAGCTGCACGCACTTCAACCATGTCTCTTGATGTTGTATGTTCTCTCTTGGGTCATTTAGAGCTCACCAAACGTTTCCTAGGTATTTATCTTATGCATGTGTAACGTAGATGATGAGCAGCAATGCAATGTTTGGTCGAAGAGCAGAGTCCGGAAAGGCATAAAACACATACCAGGTAGTGAGTAGAAGCATCTCTCCTTTCCCATGTTAATCCACGGCTGTGCTTCCTGCGGTGCGAGAAATCTTGCACAATGCAGCTGCCAAACCTCTGAGCTTCTGCAGCCCACTGCTCCCCTTCCCTCTACACCTCAGTCACGATCGACCTTCCCTCCTGGCTCTCATCACTACTCTTGTACTCCCGCGCCAAGCTCTGCATATGCGCGACACCCCGGTAACACTCCAGGACCATCATCTGAGCCACCCATACGAGCCGGTGGCTTACAGTCCGTTTTCGGAGCATGGCTTCAATGAGAACAATTCTCAGTAGTGTATTCAGTCCGGGACGCATCTCCTATGTATTACGACAGGCTCGCGAGGAAAGTAGATACAATGTTGACTCGTAATACCAAGACTGCAACCTTTCGCAGTACACCGAGATCCCCAGACTACCCATGCTCGCTGTGCAAGCCTAGCACGTGCCCACTTCAAGCTCACCTTGTGGCGCTTCAAGGTGCATCAAGGTATGAACTCCGACACCTTAAGGCGACCTTGACCTCACTTCGCGGCAACACTATTTCGCCCGGTGTCGGCTTCAGTGACATCCAAGTTGACATTGATGTCGTGACCACATGTGATGGCTTGGCTGTTCCCCAACGCCATCCCTCCGGAGGTGAACGAGCGTTCATTCTATTTGCAGTGCAGCACTGAGATACAATCTAGCAGGCATTGAAGGGTGCGATCGGGAGCAGATGGGAAAAGGTGACGACTGCGGACGCCAGGGCATGCCTTACCTCGCGACGGACCCAGCTGGAGTCGGACGCCTCACACAGCAGTTTTTTGTGCAAGGCATGCAACTGAGGTACAGAAGGCGTGTCAATCTAATGCTCGCTCAATCGATCGAGTACCCCGGGTTCCGCGAAGGTGGTCTAGGTGCTCATGTGATTTGACGCTGTACGCATAATTGTTTCCTTGCAAAATCGTGTTCTGCAAGGCTGACCATATCGCACGACCAGTTTATGAGTCACGAGGCTAGTCTTATAAAGATCCGCGTTCTCAGTTCCTGATCTACACGGTCGTGCGTCCTTCTTCCTGTGGCTTTTTTACTGTCTGAGCATTAGAGCGTCTCTTCGTGTATCGCACCTTCGTTGAGGCCTCAACCCGGCCTTTCCAAGGCTCATATGTCGGTCATGCTCGCTTCTGTCTGTATTCACCGTTTTAGAATATCAGGGAGAGTCTAACACTCTTGAGCAAGATGCGCTATCGCTGCCTAAGCAATGACCAGTCTCGGTGAGCATCACGCTCTAATCTGTCCCTTTCCCAACACCCCCTTCCCCCTATGTCATTGAGCTCCGAGATCAACCTATATTGTATTGCTTACGAGTACAGCTCACATCACGAATGACGCTTTCACCTCATTCAGTGGCGCCGCTGCGATACTCATAGGAGTCTAGGCTTGCGGCATACCATCCTCCACTTCGTGCCTGGTGCCCTCTCGAGACTGCCACTCCTATCTCGAGGGGCGACGACATAAGGTGCACGGGGATCTCGTTCGGCTATCCTGTCTCAGTCTGTGTGGTTGCCGACCGCGTTACGGGCCGCGCTCGCGCACCCGAAAAGCGGCAACCATGATGCTCTCACCCAGAGTCGTTGCAGGCCAGGTTAGCATCATCATCATCATTTCCTTCGGCTAATTTCTCTCAGGATCTCTTATCGTAACGTCCTGACTCCTTCGAGAGGAGGGCCGCATATTAGGCGTCCTCGCTATCCCGGAAAATCGGCCCGGCGGGGCCCAAAGAACGCTGCACTCGATGCCGTACAAGGCCCCGAGTCTCCCATGCCCTAGATGTCGGCAGCGACTTCTGCTTAGGGCGCATCACGTAGGTCAGTTACCATGTGTACTTCCACTGATTATGTTACTGTGCGGTCGGCGTTTCCTGATGAAATACTCGTATGCTCGCAGCTTGTGCCAGAGGAATGCCGCGACCGGGTCTCGTTGACCACTTCCTAGAGGGATATTCGATTGATTGGAGGGGGCCCCGCCTGAAGCTCCTCGGTAGGTTCTGGCTTATTCGTCCGGCTGCGGCGAAGTTAGCCTCTTAGGGCTTCAAGACGCCCTCGGCTCCCGACGTCACGCCTCGCGTAAACCGGGCGCTCTGATAATTGGACTTCCCTGCCTTGAGGCCTCGTGTACATGCACGACTCCGATGGTATCGCAGCGGGCACTGTTCCTAGTAGTGTTGATTCCATTAGTGCGGCGCCTCAGCGAATATGTGCTCGTCCCTTCCACGCTTCTTTGTACGTACGAGCGCGACCCCGTACGCTATTCACATCTGAACAGGTGATCTGTACTATAGCGCTTCAATATGCCACATCCGCTTGCGCACAAAATTCCTCTCCTCCCAACTGTCCTAGACACTACCAGCATCACAGATCCCACCATTACATTGCGCCATGCCGTCAATCGTGGTGAACGATGAAGGGATCGAGCTGTCCTACATAGACAGCGGTATCCCCCAGAAAGGCACTTTTGTCCACCGCTACATCACTATCTTTGCGATCCACGGGTTTCGTTTCACCAACCGTAAGTTGCCTGCTGTCATCCCACCCGATGAGTATTCGTGCTCAATGTTGTCAAGACATGTTTGATAGATTCATGGCGCAAGCATACGATGCAAAAATGCGCTTCGTAGCCATAAGTCGGCGAGACCACCCCGGATCTACCCCGCTTGCACCTCAAGATCTGACCGATCTCGCAGAGCATGGCGAGGAAGACAAACAGGCCTTCCTTCAGGCCAGAGGGCTTGAGATTGCTTCCTTTGTCGACCGTTTCATAGAGCAAAACGGTCTGCTGCCAATCTCTAGCGATCGGAAGACTGGCGGAATCGTCATACTAGGACACGGCATCGGTTGCGTCTTCGCACTCTCTGCAGTGGCGAGTCTTGATACGCTTTCTGCTTCTGTGCAACAGCGCTGGGGTGCACACATGAGGGCACTTCTTCTACATGGTGTGTCCAATTTGCGGCATCCGTACATTGCGTTTATTCTCATAAGTTATGCTGAAATAGAGCCTATGACTGTGTCTATCGGAAAGCCGCGCCTTCCGGAGGCTTGGGGGCCCCGAAACTTACCTTCGACATTGATTGATGAACAGTGGCTTACTTCATACTTCAAGCAATGGGACCTCAACGCCCGCAACTTAAGTATCTACTCTTACGACATTACGCCATCCATTGCCAAACTTCCCACCATCGCCAGTATGTCGGAAGACGAGATTGTTCGCATCTTCACCGAATTTCCACTCTCATCGTCCGACCTACCCTTCATCATCGCATGTCAGCAACAAATCAAAGCATGCTACAAAAAGGCGTGCTTTGACGAAGACATCAAAGGCTTGATGCCAAATATGAAGATCTGGGTGTTTTCAGGAGATCGAACTTTACCGTTTTCGCTACCGGCGTACTGGGCCATGGAAGATGACAATGATGCTCGTGGAGGCGGCTATTTACACTTCAGAATTGTTCATAACGTCAACCATTTCGTGAGCCGCAAAGTTTCTATTTGCCTGACTTCGGTCTGATGCCTGACGGAACGGATTTCCTATAGGCGCACTGGGCTGAACCCGCCTTGATCTTGCGATTGTACCAAGACGCGTTACAACTGCCTCATTAGCGCGGCGCCGTTTGCATATCTGGTATATACTGTTAGCATTGGGGTACTTTGAGATCGACGTTGTACTGTGTCTTATAGTACCGTATACTACTAAGCATAAGCACTACTACAGGCTGGTAACAAATTGACCGAAGACACTGCGAGAGCGATTCTGTTCAGTATGGATGCGCGCTCGTTTCTGTCATGGGCGCTATAATCAAGCGCTTGTTGTTAATCTAATCTAGCACCGTTCGATCTGAATCTTTCTAGCCCTCATCCTCTCGATGACTCGCCGTAATACTTTGTTCAAATTCCCTACCGTCCCTCCCACGTACGTACTACAAAATGAGTGAGTAGGCAGGAGTGAGGCCCTCAAAAGTATGGCTAACCTTTGTCCAGACGCGGATGCGCTTGACGGCCGCCTACTCTTCGCCATCCCGAAGAAAGGTCTGTCTACCCTGCTCAGGAACGCTTCCAACGCCTGACTTGCGAGGTCCGCAGGGAGGTTACACGACAAATGTCTCGAGCTTCTTGCAGGTGAGCACAGTTGTGGAGAAGACATTGGTGACCGCTAACGTTGGCGCAGGTGCCGATGTTCAATTCCGGAGACACCACCGATTAGACGTATGTCTGGTCAAGAACCACAACATAGCGCTGTCCGTCTAAGCTCGCTCCTGCGGAGGCATGAACGCAACCTGACACTCCGCGACCCATAGCGTATTCCTCCCTGCATCCGACATCCCGTCCTTCGTTGGCAAGGGTAATGTCGACCTCGGGATCACCGGCCAGGATGTCATCCTCGAGGCTCAGATGGGTCAGTACGTCACAGAGGTGCTCAAGCTCGGCTTCGGCAAATGTGCGCTGCAAGTCCAGGTGCCTGAAGCAGGCCCCATCAAGTCAGTTGAGGACCTGGCGGGGAAGCGTGTTGTTACGAGCTTCGAGGTTCTCGCAGGGCAGTACTTCAAGGAGGTGGACGACCGCCTGAATCTCCAGGAGGGACAGCAGACGCGGATAGAATACGTCGGGGGCAGCGTGGAGGCTGCCTGTGCGCTGGGGCTTGCGGATGGTATCGGTGCGTGCGTTCGGTCCGATGGTCTGTCGGAGCGCACGGCTAATCCGACTTTGTCGTTCAGTTGACCTTGTCGGTACGTGGCGTATTCTCGGAGAACTACAATAAGCACACGTTACAGCAACAGCTGACGAACGTGCCTATAGAATCCGGGGACACGATGCGCGCAGCCGGTCTGCACGCCATCGCGACCGTGCTCCAGACCGAAGCTGTTCTCATCAAGTCCAGCACAACCAAACACCCCGCACTCGAACCGCTCATCAAGGTCATTACGAGCCGCATCGCTGGTGTCGTTGCCGCCAGCCGTTATGTCGTCTGCGAGTACAACATCCCACGCGACAAGCTCTCTCAGGCGACGACGGTGACACCGGGGCGTCGTGCACCGACGATCAGCCCGCTCGAGGAGGAAGGCTGGCTGGCAGTCAGCGTCATGGTCGAGAAGGCAAAGATCGCGGATGTGATGGACGAATTGGTCAAGATCGGCGCTGAGGATATCATGATCTTCAACCTCGACAATTGTCGAGTGTAAATTTTGGGTAGAGGGAAAAAAGGTCGTGTATGAACGCCGGGCGAGAGCCCTCGTTGTGGGATATGGTATGCAATGTACGACAGCAGTGTAGGGCCCAATGCATGTACACCAGCAAAACCGCATTTCCTAGCGGAACTCAGGAAATGGAAGGATTGAACCCGGTACAGTATACAAGAAAAGATATCTTCGGTAGATACATTCAGCTGCTGGTATACACCTTTTACTTTATCGTCTTCATCTTCTTACTATTTCTGCCCTGCCGTCCTTCTCGCCTCCTCGTCCGCAAGCTCAACCGCCTTCGTGGCAGCCAAGACCGCTTTCAAACCGGACGCCGTTATGTCACTGTCGATCGCGACGCCCCACGTTGTCCACTTCGGACTCCCACCAGGGCCCTCATACGCAACTTCAACGTACGATGCCGCCTTCACTTCTGAGCCTTCTCCGATTGAGTGCTCCGCGTATTCGCGGATCGACACTTTCCCATCCAACCCACGGTTGACCGCTTCCACGGCCGCCGACAGTGGCCCGTTGCCCTCACCCTCCAACGAGACGGGCTTGCCGTTGATAATGAACTCTCCAGAGAGCTTCGCCCTCCCGCTCGCGTTCAGGTGTTCGAGCTTGAAGCTCTTCACCGCGAACCGCGGGTTCTCCTCCTCGTCGTAGTACCCGTACCTCTCGCGGAAGAGCCCGACCAGCGCGTCGTACGAGATCTCGCCCCCGGAGCCATGCGCCGCGCGCTGCACGGCTTCGAAGAAGCTTGCCTGCAGCCGCCTAGGCAGCTCCAGCTTGAGCGAGTTCAGGATAGCCGTTGCAATGTCCGCCTGGCCGGAGCGCGCGTTGAACCCGACGCTGAGTTTGAGCTCGGGCAGCGGGCGGTCCCCGATCGCATTGTTGGCCGCGCTCAGGACTGCGCGCAGTCCTGACCCGGCGATGTCCGCGTCGATGCCGACGCCCCAGTACGACTCGGTCGATGCGCGGGTCTCCTTGACGTCACCGCTGTTGGGGACGAGCTCGACGAAGGATGCCGCTTTGGCGTTCTGGTCCTGGCCGATCGTATGCTCCGAGTACTCGCGCAGGGAAAGGTCGATCTGAAGGTGCGTGCGGAGCGCGTCGAGAAGAGCAGATAGGGGACCATTCCCATCCCCACGCAGGACGCGCAGCTGCCCGTCGACAGAGACGGTGCCGTCGAACTGCCTGCGCTCGTCCACGGCCTCGCCGTCGACGCCCCCTGCCGCAGGTTCCGCCGAGATCCGGAACGATTTGAGGTTGAGGCGGCCCTCATACGCAGATCCGCCGAGATGGAACGTCTTCCTGAACGCTGTCGTGATGTCCTCCACCGTCATCTCGCGCGCCTCGCGGTCCGCGATCTCCTGGATGACAGCGTAGAACGCTACCTGCAGCTTGCGCGGCATGTCCAGGCCCAGGTGCTGCTGTACGAGGTAAGCAATTCCGCCCTTGCCTGATTGCGCGTTGACGCGAATAACGGCTTCGTACGTAGATCCAAGATCAGCGGGGTCAATGGGAAGGTACGGCATCTCCCAGTGTTCCGGTTCGCCCTGCGCTCGCGCCTTCGCGTGGCGCGCGCGCTGGGCCTCAAAACCCTTTTTAATCGCGTCCTGATGGGAACCGGAGAACGCGGTGAAGACGAGCTCGCCTGCGTACGGATGGCGGGGGTGGACGGGGAGGTCATTGCAGGCGGTGACAACGTCAATGACAGCCTGGATGTCGGAGAAGTCGACCTTGGGGTGGACGCCTTGTGTGTAGAGGTTTAGTGCGAGGTTGACGAGGTCGACGTTTCCAGTGCGCTCGCCGTTCCCAAACAAGCATCCTTCAACACGGTCCGCGCCTGCCATCTGACCCAGCTCAGCAGCAGCGATACCAGTGCCTATATGCGCATCAGATCGAATCTCCGGGTTGAAAGTCGGTGTAGAACATACCGCGGTCGTTATGTGGATGTAGACTGATGAAAATCTTCTCTCGTTCTGATATGTTGCGAGAGAAATGCTCGACCTTTTCGTGTGTATTGTGAGCGCTCTGCATATGCGCGCGATGTGCGGAAGACGTACTAGGTCCGCATAATGATTTGGAGGACCGATCTCGACCGTAGCCGGGAGGTTGAAGATGATCCTCTCGTCGTACGCAGTCCCAGCCTTGCCCCACGCTTTCTTCACCGCCTCGCACACCTCCAGCGCGAACTCGGGCTCCGTCTGCGAGAACGTCTCGGGACTGTACTCGTACCGGAACTGCGTCCCATATTTTGCTGTGCACTCTTCAGTCAGCTTCCGGATTATCTCGGTATGCTTGACCGCGAGCGCGAGTGTTTCCTCTTTTGAATTGCGGAAGACGACTGTGCGGAAGAGGCAGCTCGTCGCGTTGTACATATGGATGATAGCACGCTTGCTTCCCGCTACGGCGTCGACTGTTCGCTTGATGAGATCCTCCCGAGCAGGAGTGAGGACCTGAGCTCAATCTTCCATTAGCATGTACTGGATGGATGTCATGGGAAGGTAAAAGGTCAACGGGGTCGAAATCTCCTGTGCGACGAGGATGTACGTCCCGGAGAAGCATAGGAGGAAACGAAGTTTACGATTGCGAATGCAGAATGTGAAGACACTCTTCTACGCGGTGATGTGCGGAATTAGTTAGGGATGGAGCACTAACCTGCAGCCACACATCGTCCGGCACCCTGTTCTCCTCGATCAACATCCGAACGAAATTGAAGTCCGTATCACTCGCAGCGGGATATGAGACCTCGATCTCCTTGAACCCGCATTTGACGAGGGTCTCGAAGAATGACATCTTCTGCGGAATAGTCATCGGGTTCGCCAAGGCTTGGTTCCCATCGCGGAGGTCGGTGGAAAGCCAGATGGGTGGTGCGCGGTTGATCTTGGCTGGCCATTGGCGATCAGGCAGGTTGAGAGGTGTGTACGGTTTGTACTTGATAGAGGGATCCGCGCTGCGTGAACGCGATCGTTTCTCAATACCACGGTAGGGGCAACGCTGGAGCTCGTTTTGAACGGGCCACTCACAGCATCGGCATCGTTGTTATGAACTACTGGATCAACAACTGAAAGGTACAGTGGGGTCAGCGTTGGGCTGAAGGCATAAAAGATTACTCGGCGGAGTAGCAGGAGGTATATGAAGTATGCAAAGAAGGGGACGAGTCATGTTTCTGATAATTTTGCGGATCCCTTGAGTCATGGTCATGAGCATGATCGCGTGCCCCAACATGGCAGTCCCCTTGCCTCTTTCGGCCGACGCCCCCAACTTCAACGCAAACCACCCTCATCCCATCCACCCACCCAACTTGGCTGCGGATTTTGCAATGTCTGCGACAAGGACACTTTCCCTACTCTTGCGTATCTACTCTGCGGCTCTGCGGTTTCTGTGCGTGCCCAGATCCAAGCCTGAATGTGTCTGACCATGCTGGAGTCCGAGACACATTTTTCGTGCTCAGCACTCAGTGTGGGGGTTGCCACACCGTAGCCCTGTCCGAAGTATCGCTCTTTGGCGTAACTGAGGCATCACCCTGGCTCACGCAAACAGACGAATTCCACACTGCGTGATGAAGGTTTTCCTTACATCCTTACGATTACTTTGTTCTGTAGCGGTAGAACGCCCTGTACCCCAGCTAAGTTGTGTTCTTCGTCGAGTGTCCGTTGACAATAGTGAATTCATAGCAACTGATCACAATTCATACTGCCGAGCTCGCCTTCGGGGCCAACAATAGCAAACCTTTCCCTGCGCGGATGACCTGTCGGAGGCTGACCATCCCGCCACGGTGCAGTCAGCCTTCAGCCGTAGTGTTTTTAACAGCTCCGACACCTGCCTTTTCTTCATTCTTCCCTTCCCATGACTTGTCTCTTACCCTCGCCTGCCCTCTCCTGTGAGTGACCCCAACTTCTGGTCGTCATCAATACATCACTCACAATAGCTCTGGGCCCCCCAGCTGCTCGCTGACCCCGCCCTCGACATACGGTCGTGCCGGACCTCGTCAAGACGCGTCTCCGCCGTGGTCCCTCCCCAGTTCTTCGTTGCCCGCTGGTCGGGGGCTGTCGCGCTGGTCGCGTCCAACGACCCTGGGTGAGGGCACCCGACGTGATTCGCCGGGCTTCGTGCACGTCAAGGAGCAGGTAAGACTTCTGTTCCCGAGGGAGGGACTTCGGTCCTGGCGCAGACCTTTCCGTGGTCCTCGGGATAAGTACCCTCTCGTCAGAGAGGGGAAACCAACATGCGCTTTCACAAGGTGTGTTGGTGTTGCCATGCACTTTGGCAGGGCTCGTCGACGGTTTCGTAGCCGACTCTCAACATGTATACTATGGTACTATCGCTTCCGTACATTCAAATGCCCATGCTCTTCATCTCGCCAGCCTCCATAGCAACAATTCGGAAAAGTGCAGGAGTCCAAGGGCGGCTGCGCGGTCACGTAACTCTTCCCCACTCTTTCGACCCATAATTGATCAATGACTTCCAAATGTCATCCCGCGTACCAGGCTCACAAGGAGGCCACTTAGCCACGCTATCATCAGCCCCAATAATAGTTGCTCACAAACTGGAAATATGACCTCTATGAGCTACCATACTCGCCACTGAGACCCTGGCGACGGATCGATCGAAGAGTACTACAATACGTCGTTGGTCTGTCGAAGGGCTGACCTACTGGTGGTATGTGCAGTGCGTCGAGGTGGCTGACGTCGGGCTGACCTGGGCCAACCTACAACGCTGGGGGAATATAAGCCCACGCTCGCGAGAGCGGCTTCTCTTCCAGGTTTCGGGTAGGCATGTAGCTCTTAGTAGTCATGTACGGTTTGGGGTAGTTCCATGTAGCTTTTGGTAGTGTTGTAGGACGTGGCGTAGGTGTCATGTAGCTCTTGGCAGTTATGTAGGGCTTGGCGTAGATTGCATGTAGGCTTGGTAGTGATGTAGAGCTCGGCGTAGGTTGCATGTAGGTTTGGTAGTGATGTAGGGCTCGCTGTAGGTTCGTGTAGCGCTTGGTAGTCCTGTATCCCCGAGGGAGGGACTTCGGTCCTGGCGCATACCTTTCCGTGGTCCTCGGGATAAGTACCTTCTCTCCCACCTGTCCTCCGCGGGTCGTGGGAGAGAGGGGAAACCGAATTGCGCTGCTCCGAAGCTGTACTTCCAGTCGTCCATCTCAATCAAATTTGTTTGCTGCTTCAACGCCAGTCTCTTCCTTGAACGCTACCGCTGTCTTTGTTTTCATCAAATTCTGTGCATATATGAAGTAAGGTCAAAACAAAGCAGCCCAATCGGCACATCAAAAGTCTGCCCATCGACTCGTTACGCAGTGTAAGCACAAGTCTTGGAATTCTTGCACCCAGTGAGAAGCCTGATATATTGCCAGACATGTGGTAAGTAACGTGCCGTATAAGGCTGCAGCTAAAACGACAGTACCATTTATAAAGGTGGGCACGCTGGCGAGCATACCCAACATCCTACACAGTCCGGGCCATCACGCTCCTCGCTCCCTCGCCATCAGGAGTAGATGCCAAGGAATAGCATGCCCGTCAACGTTCCGATTTGCCCAATCTTCCTCGACGGCCCAGCACCCCTCGCGACCCGCGATCCTATCTAGCCATTCCTCTCTCGTCTTCTGCACCAAATTCTCGTGATCCGCTTCTCTGAACTTCACGTTCCCCGGAACGAGATACACGGGCACGCGCGCCAGCTGTGCGGAGCACCACAACCGTGTGACGAAGTCGAGGTACAGCATGTATGGGCTACCGCACGGGCCATCGGGCCACGGGGGCGAGCTGGGTTGGATGAGGACTCGTTGGAGGTTCGGTAGGGCCGGATCGGGGTTGCTGTCCTCTGTGAACGACAAGTGTAAGTCCTGGATAGAAGGGCAGATAAAGCCTATATACGCACTGTATAGATTCAACAACGCCCTGAGGTTCCGCTGGCGAGCAAGATTTGAGAAACGTAGGTGCGTGAGTTTCGGAGTGTGTTGGACCAGAGAGGCGAAGCTCGATGGAAACTCTTCGGACAACGACACCAGATGGAGTCGTTGGAGCGAGGGGAATACTGGTGGGTGGGTGGTGGTGACGCTGAAGCTGGGAGACAAGCCGCATGGAACTACACACAGCTCGCGCAAAGCTGGGAAGAAGCAGGGAAAAGCGATGGGGCCGGGAAAGTCGGAATGGGATGCGAACGTGAATGTCTCGAGGTCTGGGGCTGTGGCGCGGAGGAGCGAGGATACGAGTCGCGACCACTGCTCCCAGAAGGTCGCCATTCGCTGATGGGTAGAATAAGAGAGGACGCTAGAGGATGGCTCGCCATGGAAAGACGTCGGGGAATCGTCGATAGTCGGAAATTCTGCCGACTCGTCCGGGTCCATATGGGGACACTCGAGGAAGAGATGCCGACATCTGGGTCGCATTCCCGGACATCGTTCACGTTCGACCTCCATGCGGTGGATGAGCTGTTGTAGTTTGGTGGGGGTGGCGTGCAGGAATATAGCTCGAAAGAGAAATGGACGGGAGGCCTCTCTGATGCGTCTTGAGATCAGGGACAACGAGCGCGCGGTTTGGCCATGATCGCCTACGCAAGCAAATTCAAAGATGTCGACAAGCAGTTCTGCCGCCAGGTCTTCCATGAAGGGTACAGGGGGATGAAGTTTGATAGACATCGTGTCTGATATATATTGCCGACCAGAGGTGGCTGTGCTGTGATAGCCTTGACCGCTCTAGAGCTTGCGGAATTCGAAGCCTCCAGTCTGACGGCGGTATTGCTTCCAAGGCCGAGAACACTGCGTCCGACAGATGTTCTGCGTTGAATGAGAATCCTTGAGGCAGGCCCGTGAAGAAAAAGCTGATATCTATTAATACGTATCCTATCAATGAAGCGGTAAGATCCAAATGAATGGCTGGCCATGCCTGGAACTAGTCTTTGAGGTCAACGATGATCGGCAGGGGCATCCGCAGGAGGGCCGCATTGACAGACACCCTCCCATGAGGATTCTTCTTGGTCCGCCCAACGATCGCTACGCCGCGAGCCTCATGGATATGCCCGTAGACGTGCAATCTGCAGTTCTGCAGGTCGCTGCGTTCAAGACGCTCTGCCAGCTCCGGGCATCCCGCGCTGGCTCCATGACGTGTGACGTCGCAGCAGCCCAGCGGAGGTGTATGCGTTATGAGGATATCTGTGGATGCGGGGATGCGATCATATATGGCCTTTCCTTCGCCTTTCGCATATTGAAACGATCCGATGGAGTAAAAAGGTGCAGCCTGCAGACCGGGATCTCAGTACAGAGCGAATCATGTTTGTGAGCAGAAGCCGTACGGGAGAACCATATATTGTATATCCTCTTCCACTCTTCGATGTATAGACAGCAGCCCCGTGCTCGAGGTAAAACATCCCAGCTTTCCGCAGCGCCCAGCCACGAACGAGCTTTCGCCCAGCTGACATATCCTTGGTCAAGTGCATGAGTGACAGATTCGTCCCTGGTGAAGCTAATAAACAACCTCGTCTCTCAGGTCCGGAGGCTTGAACTGTCGCAGAGAACCGCCTCGTTCGTAATTAGCGTCTAAACACAACTACACGAGAGGTCAGCCCACAATACGAATATAACATGTAGCACTAAACAACTCGTACATCATGGTTGCCAGCCACAAAACTGAGAGTGTAACAGACACGTGAGGGTGGAAGACTATGTAATGATATTCGGGCACGTACAACTTCGCAGGATGCGGGAGCATCTTCAACCAGTTGATCGTGACCTCCAGATCCTTCAGTGTCCCGTGTCTGCTCAAGTCGCCAGCGTGTAGCAAGACGTCCCCGGAAGGCACCGAGAAGATATGTGAGTGAGTATCGGAGATACACACAAATCGTGTCCAGCCTGCTCCCGGATGATTGGGAGGACGGGTGATGTCGTAGGCATCATGAACGATAGCGGTGATGTTGGAATCGCTTGCGGTTGGAGAAAATGGTGTATCATTTCCCGGACTCATTCTACGGGGGAAGCTGGGCTGAAGCACCGAGGCTTTGGAGCCGCAAGACCAGGAGGACGATACAAACAGAGTGTCATTTGGGGCCATGCATGTTGGGTCAGAGCCTGAAAGAGCGGTGCCAGATGGCGGTGCAGCTGTACTTGCAAGTCAAGGAGACCCGGGACACCGGATGCTTGGATCTAAGCGAGATTGATTATTGACTAGATAGCCTCGAGTCGGCCAGAGTCACTATCTAATATCTATCCACTCCTCTTAGATCTTTCGAGTCGCGACTCTCCTCTTTTCTCCAACCAAAACATGTCTGGAACACTGACATTGTCGCCCACGGCTTCGCCCTTTCCATGGGCCGCCGCCGCCGTCGCGACGTTTACTGGGAAGGCCGCCCTCAACTTCGACCCTGCAGCGGCAGGCGTGACACTCGAGCTCGGCGGATCGAGACTCACCGCCGAGGACGAGATCGTTCAGACAATAGCCAAGGCTGGCGGACTATCAAGTGATAGTGCAAAGGTGCGCGATAAGCACTGTTTGTCACGATATCCTATGTTCATGTGTGCCGTCTGTAGAGCGCTGCGTACTTCGCCCTCGCGAAATCATTGCCCACTGTCACAGCCTTTCCAGAAATCACGGCCGCGCTCGATTTTTTCGATGATCACCTTGCATACAGGGCCTTCCTTGTTGGCCACGATATCACTGCGGCCGACTTCATCGTCTGGGGCGCGTTGAAAGGTCCGTCCCGACACCCACATATTTTCGCATCACGCAAAAACTCGCCATCACAGGCAGTGTGAAGATCATCGGATTACTCAAGAACAACAAACACCCTCACTTGAACCGGTGGTTCGTACACATCGAGTCCTTGGAGTCCACGCAACTGGCCATCGCAAGCCTGAACGGTACGATCCCTCCCTCTTCGAATCCGGGCAGCTCAGTTGACTGCTTGCGGCACGTTTCCAGAGGTCAAGTCTGCCAAGGCGCGTTCCAATAAGACGGCGGCGTCCTTTGCTCTCGGTCTGCAAGATGCCAAGGAGGGTGACGTTGTCACGCGTTTCCCTCCGGAGCCCAGCGGGTACCTCCACATTGGTCACGCGAAGGCGGCGATGCTTAATCAGTACTTCGCAAAAATGTACAAGGGAAAGATGATAATCCGCTTCGACGACACGAATCCCAGCAAAGAGAGGGTACGCCCGCTCTGACTATATCATGAATGTTGTATCTGATCGATTTTGGATCATAGACTGAATTCGAAGACACCATCCTCGAGGATCTCGCGCTCCTCGATATTCACGGCGACAAAGTCACGCATACATCCGACTACTTCGATCAGCTATACGAGTATGCCCTTCAGATAATCAAGAGCGGCAAGGCGTACGCAGATGATACCGAACAGGAGCAGATGCGCAAGGAGCGTATGGAAGGCATCGCCTCTAAGCACCGTGACGACTCCGTTGAGGATAACCTGAAGCACTTCGAGGAGATGACAAAGGGAACGCCGGAGGGTGTTCGCTGGTGTCTGCGTGCCAAGTTGAGCGTCGACAACCCGAACAAAGCGCTCCGCGATCCTGTCATCTACCGCACCAACCTCCTGCCCCATCACCGCACTGGGTGGGTCATCTTGTCTAATCAGCAGCATCAAGGAAGACGCCTAATATTTCTTCATCAGCGACAAGTGGAAGGTATACCCCACTTACGACTTCGCATGCCCCATCGTGGACTCGATCGAGGGCGTTACCCACGCTCTCCGTACGAACGAGTACCGCGATCGAAATCCCCAATACCAATGGATGATCGAAGCCCTTGGCCTCCGCAAGGTCAACATCTGGGACTTTAGGTCAGCTAATTTCCCTACGGAAATGCATCAACCCGTTGACCTTGTGCCTGATATAGCCGACTGAACTTCATCTACACACTCTTGTCCAAACGGAAACTCCATTGGTTCGTGGACAGCGGCATCGTCCGCGGATGGGACGACCCCCGTTTCCCCACCGTGCGCGGCATTCGTCGTCGTGGGCTCACAGTGGAGGCCCTTCGTCAGTTCATGCTTGCCCAGGGTCCTTCACAGGCGATCGTCTCGCTTGAGTGGGACTCGCTGTGGACGCTGAACAAAAAGGTCATTGACCCTATCGCTCCTCGCTTCTGGGCGCTCTCAAAGGCCAACCTGTGAGCCAAACACTAGGTCTTGGGGTGAACTCGATGCTGATGACTTGTGTCCAGCGTTCCGGTCACGGTCAAGGGTGCCCCCACTGAGATCGAGGTCAAGACGCTGCCCAAACACAAGAAAAATCCCGAAGTCGGCGAGAAGAAGACTGTCTACTCGTCCAAGATCTTCGTCGAACAGGAGGACGCGGTTTCGTTCGACGACCAAGAGGAGGTATGGGCCCGGATCGCTTAGAACGATTTGCCGCGTCTCATTCACCTCTTCCTAGATCACCCTCATGGATTGGGGCAACGCCATCGTCCGCTCCAAGACAAGTAACGAGTCGGGCATTATCACCGCTATCGAGGTGGAGCTTCACCTCGAGGGCGATTTCCGCAAGACCAAGAAGAAGATTACCTGGCTCGCACAGCCCGACGACGCGCACCCCCTCGTGGACGTGACGCTTCTCGACCACGACTATCTGATCACTAAGAAGAAGCTCGAGGAGAACGACGACGTGAAGGATTTCGTCACGCCTGTCTCCGAGTTCCGCGATGAGGCGTTCGCAGACGCAAACGTCAAAGAGCTCAAGAAGGGCGACATCATCCAGTTCGAGCGCAAGGGGTACTACATCTTCGATGGGGTCGTCGACAGCCGCTTCGAGTTCATTCATATTCCTGACGGGCGTGCGGCGAGCATCGCGAGCAAGGCGGTCGCGCAGACTGGTACGGCTACTCCTGTTGAGGGCGGGAAGAAGGATGCTAAAGCTGCACCGCCAAAGAAGGGAACAAGTAGCGACACGCCAGTGGAGACGAAGATGTACAAGGTCAAGAAGGTGTATGGGGAGGATGACGTGATCCCCAGTGTGGAGACGAAGATGTACAGGGTGAAGAACGTATACGACGCATAGAAAGGAGTCTTAGCAAGCGAGAAGTAATTCGTCGATGTATCATATCGCATTTTGTATCACTTGCTGCGATCTAGGGCTCTCGGCGTGAAACACTATATCACATAGCGCGGACTTGATGGCGGCCACTATACTAGTAGTCCGCAACTTTTTACAGACCACGTGCCGCATAGTTGTTACCGTCGACAGGACATACGCCATGTCCTGATTCAGCATCTCCACCAATTCACTGGTTTGTCATCAGATAGAAGGCTCTGGACATTGAATTTTGCTTATGCTTATGAATCCTCAAGCCAGTCCCTCGACGACGCCCGAATGCGGTCGCATCGACCACCTGCCTCGCAAACAAGTGGGACTCCTGCAGTCTCTTCCACCCTGCTTGGTCATCAAGTTGTTGCAGTCTAGCCTCACGCAATGACCTCACAGAAGCTGACAAAGCCCAGCTTCATATGTGCTTCGGGCCCCACACTAGATTCTCATCGTTCCTCGAGCTCACCTATATCAGGAGAAGTGAACTTACCCATCGCCCACATTTGTACCAGTCACAAGCAACGTAGCGCAACAGGATGGTGTCCACTGTGAACGTACCGAAGACTATGAGAGCTCTCGTCCTGCTGGAAGTACGTAGGTCATCTCCTCAGCTTCCGGATGTATTGGGTGTACTGTTTGACTAAACTCTCGTATAGAAAGGGAGCGCTGCTGTCAAGGAGCATCCCGTTCCAGAAGTCGGCGATGACGATATACTCGTCAAGACGGTAGCAGTCGCTCAGAATCCTACCGATTGGAAGTGTGAGTCGCCGCTCCCTCCACGTGCGAGCAATTCCATCTGAACGCGCCACCTTGCACACGTAGTTGTCGACTCCGGGAGGGGGAACCCAGGGTCCGTCATCGGCTGCGACTGGTCCGGCCACGTCGTGCGCGTCGGTAAAAACGTCTCTACGCCCAAGGTCGGTGACCACGTCGCCGGCTTCGTCATGGGCTCGACGTTCCCCGACAGCGGCGCGTACGCCGAGTACGTGAAGACCCCCGCGGAACTCGCATGGGTTGTCCCCGAGGGGACGCTGACACACGAGGAGGCGGCGACCTTCGGCTGCGCGTACGTCTGGCTTGGCGTCTAATGCTAGTAAGAGGCAGAAGACTAATGTGCGTGTCCTTCCAGCTTTTGGACCGCAGCCCAAGCATTGTACCACCCCAAGCGGCTCGGGCTAGTCGAACCGCCTGCGAAGGTTACCGACGAGGAGTGGTTGTACATCCATGGCGGAGCTTGTACGTTCCCGACTGTATCTTCCCCATTCGGAAAACCAACAACGCTCATCCCCCTCCTGCAGCCGCCGTCGGACAGTTCGCGATCCAGCTCGCTGCGCTCTCCGGATACAGAGTCGTGACGACCGCTTCGCCCAAGAATCATGAGCTCGTCAAGTCCCTCGGTGCCTCGGAGGTATTCGACTACCGAGACTCAGAGGTCGTGTCCAAGATCAAAGCTGTGACTCGGGACTCGATCCGCGTCGCGTTCGACACGATTAGCTTGCAGGAATCGCAGAGCATCAGCGCGGCGGTCATTGCGCCGACTGGTGGGAAGGTGATGCATATCTTGGCCGTGATCCCGGAGGCTACGGCGAGGAAAGACGTCGTGCGCGAATGTAAGTCATACGTTAATACATCCAAGAGGCGGTGCTCACCCGAGGACACAAAGATACCATCATATACTCTGCCTTGGGCCGCGCATACACGTACGCAACTGGGCAGCATGCATCTGCTGTACCGGAGGACAGGGCGCAAATCGTCGAGTTCTTGAAGAAAGTACCTGGGCTCGTCAAGGACGGTCAGGTCAAGCCACTCCCGATCAACTTATGGGAGGGAGGCTTGGACAGCATCCCCGCTGGCTTGCAATACATGAAAGAGGGCAAGGTCAGCGCCGAGAAAATAGTATATAGGATTTGAAAGAGTGTATGCGTAGAGTACAAATAAATGTAGGATGTATACTCCAGTTCGATTTGATTCGACTTTCTCGAAAGCAAGTGTCCGTCCGATCAGACATAAATATTCGACCATACAGTTTTTGGGTTCAGGCTCCCACCGCGACCATTCCCTTAGCCATGTGCGATGGGGTGACGAAGCCGGACGGCATCAGCCTGGCAGGGGGCAATTGGGGCTCAGCGACGGAAGTCTCCCAGGTATACTGTTTTCCCTCAATAGTCGACTGCCAGACACTTCGCAGCTTCATGATGCAGCCGCGACTGGGGTCCACCCCAGGAGCGACCTTCGGGAGCTCCATGGGAGGGAGCAAAAGCACCGGTACTCGTGCCTTCGTAATGGACCTCCGGAGGTGGCTGAGGAAGTCGCGGTACGAGAGCTCGGCCGTACCTTGACGCGCACCAAGCGGAGGGCCAGGATTGGGTTGAATGACGACCTTCTCGAGGTGCGGGAACACATCTTCCGGTGCGGAAGTACCTAGCAGACGAACACATAGGAACGTCAGTGGAGTTGAACCGAACGAGCGGCTATGAGTCTTACCGATAGATTGTATGAGGGTGTCGACGGTGCCGCGCGGATGGTAATCGAGACGCGAGACTCGGAGATGCGTAAGCTCCGGCGCATGCTTCGCCCACTTGAAGAAGTCGACATCCTTGTTGACGAGCGACTGAATGTGATGCAACCGCTTGAGCACAGGATAGATGGGCTTGTCGCTCGGGAGGAAGTCGAACGGCAGGAAAGTAGGATCGCCTCCGACGAGGGTCATCTCCTCCAAGCAAGGGAACTGGCAACGAAGGACGGTTGAACTTCTCCACTGGGCCTGCATGAGTGCCAGCGAATGGAGGTCGGGGGCGACGGTGCGGATCAAAGCCGGAATGACGCGGTTGTATTGCTCATCCAGACTTTCTTGTCCGGACTGCATGTGCTGAGCCCGCTTTTGCAGGGACGCAAGCCATTCGGCCCGCGACCTAGGAGCAGGCATGGGCGTGGCGTCTGTAGGAGCGGTTTCGAGACCTTTCCCGAAGAAGGAAAGGCAGAGATGCCGAACGCGAGGGATATTGTCGGTCGCGCGGGCCTGCTGTTGCTGATAGGATTGGAGGAATTTCTCGATCTGAGTGGGGGAGTCAAGCAGTTGGACAGAGTAGAAACGCGCAGGGCGCGATGCATAGTTGATGCGTTTGGAGACAAGGGCGAGAGAGCAGCCGGTTTGGCCCCCGTCGGTGCAAGCGAAGAAAGAAATGAGCGTAAGCAGCTCAACTGCCAATTTGTCCAATGTGAGAGTGCGATCCATGAGGGATAAGAATGTGCGAGGAGCAGACGACTCCGCAGATCCCGCAAAGCAGTTTTTGTACATTGCTCAAGTAGAAGCATCAAGTAGATCACGCCTCAGAGATCCCACCTACGACTAGTGAGAGACTTTGATGAGCTGCGCCTCTTCGAAGACATCTGCCGTACGTAGCTTAATTGATCATGAAGGGCGCTGTCCCTCGTACGCGTATGGGCGCTGTTGGGGAGAACCCCGACACTCTGGGCGGTGTGGATCGCAGCCTGAGTCTCTCAGGACGACTATCAAGCGTTAGTCAAGGAGAGGAGACTAGCTGGTGGGATGATCGATCTCGAGGAACACTGACTACCCATGCTGACCATCACGGTTGCCGCAGAGGAGATGCGAAATGCTTCTACTCCTTCAGGCCAGGTCCACACTGTGGTGCGTCGAGGAAAATGTTCATAGTAGCTGTATTTTTCGAAGCTCTGATCGACACGAGATGGATGGTAGGGTGGAAACAGACGTCTGAGCGGTTGGCGCCTGACGTGGCTCATATCAGCGTCTATCCCAGAGTCAAACACTGCCACTGACTTTGACCGCCAACGTCGCCATAGCACCCTTCGACATCCGATATCCGATTCCCTGACAAAACACCAGAACATAAAACTCTGCCCCCGGGCGTGGAAACTTACGTTCCCTGAACAACGCATAGCTTATGTAGTATGCCCAGATCCCGGGGTTATCGGCACTCGATAGAGGCACTACTCCAAGGATCTCCACTATGTAGCCCTTTAAACTCCCGGAAGAACTTGCCTCGCAGTACAAGCTGAGCTGTTGGCTACTGGAATCTCTGAGTCCTTCTCTTTCCTTCCCCGCTAGTGCGTCCTACGCAGCCGTCCTGCCGTCCTGTAGCAACCATGGCAGCTATAAACAGAACCCTAGTCTGAAGTTCGTTCTTCCATGATTGGTGATACAGCCATATACAATACAGTTCCAACCGATGGCGCTGATGTTTGTATCCATAGGACTGGCAGCTCAATGTTGCAGGAGGCATCAGAATTCCGTCTTCGTCGTCGGTGGTACGACTTCATGTCTCACCTTCTTTCTCTGCTCTTCATGAATTGTCAATGGCGGCAAACCGGTGCGTGACTATCCCGAACGTTCTGCGCATAAGGTATTGCTGGCGATGATAGCCTGCCATCTGCGTCAGAGCTGGCTGGCTGGCCGCCCATCTCGTCATCTATCATACTCAGTGAGCAAGCATGTCGTCACCCTCCACCACGATGTGTACGCCTCGGCGTCGTCCCAGCGCCCAATTTCCCGCTTACTGAACCCTCTTGTGGTCTGTCGCGATATGACGGTGACCAATGGTCAGCCCTGTTCTGGTGTTATGCCATTGACAGACGTCAGCCTTACACATTGGTCTTGGCTATCACCTCCTGCACATATCGCTACCGTACAGAGGACTGTATCATACTGTGCAGGTCTGCGAAGCAGTAATACCGCACAGCACTGCTTCCTCGTGTCCGCTTGTCGAGATACTTGTATAATCTATCTGACTATAGGCCTCTTCGTCACTTTCCGTCCCATATACCCTCGGCGCACAAAGTGAACGCTCTATTCCGGAGTAACAATGCCACTTCCGCAAGTCCGCCGGTCATTCTTCACGCTAGCAAGACGGGTAACAATGACTCGCAACGTGCTCCGTCTATCTAGCCCCTCTTCTCACAAAGTTTCATGTAAGATTCAGGCTCTTTGTAGTGTGCACGGCCTCATTTCCCAGCTTATCAATCAAGTGCAGCGAGTGACTGAATAAGCTGCGGCACATCGGCCACACTCGGCGTTTATGGCGTACGCATACCGCTCAACTCAAGGTATCCATAGTGCCCGTGTACGCCCCGTTGACAGTTCCGAGTTGCTGTATGCTGTTAGTGCGCCCAGTGTAGAACACGCGCGGTTTCCATCTCCGCCCATGGCAATGCGCAATATGCTCTCTGCCCTTCTCGCATCTGGTATTACCACGCAATATCTCAGCCCGCAGTCCTATCGATTTGCGCGACGTATCGGCGCGGCTCCACTGGTACTGGCTACGGATTCCATCCACTGCTCCCCGACATTAATATCACTGAGTCATGGTGCTTCACGCTCATCCGCCGGTGCACATAGCGCCTCGGGCAGTTGTCATACCGCCTGCAATACGTATATGCACGGCCTATTGGTGTGCTCGGGAGTATTCTTAGCTTTGCACGATGCCAGTCTGTGTAGCAGCAGTTGGCCACAGAAGGCCAGATTGAACCACAAACAACACACGCTGCCGCTTACTACGCGCCCTAACCCTATCGATAGAAGAGATCCTCGAACGAACCCAATTCTCGCCTGACCCGCTCGCCTCACAGGATCAGCAGATCGTGCCCGGTGCTGGCCTCACATGGTACGTAAGGCTCAAGCAGGGAGCGGCACACGGGAAGTACGGCCCTATCTCCGCCACGAGGCAGGGTTGGTAACAAAAGAGCGTAACCGTACGCAGCCGCTCGGCACGTCCGCGTACACATACAGAACTGTACACACAGGGCGCAGGAAGCCAAAGAAGCTCAGCGGCAAGGCCTGAAGTTTGTCTGATGGGCGGATGGTGTCTTCGGGCTCTCCCAGAACCTCCTATGAGAAGGAATGTGCAAGCAACTTCGCCGTAAGCGAGAAGAAGCGGAAGATGAAAACAAAATCGACCCATCGTGTATGCTACATGTACAGAACATGCGAGCGGCGATTGAAAGCAATGGCTCAATGTAACCTCGCGAGCTTGCCATGTGTCGTGCTAGAAATTCTAGGCAGACATTCAGGTTCCTATTCACGTACTAGCGTTTTTCCTGGCAGACAATCCGATGAATGCATAGCTATTGAAGAGCCCTCAGCTATAGCCGAGACCTCCGGCGATGGAATGATTCATCTTAATCTGGCCCTACAAAGCAAGCCAGAACATACAGTCGGGGCCCAGCTGCGCGACCTCGCGTACGTTATGTTCCCCCAGAATGCCCACTGTTGGCGAGTATCGGTGGTCGCTCCCCGCTCGGAGACAACGCGTCCAAGATTAGAGAGCCCCGGCCGTCCCGAACGTTAGCAAAGGAGCACGGCATGCCGCCCGGCCGCGATAAGCCAATTGTATAGCGCATTGACAGAACCTAGGAGTCTGACCACATACTGACATCGACCACACGCCCGCAGGCCTCAAGGCCAAGCACAACGTTCGTCGACTCGTCAGTCGGCAGGCCTCGCTGGTCGCGTAGGACCCCCGCTGGCTTCCCACATCAGCCACGAGGCGCGACGCGCAGGAGGCGCTGGGTCCGGACCCGCCACATGAGCAGCAAAATGTCGAAAAAAGGCAAAATGTGAGGGATCTACGTGCGTGTGGTGTGTAAGGGTGGGAGGGCATGCTCCTCGCTAGCTCTGCGCTGCCGTACGCTATCGTCGCGCGCTCGACGTGTGGGGCGCGCGGGAAGCCATGAGTACCATCGAGGGGGGTGCGCGGGAAGCCTTGAGGGCAACGAGTGGGGCGAGCCAGGGGCGTCGAACGAGATAGAAGCTCGCGCGTACGCTATTGCGCCATGGCGTGTCGTTGCGGATGGTATTGAATGGCCCGTCGTATTATTCGCAGCCAATGCGGCTAGAGCCGTCGCCCGTGCGTCTCCATGCGCAGAGTGCGGGCTACCCCCAGGGAGGTGCCTGCGGCACGACAGGCCGGATAATACCCTCATCGTGGTAGACGTGAGGTAGCGAAGGAGGGTCAGCTGGGAGCTAGGAGCTCCTTGTCCCTGCAGTGCGTCAGACAATGAAAAGGATGGAATAGGATAGCATCCACTGGGTGGCATGCTACAAGTAGGTTCGAAGGTCGTAAATTGACTGCTTCATTATCCGTTACATGAACCAAACGAAAGGAGATCAACATTCTGCACCCCCTGTCAATCTGAGTTGACGCTGCAGCTGTGGAATGTCCGACAATTACGGGGTTTGCGTGGACGAGTCTGAGCGCTCTGCGTGCTCGGAAATCTGGTCGCACTGCGCTTCCTCGGTAGCCTCTGCAAGTGAGAAGAGATTCCCATCATTCCACTCTAGAACGTGATGGGACCTTGATCATAGGTCAGCAATGCAGGCTCTTGGATCGCGGAGTGAACGGGTTCTGACCACAGCGGCTTGTGTGTCTGCTCCAGAAAAATCAGAGCATCCAACAAGAACACGTTGCAGAAATCGGATACTCTTCGTGAAGAGACAAGTCCGACAAGGAATCGGGACTTCACACAACCTGTGTAGAGGCCATCTGAGGAAAGGTCAAGCACACGGCCATGGGAAAGTCGTGCAGCCCCACAGGCGCAAAAAAGGGGTCTCTGAAGGATTCGAGACCTGCAGACACTACAGGCGACCTCAGCATGGCTGAGGACCCACAATTGCTTGGCAACGTGTGTAGAACTGACGGCATAAAGTAGTGGGGACGTTGCGACGGGGCCGCACACATCCCGCGGAGCTTGGGGACGGGGGAGGCCCGTGTGGGTCCGAAAGTCACCCAAAGCATAAGCCTCCGGTCTGAGGGGCCGTAAGGGTGGACGGATCACCTAGAAGGTAGCAACGCGAGGCGCTACCTGCTCTGGTCCTCGAGGCACATACGCCCCTTCAGTTGTTCCCGTCACCAATGCCCAACAAAACCAGGCGAATTTACGTACTAGTGTCCGGGTGTGCACTGATTCGTGAACGTTGAGTTGGCTACTAGCCTGAATCGTCATGTAAATGCAGCGCCTTCATGCTTCCACTGATCTGATTGACATCCTGTTGAATGACATTGGGCAGCACGGAGCTCCAAGGTACGCTGCAGTCACCAGTCCGGACGGACGTGGCCCGAGGTTGCTCGGACCGCCATGAGGATCGAACTGTGTTCGCGCAGAAACTTGCAGCTAACACACCTATCATGCAAGGCAAATCACCACTGAAAGAAGACGGTTCTTCCGTCATGCCGGGCAGGTTGCATGGCACCGACTGTCGTTCGGAGCTGTAAGGAGCCAGCGGAGTTGTCGCGCTATTATTCGATTTTGAACCCAGAATTCGCGTCTTGTGTCTGAGCAACAAGGTGCACTTGTCCATCATCCTATGACCCGAGGACACGGATGAGCCTCTGAAACCGAAGGTGAGTGGTAGCAGTCCACAGACCTTACCATGAGCTTGCGCGTCAAGCGTCAGCCAGAGAGATTGCAGACAATGTCCATGATCAATCGAAATCGACTATGATCTCAAAGTGCAAATAGTGAAAACATCGGTGCCGGAATGCAGCCAGAGACCGTCGGGATCGGGGGGCGTCGACGGTCGTCGGGATGGAGATGAGCTGGCAGGGGCAAAGCGCCTATGCAAACCATAATCGCGATACCCGACGCCGAGTCAATCGAGATCGAGATCAGCGGCTCCCCACATTGCCAGATCGGATCGCTCTCAAGCTTGCGGAGAGTCCACTGACTCCGGGTGCACCGCCGGGTGTTGGGACAAAACAAATATTAAACGCTTTCGTCACATCCTTCATGCACCATGTTGACCTCATCAAACTGCCTCAGGGGCCGTCAATCAAGATGTCGCTACCCCACAAACCGCCCCCAAAGGACCCGGCATGCTAACTAACAATGAAGTGCGACCTTCATTTGGAGCACATCCTGGCATGTTTCTGTCGTCATGAAAGTAAAGTATGTGGGACAAAGAATGCTGAAGAACTCTCTCGTGTGCTGCGAGTCTACGGAAGCTGACATGTCTTCCGTACCCAGCACCGAGCTCCGCAGCTACCAACGCACGTCCTCTGCACCCCTTCCTCGAGTCTGCAATAGCACGCCACACAAACAAGCTTGTGCCACTGCGGCAAGGGCTTGTTGCACAGCCGCCAAGTACACGACAATAGTACTCTTCTCCGGAGACCGATCCGTCCTCGACCACAAGACATCTAGATATCCAGATAGCCCTCCGCGTGCCAGGAGATGAAGACTATCAAAGGACAATCCTGTCGGATTCAAGCGATAAGATGGGCGATATGCAGAGGAACCAGCAACGTACCACACGCTTGCAGCTACGACGATGCTTTGTGCCACCCAACCAGAAATTAATGGCTACGATGCCCAGTGATCACAGCAGCACGACCCAGCGGCAGCAGGTCATTCTGAGAAGCCACAGCATCGATGCATGCGATGTGGCCAACTGACCCGCGCGAATGACTCCGCAGCGCGGTCTGCTGAGAGAGCTTTCCCACTGCCCGCTTCGTCGTCCAGCGGGCATTCCTAAAGCTTACCGCGTTCACCCCGGAAGAACTGCTGCAGATCGCGAGATATCGATCGCAGGTCGCCTACCGCACCGAAGTCCCTTGCCCTCGCCCGCCGCGATCCTGTGATTCCGTGCCACTCCCGCAGCCTATCTGGGAACCTCTCTTGCGGCAGGCGGCGCGCGCGAGTCACGCCTGCGCGTAGATCCTACCCGACATTCCTTCGGGAAGTTCGTAGGTTCGCACGTTCTTGAGCACTGATGACTCGCCCATCCCCGCGTCGCCGCACCGGTCGCCTCGAGGCACGAGATGTGGAGGTGTGAACTGAGGGCGAGCGAACATCCCCGGCCGGGGCGGGAGGATGGGGATATCTGGGGCCAGGCGCGCGACCGCGGCCACGCGGCGCATCCTCCGACCTCACATCGGCGACTTCTCTCATCTCTGCGCACTTCGCGGGGACGCGTGCGTCGTGGGCGGCAGGAGACCTCCCGCATTCATTCCTGCGGAGCCTGAATACCTCGCCGTCCTCTCCTCCTAACCCCACTCGTCCCACCCACCCGGGCCAGGGGCGCCTTCGTCTCGCTTCCCCGTGCAGCAAATGAACGCGCGAAGTTGTTCGATATCCAGATAAGGTGCGCGAACACTCACCGCGTCCTCGGTCCTCGCGCGCCTGGACGCTGTATCGGGGCGACGTGCGGCTAGGTGCTGAAGCCTGAACGCGCTCTCGCCTCCCGCACCGCTGCAGCGCCGCTAGAATCCCAGTCCAAGCCCACGCGGAGAGCGAGAACCGCCCAGACTTGCGAACAGAAGTCGGCCGCGGCATGCCTGAGCCCCACGCAGCAGCAGTAACAAGCCAACTGCCAAGTAACCAGCGTCACCATCGTCATCAAGTCAGAGAATACGGACACCACGGCTTGTGCGATGACGCTGCTACAGCGATCCCTGATAGCAGGACCGCTGTGCATCTCGCCGTAAGTTCGCCGCGTCGGGCGATCGCACCTCGCGCGTCCCCCCGCATGGTATATAGCTGCCGTACAGACGCAAGCGCCAGCGTGTGGCCACAAGGCCCGTTCGGAAAGCACGACGAGCGCGCAATCGAGCCAGCGTGCAGCCAATGAACCGGGTGCGGTGGAGAAGCCAGGGCACGCGCGCAGGGCGCCGGACGGAACCACCGCTAGCTGAGCGGCGGCAGGAGAACGTACGGCCGCCGCCTGACAGGGATGAGTACCGTCGAACGGACATGAATGCGAACGGGGCGACCAGCGACTCGGAGCGAGGAACGCGTTCCTCGAGGTTGGGCTCTCGATACTGCCTGCTCGCCGTGTCACGATGGTCGTCGTGCTCTGTGCACGATGGCGAATCGTCGCGCTCGCCCAGGGTGTATGCTTTGCGATCGTACGCTCGCGTCGAAGTGCAGTCCGAGTATGGGTCGAGCTTACCAGCCAGCGTCCGAGCATTCGCCGGGAGGCGCTCAAGTATGTCGATCTCTGGCAAGATAGTCGCATGGACGCCCGTCAGGGCGAACCGTATAGAGGCAGGAGGGCCTGACCAGCGTGGTATGTTCGGTAATAGTGGCGGCATATGTGCAGCGAGTCGGCGACGCGCGATAGGCGCGATACCGCCGCAGTCGCGCACCTGACCCGCCGTATATCTGGACATGGGTAACTTGCTGACTGTCGTCTGCTGCACCCCGAATACTTACTGACCTGCGTCCGAATGCCCTGCGTGGAAGCCTAACGCCACACTGTCCGATCGCACATGCGGAGAAGAGTGAGAGGTTAGCACTTACTGTCAACCGCGTGCGCGTGCGAGCATGGAAGAGCGCCGCGTCCGACGTGCTCGGGTATGCTTGCTCCGCCCAACGCCCGACTATGGGGCCTTCCGGTTCCAATCCAGTCTTTCCGTCCGGAAGTGCAAGTCGCGAGCACCATGCATCGAAGGAGTGGACACCTGTGGTAACCTCGTTGGACAGATGCACACGCACGCGTCATCCTCCCCATGAGCCCTCTTCTGCTCGCCACCCCGAACGCAGCGCCAGGTGCTGAGATGACGGCGGTGGCAACGCGGAATATGATGCCGCCATTTGTTTGGAGCGCGGTGGGTGCATTCCGAGCGTTGCCGGGGGTTGCGACGAGGTGCGGGTGCGCATGTGGGGACCGACCGGGGATTGATGGGCATCGGGGAGAAGCACGGTGGCGAGCGGTAGAGAGCAGCGGGGAGAGGTGGGAGCATCGAAGTCGAAGCCGTCGACTTGGACGCCGGTCCTAGGCCGCTGAGAGCTTGCGTGGCCGCTTGTCCGACCGCGAGCGCCCGCTTCTCTAAGCGGCCGATGGGACTGGAGAAGTCAAAATCAACCCGGGCGCGCTGCGCGAACTCCAAGTTCATCGGGTGCGATAGATCTTGCTTCCGATAGCGATGCGAATGGAGGTCGCCAGACATCGCGACTGGCCCGCGGACGTTGGGTGCGCTCGTACAGGTGAATAATGTTGTAGGCTGGATGCGGGATCTTGATGTCCATATGCGAACATCCCCGGTGGCTATTCTTGGAGTCCTCGGTCTGCGTGTTCCTCTACCTGTCGGCTAGGCTCGGTGTTCGGGCGCTGGAGGGCATTTCGGAATCAGGCATCCAGTGTACGATTGGACGAGATGAATACTCTTTCCGGACATGCGTGAGATGCAACGGGGGCTGTCGCGGCTTTCAGTGGGAGTACACGTCGTCGACCTGGGATTGGCTGGCCCAGCTTGCGGCCAGTTCGGAATTCGAGTCTTGCGAACGAACGAGCAGTTCTGTATCGTACGGTATCAGCTGACGCGCGAGGTAAGGACACGGAAAGGCTGGAACGCGGGGCGCCTCGAGCCTGGCTCGATTGCGTTGTGGTGATGGCCGTAGAGCGTGGAAGAACGTCAATACCGCGATTCCGAAGTTTGCGACTGTGGGATGAGCAATGGCGCTTATGCAACTGTTCAGGAGCAGTCCGATCCCGCTAAACAATCGAGCTCGGGCAACAAGGCGAGTCTGCTCATACATTTGTAGGTCAGCGACCATTGATGCTGAGACTGTTCGTCTATCGCACTCATGTTGAAGATATTGGGCGAGAACAGATGCATCTGGTCGTGAACACAGGCCACCTGATTGAAATTGGGAGATGAGAGGAACGAGATACCTGTGCTCGACAATTTTGTTTGTGTTGCGATCGAATCTTGTACGTGATACGGACGACGTCAGGGTCATTGCATCGCGGATAGGATTGAAGATGGGAAAGGCGCTACAAGAAGGACGGGAACCGCATAGCTTCCGTAGGGCAGTAAGGAGGAGCATACCGGGCACTGTAGAGAAGACCTGTCTGTGGAATCCGGTGGCCGATGTTATCGGTCTCCGGCGGTACCTCAACGCTTCTTGAATTTCAGCAGACGCCGGTGGTTCGCAAGCAATGCAAAACTAACCCGGAGAATTAGGGACGTGTGCAAAGCTGAGATGATGTTGCAAGGTCGTGAGTCAGCTTTGTGAATAATTGAAAAGATCTTTGGGCCATTGGTCAGCCCGAGAAGTACACGAATGTATCGTAGAGATTGGTGAGTCGCGAGAGAGAGACGCTTATCGGGAGCCGACTGGGTGGAGGATTAGTCAGTGGCTTTGGAGGCGTAGATGGAGGAGAGATATCGGAGGCAGCGACTGGCCAGGCACGCAGGAGGAGGCCGACGATGGTGAACGAAGCCGAGAACGTTCAAACTCGAGCGAGTACGAGATGGGCTGCGACGCGTCGTCACTCGTGCATGCGCGCGAGACCGCGATCACGTGCGGGGATTCGGGGATGAATCGGGCCGAGGATGGAATGCTGGGCATTCGGGACGATACGGTACCTCGGAGATGGAGGTGGCCTGAATTCCGAGGTGAGTCGTCATGGGTGGCCGACAGGACGAGGATGCATTCCGAGGGTGTCACGAGTGCACGTCGAGGTGTGTGTAGGCAGGGGGGGTGCCACCCATGGCGAGGTGGCCGCTGTCGACGAGCAACGCGGCGATGGCGTGGTGAGAGAGCCGACCGCAGAAGGCAGGAGGGATATATGGCGTGGGAAGGGGGAAAAGGGGTTTTGCGGAGTTTGAAGTCGGAGTAAGTGAGAGCGTGGGCGGCGTGCGGGGAGATAGTGATCTCATTATGCGATCGGCCGTTTGCTCGTCCTGGTCTTATTCCCAGCATGACTATAAAGCGACGGCCGGCCTGGGCAGCATGCTCTTTCCCCGCCCGTGTCCCCCTCGTCACACTGCCCGCCCCCCGTCCCTCGCCTTACCCTCAGTCGCTTCTAAGCTCTGTGCCACCGGCACAAAGCACCGACGAGCTCACAAGGCAATCAGTATATAGTCCCACCTCAGTTTCCCCGAGCTTTCCTCGGCCCTCACCCAATTTCAACTTGCTATATAAGGACGCGTCAATTCGAACATCCTCCCCCACACCCTCCCCCGCAGCCATGTACGACTATCCACTAACCGCAACATCCTCGACACCTCCCTCGCCCCAATACCCGCGAAAGCACCACCGCAGGCGATCACAATCCCCCCTCCCCCATCTGGCCACCCTCCTCCCAACTCACCAGCACGAGTACTCGCCATCCTCTCGCGCCGCGGATATCTCGCGTCTTCTCGACCCCGCGTACGCGAGCAGCTCAACCTCATCTTCCTCGGTCAGCGCGTCGCCCGCGTCACCACAGACACGCGTGTATGTCGACCATCACGGTGAGATCCACGACCCCGACTACCGCGACTTCCCCGTCCTCCGCCCCACCGCGCTCTCCAGCTACCCTGGAAAGCACCGTCGACCAAGCGCGAGTTCCGCAGCGCGTTCCCGCAGCCACGATCGCTATCTGGCCGCGCTCCAGCCACAGCGGCCGAGTTGGGAGCGCGATTGGGGCACAGAGGTCGACGATTCCGACGAGGATGATGACAACGTAGAGGGTGAGAGCCAGTCTCACTTCAGCCCCTTCGCATCACACCACGGCACCCCGCGGAGGAACACGTCGCAGAGCGCGTTCGCGTTCAGCTCCTCGTACCCATCGAGCTACTACTACTTCACCGAGAAGGCGCCTGCAACGAGCCCCCCGGACTCGTATGAGGGCGAATTCTCTAACGCGCTCCAGCTCCACGAGTCACCGTTCGAAGACGATGCTGGCGAGGTCATCGAGGAGTCGCGGAAGACGGCCTCTTTGATTAGGAAGGTGTCGAAGCCAAAGAAGTCGGCCACGTTGGAGGTGCAGCCCGAGAAGGACGAGGAGGACGAGTCTTCTCCCGCGCTCCGTCCATTAGATGAAGAGGGTGACGAAGACGAGCACGCGTCAACGTGAGTGCCCACCTAATTGTTCCGCCCGTAACGATCGTATATTGACTTCTGGTCTCTCTTCGCAGGCCGACGTGCACGCATCTCCTGCGCCAGCAGTGGCAGGCGATATCCCTCCGTGTCCGCTTTGGCGTATATCACGCTAAGCGGAAAATACTCCCGCGTCAACGACGCGCATAGAACAACAGCTTCACGTCTGGTCTTGTTTCTGTTCACTTGGATCACCCCTCAGCGCAAAGGCCCCCACGACGGGAGTCCTGGTCGACTCGGTGCGCGTGTGCGCGGACACAGGTCGATATGCGCGGTCTCTTCGGTTCCCGCAGATCTGTATGTCCTCTTCCCTCGTGCACGGAGCGCAGTGGTCACGCCTACCGAACCGTGGAAAAGCGATTCCGCATCGACCCGCGACGCAACTCGCAACGCTATCCTTATGCATTCACTTCTCATCCTGTCTTCTCTCTCACCCTCATGACGATTCCTCACGCCCTGCGGTACCGCGCGCACGCGCATTCTGCATTCGCGCAGGGCCGCGGCGCACTTCCCACTGTTCTCACGCGCTATCTGTCGCTTCCCATATTCCCGGACTCCCCGTCGCTCTTCACGAACGGACACAATGTCGGACATGTCACGCTCGGACTGGATACTGCCTATTTGCTCCCATCCTCATCTCACCTCCCGTCACGCATCGCATGTTTATCTGACTCTCATCATGTTGCTCACGCTCTCATCTGCACGTCTGTTTTCTTTCGCATCCCACATCATGATATCCTTTCGCACACATCTGGCCCTCGCCGGTCGACTTGGGGCCTCAAGTTGGGGCTTCTTGGATCCGTTCTGCACTCTTCACCTTCATCTTCCTCTTCACCACCTCCCGTCACCATCGCATCGCACGCATTGCATTGTCGTTGTATCACATAGGTTTCTTTGTTCACTCACGCATGGTTGGAGCAACAAGTAGGACGGGCCGGCTGTATCTAGGTAGTAGCACATCTGTCACGACACGAGTCGTATCTTACGAATGAAACGAAGTTGACAATACTGTATACTGCGTGTGCTTGCCTTCGAAATCACCCGTACGCACGCTCCAGGCATGACCTCGCGAGCTTCCCTCTCGCGCGTACCAATCACAATTCGCCGCGGACTCCAAGGACCATGCGCGCACCCCCGCGAATATTCGTGTCGATGTTCGCGATCACCCTAGCACCCCGTCGAACTTCTGACAAAGGTGGGGAGTACAATTGTAATGAGTGACGCCAGCGGCGCGCAATAATGCCAGAGACATAGCACCCGCTCGCCCCCCACTCGCGCTCCGAGCGCTCGAGTCGCCCCCCCCCGAAGTTCCGGCGCCTTCGCGTGTCGGTCTCTTTCTTCGCCGGTTGGGTACTTGGGTGGACTGCCTCAAGCTCCTGGTGCTCGTCCTCGAGGCTGGGATATCCGAGAGACCCGGGTGCTGCAGCGGCTGCACACAGCTGTCCTAGCGAGGAGTCATCTGCCTGGGAGACTTACCGCCACTACTCGCTGGGCTGCAGTCTGCAGCAGCTGCGGCAGCGGTGTTCCGCGCGAGCGGCGAGCGCGGGGAGTGTGATTTCGGCCATACTTGACATCTGCACGTCTCCTCGGCCGCGGGCTCGCGGGCTCGGGAGACGGCGCGCCCGGGTAGTAAGGGCAGCTTTGTCGTCTCGCGCGACCGTATACGGTATGTGGCTGGGACACGGCCAGGCACGGTACGTGTACGCGTGCGCACGCATCCGTACCGTGACTGACGCATGCTGGATGCCGCACCGCGCAGACACCACGCTGCTGCCCGGCCGCGCCTGTCGATCCGTGGTATGTGTGTATGGACAAGTATCTGGGTGAAGGCGGATTTGGCCGCTTTCTGCGCAGTCGGGCTACAGCGTGCCGGGTTCCCGAGAGGCTGCGAAGCCCGTGTACATACCACGTACGCATACGCCCCTTGGGTGTCTTGTGGTTCAGGAGTGTGCGAGCGGCTGTGCTGTACAGAGTTTGGATCCACCCGGGGGTGTTACTGCCGGCGGGCGTCTGACGGTATCGTGCTTGTACAGTACGAGCCTCGATCGACAGGGTCCTTGCTGAATCTCAGTTCCCCTAACAAGGTTCGGCGAAACGTACTGTCTCCAGCAGAGTTGCATTTCGCGGTGGGGATGCGCGGGCCTGCCATGATCGATTTCAGTACTGCAGCTCGGCGAAGATGATGATTCAGCAAGGAGGCTAGTACTGCTGCTTCACGCAGCCGATGGCGAGTCAGGTGTGCATAGATAACATGAGCTCGAGTCAGCGCAGGCTCCGAGGACGCACTCGAGGATCGGTCAGCCTGTGCGGCATGATTTCCATCGAAGCACACGCAAGCCCAAGGAGTATTGCGCACCACTGCTTACGAAGCCGCCCCTGCGATCCTTATGCCGATTGCACGCGCTCGCGTTCCGAGCGGACGAACGCTCTTGACGGGTGTGGGCGTGGGTGCCCACTGTCCCCGGTCGGGGAGAACAGAGAGGCTGGTGCACCATCGGGATCCATCTGCGGCGTCTGCTGAGGAGAGCGCCGCCTCCCGACTCCCTCGGAGAACGCGCTCCCGGGACGCCCGGGGCTTTCCGTGCACCTTCGGACCGGTGGAACTCTTGGGGCGGGGTTCCAATTGGCGGTCGGAGAGTGAAGAAAGGCGGGTCGTGGGAACCCGGTTTGTGAGCGGGCACGGCAGGGCCCGACGAAGGCAAAAAGGGACGGTGGACAAAGGCGGGATGACTGAGACGGACACGTCGACAGGGCGGGAGAACGTTGAGTAGGTATGTTTCTCACAGGGACCGGGCTGCGGCTGGTTAAGTTCCTGGAAAATGATGTTCGGCCATGGTCTAACTGAGGATAGCGGCGAGAGAAAAGAGAGATGTGGAAGTCGCGAGACGCAGCATTGTCTTGGAGACACCGACAGCCGATAGCGGGAGAGTGGGTTCGGGTGCGTCGCTGGCTCGGGTTGCGGTGTTGTGGGCGGAGCGCAGGAGTCTATGCTGATTTTTTGGGCGGCTTCAAGGGAAGTTCTTGATGGGCCACATCAATGGTAATATCGGCTGCTCATCTTCTGAGAATTGTCGTCAACAGCTTGACGGCTGCAGGCTGACTGGACGTGATTCTGTCCCATGCCAGCTCAGAGACAGTAGCCGCAGTCCCATCGCTGTCGGATTGGTGAATGGATGCAATAGAGTCTGTCAATAATGCAACACATGGTCACGGCTGCTCTCGAGCGTCTGCCCTAGTCTGTACTAAACGCTAACCAGGTGTGTGTGGAGGTGACTCGAGAATAGAGTCGAGGCAGGGCGTCGGCGCTGCGGCGTCATGACGGAGTGACGCGTGACGTCATGGTGTCTGCAGAGTACCGGCCTGTCCCGCGCTTGTTGCTTGTTAGACAGCTCGTTCAGCCTCGTTCCCACTTGCCGCCGCTGCTACGAGCAGCCTTCCCCAGCTGCATCTGGTCCTTGACGTCAAGCTTAAGCCTACACCACGCAACCACGCACCACGCAACCACGCACCACGCAACCACGCACCACGCAACCACGCAACCACGCAACCACGCACCACGCAACCACGCACCACGCCTTATGCTAGCTATGACGACCAAGAACCCTCGCACACTACCTCCGTCTTTCCACCCCTTCCCCAGCTGCATCTGGTCCTTGACGTCAAGCTTAAGCCTACACCACGTCTGTGCCCTCGAGTCCCATGTGAACTCTTCCCCAACCTGGGACATGCACCATCCGTTCCTCGACATCATCGCTCCGATGAGCCATCCACGACGTGTGCGAGCTCTGACGACATTGTGCTCAGTTCCTACCTGCCTAGACCTCAAGTGCATCTCGCGATTCCGACTCCGCTAACTCTTCCTTAACAGATATCAAGCGTACTTCACGTTTTCTGGCTGGCTTGTCATTGTACATCCCACGTTCACGCGCGTCCGCGATTCTACTTGACGGCCTTCCCTGGTGTGCGCCGCAGTGTGACCTGCAGCTCAGGCTCTCACTAGCTATTGCTCGGAACCCATTGCTCAAGCTCACCGACCACCGATCATCGCAGAACTTGCAAATTCCTTCTGTGTGTTCTTATCGTGTCCGCTCTAGCTCTACACCTTCCCATCTCATGCTAACTTACTCTACCAAACCTGCGCAGCATTTCACATCAGTAGCCCGGAGGTCCTCCTGATCGGGCTCGTTCTACCATAGTGCCGTGCCTCATGGGGGTACTAGCCTGCCCGATGCTCATCCAGCGCAGTCACTACCATACATATCGGTCCTCCTTCACCGAAACACTCGCCTCCCGGTCTCCTAGCGACGCAGCCTGCCATATAGTACTAATCCCTATCCGGAGCTTCATCTCTGCAGGCCCTTCGCAGCAGCGGCCTAGCTCACAACCATATCTTCACTCAGGCCCGTAGAGCTCGCTGGGGCTCGGCACCGGCGCCCAACTTACCATATCGAGCATCCTCAACCATCGCGCCCCAGAACGCATTGTCGACCGGACTTCGTCTTCCTCGGGTGCTCTCTGCGAGTGGGACTAGTGCTACTGCAGGCCGCGCCTTGCGGCTTGGTGCCTTGAACTTTCTGACCGGCTCTGGTAGAGGAGCTCCCATGGTGCGCAATATGCTACCGTGCTCCAAGCATCCGTCCAAGGACGGATTACTCTAGAAAGGCAACCATGGAGGCCAAATGAGGACCGCGGTCGCTGAGTTGTACTTGGCATGAGGGACATAGAGGCTCGTCCCCACCGATATGGTTTCTAGATACGGCCTCATGCTGGCTGGCTTGTCGTTGCTCTTCCGCGCCGACCAGCCACGCGTGTGCCTGGTCACTGGCTGCGCCCAACGCTTTGTTCGGGCTACGTATGATCAGCTCGGTGACGCTGTCGGGCCGCGCAGGACGTCCCCCGTGCCCGGCCAGAGCTCCGCTTCGTGAGCAACTATTGCATGTCTGGGATCTGCGCACTGTTTCCGCCATTTGAACCGCGGCGGCGACGTGGGGAGCGCGGACGTGCATGCGTCGTGGGCCCATGTGTTGCTGCAGGGGAAAGCGGAGGAAAGCCGGAGGGAAGTGGAGAGTGTCTGACTGTAGCTGTAGGTGTACGTATGGTAGACAACAAAGCTTGTGTGGCCTTGGGGCCTTGTGCCTGTCGACGTTGGTTGGCAGTCGCTGCATGGTCTACTTACAACGTGCCGGGCCACGGGTCTGCCTCGGAGTGTCCCGGGACCGGGGGCGTCTTGAATGAATGCCGGACTTTACTTATCTAGCTCGCCTTTGTGAGCGTAAGTGCTGATTGCGCTTTATCGCTGTCCCAGATGGCGATTGGGCTGGGGCTTCGGGATCACATCATGTATGCGTATGTGCAGGCTCCGAAGGTTGCAGATAAAAGAAGGAGCTGCATGCACGTCAGCGGAGTTGGTGCATACCTCGAGAACTTGAAGTCAGACGGAAGTATGTATCTCTGCTTGTCAAGGGGCACATGATGGGCTGTCCGGGAATGCCGGCTACGTATATTCCGATACACTTGTGCAGATGACGGCCACGATAATGGGAGGCAGACGAGACGAGACGAGACGAGACCGGGCTATTATCGGCTTGGACGACAAATCAGACTAAGGAACGGCGAGACCTTGGTATAGTGGTCTCGACCAGTCATTTCTTGGGTCTACGAAGGAGTGACAGTCCTGCATCGCGAGCACACAATCATCAGATGAACACTGGGCACAGCGCTCGCAAGGCTGTATCAGAACGAGTATGGCGCATCGACCAGGTCGAGGTCCGTCCCGACCTACAATGGCAGGAACCGAGTTCGTATGCTGTTTTATTTGGTGAATGTTTCACGGAATCGCTGGAATGAATTGCGACAGAGGCCTATCGTGCAAGAAGTCTATACCGCGGATTGACGTCTGGGCTAGAGCAAGCCTCGTCTGCACAGATGTTGCACTACACTCTGCGCTGCCACGGTGAGTCGTGCATGCATGTAAGCTCCGCTCAAGGCGGGGGTAGGCAACGACGGACCCTTTAGGCACGTCGGGATGTCGCGCATATTCTGTGGGGATGCACAAGGACCAGAGAAGTGACTCTGTGCGTCACGATAATGTTGCCGGTCGCGCGTGCTTTGTTTGATGGTCCGACCCAATGCCTTCTACAGTTCTCTGGTGACCAGCACTGGACGCCCCACACGCACATCATCGAGCCCCTTGGGGATTTTTATGCTGGCGTCTCAGACAGAGCAACAGAGAGGTGAGGGAGTAAGTGCACAGAAGCGCGCGATCGACGCTGTGTTGTCGATTGTCAACACATATATGTGATCATCCGGCCGGTGGGTACCTGATCTGTCCAATCATCCCAACACATCGGCAGCAGCGATGTCAGATGCAGGGAAGCCTTCCCCTCCATCCTCATCCTCAACACTTTCTGGGTTTGATAGAGCCTACACCCCACCTCAGGCGCGTCCGCTAACAGTGAACGAGCATGTGCGATGAGGTATCTCTGAGCTCTACAGCCCCAGATCTTCCCGTCTGTTCAGGAGACGGCCCTCCATGCCTCCCTCCACCATCAAGACATGCCCTGAAACGTGCCCCGAGACGGTCTGCGAGGACAGAACGACGATCTGATGCGCGACGTCTTCCGGCATCGCAACTTTCTTCAGTGGAGTCCTAACACAAGTATCAGCAAGCGAGATTCTGAGTCCACATTGACCCCAGACAATGTATTGTACACTACTCACGTCGCGAGCGCCCGGTATACCACGTCTGGATCCCCAAGGGACTTCTCCGCCATGGGCGTCCTGGTCCAACCAGGGGCAACGACGTTCACCCGTCCCTTTGGGGCAATCTTGACTATCTCATTCTTCAGGCTGAGGCACAGCCCATACATCATTGCTATCAACGTACCGACATTCAGGTCTCCCCGAACCAGCAGAGAAGTGCGAGAACCCATACTCACCGCTCTTCGACGCGGCGTAATCTGCATGCCCCGCCTCGCCAAGCTTGCCCGCTGTGCTCCCAATCAATACAATCGCCGCTTTGTCTTTCACTTGCTCGGTGACGTGCTCGAGGCCGCGCAGGTACTCCCGCGTGACGAGGAACGACGACGTCACATTCGTCGTGAACGTCGATTCCCACTGCCCCAAGCTCATCTGCGCGAGGGGCACGTCGCGCGACTCGTAGTATGCGTGATTGATCACCGCGACCTGTACCGGCCCGAAAGGGGGAGCAGAGGATGCGGCGAAGAGCCGCTCGACGTCGGCCTCAACCGTGAGGTCCGCTTGGAGGGCCCGCGCGCGCTGTGGACCAAATTCTTGCACGAGGGGTTCGAGTGGGGCGGACTTGGTATTGTAGTGCGCTGTCACTCGCGCTCCGAGTTCTGCGCGGGATGGGTGAGCGGACACCATATCCACATTATGGTAGCCTGCGAGATGAAATGCAAGCGAGTGACTCGTACTGACTCAGGAAGAGGCGGGCTGTGGCGAGCCCAATACCGCCACTCGCGCCTATCCACACGGACTATTGGTAAGTGAGTGTCTTGGTATCTGCGTTGTGGAACGCACCAGTAATCAGAACGTGAACGTCCTGAAGACCAAGATCCATCCTTGCTTGCGTAGAAGTCGCGTAGCAGTTTGCGACTGGGTGATGGTGGTTCTGGATTAATCTATGTTTAGTCCACAATCGATGGCACTCATCGGACCGGCTGATCGTGAGATCTCGATACCTAACTCGACGTCGCTCGGGAACTTCAGTACAGAGGTAGGAGACGGAGACCATACCGAAACGCGCTGCAACAGGCAGAGGGCACGACGTGGGTCGTCTGGCTAGGCGTGCCCGTTCGGTGATGCGCCTCCCTACACCATGTTCCGGTGCCTGGGACGGTGGACTAAGGCAATTGTAGGAGCTTCGACGATGGCGATCTCGAGACGGTGCTGCTTGAGCTTTACCTTTGGTGGACCGTTGACCCAGCCTCTCTTTCACGACTCAACCCACCAGCGGATTTTCACAACCAGCCTTCAAGACTCCCCTAACACTCGCGGCTTTGCACTCCGTTACCAAGTGCCTCGCAATTTCCTCGGTCTTCCTTGGGCTGTTGGTTCGAAATGGTTGCTGCTCTCCCGGTCGCGACACTGGAGAACCAGACGTCCACGTTCCACGTAGTATTGAGGTGACCGTCCCATGGGTTGACGAGAAATCCGACCAACCAATTGGCTCAGTCTTAGGTGACTTCGATAACTGTGAGCGAGGAGTTCAATGTCACACAATAAGCTGCACATGCTTCCTACTTCCCCACTATGGAACGACACGACTGCACTGGCTACCCCGGCATGATCCACGACAAGACATGACGCATGATCGAATGACGGACTGTTGTCATGACCTCGTATTACGCGCATTGAGCCTTGAACTTCAGACTGGCATGACGCGGTGTTCAACTGCAGCTTGCCTCATGTAGTGTAGTGACAAGCTGACCTTCTGATGGCGGATGTTGTTGCCGGCGGGTGCTGGTGCTGTTACATGAATCCCTATGTGTCAATTCAAGTGACATCAGTAATCCAACATGATACATCTATACCCACGCCGAGTCAAGTCCGAGGAATACAGCGTTGAGTAGCGTGCGGTCGGAAAGCAAAAGGGTTGCGCTGGAGGCGGCAATCGGCCGGCGGACCGGTTCTGGCATTCTCCGGCCAAGGCTAAACGGGCGCCTGAAGGTTATCGCTGGATGACTTCATACAGAACGCATTCCCGACCAGCTGGTCGAACGTTGGAGCTCGATGGGTTTCCCGACGACTCGGCCGTCAGCCTCGGCCACCTTTCGAGGCGCACGCGATGGAGTCACCCATTCGAGCGTCGAGATGACATCGGATGATGTTTATTAGCTGCCACCCCAGCTCGCCCGGCCTTCTCTACAATTACTCTTGGCCACTTGCTTTCCTTGGATTCTTGGAGATCAACGGCAGCATCTACCTCAACGGAGACGAAGCAATGAGTACAGTAACGAACGGGGCCACTTCACCAAGAGCGACTCCATTACGATCGGGTGAGAAGCGGTTGACGGAGAAGAGAGGGCATGCCGAGAACAATGCCAACGTCGTCCATGTGCGAGAAGAAGGTTTCGACGTCTACGGGGAGGAGGACGGAAATGCCCAAAGTGAGCATCTCCACTACTCTCAGATTCCCATCATCTCATGTGGGTACTCGTACATCGTCTCCAGTCAAGTATCGGACGATGGTATGGTGGAAAGCTGCGGCACTCATGCTGGCGGAAACAGTATCCTTGGGGGTACGTACACGAGCCGTTCACGGACGGACCTATCTGCTGACAACGCTACCATGCAGATCCTGTCAATACCATCAGTATTTGCATCTATTGGAATGGTAGCGGGATGTATACTCGTGATTGTGCGTGCCATTAGTCAGAGCGTACCACTTGGATCAATAGTGTTGACTATATGCGCGCTCTCAGGGCTTGGGAATCATCGCAACAGCTACTGGCTACGTCATCGGGTCTTTCAAGCTGCGGTATCCCCATGTGCACAATATGGCAGACGCTGGGGAGATACTCGCAGGCCCGATAGGTCGCGAGATCCTCGGTGCTGCACAAGTAATCTTCATCATCTTCCTCTGCGGAAGCCATGTCTTGACGGGGCTCATTGCCTTCGATACCAGTAGGTGCTCTAGAAACAGCTACAGTCATGATGTCACCTCATGAATATCGGTTTTGACTCTGATAGTCACCAATGGTGCCTCATGCTCCGTGGTTTGGGCCGCTGTGACGGCTATCATTTGCTTCCTATTCACGCTACCTCGAACGCTGGATGGGATATCATACCTCAGCGTCGTATCCTTTATTTCCATCATCAGTGCGTACTCAGTCAATAACAATGTGTCCTTCAGCACCACTCAAGAAGTGACTGTCTAGGCGCGATCTTCATTACCATGATTGGTGTCGGCGTCGCTGGACACCAGGGAACTGTTGCTGTCACATCACATCTCGCTTTTGCCCCGGCATTCCTTGCCGTCACCGACATTGTACGTGCACATGATCGATCTTGGCCGCTTGACACAGCCTCATAGCTTCCGCTAGATCTTTGCGTACGCGGGCCATGTTGCATTCTTCACTTTCATTGCGGAGATGAAGGAGCCGGAGGTATGTGTCCCGGTCTTTTTCATGCTGCGTCTATGTTGGAGATCAATGATGCCTTCTTGCCTGCGCATTGTCCGCTCTCAGGACTTCCCGAAGGCTCTGTATGCGCTCCAAATCACTGACACCACACTCTACCTCATCGTTGGTATCGTGGTGTATGCTTACACTGGCGCTAACACCGTGTCCCCTGCCCTTGGCAACACTGGGGTTACGCTGCGCAAAGTTGCGTATGGAATCGCGCTCCCCACCATCATCATCGCTGGCGTGATCAATGGACACGTTTGCGCCAAGCTCATATTCATCAGGATGTGAGCGACTTTTACTTGGCGCGGTTCGCGAAACTGCTGGCGGTTCGCCCAGTCGCGACGCGCAACGCAATCGGGCGTCCGCGGTCAGAGTCCGACACTGACTCTCCCGTTTGGCAGATTCCGCAGGAAAGGTGTCCACTCGAGGCATATGACCAGCCATTCGTGGACAGGCTGGCTCACATGGGCCGCCATATGCACTGCGATCTGGGCCTTGGCGTTCGTCATCGCAGAAGTGTGAGTGACAGACATATCGCGTCGAGGACCCGGAAGCAATGGGGGCTGGCTGCTGATGCTCACTGCTCTGTAGTATCCCGTTCTTCAATGATCTCTTGGGTGTCATCAGCTCCCTGTTTGCGGCCTGGTTCACATATGGCATCTCGGTAAGTTCAATGGCACGTCGCACTGTCTACGGTTGCATGACGGGCTCATGCGGCTTGCGTGTGCAGGGTATCTTCTGGTTCCATATGACTCCACGCTCAGAACGGTGGACAACCGCACGCCAGAAGGCGAATACGATATTCTGGTCCGGGATCATCCTTGTATGTTGCTTGGCAGCCGCTCTTACCTGCGATCACGCGCTCATTAAGGATGGTCCTGAATAGATGGGGGCGTTCATCATGGTCGGCGGCCTGTACGCCAGTATACAAAGCATTCTGGACGGTAAGCGATCTTGAGTATTTCTCTTGCTAGGGCAATTGGGGTCTGAACCGTGAATTTGTCCACAGGCTATCGGAACGGAGGATTCCCTGGACCGTTCACGTGCGCAAACCAAGGCCTCGTCTAAGAAGATACGGAGTGAAGTTAGCTTTGCACGAAGGAATATGATTACTGGGACGTTGTGAAGCAAAAGGACCAGTGTGACAGTCTCCAAACGCTGTATCGATACCAGCACTTGACGGCTTGTATTGCATAACGCTACTCTTTGCTGTGCTATGCTGCTGCAGCATGAAACATTCACCATTGTCCATCGTTACATGCTCAACCAATGCCTTGCCATTGGGCGTCTCTGGCGAATACAGCTCGTGATCGTCTTTTGCTCTGGCCCCAACCCTGTATCCGTTGCCGGGAATATCGTGCTCGGTTCTTCTCGCTGAATCACGAGTGTCCAAACTGCATATGCAGTCGATATCAGCGTCAGCACATTGACATGTCGGCCTTTGATTTCCCGAAGTGCACGGAGGTTACGAGGAACAAAGTTGAAGAGCACTGCATCCTGCATTCCGGGGACACGCGTCAATCATTCTCATCCAATGATTATTTGACCATCTCCCAGCTTTCGGGCGCCGGCGCTCGTCGTCCTTCCCTTCTCCTTCGCAGCTGATATCCACAGTCTGAGACATTTCGAGCGACTCTCGCTGGCGACTTTCTTACCGTTTGATGCTGCGTAAGTCCACGAGGCGGTACGTCCTTAGCTTCGGAGCGCCGCGGCGACAGCGGCAGCGGCGAAGTGCCCACTGGGATGCCTGAATGGGGCCGGTCAAGGGTGAAACGGGAAGACTGAGCATTGCAGGTATGGAGCAGCTCGCAGTAGCTACACTGGTATGCTTGGAGTATGTCGCTACATGCATCTATGTGCTGGTGTGCAAGAGTGTCGTAAGTAGCGACCGGGGCCGTGCTACCGCGCGCGTGTAAGCGAGAAGACTCTTGCGCGCCCGTGCATGCGCACATCTCCAAATCCAAATCCACATCCTCTGACCTCAGCTGGCCGCTCGCTCGTGCTGTGTATGAAAACGCTGCGCGGCGGCCATCGCTCCGCCTCGGTTCTGCACAGAACGCCCGGTGCGGGGTATAAGTCGTGCTTTGTCTAGCCAGCATGCTGCGTTCTACGTCAACACCCTCGGCTTCCAGTTCTTCCTACCCTTCCCCACCCCTATCACCACAATTCGACCTGTCGGCACGCTCGGGCACATACTCCGACACGCAATCCCGTCCACGTCTGAATTCTCGGGAGCGTCGGCGAATACCACCGCCTCGCCTGCGTGCTAGAGGCCCTCTGGATCCCTCTGAAACGACCTTCTTACGGCTCTTACGACATATACGCTGGTGGCCAAGAGCGAGCATGGCGCGGCTGTGGTGGAAGCTGCAAGGGTATGGCCTGGACAGGCCGTCGGAGTGGGGGCGCTGGACATGGATCGGAATACTGTCGCTCGGGCTCAACGTTCTCTTCGTCGTACGCTACATTCAACATATTCCTCCAGCAGACGTTTTCACGCGCTGGTCACCACTGTGAGTCTACCGCATTATTGTCAAACGAACCTTCCATCCTCGGACGCTGTTGCATGATGCGAGACTCCATGCGCGTTCCTCCCCCCTGGCACGTTGAACTCGTGTGACCTATTGTTCACTGGCTAAATGCGACCTGCTGCCCGCCAGACACAATCTGCCACTTGTCGATCAAGACGCGCTTCTCGTCCCCAGCCCACTGGACGGGCACGGCAACATCGTCGCGACGTCATTCTTCACGGACGAGTTCGCAACCGCCGTCGCCGCGCTCGGCGACTCCCTCAACCGTGCGAACACGACCGCGCGCAAGGTCATGCTCTACATCCCCGAGCAGGTCTCCCCGCGCGGGCTCTGCATCGCGTCCGCGACCGGCTTCCACCCGCATCCCGTCGCGCGCATCGAGCCCCCGGACGCGGGCGCGGGCGTCTACCCGCACTTCATCGACCAGTACACGAAGCTGCGCCTGTGGGAGCTCGACGCGCTCGGCGCGACGGGCGTCGTGTACCTCGACGCGGACACGCTCGTGTTGCGCAACTTTGACGAGCTCTTCGCGCTCCCGTACCGCTTCGCGGCGACGGGGGACGTGTACACGAACCGGAAGGGCTTTGTGCTCGGCTTCAACGCGGGCGTGCTGTTCCTCCGGCCGAGCACGGCGCTGTTCGGGGAGATGCTGCGGCGGATCCCGGAGGCCGACTACTGGAGGCACGACGCGGAGCAGGCGTTCCTCAACACGTTCTTCGCGAAGGACGTCGTGCGGCTGCCGTACGCGTACAACGCGAACCTCGCGATCAAGGCGCGCGCGCCGCGGATGTGGGAGGGCATCAAGAAGGAGATCCGGGCCATCCATTATACGATGGTGAAGCCGTTCACGAAGGACAACAAGAACTACGCGCTGGTGCCGATGCACGAGCTCGAGGCGAACGCGAGGCGGAGGGCGTCGGAGGAGGGCGGGGTGTTCGTCGAGGAGATGGAGATGTGGGCGCAGTCGTGGCACAGGACGTACGCGACGCACGGGGAAAAGCTCGAGAGTTGTAAGGCGCTGTCGAATATCCCTGGCCAACGAGAGTGGTGATAACCACGACGCGCATACATGCGCATGGCGAGAATGGTCTGCAAGCAACTCTCCCCACCACTCCAGTCCGAAGCATTTTGCACGTCGCATACGTTACCGTATACTATCAATCACTGGATAAGATCCCTCGCATAAACACTGTATCGTAGCCGTGGTACGTCATGTAGCATTTGCAGGCTCCTCCCTCGCACGTCGCACATCGAGCACCTTTTGAGTCTGTAACAAGTAATCATAGCCGCGACGGGTGAATCGTTTCTCTGCCAGAGTAGATAGCAGCAGCACAGCAGCAATGCGATTTAATGATAGCGCGACAACACAGCGACCAGGCGATGGGAACGACGACCGGGTGATAACTAAGTGGTACGTACGTATAATAGGAGAGGAGATATTAATGACAACATAGTAGAATGGATCGGATGAAGGATGGGAGAGACTTGAGAGGAAATGAGGGAGAAAGCGAGAACGGGTTGAATAAATCAGAGAAGGCGAGACCCCGAGTCTTGGATGCGAGCTGGGAAGATGGAAGTATTGCGATCTTGTGCCAATTTAGGCGCTCCTAAGTTCAAGAGTAATTAGATAGTCTATGTACCGTAGCCCCGCCACTTTGTGAGAATGAAGACGTCTGGACATGCATACCCGCACAGATATCAGAACAGGCGGAATGTTGAGGTTCCTTTTTGCGCCAGCTATCCCTACAAAAGGACAAATGCATCAGCCATGGAGGAAGGGGAAGTGGACAGGCACCACTCCTGGGACCAAGAAGCACATGCTAAGAAGCACAGGAAGAGGAGTAGGACGTACCGTCTTAGTAGATCTCATTCCTCTATCTGCGCCACAGGCGAGGAAGACAACCTCACGGCCTTCACCTCCTTCAGACTCGCCAGGACGCTCTGCCAGCTGCCCGGGCTCCTGGACGATTGCCACGGGTAGTCCACAGGCCTGAGGTCGACATGAGGGAACATCCGGTCCACGAACTCGGCCACCCGTCTCGCATCGGCCTTGGGCACGTCTCCCGCGAGCCATATCTGCCTGAGCCCATGATTCGACGCCTTCGGACACGCGTCGAGCGAGCGCTTCTTGATGCCCCGCACGTCGACCGAGGCGAGCCACAACGTCTGCAATCGCGGACAGTGCTCGACGAACACCCCAAGCGCGTCGATGGGCAGCTCCGCGGGAACGGGAGAGTACAACAGCCGCAGCTCACGAAGGTTCGGCCAGGCCTTGGCGAACGTGGTGACACCCTCGGCGCACAAGGACAATGCGACCCCAGTGCCGGAGATGATGCATACGTCTTCGAGCAGCGGCAGATTGAGCAGCGGCGCGAGCACGTCGATAGGCCGTGCGAGCGACGCCATGTCTCCCGTCCAGGAGCCGGAGAGACGGACGGAGCGCAACGAGGACCCGAAGCGGGCGCATAGGACGTTCAGACACCCGCGGTAGTCCTCCCAGCGATCTGGGCGAGGGACGAGGGCGCCGAACGATGTGAGCTCGCCGGAAGAGACGTACGAGAGGAAGCGGGTGACGAGCGAGAGGGTGCCGTGGACGCGCAGCGTGCGGAGGGAATGGAAACCAGTCACCTCTCCATCGAACACGGACGAGTCTGTGAGATTGATCCCAAACTCTTGCAGGGGGAACGCGGCGCAGGACCGGATGACGGGCAGGTAGCCGGATCCGAAGCCGTGGTGCGAGAAATTGATTATACTGAGCGATTTCAATCTCGCGAGCTCGCCGAGGCATACGATAGAGGATGAGTGGATGTTCCCGGACAGTGTGAGAAGCTCGAGAGAGGGGGCAGCGGTACTTAGGTCGTGGATGAACCGACTGAAGACATAGTTTGTGGTCGAGGTTGCGACTGCGGGCGGTGCAATTTCGCCCTTGGCACCGAGACCAGCGATGCAGAGTTCTCGAAGGGAAGGTGGTACCACGGAAAGTATCTCAAGGACGTCTGTCGGGGTTCTTTGCGTCCAATGAAGCACCTGAAGACTAGGAAGCAATGGTTCCCCTCTCAATTGACTGTGTACCACCGAGAATACCTCCGGCTCGATCCTGTGTAGGTCCGCGCGGTGTGCAAGCCTGCGAATGCGAGTGGCGTAGTACCGCATGCGGGCGATCGACTCCTCTGGTACACATCCCGCCAAAGCCTGTGACCTCAATTCGCGGTCAACGCTCAGGGAGGCAAAGGAGCTGACGTACGTAGACATTCCCGTTACTCTTATCCTTATTCCGATCCTCCAGCCTCTGGAACCCCGGTGACAGCACGTGTAGGACGACGGTCAGCGAATCGACCTGGCGCCAGAGGACGTTGATGGCGAATTCAAAGAGGACGGGGCTCGCCCTGGCACATCTGGCGAGCGCTATGAGGCCAGGGTCGTCGACCTTGTCGAAGGGAAAGGATGCTGGGGCCAAATGATCAAGTATGCCGCGGAGTATATCGTCGTTCCATAACTGCCGACGGTATTGAGGAAGCATGATCGCGTCGGCTCGCCCGGAACTGCGACAACTACTATCACGCTGGTCGGGCTGGAGCACCGACGACAAGAAGCTGTAGGAACAAGTGGAGATTAGGGAGAATAAAGTGTAGGTAGATGAGTTGGAACGAGGGGCGTAGAGCGCATATATACGCGTCCTCGTAATGCATGCGAGGCGCACAGGAGGCAGACAAGCGTGTAGCCGAGGTTGCAGGAGCCGGTGACAGGTGCCAATGCCGGCTCGTGGCAACAGCGTGTGCATTCAGCTGCACAGTCACATTCGAGCCGTCTTCCGAGCTCATATCGATAGGAGCCTATATGTAGCAGATATACAGGCGTGCCCTTGAACGGGGGCGGCGTCGAGTGAGAGGCAAGACGGAAGGAGCAGCACGGGCAGCGGAGCGAGTCAGTTTGGCGGGCTTTGGTGCTGTGGCATGAGGCCCGAGCAGTTGTCGCTAAGAATGTCTACGTAACCCTCTCCTCGACTTTCACCTCCGCCGCTTCCTTTTTATCCCTGACTTCCTTCTGGCCTCGCTCCGCCCTGGCCCATATCTCGAGGTCGCACTGAGACCACAGCCCGATGGCCACCTCCTTCGCGGCCTACGCGTCTCAGTTCCTGAACAGACAACAGACCGGCGCATCAAGTCTGTCCTCCTCTCAACCCCTTTTCTATTCATTTTCGACCGACAATGGCTCTCATGTAGGCAGTCCTCACGAGCCCGATCTAGATGACCTCGACGATCCTCACTTGCGCGCAAGCAACGTGAGTAGAGCCGCTTCTCGTAGGGCAAGAGATGTCCCGGAGGATGAGGAGGATTCGTATCTTCGCCTGGACGAGGAGGACCCGGGAGTCTCGCGGCAGCAAGCTCAGTCTATACCGCTCCTAGGAGTCTCGGAACCGGACGGAGGTAAAGGATGGCTTGCACATGCATCTCCTCTCCGTTCGCCCTCTCCGTCCCCATCCAATTCCTCAGCCGACTCAGGCGGGCCCCCTCCTGATATCCTTCATCCCCGTTCCCCTTCCCCACATCACACACGACCTCCACAACCGACCTCGTACCAGCCCGCGCCGCCCCCACGGACAGCAGTGACCTTATCGCTAACCGAATCGTTGCTTTCTCGAGACGGGCGCACACGACCAGTAGACGTCTTCTCCCTCCCTGATCCTCGATATGTTCCCCGTAATCGCCGGAAGTTCAACGACTCGATATGGACCAGCGTTTGGTGTGCTGGTGTAGGCGTATGTGTCTTCTCATCTGTCCTCATCCTCTTCTTGACGGAAGCCCCACCGGGCCCTTCGCGAGGATCGTACACTACACTTCTGCACACCGTTCCTCTGCTTACAATCCTCACCTTTGTGAGTGCCGCTGTATGCTACATCCATGTTTTCCTCCTCCGCATATTTGTAAAGCCTGTCATGGTGGCTACCTCTGTGTTCATCCCTGCAACGCTGCTGATCTCCGCGGTCTGGTCCTTTATCGGGAGTTTCATGTGGGATGCAAATACAGTGCCAACGTGGGGAGAGACATGGGGGTAAGTGACCATCTCATGGGCAAAGGAATACTGCTGACTGATCCTTGTCTAGACTGCGATTGTTCTCGCTCGTACCACTCGCCCTCGCTATGTACACTGGAAGACGACTACTGAACCTACCCCGCGATATCCACACTGCTTCGTCCCTCTTAACACTGACTACTCGTCTTCTGATGGAGAACCCTTTCCTATTGGCGTTGTCCCCTGCTGTCCTGCTTGCCATGCTTTTACTTTCCATCCCATTCATCACACTGGCTTTCCGCCTCCTTCTGGTCGGCTATTGGAGTACTTCCAAATCCCCAAGGTCCGTGTGGCATGTAGCTGAATGGGCGCATTGGGCAATCGCGGCGACCATCGGAGTATGGCTGTGGTCTTGGGGAGTCGCGCGTGGACTGCTTCGCGTGACTTGCGCAGGCACCATTGGTGCGTGGTACTTCGCTGAGTGAGTATCACCCTCTGCGTCCCTATCGGTTGGCATTGAACGCTCGTTTGGTCCTTAGCCCCGCTCTTCCTCCCCCTCCGCCGACGTCGACCCATACGATCCATGCCGCGCTCATGCGATCGTCTCAGCCCTCCCTGGGGACCGTTGTCCTTTCCGCACTCATTGTGACGGCGATTCGCGTCATGGGTCTCCTCACTGTAGCCTTGCGTGCCTTGCCAGCATATCTGCCCCCGTATATGCGGATTGTCAGCGTAGGCGCGGGGATGGTTGTTGGCTATCTTGAGGGGGCGACCAACTCGCTGAGCACGTACGCGCTCATCTACACTGGGTTGACGGGAGACGCGTTTTTCCCAAGTGCGAGGCGTGCTCGTGCGCTTGTGGGTGCACTGGAGAACCCCTCTTTGCAGAATTACCGCCGGAGGTTCAAGACCGAACGTGAGTGTTGTACTCGGCGTTGAATACTCTGGAGACAACCTTCCTGACTCCTTTCGCTCAGCTCCCCTCACTCTGCTTACCGTTGCGCCTTTGACGCTAACGTTCCCCTTTGCTCTGATTACCTACCTCTTCGTCGCGCATACGCTCGGTGCGCCGAATTCGGCACTATCGGCTGCGCTGCTTGCTGGGGGAGTTACCGCGCTTGTTGGAATGTTCTGTATAGGGCTCGTCAAGGATACGTCAGTGCTTGTGTCCCCTTGCCTTACAATCATTGGGCTGACTTCGTTCATAGTGCTGATACGCTGTACATCTGCTACTGCATTGACAAGGATGCTGGGGAGCGTCGTCGGAAAGAGGTGTTCGCTGCTGTCAGTACTGTGCATCTCATCTCTAGTGTTGGCGGTTTCGCTGACTTCTATGCAGTTCGAGTATGAGAACCGCAGCCAGGTATCTCAACCGGCGCAGCAGCGCCGTCCAGCCCATGCGGCACCTATTCTTCCCACTCACCAGGACCGCCGTCAGCCGCTTCCTTCCTCTCCGCCTCTTGTGCAACAACCCCTCTTCTCGCACGCACCCCCCCTGCACCGTGATTCTACGCCAGATCCTTTCGAGGTCGACAACTCGTCATCGGATCACGAGGAGAACCCTGCAGGCTATCTTTTGCAACACGATCCGTACTCCCCAAGGTCGTCACAAGCAGGAGGACGCTCCGCTCTCGGCGGTGGGTCTCGGTCGCGGCTTCCGTTGAGCCAGCGGAGGCCTTCGGAAGGTACCCTCATCGGAGGCGTCCCGGTCTCAGCGCTCGAGCCTCCGCCAGAGAGCGACGAAGAGGATGCGGAGGACAGCCAGTTGTTCCCGGGAAGCGACTTGTTCTGAAAGAGAACTCGTTCGCCACTGCTAGGGGATCTATGCACAGGTAAAGGTCATATGCTCTTGTACATCGTTGTCTCTTGCGTGGTGACTTGGTGAAATCTGCACTTTATCGCACTATATAATGATGGTATCTCACCCGAGGACCGTGCAGCCATGCTACTCAAGTCTCCTCACATGACGTCGGACTGCTTTTGTTGTCACGGCACTGTACTGTCGTCTACTCAACCTACACCCATCCTCTACCTGCCATCCTCGTCTCTTGTCTGGGGCACTCACACTCTGTCATGCCCGTGTTTGATCACGTATCTAGTTCTACCATGTCGTAGCATAGGTCTCATTGGAGTGTACATATATACAGTTAGATCGAGGAGTTTCGGTGTGCTAGTGTGACGGATCCGCTGAGGATGATGAGAGGTATGGGAGATGAGCGGAAGATGAGCTGAACTCAGAGCTTCGCGGGAAATGTTTGGGGAGAAACAGGAGGTATACGGATGACGATCTTGCCAACATGAGACCCCTCTTGGAGAAGCTTGAAGCCCTCGTCGGCCGATTCGAGCCCGTCTAGGACATGGGAGACGACGGGCACGATGCGGTGCTCAGCAAGGAAGTTCGTAGCGTCGATGAGGTCTTTGTGCGAGCCCATGGTAGATCCGAGGATCTTCTGGTTCTTCATCACTTCGCGCATCGTGATCGTCACCTTGGGGTTTGCGTGCCTACGCCACGACATTAGTCATACAGGCTCACAAGAGAGAGAAGTACAGGTGACACAAAGTAACATTGAGAGGATTATACAATCTAAGGTAGAGCAGGACTTACATTCCGAAGACGACGACGCGCCCGCCTTGCTTCAGGATCGGGGAGGTCTTGCCCAAGATGTCTCCTCCCCCGGCGTCGATGACTGCGCTGAGCAGACCTTTTCCATTCTCCTTAAGCAGCTTGCCGAGTTGGGTTGGCCAATCGTCTGCAAGGGATGAAAGGTCATCTATGGAGTCCAACTGCATCCAAGCGCTGCGAGACGTACTGTTCTTATAGCTCACGCCGCCCTTCGCTCCGAGCTCGATAGCTTTACGGATCTTCTCTTCGCTGCCGCTCGTAACGTAGACGTTCGCGCCCGCCGCAATGGCAAGCTGGAGCGCAAGGATGGCGACGCCTCCTCCGATGCCGGTTATAAGAACGTTGTCGCCTTTCTTCACGGCACCGTTGACTATGGTTGCCCTTTGACAACGTTCAATACCACCACACGCCGTGTTGCAGAAGAGGGGGTGGTTAGTCTCACCTCCAAGCAGTAACACCACCGAGAGGCCATGCAGCGGCATGCACGTCGTCCAGGTGGTCCGGAGTCGGAATGACTTGGTCGCGGTCGACGACGATGTATTGCGCGAACGTGCCGAAGTCAATCGCCTTCGATGCGCCGACTATGATGAAGCTGAGAGGGCGTGTTTGTAGATGCGAGAGGACACGACGGGTCACGAGAGACTCACTCAGACTCGGGGGCATCTGGGTCTTTCTCCCAGCCTCGCATTGGGAGGAGGAAGACGCGCTTCTGCAGCAGGGAATCGTTCTTATCGGCGGACGCGACGACAACGCCTGCTCACGATTCTTACCGCGCATTATGGGCGAGATGCACGCAGAAACGTACCTGCGGCGTCGGCGCCGAGAACCCTTCCAAAGCCAATGCCAGGGTAGAGGTTCTTACGGATCCATAGCTGCGAGCATGACAGCTTCAACGTGACGAAACGCTCTGAGTTGGCATTGATTACTCACGTCTCGGTGGTTGAACGCGGCAGCATGCACCCGCACAAGAATCTGACCTGGCTTGAGCTGGGGAAGGGGCCGTTCCTCGACCACCGCGTCATGGAGGACAGACTTGCCGTTCGCCGCCGCTTTGCGAAGGACTAGAGCCTTAGTCGTCTTGGGAATTTGGATGATAGCAGCCATCGCCGCAAGCTCTGCGCAGGGACTGTGGGGAACACCAAATCGTCATTCTGGGGAAGGCTCAGGTAATAAGCAGAGTTGTGGTGAGCGTTTCCGGTAACTGTCTGCTCCCGGCCAGTCCGACTCCGACTTCTCCGGGAATGCCTGCAATGACTTTAGCGACGGGTCCCATTGCAGGAATGTCAACCAGCCCAAAACCCACGATTGTGGTGCTCGCCAAGCTCTGCTCCCCACGCACTGGGCTCCCAACAATATGCAATTGTGCTGAGGGTAAGGACAGGATCTCATAGAAAAGTTTGAACACCAGGGAGGGTCTTACTATGCCCTCTTTCCCTTCACATTATCATTTTCGATCCACCTAAGCTCATCCACCCTCAGGAATCTGTGAATATCCCCGACATTGTGAGGTTCGGAGTCGCTTTCAGTGCTCTGTATCTCATTCATCATTGCAGTTCAGCTCCGTTCTGCCTAGCGGAGGCTAGGATGTCAAGACAGCTCCGCACGCGGGCTTCGCGCCCAAACTACGCCGTTCTATCAGGTTATATAGAGCCTGACGAGGATGGAGCTGGTCCTTCACAAGCAAGAGAGTATCTGGAAGAGGTTGACAGCGGGAGCGAGTTTGAACCCGATGCAGTCCCGGAGCAACAAGGCGCGGACGACGCGGAGGACATGGCATTGGACGACGCTGAGCCTGAAGACGAACCCGAAGCAAGTACCGCTACAGCCAAGCTTCGACGACGCCAAACTGCCTCTACTCGAGAGTCTTCCTTAGCTGGTCCGGAGTCGGCGAGTGTTGGTCCCAGACGGAAAAGTGCTCCCCCAAAACCAACGGCGAAACGGTCGGTGGTGTTGGCTCCAGGACTATCATACTTGTCCAATAGGCAGCAGCATGCACTGCCAAGTCAGAACCACCGGCACAGATCTTTTGGGATACACCAAAAAGGCGGCAAAACAGAACGCCTCATAGAGCCCCCAAGACTATTCGAGCCAGCGTCGACCGCTCTGACGAATGCCTGGGGTGTGAACAGCACGATTACAGAACGGCTGAACAAGTCCTTGGGCTACAACATTGGCCCGGGTCCATTGTGGGACATGGTGGAGGATAGAGGGTGGTTCAAGGAGGCGTATGACTCTCCTAACACAACTGAGAAAGAGCGACGGCCTAGGGTCCATGGAGGCCTCCGCTTGGGAGCGTACAGACTCCTCAGTCCTTTGTAGGTCAAGTAAGTTACGCCGCTTGAAAGCAAGCTCATATCCTTCAGCGAGGCCGTCCCATATCTGCCCAGTGATGTGCAAACCACACATGAGGGGGCATTGAAGCCTCCACCTCCCGTTGCGTGCTCGTTTGGGCCATTCGGGAAGCAGACTCGCCTCGAAGTAAATCGGTATGACAGTATCAGAATTGGTGCCTAACTTCTTCCTGGTTTGAGAAGATGCTGGACTGACTGGCCCCTTCTCCCAGCCCAATTTTTTCCCGGAAGCAAAGCCCACGTTTTCAATGCTGGGGCACCTGTATGGGCCATTGACTGGTGTCCTATCCACCCAGACGACCGATCTTGTGAGTGCTACTCTCCACGAAACCTCTCGACAGCTAGCATTAAGGATCTATCAGACTATCAACACAGGCAATACTTGGCGGTGGCCCCTTTTCCCTCTCGCAGCTACTCACCAATGATCGGTTCTCGCGTACAACGACCGTCTTCGGCGTGTATACAGCTCTGGAGCCTGTGCCCGTCTCTAGCAGCTGAGAACGCAATGGATGTTGATGGAGGCGTGTCCGATGCGGGAGAGATGCGATGCGACTTAGTGCTATGCCTTGATAGCGGCCCTGCCTATGACTTGAAGTGGTGTCCGTTACCCGCCAACGACTCGACAATGGTATGTTGTATTCAGCATCTCCATGCACCACTGACAACATCAATAACATCCGTTTGACATAGGAGGCGAACGACGCTACACCTAGGAAGCTTGGCATCCTCGGAGGCACCTTCGGAGACGGCTCGCTTACATTCTATGTTGTACCTGACCCTAGAACTATCAAGGTTCCCGCGGATTACCCAAAGAACACGCCGTTATACGGTTTGTCCGATCTCATTCCCTCAGAAGCCATATATTGACAAGTACGTAGTGAAGCCCACTAAACCCCTCCTCCGCATTGAGTTAGAGGAGACATGCTGCTGGTCATTCGACTGGGCAAATAGCGAAGTTGTCGCCATCGGGTGCACCAATGGTCGGTCTCATGGCTGCTGCTTAAGTTCTCAACATGACCCTTGTTCCCAGGGAACATCGCCATCTACAATATCGCTACCGCGCTCTATCAACAGTCGTCTATGCCTCTCTTCCCTACCCATTACTTCACCGTCCACCAATCTGCCATCCGAAGCATCGCGTGGATCCGTGCGCCAGTCTGCGACGCCGACGGCGAAGAGACATCCGACGACCCAACCGTGCTCGTGAGCGGTGGGTATGACGGTGTCGAGACCATCACAGACATCCGGGAGTTGCGTGGCAACGTCATGAACCGCACCAGAGGTGAACCCTCCTCCAGCATGACACTGTTCCTTCAATTGACATGATATTATTCTATGCAGACGTCGTGACGACTATTTGCTATTCGGCGTATACGGGCAGCGCGATCACGATAGATCACGAGAACATCATCAAAGCGTACTCCGTAGCCCCGATCATGCTAGGTCGCGGGCATACCTTATTGGAACCCAATGGGCCTATATGGGTAATACTTCATTAATTCGACGGAACACAGTGTGTAGCTGCTCACGAAGGTATCAGAGTTTGGCCGCGTCTGACTATCATCCACAAATTGCCATTGGGGTCACAGACGGGTCGTGCTTAACCACCAATGCGTTGCGGTCGACCAGAAGAGGTGGGCTGATAGTGAGTGCACACACATGTTTTGCCATTGAGATGGTGATATATGATCTATATTCCCAAGCCTTTCATGGAGCACAAAATCTACCACCTGGACTACAGCCGTGCTGTTGGTGAATACAGGATGCTAGAGCACTTTCTCCCAAAGGTCTGCCCCACCGCTGTCCTCAGACTGTTACCTCGGCGCTATGCTGATCAATGTTTCCATCCAATGAAGGAGACTCACAATCGCCCAGCGGCGACGCGCCAAAACAAGACGATACCTGTGGGTACAGGCGCGTGGCCACCAGAGGTTGGCATCCACCGTGTCGTGTGGAACGACAGGAATGGGCTGGCAGGAACGCCGCTGCTCGCTTCCGCGACTGGCTCTGGATTGTGCAGGGTTGATTGGCTTCTAGGGAAATGGGGAAGAGACCCGTTGCCGTACAATAGCGTGGAAGGAATGAGGGCGGAGACAGGGGGAGAGTTCGACGAAGATGACGAATCTGATTGACAGTAGCGATAAGAGCGGTATATTGTCCGTGAGGTTTCTATCGTACGACTGAGCCGTTGCAGCACTCCAAGGTTGTAGTGAGTGGTGAGACTCGGCGGAAGGTTTGCACCTGATGATCGACGTACGGGAATTGTCGCTAGCTGAGCGCTGAGCGCCAAATACAAAATTCTGACTCGGCCTCTGTGAGCCACTGAGCGCATATGATCATACCCACACATAAGTCTCCGCGAGTCCTTACGATTCGCTGGCACTGGGTCCTCACCCGCTCTCCACTTGACGTGGATCGACAGTGGTCTCCTATCGAGTTGTAACTCAACAGCGCGATGGCCATCGGGGTAAGTCTCACGGGTTTGATGTTTCTCCGCTTGATAACCAATGCCCAGGCTCGCTACTTACTATGCAATACAATGCTGACCTATATGTCGTCAGAACCTGGTACGACCAGATGTCACTCCCGACTCCCCTATTGAGGAGCAGCCCGCAATTGGGCTCATTGGCATGGGGGCTATGGGCAACATGTATGCACGATGCTTCTCTGAAGCTGGATGGAAAAAGTGGGGGCTTCACGAATCTGGCGACGTAGCAATCTCCTGTTGACACTTGCCTTTCAGGATCTACATATGCGATCTACCTTCAAAATATGACGACCTGAAGAAGAAGTACGAGGGTCGGTGGCCAAATGCTCTGCTGCCTGACTACGCCAATCATACAGGATCGCAGGTTTCCCCGGAATACATGTCTTGAAGGATGGACACCTGGTGTCTCGGATATCGGATTACATCATTTATTCTGTGGAGGCAGAGTACATTGATCGAGTCGTCGCCGAATATGGACCGTGTAATTGTTCAAAATATGGCCATCTACCCGACCGCGCTGACGAGATGTACAGCTACCAAGATGGGTGCAATAGTAGCTGGTCAGACATCAGTAAAGGCCCCAGAGAAAGCGGCGTTTGAAACGTACCTGCCAGAAGACGTCAAAATCCTCTCCTGCCACTCCTTACACGGCCCTACCGTATCGCCCGTGGGGCAGCCCCTTGTATGTACACCTTCACATCCAAAATGTTCAGTTTAACCGGCTGATAGATTAACCAGGTACTCATTCAACACCGCGCAACGGATGACACCCTCAAGCTGGTCGAGCATATCCTTGCTCCCTTACGCTCTCGCTATGTCTACCTCTCCTACGAAGATCACGACACCGTAACTGCGAATACCCAAGCAGTCACCCACGCAGCCTTCCTTACGTCAGTAGAACTCTCTGCACGGCCTCAGCTCGACACTGACCCCACCTCTTTGTTTCCCAGCATGGGCACCGCCTGGCACTGCTCGGCCTCCTACCCCTGGGAGCATGGGATGTATGTCGGCGGGATCGAGACCGTCAAAGTGAACATCATGCTCCGCATCTACTCCAACAAGTGGCACGTCTACGCCGGCCTCGCCATCCTCAACCCCTCCGCGCGCGTCCAGATCGACCAGTTCGCGCGCTCGACAACCGAGATCTTCAAGCTCATGCTTGCGTGCGACGCCGCCGGCCTCCGCGCGCGCATCTACGACGCCCGCGAGAAGGTCTTCGGAGAGTACCTCCAAGACCGCCAGAACGCTGCGGACGGGAACGGACATGGCGCAGTGCGCCCGCCCATCCTCCTCTCGGAGGATATCCTTGACCGGTTCAGTCTAGGGAAGAAGCCCGCGGAGAACGCGAGCCCGATTACGACGTCGCGCGGGAACCCGCCGCCGAACTCGCACCTTTCGCTTCTCGCAATGGTGGACTGCTGGGCACACCTCGGTATCAAGCCCTTCGTGCACCTCGACCTCGCGGCGACGCCGATCTTCCGGCTATGGATTGGAGTCGCGGAGTACCTATTCCGCTCGGAGAGACGTCTAGACGCCGCTATCCACGCAGCGCTGTACGAGACGACGCATCGGTCGGATGACCTTGAGTTCGTCGTCGCTGCGCGGGGTTGGAGCCAGTGCATCTCCTTTGGAAACTTCGAGCTGTACAAGCAGAGGTTCATGCAAACTTCGGCATTCTTCGAGTCACGATTTGAGGAGGCGACGAAGGTTGGTTCTGCAATGATTCAAGCCCTCATGGACACAGAAGACAAGGCCAAAACGAAGTAGTGGGCTTGTTGAAGGTACACTAGGCAATGTAAGATGTATGGATGGGCGATCTGATGGAAGGTTAGTCGTGAAGCATTATATAGTCGTGTCCACCATGGCCGTCATATACAGTACACAAACGTGATGGAGCTCAGAGCAAAACCAACAACCAACGGCCCCCTAGAGGCCTTTTCCATATTGCGTGATACTAGGTACATGACGTCCCCAAAGGACTTTTCTTTGATTCCAACTCCAATAAACGACCGAGGCATGCGGGGAAGACATCCCAGCCTGGCAAAACCAACACGACCCATACGACGACCGCGACATATGGTAAGATGTAAGTAAATGCTCGGTTAGCAAAGGCAGTAGTCCCCAAGGAGACTATGGGCGTGATACGCGTGAAGAAGTGAAGTAGAGTAAATGTACGGGAATGGAGTAGCATGCAGAGCGTGGTGATTACGCTTTACCGCTTGCCGTGATTACCCTGCGCGTACGCTTCCCGATGCTTCGGATGAACAACCTGCTCGTGAAGAGCCTTGCCAGCGGGGACCTTACGGAAGCTTTGAGGATGGACGCGCATACACTGGCTGGATATGGCGACTCACCATGGGGTACACGTGCTCAGTCCGGTCGATGATACACTCCATCAGCACGGGCTTCGAGCCATCGTACTCCAGGAACTCCTTCATCTTCGCAGGAAGCTCCTCCGCCGAGTGACAGCGGATAGCGTGGACGTTCATCGCGCGAGCGAGAGCGACGAAGTCAGGGTTGACCATACGCGTGTGCGCGTAACGGCCGTCATAGAAGAGGTCTGTCGGAGCACATATAAGCACCAATTTACCAGCAAAAGGACGGATGGAAGAAAGACACACCTTGCCACTGCTGGACCATGCCCTGGAACTCGTTGTTCAACACAAGCACCTTCACGCCAATGTCGAACTGCGACGCCGTCTGGAGCTCCATCGCCGTCATCGAGAACGACGCGTCGCCGTCGATGTCCACAACCATCTTCTTCGGCGCGCCGACCTTCGCACCAATGGCCGCGGGTAACCCGAAGCCCATGGTGCCAAGACCGCCGGAAGTGACCATTGAGAGCGGCGTGCGCCAACGGAAGTGCTGGGCGGCCCACATCTGGTGCTGGCCCACGCCCGTCGAGATGATCACGTCCTCCTTCATATGCGCCGTCTGTCTGTCGAGCTCCTCAATCACCTCCTGCGGTTTCATCGGGGCCCCAGGGGTGCTCTTGTTGTACGTGAAGGGATACTTGGCCTTCCACTCGCGGATGTCGTCGAACCACTCCTTGCGGGGCTGGCTCTCGATGAGCGGCGCAAGGACGGCCATGCCCGCGATGACATCGCCGACGATGGGGATGTTCGCTTCGATGATCTTGTTGACGTTCTTGGGCTGGATCTCGAAGTGGATGATGCCTCCGCGACCCTGGAGGGCAGCAGCCTTTGCAGCGGGGCCGAAAGTATCGACCTTACCGGTCACCCGGTCATCGAACCTCGCACCGAGGGCAATGATGACGTCCGCCTCCTGCATGGCGAGGTTGGCGTAGGCCGAACCGTGCATGCCGAGCATGTGCAGGGACTTTTCGTCGAGCTCGTCGAACGCACCAAGACCCTGGAGAGTGGTCGTGACAGGGATATTTCCCACATCCGCGATCTGCTTCAGGAGCTTGGGACCCAGAGGTGACGAAAGTACACCGTTGCCGGCGTAGATCACGGGACGCCTGGCCTGATTGATGAGCTTCGCTGCCTGCTCGATGGACGCTCGGTCGATTGACTGGTCGGTGGGGAGCAGGGGATTCGAGGGAAGACCGAGCGGACGACCGGGGGTGGTAGCCTTGAAGGGCAGAGGGGTTTTTAGGATACCTGCAGTGATATCCTTGGGAAGGTCGACAAGGACAGGTCCTGGACGTCCTGATGTCGCGATCTTGAACGCTTCGTTGATGCGGCGAGGGAGCTCGGAGATGTCCTTGACCATGACGTTCCATTTTGTGCATGCTCTTGAGATACCCACAACGTCGGCCTCCTGGAACGAGTCGGAGCCGATGAGGGACGTGGCCACCTGGCCGGAGAAAACAATGAGAGGGACACCGTCGCTGAGGGCATCCTGCATAGGGGTGATGACATTGGTCGTTCCCGGACCGGAAGTGACTATAATGACGCCGGGCTTGCCCGTCACGCGAGCGTAGCCCTCTGCCATATGGCCAGCGCCCTGCTCATGTCTTGGGAGAACGAACTCAAACTGCGGGGAATTGTAGATCGCGTCGAAGACGGGAAGGATGGCGCCGCCGGGGTATCCAAAGATGTGCTTCACGCCATGCCTGACCATCATCTCATGGAAGATCTGGCCTCCGGACATGCCAATGAAGGAATGGTCGAGGGGGCCTTCTACATGGGGAGGAAGAGAGGGTGGGGAGTAAGGAACGTTGTTTCTCGTGGGCAGCTGCTGGAACCCTGGGGCAGGTGAAGGCCGGCTGTTATAGTTGTGTCGCGTCAAGACCATGGGATTCGAGTAAAAGGCAGGAGAACGTACACCGAGTTCGAAGCGGTGGCCTCACGAGCACTGGACCTGCTGATGTTCCTAGCATGCTCCCGTACTCTTGACTTGGCCTCGAGCATGGATGCGCTCGTGCTTGCGACCGTGGACCGGGAGCGGATAATTTGCGTCGGCGAAGACGCTTTTGAAGCGGACGGTACGCGCATTCTGGTCGCTGAGAGAGACATGCTGGCGGCGACGGCGGCAAAAGCGACGACGGCGAAAGTGGGGGAGCAGACCGAAGAAAACCGGAGGGAACAAGGACTGTCAATATCCCCAGTCCCGAGTCATTCTTGCTCCAGACCTAGTCACCTGATTCTCGTTAAATTATAAACACTGGTTCAGGGTTAGGTCTAGGGTTCTAGATCTGTCTCGCGCTCTCGCCGCCTCGTCGGACTCCATCAGTTAACCTGTTCACTGACAGCATTCCGAACTTGGGAACGAGTTACGCAGCACACGTACAAGAGGTTCCAACTATCTATCTTTGCGTTGGCCTTGGTCAAGTGCACGGTCGCTCATCAAGCAATTCTAGATGCCACCACGTTGGTGGCGATTGCCGATGGCTAATAATACAATATTGGACACGTATAGCTTACCCACAGCTTTACAGTTGAAATTTAGCCCCGGAACATCCGAAGTTCGACCATGAAGTGGAGGAAGACCGCCTTAATGCATTCAAGGTGGACAGCTCGGCGGCGTCGAGCCCCCGGGATACCGTGACCCCTCCACATCTTCAAGGGAGATCACGCGCCCATGGCGTGCTCGGGAACAACGCAACCAAGGCGAACCCTCTTGGTGTCCATAAGAGGAAATGTTAGCGCTGAGGCCGGGCCTTCCGCCGTCATTAGCCTGGGCGGGAGAACTCAGATGCGTCGGATCCCTCACGATCATGGGCGGTCGGAATCACGTCTATAAGAGCCTGGCACTTGTGTCCATTTGTACATTCGCTTCCACGTGGTTTCCATAATGACCATGCCAATGCTCGACGGACAGAAACGCCCAAGCTAGGCTTGGTGAAGATTCGACAGCGTAGGCATAAGCACCAAGCTCGCATCACGCATTTCTTCCGCAATCATGAGACGAAGCTCAACAGCATCAGCACACACGATGGGAAAATACGAGGTACGAAGCAACCGACTGCATGTCAGCTTTGCACCCGAGCAGGCTTGGCGTGCTCCAGCAAGTCGACAAGCCCGCGCCCGAGATGTAGGCACCCGGATCCTGATATTGAACTGGAAAGGAATGGTTGGACTACGTGCCAGAATGATCAGGGGCGAAGAGCAGCCTTGGCATACACGTAAGGCAATGATCAGCAGCCGGGCAATGGAGCACTAGCATTTGGACGGTCGGCGTGATCATGCAAGCCACGGTCTACTCTATAAGACTGAGGTCGTGGAGGGCTGACCCTAGCGATGGGATATGATTGCTAACTGATACAGCTACATGGGGGACTACTGCATCCAGACCTCGCCAAGACAAAGCTCCTACGGCGCGTGTGTGGGGCGGGAACAATCATCGTTGCCTCGAGGCTAGATAGACTGGTACTGAGCTTCGGCGGATACACCGCCAGTTGTGTGGGCGCGCATTCCAAGCCCGCCGAGAAACACTGCAGCAGGGCCCCGGCGCGAGAAGATGCAGTCCTGCCTGCGCGTACGTCTGTACTCCGCGGGGACTGTGCATGCTTCGGCGAGTACGGGCATCGCGGAGGATGTGCAGGACGTAAGGTGGGCATTAGTGAGGTGTCCAGGCAAGCCGGAACTAGAGAGCTGCGGTCAGTATCTCGCTCGCTATCGAATAGAGTTATTGTAGGGAGCTATAGCGGTACTCACATACGCCCCGCAGTCGTCCTTGGCGTGAAGAGGGAGATCGGAAAAGGTACTATTCATAACACCACTTGGGCGGGCCCCTTTTGTCCTTTTCAGAGAGATGCGCAGGGGACGGCTAGAATGATCTTGTGAGCCACAGTTATCTGCAAAGACATAGTGCTCGGCTCACCGGAGACGGTGATCTGGTGTTCGAAGCTCGCGACGCATAAGGCCCCCGCCAGACGTGGTCGTATGACCGTTCGGGCGCCATGACGAGTTGGGATGACGCCCGAACATAATTCCTTCGTCCCCGCCTGCTCCTCTTGCGGCGCTGCCGCAACTTGACGAAAAGCACAGCACCCACAAGGGCAAGGACAACCACCACTTCGTCGGAGGTCAAGTCAAGGTTGAGCCGGAAGAAACGTCTGAACTTACCCAGAGATACTGTGACTGCAACTACCCAGGAGTCGTTCAAATGCCCGACAGATTCTTCCTGCACCGAAGACGACGGTTCTGCACTGACAGAGTTCCTGCCGGGGTTACCACCTAAATGCAGGGGTCTGGTATACGAGTACTCACTCCGGGCTCGTAGACTCGTTGGAGTCCGCGCGTGTTCCAAGCGGAATCGCAGTCGTATGCAACGAGAGTGCAAGGATTGTACCGAGATAGCGCAACACAGTAGCTCTGCTCATCTTCCAAGCTAGACTTCGAGATAGAGGCGACTTGTAGCGTTCACGGAAGCCGAGCAACAGCGGGGGTTGTGGGGAAGAACACAAGACGTTGGGGGGTAGCGGCAGACGTGATCGGCGCGGGCCTATGGGCGGGCATTTTATGGAAAGGGCAAGCATCCATAAGACCCTTGGCAGTGGAAGTTTGCAAGGCCTAAGAGAAGGGACCGGACGGCTTAGAAGATCCAGGTTCGCGAATCGCCAAGTGCTTCAGCGGTGGAAGCACTTGGCCTTGGCAAGCCAAGAGATCTTCGCAAGAGGCCAAGTTCGGGCCGTGCGCGATCGGACCGCACAATCTACATAAGTGTACCGTACGGCACAGAATGACCTCTACACCAAAGACCGCGGGTTGTATGTGGCTGTCGTTGTTGAATGTCGAGAGCGGCGTGTCAGACCTCCCAGAACACCGATGTCGCAGCAATCGATGTGCCAAGATACATTGGTAGAGTCCGACCCGAGGAGGGAGGTTGCTGAAATTTCTGGTCGCTGTGTAGGAGCTTTTGATTGAAAAAAAAGACCCATATTTACCCTTCTGAAGGATCGCCAAGCCCGCTGACGAGGGAGGTGCCCAGAGAGCTAAAGCCTCCCTAACGTTCCTCCCCCGTTAGAACTCGGGATGAGGGGCGAACGGAGAAGATTGTGGTGGAGGCGCACGGGTGATTGCAGCAATTCACTTTGAATTGCTTAAAAAGTGGACACACTGGGAATTGAACCCAGCACCCCCCGCAATTCCATCTTCTAGATGCTAAGCGGATGTGATAACCAACTACACCATGTGCCCATGCTTCCTAAAAAGTTTACAATAAATATCATAAATTGTGAGGAGTGCGGAAGCAGCGGCGATCTGAGTTCACAAGGGCCAGCACTTTCATCGTTCGCCCACGACACAAGTTAGGGACTTCAAAGTCAGTGGGAATCATGTTTGCGGCAACACTGCGAAGCAGTAGCAAGGCAATGGGTTTTACCCGGAATACTTTCCCCCAGCGAGCCTTCAGTTCCACGTCTACAAGAATGAGTGTTGTGGCGTCCTTCGTTCAACAAGGCAAGAAGGTAACAATTAGTTTGAGCAGACGCCTCCCCTACTTGGTCACTGACTCGCTGAGTGTACTAGATTGTCGCCATTGGCCGGAACTACAGCGAGCATGCCAAGGAGCTGAACAACGCCGTTCCGAAAGAGCCTATCATCTTTCTGAAGCCTACCACGAGCTACGTTGCTTCTGGAGGCAATGTAGAAATCCCTAGGGGCATCCTAGCACACTATGAAGGTCAGTACAAACTCCTCCAGCACCCGCTGCCACTTCAATATCGATCTCAAAGTTATGCAGTGGAACTTGGCGTCGTCATAGGCAAGCGAGGACGTGACATACCTCTATCAGACGCAGAGAGCTATGTCGCAGGCTATGGTATATGTCTTCGTTTCGTTCATCTGGGCATGTGCTGATTTCCGCTCTATCAGCGCTGGCCGTAGATATGACAGCAAGGAACCTTCAAGAGGAGTTGAAAGCCAAGAGGCTCCCTTGGACCGTTGCAAAGGGCTTCGACACTTTTACGCCGATCAGGTAAAATCAGCGCACTAGCGGTTTCATAGTATGTTGTCACGGCTCATCAATGTTCCTGAAGTTCGTACATTTCCAAGGACTCCGTGGCTGACGCGGCGAACTTGAGTCTCACTCTCAGGGTATGCAAGGGAAGATAAGGAGTCGAGAACCTGCCCATCCATCTGACGGTCGCGTACAGGTCAACGGGGCAGTCAAGCAGGACGGAAACACCAAAGATATGATATTCTCCATTCCTAAACTGATCGAGCACATCTCGACAATCATGACATTGGAGGCGAGTATGGACCCCATTATGTTACCATCGCTGCTGATGTCTGCATCACAGGAGGGAGACCTCATCCTGACGGGGACTCCTTCGGGAGTTGGTCCAGTCGTCCCAGGAGACAAGGTCGAGTGCACACTGAAGGACAGCACAGGCAAACAACTCGCCACTCTGGACTTTGCTGCTGTACAGCGCGAGGGTGGGTATGAGTACTGAGTACAAGCCTGGGTCTGCGTGATAAACGTATAATAAGGGTTCCATGGATGTATCTAATTATCAAGCCATCGTGGGCTAGTACCACTGATGATGAGCCGGGTCACGTGTGTGCACAGACAGATAAACAGATGGCCTGACAGCACTCTACTACGTACACGCTATGTACACAATATCACCATCTCGGGGTAAGCATACACTACCGAAGCGTACGTCATCTAGTTGTTGTCGCGGGCAGTCCGTTCGTCTTGCTCCCTGTTACCTTCAGCCGATCGGCGTTCCAGCCCTCCTGCTTCGTCAAAGGAGCCCGTACTGGATGCGCTCGCAAAGCTCCAGCTATCCGCCCCGGTGGGTGTGAGCGAGCCCCCATCCCCGAAGGAATCTGAGCCGGCCGTCTGGAAATCGCCGAAATCTCCGAAAGACTCAAATGAACTGTCGTTCATGAATCCGTCAGCTGCAGTTGTCGTTTCGAACGTGAACGGATCGCTGCCGTTGGCCGCGGCCGAGTCGGAGAAAGGTCCGAAAGCATCCTAGAAGGTAATAGTCGTTACAAAGAGCAGTGTGGACATGTCGCTTGACTCACGTCCTCGAAGGGATCTTGGAAAGAATTGTGCGACGACGATGGAGGCGCAAACGTATCCTTGACGAATGCGAGTCAATGACGAGACACAAGGAGTCAGATGAGACATACGTCAAATCCGGATGAGCTCAGAGGTCTCCGTCCGTTGTCATGCTGACGAGCGGTCACAGGAGGTGGTCGCAGCTCGAACGTCGACTGAGCAAGCCAGCCGCCGTCCTCTTCGTCATCAGATGCTTCGTCTGAGGAACTAAGGTGATCGGAGGATTGCATCTCCTGGACCAGATAATTCGCAAACTGCGGCAATTCGAGTCAACGCCTGCTCGTCGACAGTCACGGACATCATGAGACCTACGCGGGGCGGAGCAGAATTATACTCGTCGTCGTCATCGTCTATCGGCATATTGCCGAAGTCCGCGCTACCTTCCCTTCGACTTGATGTTCTCCGGAATTCGCCCTTCACTTCCGGTCCTCCTTGTTTCTCATCCCCCGCTGGACGCCCAGCTGCCGCTGCAACTGCGTCTGCCTCGTCGACCTTCCATTGCGCCGCACCATTCCGCATAGCTGGAGCAACGACTGGCTTGCCTCCGCCAAGAAGACTGGTATCCTTCTTCTTGGTTTCTTTGTAGCGACCAGTGACGTACTCATCCCACTCAGGTTGAGGCGCGTACTGAGCGATCTGCAGGCGGAGGTCGGGAGGAAGGTGTTCCAGGGCACCGATAACGTCCTCGGAAATGAGCGTTAAGTGGCCCATGTAGCCTAACCTGACGCCCTTAGGTTTCTCGCTGTGCAACACAAACTCAGCGAGAACCGAATCACAGTAAGCGCAAGACACGGACCTCTCCGCATCGTTGCGTTTTGAACCCTCAATGATGCGGTGCATGAGCCTTGCGTCACGAAACAAGGCGACTGTCAATTCCCGGTTGTACCCGCCGTCGACCCTCCCAGTCAAAATCTGGTGTATGAGATCGTAAACGACGCTGTGCAAGAAGTTATTCCAGGGAAACTCGAAGAACAGGTCCTATTTGAGGGTCATCAGATGACGGGTACATCACTTATCATGCAGGACGTACCAGCAATGTCGACGCCACATTGGCTTCCAGGAAACGCTGCTTGAGCCTCTCTCCGAGCACTGGACGACCAATGGGCAATTCTGACTTAGATCTCCGAATGCTCCTACGCGAACTAGCTGAACGCGGTCTAGATTGAGGACCCTCTGTATCCGACTGCCAGGAGTTCTGACGTTGCGGGAAAGAAGAAATGTCGCCAGGTGATGTCGACACAGCGGGTATGGGCGCCGACAACCTAATGGGTGAACCGACTCGATTTGAGGGCTGTTCGGAGGGAGACCCCTGAAGACTGGAAGTCGGTTCGTGTTGGGAATCGTACATGGCAATCTCCTCCATGGCCTCCTCGTCCGAACTGCCACCGCTCATATCCTCGTCGGAGTCGATCAGGGACGACGATGGTGCGTGTGATACGGGAAACTCATGAGCAGACTCCGTCTCAGCGTCTTCGTCGTCGTCGTCCATCCCATCGTCGTTACCAGACCCATTTCCGATGGCAATGACCTGCGCCAGTTCCTCAAGAGCAGACAGACCGCCCTGCAAACGACCTTGGGCGTCGTACAAATGGTCGTACTCTTGCGGACGGTTGAGCAGCGACATGTTCGAACAATGCAGGAGTTCCGCATATAGTTCGCATATTCGATAACGCTCGAACGTGAGCGGCGGTAGTGCTCCAAGAGTGGTTAGGACAGGTCCGTTCTATCGGTCCGAATCAGACAGGGTTGTTACTATACCGGGACAAACTCACCAGAGATCGAGGCCCCTTGAGGTACCGCTGTAGCTTGTCGAGGTGATCGCACATAAGCTCCAGGACCGGGCCAAGATGAACAACACCCATGCGATTGACCATCTCCTTCATAGCTGCCTCTAAGCCTTCTCGTGCGCCTTCCTGGTTCATCTGCAGTTGCTGTTGGACTTGTATGAGGCGCTGACGTACTGTGTGGAAGAGGTAGGGCTCAAAGTAGTCCGAGTTGTTCTGCCGTATAAGCTCGATGATGATGCAGATGGATTGAATGACTGAGGACGCAGCAGATTCTGGAGTATAAGAAGCATCGACCTTTCCCTTGACGTCTGCATCAGGACCGAAGTCGCATAGGATGAAGCTGACGAGTTTCGTGACGCTATCCCGGTGCGCAAGCTCTCGGGCGAAGACATTCGACGCAGGAGGGTGGTTCAGTCCATCAGAGATGCCGGCAGCTGGAGATGGCGCTGCCATAGAAATGATGCCCTTGATGAGCTCAGCGACGACTGTGTGCATGTCGGGACTATGCACTGGTGATAATAGGTCGATGAGGCGCGACATGAGGTTTTCGTTGGATAACCACTGAATTTCTTGAGGTAAGAGTGGTTCGCGAAAGCCTGCATGATGCATGAGGGGAAACATACTTCGAGAACGCCAGCTCCAGCGGGATGTTCGTCTAGCTGGATGATTCGGACTAGGAGGTCCGCGAAGGGGGGCGACTCTATATGTCGTAGAATCCGTTCGACAATGTTAGGTTGTGCTTGGATGAACGCAAGCATCTGAGCGCAAAGGCTCAGACATCACACCACACAGGGCAGATCATAATATGATTGTATTCACCTCCGCGGGTTTCTTGCTCAGGAAGGCAACGTTAACTTTTGCAAAGTGAGCGGCCATCATCACCTGGCTCTTCATCTCTTCCGGGGACTTGTCCAGGACGGTCTCCCAGAAGGGCACGAGCAGCTGGTCCGGATGACTGGTACAAGTCTCCACTATGGACCATATTTCGCTGCACAAGACTTCGGTCGCAACATAGGGATATCTCCAGAGATCACTGACTGAGCACGCTCGCTCGCCACGGTGTGAGCGGACACTCACTTGAAACTGCCCTTGTCGTCGCCCTCGATCTGCCCCGTTACGTATCCCAGCAAGCGTTGCAGCACATTGACGCGGGAGAAATAGTCGATAAGCCGCGTGTTTTGCGCTTTGCACTCCTGAAGGAGGTCGTCCTCGTCAAGAATAGCTTCCAGAGCGACGTCCTCCTTGTCGAGGAGGGAGTCGATTGCGGACGCATTATGGAAGCCGAATCTGCTGGCAGACTCGGTGAAGACAGCTCGGCGGACGGAGAGCGAGCTCTATACCTCCAAAACATGCAGCGTCACTTCAATTCTAGTGCTCACAGAAGCTGAATTGTGCAGTCACAGTCTAGCAGCGATATGGCACGAAGCAAGAGAGAGGGAACGGTCGGGGACGAGACGGGCGACGAGGGGCGAGTGCCCGATGGAATGCAACTGCCTATTCCGACTGGCGCGAATCCTGCAGTGGCCAGCTGGGCGCTCGCAGCCATAGTCCCAAGCACCGTCCTATTGTACGTAACAACTACATGAACATGCCTGTCCTACAGGCCCAAACCGAAGCGCGACATCCAGAAAGACCCCCCGATGAGATTGAGTAGGAGATTGATCGACGATTGAGTTGTGGGACCCGGTGTACTGGTTGCATTCACGACTGCAGCGTATTGCGGAGCGACAGCACGTACATGATACATCGCAGGGTTGGCGAAGCAGGTTCCTAAGTAGGTATGAGACATAAAGTAAGCATGAAGTGGCTCTAAGCAGGGCGCTAATGTAATGAGCCTTCGGTTGCGGTGATAATACCGCAGCCAAGGCACCAATCGCGGTTCCACATCACCGCGACTTGACCCGTCGCCACACTGCTCTGTGGCTTCTGGAACGTGATGCGTATAATTCCATCAGCTCGTCTATGTGTTCAAGGTGCGTTGAGTTCGGTCATGGATGATGGGTGAAGAATGGACTGACCGCTGTATGGTGCCGGGGATGTCTACCATCCGATGACGGTACTGCACGCGGCCACGGAACCCTTCACCGTCGATGCCAGTGGGAGGCGAGTCTTCCCAAATCCACTTCCACTTGTCCACTGTAATTGAGGCACAATACAGCGCCGGATGCTCGCTAAATTGGCACACTTAATTTCCATAAAATGGACCAACAACTGAATTGAACGTACGGTCCGGGAACGACATAGATCGCATTCTCCTTTGGGTCTTTCTTTGCCACAAACATCTTCTGATGCATACCTTTGATTCTCGCATTTTGTCCGATAGTGTATGAATATAGGCCCGGATGTCTTCCAAGAATTTTTCCTCCCTCTAGGTCGATGATTGGGCCAGGTTTTGGAGGGATATATTGGGCTGGGGTAACATGAGGATCGACCAGCATGCCAGAGGACAGCTGCATAGCGTACCAATGAAATCATCGAATTTACGCTTCTCTCCGACGAAGCATATACCCATGCTCTCTTCCCTAGAAGCGGTCGGCAGGCCCCACTTCTGCGCCATTGCGCGAACTTCCGTTTTCTTGTACGGCGCAAGGGGGAACAAGGCGCGAGCAAGGCTTGCCTCTGGCACGGCAGCGAGATAGTAGGTCTGGTCCTTCGACCGATCTAAGGGACGTCGCAATTGCGGGCGGGGTGGGAACTTTCCATATGCAAAGAGGTTGGATACGCTAAGCGGAGGCAATGCCCATTTCTTGTCCGCGTAGTGTCCTGTCAAAGTGTTAGGGATAGACGATAGCTGCGGCATGCAAGAACAACTCTCACCAGTCGCAAGCCAGGAGTCCTTGCTGGTCAATCTGTCCATGAGTGCACCAAACTTCACTTCTCTATGATCATGGTGAGAAAAATTGTACGTGAGAGAAAGTTTGCACCCACTTGTTGCACCAGATATCTGGGTTGGGTGTAGAGCCTGCCTCCCAGAGATCCAATGCCGGCTCGAAGACACGGGTCCAGTATTCACGCGAAAGGTCTACCTGTAGATGTGCATAAGACAGCAGAGCTCGGTATATGGATAAATGACTCGCCATTTCACACTTGAGACCCAGCATCCGACAGACCCTCTGTACATCTTCCCAATCTTTCTTCCATTCACAGCCGCTATCGGTGCCCGACTCATCACGCGTGTCCCAATTTCGCATAAAGACCGCAGAAAGATCATAGTCCTATTGTGCGCACACATCCATGAAGTACCTCCCGATCAAGAGCGGAATGTCTTACCTGGTCTGCGAGAAGTTTGGCAGTGACGGAAGAGTCTACACCTCCAGACATAGCAACAACAACTATAAGGCCCATTGTTGTACCACTTATATTGATTCGAGGGTTCGTAGGGGTATGCTAGGCGTACCTCGGTCCCCTTTCCTAGGTGTCAGCCCCGCGGAGTGGGTACGGAGCAGAGGGAGCGACCGGAGTACCGACGAAGTCCATCCTATCATCAAGCTGCCAAGAGAGATAATTCGCCTATATGCACAGAATTACTGCGATGCAAGGTTCGAGGGCCCCGGGCCAAGGCGTAAGGAAGGGCAAGTACAGGCGAGAGCTGTTGTTCAGCAAGAGACGTGGTGGCGGGCCGTAGGCGAAGATGTCATGGGCGCTTCACGAAAAGCATCCCGTGCAAGCATGCACATCTTCCTTCTGGGTCCCTCGCTCAAATGCATCTACGGCCACGCCCCACACTTGCTCATAGTTGTACTTTATAGGATCTCGAACGACACTTGATAACACTAGCCTGGTGTTCCAGTATGTTCAACAAACCCCGTTCTCAACGCAGCTCGGTCTCGACACCAGAAGAGAACACTCCCACCCCCAACCGTCGCGCGCGCAGGAAAGAGAAGCAAAGACAGAATGGCGAAGCTGGACCGTCAAACCCACAGTCCTCGAATACCTCTGAGCCTCCTAGCAAAGCCGCTGAAGCGTCCAGCGCGATCCAGAGTTCGTTTGGCAATGATGACTTTATCGCGTTCTCGTTCTCGGACTCCGAAGAAGCGGACAAGCGGTCCGCTCGCGAAAGCTCGCCGCCACTCAGGGAGTGGGATAGGGGAAAAAGGAAGGAGAAGGAGCGCGAGGAGCACGCGGGACGAAAGAGGAAAGTGGAGGAGATCGACTTCAACGACGGGTACACGAACAAGAAGCAGCGCATCGCTGCGGCGTCGCGTAGGGCACCTTGGGCGCAGGATGTGGACTGGGATAGATGCGTGAATGTTGCAGAGATGTGCGTGCACATTGCCTTCTTGCTTTCTCGCACCTAACCACTTGTGGGACGCTATGCTAGGTTACACAACGAGGTGGAGGCGTTTGTCGACTACATGTCTCCAACGCCAATAGAGGACGAAGTTCGCTCGCTCTCAGTCCAGCTTATCGCAAGAGCGATATCGAAATCATACCCAGATGCCAAGGTACTACCGTTTGGAAGCTATGAAACGAAACTATACCTTCCATCAGGGTATGTTACGAAGGGACTTTTCGCTGTCCATAAAGCAGCTGAGCATATGTGCAGAGATATCGATCTTGTCATTTACTCGCATTCCATGATGCGAATGGACAAGGTTTCGGTGCTCCATTCCCTTGCGAACATCATGAAGCGAGCTGGGATTACGGACCGGGTCACAATCATTGCGAAAGCGAAGGTTCCTATCATCAAATTCGTCACGGCCCACGGTCGATTCTCCGTCGACATTTCCGTCAACCAAGGCAACGGCGTCGATACTGGCAAGATGGTGAAGCAGTTCCTACGGGAGCTACCGGCCCTCCGGAGCCTCGTTCTCATCATCAAAAACTTTCTCAGCCAGAGGAGCATGAACGAGGTCTTTACTGGAGGCCTCGGTAGCTATAGCATCGTCTGCTTGGCTATCAGCTTCTTGCAGATGCATCCGAAGATCCGGAGAGGCGAGATCGATCCTTCAAAGAACCTTGGCGTGCTCGTCATGGAATTCTTCGAGCTCTACGGTTCCTACTTCAATTACCAAGAAGTAGGGATCTCGCTTCGCGACGGAGGCTCGTATTTCAATAAGCGGCAGAGGGGCTGGTTCGACTACCGCGAGCCTCGACTGCTTTCGATCGAGGACCCAGGCGATCCCAGTAAGTCATCCCTTGAGAGGTTGTTTAGATCGCGGAATGAGTAATTGACGGAGGGTCTGGCTTTCGCAGCTAATGATATCTCGCGGGGCTCATACAACTTCGCGCGGGTCCGGACTACTTTAGCTGGGGCGCATGGGATCATGACCGCAGCGGCATATGCGCAGGCCAGCATCATTAGTGCACGGAGAGAGGGGCGGACAGTTCGACTACGTCCCACGTCCGATGCCGAGGAAATGAGCATCCTGGCGAGTGTAATGGGAGTTACACAAGAGGTATGGGGACGAAGCGCCAGCGCCTTGATCAAAATCAGAGCTGACCCATCATTGCGTTCCAAGACTATCAATCATCGACGGGTGGTCCAGGAGGTGTACGAGCGCCAAGTCCTCCATCGGATACTCGGAATCATTCCCCAGCCCTCGCTGTCATTCAGAGGCCCAACTGACGGCGCGTCGCGCACGGCGGAGGCAGAGAGCGTTCAGGATGCATGGGGTCATACCGACATGGACCCTGGTACTCCGGACGGCTCAGTGTCGGGCGCTGAGGAGGAGGTCGAAAGCCGGTACGACATTGAGAGCCGGAGGCAACCTCCGAAGAAGCGGAGGCGTACAGGCACCCGGGCAGATGAGGGCATCACGTTGCACACGGTGTACACGACGGACGATGAGGAGGATGGGTTTTCAGCAAGCCATCGGCCGAGCGGCGATGACGGGATCGAGGAGGAAGAGGAGGAGTATGATTTATCTGCGTTGGACGCGGAAAGTCAGGAGCGTGGCGGAGGAAGCAAGGCAGAAAAACGATCGTATTGGTTATCAAAGGCTATGGCTGGGGCCGCCAGCGACGGATGCGATGATTGATCAATTGCAATATATGTAAATTGTGGGAAGCCTGCGGTGGCATGGATGTGCATTCGTGTAGGACAGATTCTGTCGACGGCGCACTGTCTGGCATGGAAGGTGTGTGTGCGCAGTCAAGAGTCTCCCGGGCGGAAAGGAGACATTGCTACAACACGAGATGATGGGAGACAAAGACGAGGCTATTCAACAATATGATTGTCGGATGGGCGGGTGGGAGAGGGTGGCCGAGATCAGTTGTGACCGCTTGTTGATGTCGCAGAGTTGCTAGGTCTGGTTTTGCCGCCGACGTCGCTCAGCCCCAACGCTCGTTCATCACTTCCATCATCATCACCTCCGTCTTTCTCCCAGCTCGACGAGCAGGCCATTGCAGTCGCGGGTCGCTCGTGGTCTTCGTCGTTGTTGTCGTTGCTTTTCTAGTAGCCGTTCTTTCAATGTAAGTCTATCCGTCACTACTTCACCCGTGGGTGCCCGTGTCTCAGGCCACTGCGCCGAACACAGGACCTCCGCCAGAGCACCTGTTCCGCCCGTCGACCTCAAAGCCCGTATCGCTGCCCTCCAGCTACAGCAAGCCGCAAATTCCGATGCCGCTGCCAAGTCTGGTACCTCTCAGACCCTCCCCAAAGCCAATGCCGTGAATGGAGCCAATGCCCTCCGCGATAGGATAGCATCATTTGAGAAGCAGGGTGCGGTCCCGAAGCCCAAGGGGAGATTTGGCTTTGCTCCGCCCGTGCAGCAGGACCCGAATTCCGTCAAACGTGGTGAGCTGTATGGTAACCGTGTTCCCGGCCTCTCACGTCCACATCTACCCGTGCCCACGAACGCGAGATCCGACACGAAACCCACTCGGTCCCGAAGTAGATCCCGCCTCGAAGAGTTGGAACGCTTTGCGACGTCGCCGAGTCCTCCAGCTTCGCCATTCGCCTTCTCGGACAATGGAGACTCCGTAGGTGACATGTTCTCTGACGGCGACGCCGACTCTCCAAGCAACAATGCGTCTCAGGAGGAGGCCCAGCAGGCTAGCCTCGATGCGCTCGTGTCGCAAGTTGGCGGAGATGCCGCGCCGGAGGTACATGGCGAGGTTACGGAGGCACCCACGGACGCCCCTCAGGAGCCCGATGCACCTGTCGCGGTCGAGACTGTTGGCCCGGCCACAGATCAAACAGAAAAGTCCTCAACCATCGGTGATGCGCCATCAGAACCCACTGCAGACGTCCCTCCACGCCTACCTTCGCCTGCGCCAGAAGCAGAGCTTCCGGTGCCCGCTGAACCAGAGCCTCCAGTACCCCCAGAATCGGAGCCAGCGCCCGAACCTGAACCAGTTCCTGCTTCCGTGCTCGTGAACGTGATTCCTGCTCCCGAGGTGCCTCCTGCGAAGCCCGCTCCTATCGAGGGTCTTGACCCTGCGGTGCAAGCAGTCATCGACGAGCTCGATCGTGCTACTCGAAATGGAGACGCAGGGTCCGTTGTCGTCCCAGCCGATACCCTACAGACGCTTGGGCTGGCTCCTCAACAGACGGGCAGCACTGTAGCGGACCTCCTCGACCAGTTGCTTCTCCAGGAAGATGTACTCGACATCGCGACGCCTGTCAAGCAGCGGTTCTCTCTTAGGAATTCGCTGTCGTCCATAGCGGTTCGGAACTACATCAATCAGCAAGCAGAATTGGCGGCCAAGGATTCGAAGTCTGCTACGACTCCCGAGAAGAAGGCGGAGGAGAAGGTCTCGTCGGTTGCGAATACGTCTCAATCGAACCAGTTCCTGTCTTCCGACAGCCCAGTCGCTGAACCGCTTTCCCCCACGAGCGACATTTACTCTGCGTACCTCACGGCGACCCCGGCGGTTCCATATTCACGAGCACTTCCTGCGATCCCCGAGGGGCCAGACTCGCCCCTTGCGTTCAAGCAACAAATTCGACGGGGGACGTTTGGAATGGACTCGGAGAGCAGCACGCCTCCCTCATCTGTGCTTCTCCCTCATTCGAGCGATAATGGTAGTGGTAGCATCAGTCCCGGCGACGGCAGCGTCCGTCTTGGCAATAGTTCCCTCCCACCCCTTTCCGTTGTGATCCCTGGGACTGTGTCGAAGCAGCATACCAATGACAGGCCCGGAGGCCACGCCCCTTCCCCCGTGGAGGCTGTCATCGTCACTGACGCGCAGCGGGTTGTTTCGCCAACGGTCACTCGCGGCGTGTTGGTTCCTGCGCCTCAATCTGCGAGTGATTCATCTACGTCTTCTCCTTTATCGTCGTATTCTTTGGGTTCGATATACTCGGCGACGTCGCCTTCATCCTCGGGACCCGTGTCGAGGAAGGTCTCACGTTCTTCCAAGTCACGTTCAAAGGCGGTTTCCCCCCCTCCTCCCCTTACGCCATACGAGGAGCCTGCTCTTACACCGCTCGAGGGCCCGAAGGGCTTCCACGCAGTGGTGCACGAGAAGGTCGTAGAAGGGAAGAGTCGTCCCGTCAGCATCATTCAGCAATACGAGGACCTTCCTTCTCCGACACCTATGAACGCCTCCAACATGAGCGATCTCGCTGCCTTGCTTGCTGACGCCCAGAAACTGGAGCAACGTCTTGCGGACGCTCGTGGTACACCCCAGAAGAAGGCAAAGGCATTGCCACCACGTCCGGCACCTCCGTCGACGTCGACACCTCCCCCGCCTGTTGGTCGCAGTACACCTGACCGCAGAGGCACGCCTAACGCTGACCGACCGCGTCCTGTGCAAGATCTCCCAGAGTCTCCTGATGATGGAGACAACTTCGGTCGCCTGTCTCAGGAGACGAGCATGGTCTCACGGGCCTCGACCATCTCGCGGACGTCGCAGTACGACCGCTCGTCTCAATACGCCCAGACATCCCAGTACGAGAGCCGTCCTCTCCCTGCCCGACCTTCAGCAGACAGGACCATCGAGCGTAAAGTCTCGCGACCGTCGTTCTCGGATGCCGCACGACCTTCATTGGACCGAGTGTCGTCACGTACATCGCTGGATCAGACCGGTTCCGCACGACCATCGGTTGACAGTCATCTGGCGTCACGACCACAATTGCAGCCTTTGTTCTTGAGCGCAGATCCGAATACGGTCCGGATACCACTGCCACCGCGGCCGAAGAGTGCGGCGGCGGGTTCCTCGGTGCCACGCAGCCAGACCTCCACCCCTCCGGTACCACGCAGCCAGGCCTCTACCCCTCCGGTGCCGCCTCTGAAAGGCTCTCCGAAGACGGGTACTGGCTATCTGAGCAACCTCCTGTCGAGAGCAAAGAGCTCTGGCAACCTGCGCCAGACGCCAGACTCGCGCGACAGCGTGGGTTCGTCGTCGGAAGACTCTGTTATGGTCTCGACGCCACCGACTCCCCCTTACGAGATGATTGGCAATGATACTGGCTCAGTGCGTAGTTCAAGGATGTTCAAGAACAGCTTCAGCCGCGCCAGCAACTTCGCCGACCGGCTGTTGCACCGGAAGGATGGTAGTAACCAGGTCCCAGATGTTGCCATAGCTAGCGGAGGTGCGTTCCTCAACATCTTCATACATGGGCAGGTCATAAAGCTGATGTCAAATTCATTTACACAGATGAAGATGATGGCGGGCTCCGTGCTCTGCCTCGTCCTCCGCGTCCCCTCCCACTCCCTCCCCGACCTCAGCCTCCCCGCGGTCTTCCCCCTCCGGTGCCTGGCGAGCCACAGAGCAGTGGCAACCTGCAACCGCTTCCCCCTCCAGGCCAGCCCAGTTTGCAGCGCCGAGGCTCGTGGAAGTCCCTCGCAAGTGTCTCGACAACAGACATTAGCGCCGCCTTGGACAACATCGGCATGTCCGATAACTTGCCTCCTGAACCCATTGCTGCTGCCCCCGTCGTTCGCGGCCTTCCTCCTGGCCCAAACGCGTACACCTCTCCCCGCCCTGCTCCCCAACCTCCCTTGCCTCCGCCGAATCAACCGCTTCCCCCTCCACCTCCCAACCAACCGCTTCCTGCTCCTCCACGCGGTGCTTCTCGTGGGCTTCCACCTGCTGGTTATGGCCTGCCTTCGAACCCATCGGTGCCGCGGAAGAGCCTACCTGCTCGTCCGAAGTTGGGCCAGCCAGGCCAGCTACGGTCTGGGATGATCTGAGGTCTTACTTTGCTCGCGCTATTCGTCATCGTCGCTGTCGCTCGCCGGATGGTATCTATCTATTGGCTTCTTTCCTTCTTGGCTACGAATCCCTCATTAGTGCGTCCTCCTTAGTTAGTTTGTGTCTATATATTTTAAGTCTCTCGCCCGTCGTTCGTTGGATTACTTACCGTGCATATTGCTCGCGGCATCGCCCCTTTCAGCTCAGCACTTAGCCAATGCCACACCCTACCACGTTGCTGACATAGCTGATCTCTAGCACTCACCACACATCGTTACCCGCTGATGATCATCAGCACACTAGCACTGTGTCATACGCATATGCGCCTACGTCTACGTTTTGCATAATGCTCTCATACTAGACTACCCACTATTGCGCATGCCTTGCGCCGTTGTCAATGCTTTGTCTGCGCAGACCGTCGCGATATACATTGCTGTTTATACGTTGTGTGTGCGTGTGTGCTCGGTACATACACTCAGTACTGTCTACAAGCGTGGAGTACATACATGGAATCAACACTACGAACTACCGAGCTAAACTAGCATACACTGCGCATTCGGGTGCAATCGTGCAATTCCTCATGGTCGAATGAATGATAGTGTGATGGCGAATACGAATGATTGGGACGAAAGCAGGAGCATGGCATCAGCGAGCAGACGTGCCCCTGCGCTGCTTCCTAGGCTCAGGCGCATCACCATTGACAGTCTCGGACGATGCCCGACGGCTCGCCTCGCGACGCTGCCCTCCTACAGATTTCGAGCGTGAACGTTCCTCATAGTCGGATTCGGTGTCTTCTCTATAGTCTTCGGGCATCTTCCTTGCTTGCGCGAAGAAAAGTCTCGCCTCACGGTCACAAATATTCTGAATGTAGTACACGTTCCCTGCAGGCGTTGAGCGCGTTAATGCTTGTTACCGAATCAAAGACAATCCACGAGACTTGCCTCGCGGGACCATGAACATTCCTCCCGTAGCGAGGATGAAGTTCGTCTGGTGTACGCAAAACTTCACGGCCCCCTGGATCACGAAGAACACCTGATAGATGCATAATTCCATGAGTCAGATTCCACAAGACCCATGACCTTTCGCAAAGACGCGTACAAAGGTGTTATCTTTCGTGCTCTTCGTCGGCTTCGTAGAGTTGGGAGGGATATAAAGTACGCCAGAGGCGAGGTAGTCACCATCGCCAAAGATCTTCTGGAAATAGAACGCGCCCTGCGCAGCAGCCTTCGGGGTAATCATCTTGGCGGTGAACGCAACACCTGAGACAAGTCGTCAGCTTCAACCCACAAGTGCCGGCACTTGACCTAAAGCCACCCACGTCGCTCGACCTCCTTGCCGTCCGTGCCGAACTCTAGGACCTTGCAGTGCGGATCTGTCTCGTCGTCCCAGCCCTCCTCCGGATCATACACGAGCACCTGCTGGGGCTCAGGTTCCGCAGTCGCGGTGCTACGGCCTTTCTTACGACCCCCGGCCCTCCGCCTTCGTGCACCGAGTGGCTCAGCCTTGATTTCAGGTATACGGTGGATTTCCTTGATGCTGGGAACGAGGCATGGCCCATTCTCTCGGCGACCGTAAACGACTTTCTCCAGTCGCCAAAACGCGAGCGGGGAGTATCTCCTGCGTTTGCTGCGACGCAGACCTTCGGCGTTGGAATCGTCTGGGGTGACTGTATGCGTGTTGTTTGTTACATATATGATGCATGTAGGGGCACTTGGGAATGTACCTTCACGTAGAACTTCTCTCTTGGCCCGTGGCCGTCCGCGAGCTGCGCCTTCGTTCTCCTTGCGCTTGCTGTTGGGTACCTTCTTCCCCTTCTTCCCACGCGGCTGCTCTAGCACCGTTTCCTCCGGCTCTAGCACCGATCCCTCCTGCTCGTCATTCATGGGCTCCTGCTCGATATCCCCCAGACCTTGCGCAATCTCTGGCTCCATTTCCTCGTCTCGGTCTTGGTATACAGCACTTGCACGCTGTTTCCCACGCGCCTTCTCGCTTGGCGAACGGCCGAAGTCCATATCGTTCTCGACTGCTTGCCGCTCATCCTCACTAGCTTCTTGGTCCAAATTGGCAAAGCTTGTGCGACGAGAGGATTGGCCAGACCGCGGAGTACGTGGATTTTGCGGAGGCGGGGGCGGAGAATCGTCTAATTCCATGTCGTCCCCGTAGCCGCCATAGTCGTATTTGGGGGCCCCCGCGTCGACATCGGACTCATCGTCGTCCTCGGCAGCCACCATGCTCTGCGACAAACGAGAAGGAACGGAGGTGCGGCCATGGCCGTTTGGGGCGGCTCTTCTGGCGGTGTACGTCGGAGAGGCACGAGGGGAAGGCACAGCATCAAAATCGACGTCCGAGTTGTGCGCGACGGGGCGGGAGGACGAGCCAACGCGCTGTACGCTCGACGTGATGGTATTCACACGCGTATGCACGAAGTAAGCGCCCGGACCGACTGGGGTATCTGCTCAGACGCGTCAGGCAACGTAGATACTCTCGTAACCGCCAAAAGCGGGGGTGGGGCGCACCATCATCCAGCTCCATTGAGATCTCCCCGTTCCCGTCGTCATCATCGAACTGCTCCTCTGGGACGGGCACAGGTGTCTTGGGACCACGCTTCTTGCGGGCACCCTGGGGACGGAAGGGTGTGCGCTGGTCGGCCTGGCTCATGACCTTCTCGAACGGCTCGAACTCGTCGGTGTGGTCGACATAGGCGACCGCGATGCCGGTCTTCTTGCCATGCTGGAAGTCGTCGGCGCGGTATGGAATGTACTTCTGTGGGGCGCGGCGTAGGTTGCCGACGCTACTCTTGCGTGCAGAGGCGGGCATAGCTGTCGTCGGCGAAGAGGAAGGGGTTGGCGTTGAACGGGGCGCATTCGGAGCAGACGCGAACCATGCCTTTGTTTGGCTTCGTTTTGCGGTAACCGGATATGGCTAGCGGAGCCGGACGGGCGTCTATGCGCCATTGTCTACGACACTGGCTGAGAAGCCGACGAAGCTTCTCCGAGTCCTTACCAAACCATCTTCTCCTACTCTCGGTACGATGTTCGTCCTTGCTCTTTGACGTTTTCGCACTATGTCAGCCAACTGTTAGGATGAGAAATATCGTCTAGTCGCCAACACTTCGCGTCCGTCTATTGCAATCCCATTCCACGCGACTCTGAACACCAAGTGCGATTCAAGTGTGTTCATTCCGTGTACAAGTCGAGCACCTCCTTCAGACGTCCACAGTCAATCTGCGCGCGCAAATTGTGTTCCTCCCGTCCTCGCTAACTCCGAGACCAATCTTGGCGTCCTCCTCGCTCGTATAGCCCTGCAGCGAGTAAACCAAGGGACCCTCCTGATCCACTACTAACCCAACTCCTTGATGGCTCGCGAGGCTTTCTCCCTCTTGCAGTGACCACTGCTTCCACACGACGAACTTCGCGTCTCCTCCCTCGCTATCCAGCTCCGCATGCGCCACTCCCTCCACCTCAAGCAGGCCCTTCGAGCGTTCAAGCAGCTGCTGGTTCTGCTCGCTTCTGATCCACTCGTAATGGGCTGTCACGCCTTCCCATCCCGTGATGAGGTATATGAGTCGCGGATCGGTAGTGTCCTCGAAGAAGCGGAGGGGGTAGCCAGACCAAGCTCCCTGCTGGGTCGAGAGCGTCGCGAAGAACGCTTGGATCTCTGGCGAGCCCCAGACGTGGGGGTAGACAAGTTTGAGCGTTGCAAACTCGGTGGCGGTCATAGTGTATGTGGTCTGATTTCTCTCGAACGCTTGCGCTCGTTTATATACTGAGGTCAGCGGTAGGCCGCGTAAGCTCCATATCGCAGCCATGCAACATCGCCGCACATGTTCATGAAGGCGGTCCGCCCGTATCCTGAACGCAAACCTACTGCAGCTGAATCCAAATCATGACTCAAAATTGAATCTGGTGGACAGGGGAACCAAAAGCATATGCTCGCAGGCTCGTCACATTCTCAACTACCGATCGCACTGTCATTTCAATGTGACGGTTCAGTGTTCTCAACCGCTGAGGCTGACCGAACCGCCGTTGTTCGGTCAGCCTCCAACCAGGACGCATAGAAGAGCGCCTTGAACGCACTTCTGCTCCTCGTCCCATCTCTCATCTCTATACAGCTTGTCCACCTCCCGCTCGCTTATCTTCCTCGTAAGTACCCTCGACCGCTCCTCAGTACTGAACTGTCGCTCACACCCTCGACCTATACCGTAGATCCTCCCCGACCTAGCCCCGATATGCGGTCGTTCCGGACCCCGCCAAGACGCGTCTCCTCCGTGGCCCCTCCCCAGTTCTTCGTTGCCCGCTGGTCGGGGAGGTTGCGCTGGTCGCACCCGACGACCCTGGGCGAGGGCACTCGGTGTGATTCGCCAGGCTTCGTGCACGTCAAGGAGCAGGTAAGACTTCTGTTCCCGAGGGAGGGACTTCGGTCCTGGCGCATACCTTTCCGTGGTCCTCGGGATAAGTACCTTCTTGTCCCCGTTCCCGGCTGGGGTTGGGAACGGTGAGGGGAACGGGAAACCAAAATGCGCTTCTAGGGTGATCTATCACACTGCCTTTTGGGGCTATCTCTAGAGGTGGTGCCGCTGTCATGTTTGTAATTGCCTCTACAATCGTCGTTTGTATGCCTGGAGAAATATGATTGTGCCATTCTTCTCTCTGGTGGAACAAGCACCAGGCATCCAGGGGGTGACGGTGATGTTAGCACTGTACGCTGACATACTGAGTTCGCTCTATGTCAGAAAGAAACAGATGCTCACTTGAGACCGGGACATGGAAGAATGAACATGCAGTCTCTGACTAAGAGGTCTGATTACGCCGCATCATGACATTGAATCGTCAAATATCCATACATCCTCCAACGTACAAACCGCCGTCACAGTCCATAGTACCTCGAATCGCTCGGACACTTGCCTCAGAACTATGAGAAGTCTCATGTCAGTACTTCATTCTCAAGTCGAAGCCAGCAAAAGGAGATGTGTCGGTACTTACGCGTATTTGATACGACCCGCTCGCCTTGGTAAGGTATCGTACCCATTTCACGCTCTGGTAGTTGCTCTTCTCGAACACCTTCAGGAAGCGCACGATCAGGCCGGACGATGTGAACATGAGCACCTGGAAGTCGACGTCGATCGGTGGACGGGCCCAGACTTGACGTGTCGTCGTGCTCGTCAGTTGCGCATGGCCAGAGAAGGTCACTTCTTGGCCACCCTGTAGTCGTGGGATCCTATGTGCATCACGCCATCAGCCCAGATGACCCAGGATACAACTGATCGGAATGCTAGAGACACCCACTTCCACACGACAACGTTCTCCGCAGGCTGATACTTCGCCTTCCCGATCGGCACCTTGCAGTCCACGTTAGTCGTGTTCAAGGGCGTGGGTATCCGCAGGACCACGTTCGTCGCCGACAGTTTGTTGTTGAAGTTCGCCTTCACTGTCACAGCATAGGTCACCTGCGTCGTCCCGATTTCGTTCACGGTCGGGATGATGCGCAGAGGGAGTTTGACGTTCGACGTCGATCGGTACCGCATGAGTTCGAACTCGCCATCAGGAGGGACGAAGCTGATGGTGCGGGTGGAGTCAAACTCGTCCAGCCGGACGCACTGGTGGAACGTGCAATCATCCAGTTGGACAGCGTCTCCGCCCCCGCTACGATCGTTCTTGTCTATAACGAGCTTGTCGTTCAAGCCGAACTTGCACTCGGGAGTGCCGGAGAGGTATGCACGCATGAGGATATGGCCATCCACGTCGGCGCGCAGTACAGTGCCTACAGAGGGCGTCAGCAGTCTGTCCACGGCGGAATAGGGGAAGACATCCACCTTTCGCACTCATGCTCAGATTTACTGTCTCCACGACGTCCACGAACGCTTCATTCTTCTTGTATTTGACATCGCCTCTTCGCCAACTTGTTGCGCCGGTAGCCTGTGTTGTGATCTTGGAAGACTCCTCCTGTAATCAGTCCCAGGTGAGCACTCGGTGGAAGGGAAACCGAAGATGGCCATACGGCAGCAATGTTGGAAGATACGATGCTCTCCGTAGTAATGTATGTCTTCAGGGTATCCGTTTCGCTGTTTTGTGGGTAACCGAAGTCGATGATTTCTGTCGGTCCAGGGATGCACATGAAGCGGAGGGAGCCGTCGACAAGATTGAGAACACTCGCCATCGATTAATTCGTATATCAACACAAAGTTGTTCTTAACAGCCTCTTCGTCCACTTTCCCGAAATATGATTTCGCGATCGAGGTAAAACGGTAGCAGAATTCGAAGACTAGGGCGGCGTTGGCATTGCACCTACGGGAACGGGGACAGAACGCAATGAGACTGCGAGAACCAACGGAAATGGCATGCGCTCACTTGGTCACCGCCACAACATACAAGTTGTTCACGCGGACATGGAAAAAGCTCGTCGAGCCTAGGGTGATGATGGGAGACCGTACGTCACTATTCGAGACGACTTGGATCCGGAATACATCGGCGATGGAGCGTCTGTGGTTGTTCATGTAGGTTCGGGATTGGTACGAGCAATGGTAGTGAAAGAGACTTACTTGAGGTCCGTTCGGTACAGACGCGAGATGAGGACCTGGGAGAGAGCTCAAGCGGTCCGCTTCTGGCTAATATCCGGCAGACGTACCTCGCCCTTCTGGTTGAATATGAAGAAGGCCTGAAGATATCGTCAAGTTGGATATCCAGCGGCGTGGTCCAAGCAAAGCTGAAGCTCACCGAGATCATGGTGGGGTAAGGAGCGACGGCACGCGGAGAGGAGGATTGCCACGTGCCGTGGTCGGCTTCGAAGAAGTTGAGCGTCTATGCCGCATTCAACTTGTGACATTCTCAGACTTGTTAGGCTGCTGAGGCCCTCCAGCTGCCGCCATACCTGACAATTTGCTGATCTCGTTTCTTGGCCCACTACATGAATCATCTCGTCAGAAATTACGCCTTTTCATCTCTGTGTCTGTACACGCCACTGAGTCCGCTGCGGCAAGCGCGGCGTAAGGCACCGTCGGATCGCGTAGAAGTTCACGCTCCTCCCCGCCGATCCCGTCGCTCCGCGAAAAGACTCCAGCAATAACACGGAAGGTCGCGGATGGACGAGCGTGTTGCCCTTAGTGATCAGCGGTGCACACGTTATCGGCTGTTCCCTGAATATGCGTAATTTGCCACCGAGGCCGTGAGTGCTCCTCTAAATTCTTAGCACGACAGTGGTCACCGGATACGTGACCAAATCAATTCGCGAGTATACCCTTCGCCCCGGCATTGCCTGATCCTTCTTCCTGCTGCTGAACAGCCAGTTACTGACGGCGCGCGCCGACGGCTCTCTTCTGTGGCGGCCACATCGAGCACGAGATCGACCCCGTCTACATCATCCGGATCGGTCGGGGAAAAGTCGGTCAGCTGATACAGTTGCCGAGCAGTATAAAACTGCCATGTCTTCAGCCTGAGTAACGCAAGACGTAGATTCCTCGCCGTTTTCCTCGTGTCTGTCGTGTTTACGGCCAGCTGTAGCTTCTAGCGTTGGTTACTCCGTGCTGTGCAGAACCACCATGCTATTCTGGAAGGTTTCCTGTCTCCTATCGGCGCTATCTATTGCGTCCGCCAAGCTCACATGGGGAACGACGCAATTCCTCTTCACATTTGGCGATTCCTACACAACCGACGGCTTTAATATCTCTGCCGGTGTGGACTCACCCGTGCCGGGCTTTGTGGGTGCAGGATCTGCTATCGTCATGAACCGCTTTCTTTCTCACGCCCTATCCTCCTCCAACAGACTTCCTCCAATGGCCCTAATTGGGTTCAATTCCTCGGTAAGTGCTATCAGCAATCTGGTTCCGCTACGCAGGGCAGGTCCTGAGCACATGCATGTGAATATGATAGGTGGCACGTACAACGTGACCGACACACAGGTATGATGCGCGACGTTTACCGAAAGAAGGCTGACCTGGGCGCCGTCAAAGGTGTTTAACCTTGCTTCGGGCGGGGCGACGATCGATGCTGCGCTCGTCGCACCGTTCGAGCCGACGGTTCTGTACGTCATAAACCTCCCGTTCTACGCGTTATTGGAAAGCCGACGACGCACCCTGCCCCCAGGTCCATCGTCGATCAAGTGCAGCAGTTCCATGACATACTGGCCCCGAAGCCGGCAGGTGCGGAGTGGAACAGCTCAAATAGCCTCTTCGCCTTCTGGATTGGTATAAATGATGTCGTACGTGTCTCCGATTCTTCGTCCATGTTTTACCAATCCAAGGCTTACGGGCCATATTCGTACAGGGAAATTCCTTCTCTTGGGTGCGTATGGCGCCTCGGGTGTCTTGCGGAACAACATGTTCACCTGAGACACTGCAGACAAATGTGACATCCCAATCCGACTTCCATAAAGTCTTGATGAAGAGACTATTCAGTCAGGTCGGTGATGCTCGACTGAGGACATCCCATTTACGCCGCTATCGCTGACACAAAATTCGCGGCAGGTCGAGATCCTGTACCAGGACGGAGCGCGGTCTTTCCTTTTCCTGACTGTGCCGCCGACGAACCGTGCCCCTCTGCTGATCGAGCAGGGCCCTCAGGCTGTAGGGAAGATTACTGCCGCGCTCGCAGACTACAACGCTCAGCTGGCGGCGAACGTCCGCGCGTTCAATCAGACGCACAAGGACCTCGACCAGGTCCTAGTCTTCGACACCCGTCCGATTTTCAACACCCTCTTGAACAACGCCGAGACGTTTGGGTTCGTCAACAGCACAGGCTTCTGCGATGCGTACCAGAACGGCACCCCTGAGCCGACGACTCAAACACCGCCGTGCGCCCCGGTGTCCAGTTATTTGTGAGTGTAACTCCCCATCGAGCTCCGTTCCCTCGCAACCATATTCTTGCGCGTTGCTCGGTCTCCTGCCGCACACCCGCCTCCGCGAAGGCACGGGAGGCCCGAGTTGCAGCGAAGTCCATCCGGTTGCAAGGGGCCCGCGGCTAATAATGCTAACTGACGGCAACCCGGCAGCTGGCTCAATACATTGCATCCGCTCTTTACCGTGCACAAGTAAGCATCTTAACTCTTCCTGTGCCTCGCGTCTTCGCACACCCGCCGTGTACTGATTACGCCGGCCATATAGCATTCTCGCCCACGCCCTCTCGACGGCGCTCAGTGCCTAGCCGCTAGCGCCGCACATACCTTTCTCGTCGGGGGCTGGAGGAGAACGGTTACCAAAACGGGCGGAGCCTGGAGACGCGTTGCGATTTCGTTCGGCGTCACGCAGGTTGGGGCGTTGTATTTGCGCCGCCTGCAGTATGCGGTGCGGGTGCGTGCATGTGCGAGTGTACACTGTCGGAATGTGCGTTGTCTGGGCTGGGTGAGACCCGGCCGAGGTCACTACAAGGCACAAACACGGATAGATGGACGTCTGGCATGTTGCATCCATCGGACACGATTTGGAACGGGTGAGTACGTATGGACCCAATTGGGGGGAGATCGAAACAGCTCGGTGATAGAGAACGCGTGCGAATACGACCGGGGCACTTTGGCTCGCGCACGGCGACGCGAATGGATGACCGTTACACGCCCATTCTGACACGGTTGCGCGCCCCTGACGGCAAGCCAAGCCGGGGGTCACCATCCTGCAAGAGATACACTATCCGACAACGGTCGGACCAAACCCGTTGCACCGCGCTCAGTGAGGCGAGGTGGGGAGACGCCAGGGGTGTCGTGCGAGTGCGCATGGGCAGGGGTAGGTGACTGCTAGGGAGCCTGGCAGGAGGCAAGCCAGTATCAGCGCGATCAGAGCCCCACAGTTATGTTTAGTGTGTACCTGCGGGCTACCCCAGGTGATGAAGGGACCAGCGCTGCGATAGAGTTTGTAGCGGCAAAGAGGCGATGATGCCGAGGGGTTTCTGAGTGGCAGGTAAGCGGCCCTGTGGTCAACGAAGCCTCTAGATACGCCCGGTGAACACTTGCAATTGCGAGCGCCTTCGCATGCGTGAAGAAAGAACTATCTCTGTGTAAGCCTTCCGGTGATAGCAAGGTGGCACTCAGCAGATGAGCATGGGAGCATGCGCCCATGCTCGGGAGCACATACGCCACCTACATGTCGAAAGAGATCAAACTACAGCACGCAATTCTCGCACCCCGAGGCAGTCATATAGAACGATCTGCGGGTGACTCATAAGGTGCTCATGAAGCTAAGGTGGGCGCACAGAATGGGCGTATCGTCAGCCTTCACATGCCCGGATGTGACCTATGCTCCCGGCGACATTGACTTTGAGCCACCGTCTCGGGGGTCTATGAATACGCCGTGCCGCTAATTCCAGTCAGAAATTGTCATTCATACGGGCCGGAAATGAACAAGCTCACCGATTTGGGACCATGGGGAAATTTCCACAATTATAGGTGGTCAGAGTGCACGATTCTGTGCGATTCTGGAGCAATTCTAGAGGACGATTCTGGAGGCGATTTTGTCGCCAGAATCGCGATTTTCGCAGAATCGCGCAGAATCGCAGAAGCTCCTCCGGAGGAGCTTCTACCTCCGGAATCGCGATTCTGTTGCTCGCGATTCTGCGTCGACTCCCTTTGTCCCACCTGTCTCCCCGTCTATTGCCAATACGGGATCTATCTCATGCATATTCCAGTGACAGGATAGTTGCATAGGAACCTCTCGAGGCAACCGTGTCGAAACAACGACTTTCTACAGAGAATCTGCACCTATAGTGGCGATTTCGCCTCAAATTGGCTTGATTTCGGTCGGAAAAAAATGCAGAGTCGATTTGTCTTGTTCTTTGTGAATATGTAGGATGTTCAAGGGCGCGATAGAGCCCCAAACCAAAGGCAGACGTTGAGTAAACAGTCGAGAAATGCAGAATCGTAGTACCAGAATTGTGTTCATAATCGCTTTGCAACACGGGTGGTCAGAATACAGGTCGATTTGAATGCGATTCGGGAAATCAGAATCGCACCAGAATCGGTCTCAGAATCGCCTCAGAATCGTGAACTCTGACCACCCCTATTATTTATAACCGATAGGAGAGTCAGAACAGGTTAGCTGCCACAACATACCGCAGACTACTGGTAAGAGCGGTCTGCGGAGAATGCCACAGCATCCAGCATCTGAAAGACAAGGAGTCGAGCTTCAGGAGCGCCGATGCCCTGGTGCGGTCCGAAGAAATTGTATCAGACAGGTAGTCTCAGCATGTCTAGGCGTTCTGTTTGCCCTTGGACATGTCCGGTCGCACTTGATGGTTGGATCATCAAACAATGTCAACCCATGGCCGTATGACATATCAGGCACGGAGGACAGACGCAAAAGTTCAGGGACCAGGCATCGCCAGACAGGCCCAAGACTATGTGAAGAGACGGACGGAGAGATATGAGTGGGAATTGGATGACGAGTAAAACCAACTCTACGCACCCGCGAGGGCGTTTGCGAGTCCGCTCCACGGAGTTCACAGCGAAGCGAGGCGCAAGGCTTTCATGATAGTGTCAAGGGTGCGTGACGACGGGTCCACACAAGGTGTCCACCGCGGGACAGGTTGAATTCAGGGCGGCTGAGCGGCGTTTTCAGTCAGCCCGGACTTTGCGGGACTTCGAGCGCCTGGAGGCTGCTCCTCAGACTCGATACGTCGGCGGTGAAGGAGACGGCTGCGCTCAAAACGTCACCATGCCGGAAAGGCACGGAATACGATTGTATGATTAAAACATTGCTCCGCGGCGGAAGCTCAGGACTGCCAATATTACCTTCTTCGAGATACGTGATGGAAGCGCGGCACAGGCGTGAGTGTTAGGACGGCGTTCCTTTGCGCCCGAGGTTCGCAGCAACTACCATGATGCGGCCGTTTCATGCGCGCAAACCTTGCGACCACTACGCCTCTATGACACTAGCTAGTCCATCCTAAGCCCCATAGTCATGCCCTGTGGTCGCCCGCCTTGGGGATCAGCCGCTGTAATGGTGGGGTAGCGAATATGATACGCACTATTGATGCGATAAATTCGACAGCATCAAGTGTTCGCAGCGAGGCCAGTCACGTTGGCGTTGCACAGAGGCGCCGTGGTAGTCATGTACGCTCGTTAAGAGGCGAAAACGCTGGCATTCGACTATTTGACATGCGCCTGCGCCACCGTAGCAGGTAGTATGGAAGTGTCATGCGGCTAAAGTACCGCTTCCTGCATATGTGTTTTGAGCCAGTCTTGATGTGACCCGAGGCTCCGCCGCTGTTCAATGCACGGCACGTCTCGGGTGAACAAATCGAACGAACACAGTGTCAGATTGGGGATCCGGATAGCACGTACTGGCTGACGGCGTAATGGAGGACCTGCACGAAGGGTGTTGAGAAGGCGGTAGTCCCCTGACTGTTATCCGGGGATCGACGAAGCTATTGTAATTTAGTACATCGCGATAAACGGTTCCGATCCCTACGAGCTTCCTGTAATGACCCTTAAGCGCCCTGGGAAACCCCGTGGAGACAATTGTCCGGGGAACGGGCATTGTGCGTCGCTCGGGCAAGGGACGATATGTCCGGGGGGGGGCATGGCGCGCAGTCGACGTGGCTGACCGTGCGACGGAACAATACGACGGTGGGTATGTGGGACGGCGGCATGTACTATCCGACAGCAGTGTAGATCAAGAGCGGAAAGTGCGTGGAAGGGGAGACATGATTGGGATAGGGATCCACCGCACAGGCGGACGGGCGGCTGTGTGGGCAGGATTCAGGACGAGTATGGTGATCTGTGCTACCGGGCCACGGGCAGTCATGGGGGCCATGCACAGTACGTGCGAAGGTGATGCAGGGACGGCGACAGGGATCCACGAGAGCTGCAGATGACAGACCGGGGCAGAGGGTGGGATCTGAGAGTCGGACCGGTGGGACAGCAGACGACGGCCATGAGGGAAAACTGTGAGGAAGAGAGTACGGCCGACACGGGGACGGTGGCGACGGAGATTATCGATACATACCAGGGCCCGCGGCGGGTGGACGGGGGAGAGCAAGTTGTGCAGGCAGGGTGCGAGTGATGCGGGGCGCATGGTAAACACATGTGCGCGGTTACGCAAGAAGACACATGTCGATCGTCCGACAACGGAGATATGCGCACAGAGTCCTGATGAAGACGCTCTCAGGCTCCGAGTCGCAGGCCAGATTGCTTGTAGGTCCGGGAGACGGTCTGTGGCACGATGGGGCGATTGGGAGAAGCTGTTGTGATCCTATCTAATGCTATCGAACTCTGCCAACGACATCTCGCAAATGCGTCCGAATCGCATTCACAGGCCGCCGACGTGGACCCTGCGGCGCTACGACGCTCACAGGACGCTCCCAGTTCCCAAGTTCCCAGGAAGAGCCACTCGTCGTCGTTTCTTGCCCGCTTTCTCCGATATAGGCACCCGATTGGCCACGCTCTCGTCCGTCGTCAGGCCCGCACGGAGATAGCACGGACACTCCTGTCGGACGGTGTCGTTCGGTGTGTGCCGAAGGGCCGGTGAGCCATGGAGATACTCAAAAGTTTATAATTTCGTTCCCGACATTCCGACCTGCTCGACACTGCCATTCTCAGGTCCGTCAGGGTCCGCTTGGGGTCCGCGAAACAACGAACGGAAATGCCTTCTGGCCGGCAGACCTGATTCAGATGACTGCCCACTCCACCGGTTCGGGACGATGAGCGGTCTCCCTGGCACGGTCGATGTGGCAATCCCCCATGCGTATGCTGTGTTCCGGCCCTGCATAGTTTGACCGGAGGCATCCCCGCCTGACATCACGGGAGCAACGTTGTCAGGCAAGGTGTACCGATGCCATCGTTGCGGCATCATTGGCGCCGCAGGGTGGTCAAACACCTCACGGATATTCTGTGCGCCTTCGGCGAGTCGATAACATCTTATCTACCTTCATTTTGCCCTCACTGACATACTTCCGCTGCTTCCTGTTTAGTTCCCCCTGCCGCCACCTCGGTGTCTCTCTGAGCACGAGGCTCTGTCTATATTGGCTGTGCCAATACAAATAACCTTGTGTGCATGGAGGTCTTCGCATTGTGCTTGACGTCTCTATGACCACCGCGCTGCTCTCTTCTTCTCCACAACTCTACGCTATTTGAGCTTCCTGCTCTCAGTGCTTCCATCGCCTCTTCCAATGGACCCAGACAAGTCTCCCCCTCTTCCCTCGGACCGTCCGGCTCCGCAGCGGAGGATGGCTTCCCCCCCAGAACGTATCCCTCTGGCTTCTGCCGTTCCTGGATCCAGTCAGCCGTCTAGCCGTTCACAGACGACACTGCCTCCTATCCACCAGTTGCATCCGGGGCTCGCGCATACCGCCATGCAACCTCCCTCACCTCAAACGAACCTTTCATACATGCAGGGCGCAACCTACCCATTGGCATCTACAAGCAGTCTAGGTGCGTTGTTCGCATCGCAAAGTCCCGCGCCGCCTCATCCGCGTGATCTTTGGTCTTGATATTAGGAGTCCGTCCTGCGCCGGAAGACTCTGACCAGGAGGGGGGTCGAGGTCGTCCTGAGAAGCAGAAGCGGCGTCGACAAGCTCTCAGTTGCACTGGTGCGCTAGGTCGACGTTTCGTGCAGCGATCATCTGCTGACACAAGGCATAACCTGCTCGCCTCGTTATCGCGTACTAATCTATGTGCGCTATGCTCTGCACGGCACGATCGGATTTCAAAGAATGCAAACGGCGAAAGATCAAGTGCGATAGGTTCGGGATTGTTTCAGCTATGTTCGCAGAGTTTGTACTAGGTGTTAACACGACCTTGTCCATATAGGGCCAATCCATGCGGACCTTGTGTCCGGAGAGGGGAACAGTCGAAATGTCAGTGGCATATCATTGAGCCAATGTACGTCTGGGCGTTACTTCCAGCACGCTAAGACTGATACAACGTCATGGTCGTCAGGGAGAAGTATGTCACCCGAGCCGAATTCGATGAGCTCAAGGCGCGAGTTCAGGAGCTAGAGGCCGTCTTGCGCGGGGGGCCCTCCACGCCATCGTCCTCCGCGCCAATCCCGCGCAGGACTAGTATCTCCGCTATGATGCCGATGACCTCGGGACCAACACCAGAGCCCGTTCAAGGCACCGCGATCACGCCGTATCAGGCATACGGTGCCTCAGGCGCTGTCTCGTCCTATCCGCTCCGCCCAGCTTCGCCTCGGTCGCCTGTGCGAGGAGGCGAGCCTGCACCCTACCACCGCACACTAAACACAGGAGCAACTCGAAGCCCCCCAGTTGCATATCGGGGACCTCCACCGATTCCGAGTGGCAGTGGCACCGCCGCACGCGCCGGACCTAGTGTGCCGCCACCGCCTGCGCCCACCTCACCGTACGTCCCTAGTGCTTCGTCGCCTCGTTCACCACCCAAGCCTGTGTCCCCGAACCTAAGCACGCTACGCGCGTCAGTCCCGAGGCGACAGTCCATATCCTTAGCGGATCTCACCACTCCTTACAATACTGAGCCTAAGCCGCCAAAAAATTACAGCGCGCAGACGATAGCGCTGCCGGGCCTTCGTCTGCGCCCATCTCCGCCCCTAGGCCCGGACCCCCGCCCTACCACCATCGTCGATACCCGCCGACGGGTGCAGGTATAGAACCCGTTCCCCCTGCGCGGCCGCCCTCCGCCCATACATTACCATTCCCTCATGCACATTCTTCTCGTCCTCACTCCCATTCCCAGCCTCACCAGTCCGAGCCTCAGTCCTCACGTTCTCTCACGAGCGCTTCGTCTCCGAACATACCCCGGTTACCCGGTCCATCCGCGTCGTCTAGCTCATCTCCAGGTCGCTCGTCTCGTAGTAAGGAACACCCTGAAGATCGTTTCGCTGCGCCTCCACACGACTCCGCGTGAGAACCGTGGAGGCCATAGTCATTTTCTGTATACTTGGCGCGTCGTGCGACGCGTCTCGTCCCTCATCTGCCTTCCCCATGTCGTCCGTTGTTTCACACCTTCTGCCATTGGGTGCTCAGGATTCAGACACCCTGCGCAATTATTGTACGGTCCTACTCTCAGGGTACGTTAGTCGATATTTATCATGAGCCCGAATGCCGAAGCCGAAGCGAATTGTACAGTATCGTGTGTAGACTCAACGCGTACCGCAGCAATATGCCACTGACCAACTGTATCCGCTACGTGTACCTCATCCACCATGTGTATCATATGACTTTCACAAGTGTATGTACGTCTGTGCGCAATAATCATCTCGTTTCGCAAGCATCTACACCTAGCCTTTCGCTCGTCCGATCTCCCATTTTTCGTATTGCTCGCACACAGTCACCTGTTTCCACAACCCAGATCAATTAGGGATGGGGCATATGCATATATTGAGATTGGAATAGACAAGCATAGCGTTTCGTAAGGCGTGATATATTTCGGGAGGGGCATTGATTCGGGGACATGACGATGGCCACTACAAGGACTGACATGATGGGCATACGTAGGAAAAGGCACAGGAGATCGATCGGGGTGAACGGGCGCAGCGGCTTGGAGTTGAGGTAAGAAAGCTCCTACCAGCATCAATCATCACTCCGGTCATGAGGCACCGGGCGGGAGGCTATCCAGCACCTTAATGACGAGTATCCAAACTCCAGCTATCCGGAAGAATGGGACGGGCGGTTCGATGTTCTGCGCTATCGAGCGCCACGACACGTCCGCAGCGGCCTATCGGCGCCGAGGTACGCGCGCGTCGGAAACGCGGGGGGCAGATCCAAGATGCGACGCTGCAGCCCGCAGATGGACAGGAAAGGCGGCCAAATACCGTTCGACCCGTGAACGCAAACCATAGGCGGTGGCTGACCGGGCGACGCTTCTGGTGACGGACTAGAAGACGGTAACGCCGCTCTGCGTGCCGGTGTACTGCGACTTCATGTCATCTAGATCGGTGCCGTCGTCCTGAGACTTGTAATCGTACTGCGACAAGCTGCCCAGATCTGAAGCGCCAGTAGTTGACGAGAAGGATGAGCGACGTTGCAATCTATCAGATTGCGAATACGTCATCCCTCCAGGGCGATCGGATGCGCCGACCGCACTGCCCACGACGCTTGAAGCGTCAGTTCCTGCGGGGCCAGCATCTTGAGAGATGATAGAACTCGCGTAGCTCCCATACGTGCTGCGTTTCACGCCATTCTGGCGTTGTGCTCCCGGCCCGAACGGACCGGTAGCGGCAAACATTGGAAGCCCCGAAGAGTACGTTGCCTGAGAGCGGAGTGACTGCACGTCGGAAGGAATGTAGCTCATTGCATCGTGGGTCCGGTAGAAACTCGCATCGAAGCGGCTGGGAGTCCCGGATCTCCGCCCTTAATTGGGTCATTGTCAGTTGACGTCAGCGATACCCATGTAATTGGGACGCTAACGTACCATCACCCATCATACCACCATTGCCGAGATAATCCCTTGCGCTCGTCTCATGGCGGCGGAATTGATCCATGGCCTTGCCTAGGGTACGCCGCGGCTTGCTGAACTGTATCATGCTCGGCTGAAGGTTGTTAAGCGGCCCTTCGACGAGACAGTTCTTCTCCTTGTAGTGCGTCAATAGGTAATGCCAAAGCGGGTGCTATCGTGTGAACGGCAATGAGTACGGCATGGCAACGCTCGGACTTAACGCAGACAAGTTCTCACCTTGGATAGAACCTTCGGATTTCCCAGAATCACCACGCCGTACTTCGCGCGCGTGAGTGCGACGTTGAGGCGCCGTGGGTCGTTCAAGAAACCGATTCCCTGATGCTCGTTGCTCCGCACGCAGCTCAGGATGATGTAGTCCTTCTCTCGACCTTGGAACGCGTCAACGCTCGCAACTTCTATCTCCTTGTATAGGTCCTTCTTCAGCGATCCGTTGAACTGCATGTAGTTCACGATGTATGATCGCTGGCCTTCGTACGGCGTGATGACACCGATCTGGCTGGGGACAACACCCGACTTGAAGAACTTGGTCACAATCTTCTCGACATTAGACGCCTCGGTTCTGGTGATAGACGTCAGAATAGCAGGCGAGTACGTAAGAGCAAAATTAAAACGCGCCTGTTCAGGAAGGACGTTCCGCTAGATGAGATCTCCTCCTGACCCAGGTTCTGATAGAAGAACATGGGGGTGTCGGGCACGGGCCACGGGAAGTCAACGTTCTTCCTGAGCCGCTCGGGGGCAGTAACGCCATTCTGAAGAGTGCCTTCGTAGAACATGTTCGAAGGGAACTCCGACAGGCACGGGTGCATGCGGTACTGCACTTGTAAACGTATGGGACGGTTTCCAAGGACGACGAGTCGTTCGAACAGCGACTGCGTCAAGCCCGCGCGTGCCGCCTTCTTATTCATGATGACGGGTCCGAGTTGCTGATCAAATGATGCAGTCAATCGCATGTCTTGTAATGCTCTTATTCAATCTAGCGCAAACGCACCTGATGATCTCCAACAAGAACTACCTGCTTGCAACCGAGTACAAGAGGGATCATGCATTCTACATTGGGGTCGTGGCGGTTAGCCGGCTTAAAAGTGACAGGGGAAGAAGTTTAGCATACCCGGCTCGGCCGCTTGCGTAGCCTCATCGATGAGAACGGTCCTGAACTTCAGTTTGCTGAGGCGTGGGTCCCCAGCACCGACGCAAGTGCAGCAGATAACATCAGCGGCGCCGAGTATCTCCTTTTCACACTGGCGGATAAGCGCCTTGTACTTCCGCTCATCGTTCGAGCTCAGCTCGCCCTGCTCATTCTTGAGCTGGATGAGCTTCTGCAGCTCAACGTGGGTCGTATTGTTTGCAACTTGCTGGTGAAGAGTGAGGAAGGACACGGAAGAGTCCAGTGCCTCGCGGGACTTGGCGCTGAGTCGCACGACCTTCAACCCCGTGGCGTGGATCTTCTCGGTCAGCTGGTCGACGGCGACATTGGACGGCGCGCAGACGAGGACTTGTCCGGGATTCATCTTCGCCAGGTGGTAGACGATAGAAGCGGAAGTTACCGTTTTTCCCGTCCCCGGCGGGCCCTGGATGAGACTGAGAGGCTTCTGGAGGACGCTCTTAACGGCATACATCTGCGAATGGTTAAGTTCGGGCAGGCCAGGGGCTGAGAACCGTTTAGGCATCTGAGTGCGGAGAACCTGCGGCTCGAGCTCGTGTCCGAGAAGTTTGTGATACTACGAAGACGCGTGTGAGTGCCATTTGGCCATTGAGGCAATTAGGATAATGTGGGCGCTCACGATGTACCCGCTGACACTCTTTTCGTCGACGGCGAACGTCTTCATTGCCAGCTGCATCCTGTCAAAGCTTGTGGATTTCCACACGAAATCCGCGGTATACCCATGCGTGATCTCCGTCGGGACGCCTTCCGACCGCCTTAACTCCAGCCCAATCTCGTCCGATACATCTAGCGCGCATATAATGAGTAGATTTCGGGCATGCGACGTAATACAACACATACTGTTCGGAATCTTGATGACGTGCCCGTCACCCTCCCAAGGTTTATGCAGACCTCCGTTGTACTTGAGCCGGAGCTCGTCGCCGACCGCAAGTCGGACTTCGCCGCTCTCAAGCTTGGGCAAGCAGAACCAGGCAACGCGCTTCTGGTTGAGACCGAGATCCCAGCGAATGGTGATATCGGTCTGGGTCAGCGATTCCTTTAACCGCTTGTCATAGTCAGCTTCAATCTTCACGAGCGGCCCGAAGATGTTCTGATACTGGTAAGCGTCTTCATAGTGCGTGATGACAGGCTGGGGTTCGTCGTCTACACCGGGCTTCTCGAGATCGTCAAGAGTGGCATTAGCATTTTCGCGCCACAAATCTTCAAGCCTATTGATTTGCTGGAAGGAAATCTGGCGGGATCTGAGCTGTTCTTGTTCGCTCGGGGGCTTTACCAGCCAGGAAAGGAACGAGCGGTCGTCGATGAGAGGAGCCCAAAGCGCCGGGTTCCAGGAGATGTCTTTGGAAACTGCGGCACAGGGTTGGCTGCGGTAAGGCGCATGAGAGAAGCAACTTTAATGGAAGCAATTAGGAACACGCACCGACACAGAAGGACGACGACGGTGTCACTCTTGGCAGGAATGAACCCAAGCATGAACACATTCTTGCTACCGCAGTTGTAGCACTCGGGGATAGTCTCCCCGAGCGGGCTTTCGCTGTGGAGAATAACCTCCTTGTGCTTCGCGCGCACGAGGTGGTTCACGATGTGAGATGCGGAAGTGTTGCCCCTGGAATTGCAGAACCACTTGGAGCAAATAAGACACTTGACTACTGAGGCGGGCGAGTGGATGCCGCAGTAGCTACGGCAAATTAGACGCGAAATACCGGACCCGGGACCATACTTGACTCACCTGCATGCATGCGGCGGCAAATCTACCTGTCCTTCGTCCTTGAGGTCATCCAAGACCGCGTCAAAGTCCTCATCTATAGCATTTCGACTTGGAGTCTTGTTGTGGACAGCGTGCGAGTGCCCGTTGGGGGAGGACGTGAATGAGCGATCATCCGTAATCGAGAGGCTTTCCAAATCGACCGGAACGCGGCTTGCGTTAGTTGTATTTGCGGTATAGACGGAAGAGGTGTCGTCCACTACACTCATGCCACCGTAAGACGATGCAGAGTCATATTGAAAGTTTTCGAAGGTATCCATAGCGGTAAGAGCGAGAGAGAGAAGTGGTGCAGAGAGAAGCAAGAGGCGAGTGCCGCACTTCCGGAACGAGCTCCTTGCTAAGCTTGTCAAGCCTGCAGCCCGTGGCTTCCACGTGGTTATCTCCTCACGTGCACTCACTCGATTTCAGATGGGCGCTTATCGTCTCAAGCTTGCATCTGAGCACTCCGAGGAGCTGCATCGACCATGGCAAATCTGCGAAGCAACGGGCGATTGCCAGAGCCCGAGGTTATTGCAAACGTATGGAATCTTCTTTGAAACCCATGGCCTGGTTCTCACCCAACAATTGTCAGTTCTTGGACGGGAACTCGTATTCGAAGGGCAAGCTGGAGGAGGCATTCCGCACGCTGCGGCTCGACAAGCCTTATCCCAAGCCCGTCAAGGCCGCCCCGGCATCGCACAGGGCTGAGGACATCGATTTGATCGTGAGTGCAAGGTAGACGGATGCCAAATGACTACTATATTCATCGGCGCTGCAGGTTCAGGAATTCGAGGTCACACGGGCACAAGCCGAGAAGGTCCTGACGGAAGTAAATGGCAATATCGGGGAGGCATTACAACGTCTGCTAGCAATATGACGCCTTGCGAAGACGAACGGGATGTAGATCATAAACGAGCCCTGTACTACGGACAAAACCCTACTCCTTGAAACTCATGTTATGCAGCACGTTGAGAAGCCTCTGCGCGGGGATGTTGTGGTCTTGGGGCGTGAAGTCTACCTGCTTTGGACGTGGTTGCGAGGTCATGCTGACAGAGTGGTCGCGCTGCTTCTTTTCGAGGTATGCGACGTACTCCCTCGTGCCAGGAGGGTGTGGGTTCGTTCCCGACTTGTACGGGACAGTGGGGCCATCGATGCGGACGCTGGTCCGTAGACTCGCACCCTCCAATCCTTCGGGCCTGGCACCTACGACTTCGGGTGTGGAGTCTAGAGTTGCGCCAGTGAAACGGAGCGTGATGATTTGGTTGCCCTCCTCGCCCTTCGACCCAACAGTTAACCTGGAAGTCATGCCTGCGGAGGCGACGGCATAGAACTGTGCCTGACGGTCCGTTCCGGGGTCTCCAAGGATGCGTCCCACATGAGGCTTGGTAGTGTTGAAGGTCTGCACATCGGGAGCATGCGAGTAGGAGAGCCCGGCGTAGCGATGTGGCTGTTGCTCGATGTAGCGAGGATGTTTCTTGTGGTACTCCTGATATGCGTGGCTCTCGAGGAATTCCCGGAAGTCATCGCCGCCACGGAGTGAGTGCTGAAACAGCGTCTTACTGCTGATAGGATGGTTCTTGTACTTCTTCCGGAGGAAGTTGTGGAACGCAGGGCGCAACGACCTGAGGTGCTCGAGGTACTGCTCGAACTCCTTCTCCGACATCGCATCAAGATTCGGCACGGCGTAGCTCTTCTTCACCAGCTCTTCCTCCTCTTCCTCTGCCAGCTCCTCGTATAGCCCGTCCTCCTTCTGGGTCTCGACCGTCTCCTGATGCACGAACTCGGAGTCCGCCAGGAAGCTGACCTCGGCACCCAGCGTACCCACTTTCTGCTCCCACTTCGTCAGGTTCTCCAACTTCGGCCTGACCCCAACCTCGTCCCACATCCTAATCCACCTGTTCTCCTGCTCCGCTGATCTCCAGACCGTCTGCTGCTCGCGCGAGTCCACAGCTTGGACAGTGATGTGAGCATTCCTCCTCCGTAGCGCGAGGGGCCGCTTCAGCCCAAAGTTGCCACGCGCAGCATGGCCGTCAAAGGCCGTGTAGACCTGACCAATGTGGGGGTCGTAGGATGCGAATTTTGATCGTCGAAGGAGGGCAGCAAACTGAGACGGCGGAGGGGTGGCCATGTAGACTGGCTCTGACGAGGAAGGATGGGCGCCAACAGCAACCTGTGTAGCGGACTTTACAGAAAACATCGCCGCTTCGGCTGATGCCGGGGCGTGTATAAAGAAGCTCATGTGTGAGTGCCTGCCAACCAAAACCATCGACGTCAAATTGCTGTCCTTTCCTTGCTTGCCCTCACAGGCGTTGCTTCTCGTGGGTTGGACGGTCCAGACAAGCGTTGCAGAGCAAGCTGGATGTCTCAAAAACAATCTTCGCTGATTGCTTCTCCCTCTGGTTGAGAGGCGAGGACGCAGGATCACCTGGGGATCATCTACATTTTACGGTGGCACTATGCTACGCATTGTATGGAAGCAGAGTCCGGGCAATATATCCTTGTGAGTCCTCTATCTGCTGGCGATGAACGGAGGGAACCTGTGACGAAAAACCTGGTAAAACAACGCACCCACCCGTGCAACCTCTCGCGCGACTGCAGGCGCTCATCATGGCGAGAGCTGTTCGAGGGTCTGCGACCGTCGTGGGATTGGTTGCATGTCGTTGGGCTTGCCCAATGTTCATCTTCACAATGTGTGGGGTGTGTATGAAGAGGTAAAGGCGAGGCTGAGGTTCCCTCCGTTCGTTACGATGGCTGAAAACGTCCCCATTCTGACTGCTTCATCGTAGGTCGCAGACAGCTGGGAAAATTTACCTGCTTCTTCCCGAAGGTTGTAAGCTGCAGCGTGAGGCTGCCTGCGAGTATAAGTACGTGTAGGAGTTGTCCTGTAAGCACATAGGATAGGCATGTATCAGAATTCGAGTAGCACGATGACTCCAGAGGAATCTGTTCCGCGCAATGTGATTGATATTGATGCGTACGAGCGGATGCCGGCAAATTTGATGCGGGCAAGGGGCTTCGGGCGCTTGAGGCTGAGCCGAAGCGCCTGGGGTCGTCGCAATACGGGCGATGCGAGCATGCGTCGCTTCTCCCAGTGGTTCGCTTCCTCCCCATCGTCCACGACGACGACGAGCTCCACGCGCAGTCAGTCTGCTCTTGACGCTGCTAGCTGTCCGGCATAGCTGGCCAGCTGCCCCTCTCTTCCTGCCGTGATCACTCGCAGACTTGCGCCCGGCCCTCTTGGTTAGTGTATGGCCGAACATCCGGTACTTCCGCGCACAGTATCTAGCATCGGCATGTCCGCCCCGCCCTCTCCAGACATCTACCACAGGGCGTATCCAACCCTTCGCGCAAGCACCGCTTCCTTCGTCTCGCTCGACGATGGTGCACCCGGCTCGAGACCCCCGTCTTCCCGTTCAAGTCCTCGGCTGACACCCATACTCCCCGCTGTCGACACTACCGAGCTGCCGACGATCAACTCGCCCTCGAGTGCGGCGGCGGCGAAACCTTTGGAAGCAGGGAGTGGTCCGACTGTCTGTGGTATGCCATTGAAATACGTGTCGTAAGTCGTACTCTTGTGCTTCCGTCATAGGACTTTACGAGTGTTAATCACCGGCGGTCAATTTCAACAGATTGGTCACGCTCGCTGTCCAGAATGCAGCCCTGTCAATCGTCATGCACTACTCACGAGTGTCAATGCCCGCTGCGCAGTCATATTCGCCTGCGACTGCCGTGCTCCTGAACGAGATATTGAAGGGTTCCATATCCTTCGTCATCGCGTTCCTCCGGGTTGTGTATGCTTCGGACGCATCCGGACTAGGTCCCGCAGGTTGGTTCTTCGCCTTCCGGCGTGTGTGCCACGAGATCTTCAGCCCGGACTGCTGGAAGCTCTCCATCCCCGCACTCCTCTACGTCGTTCAGAACACGCTCCAGTTCGTGGCGATCAGCAACCTGCCGGTCGCGACGTTTCAGGTGACATACCAGATGAAAATCCTCACCACAGCCGCTTTCTCCGTTGCGCTCCTCCGGAAAAGGCTGTCGTCCTCAAAATGGATCTCACTCTTCCTTCTGGCTATTGGCGTTGGCATCGTCCAGCTCCAGACCCTCGCTACCCGAGCAGTCCCCGCCAACACCCCAGTCGGCAGCGCACACGACTCAGCCCCTCTGCACATCCACATAATGAGCCCCCTGAAGGGCTTCGGCGCAGTGACGGCGGCGTGCTTCACGTCTGGACTTGCCGGTGTTTACTTCGAAATGGTACTCAAAAATTCGAAGGCGGACCTCTGGGTTCGTAACGTGCAGTTATCATTATTTTCGCTTCCCCCCGCCATCTTCCCCATCTTCTTCGAGACGCATCACCCAGCTCACGGCGGTATCCTGGCCAATCTGCTCAGGCATTTCGGTGGATGGGCGTGGGCTACGGTCACCATTCAGGTCTTCGGTGGTCTCATCACGGCCATTGTCATCAAGTATTCGGACAACATCCTGAAGGGATTCGCCACGAGTTTGTCAATCGTGCTATCTTTCCTCGCGTCTGTCGTGCTCTTCGGCTTCCACATCACCCCCACGTTCGTCACTGGTTCGACTGTAGTGCTGGTCGCGACGTGGATGTACAACCAGCCCCCGGGGAAGGAGCTCGTTTCCATTACGAGCGTCATACCTGCAAAGACTGGGACGTCCTCGTTCCCCGGTACGCCCGTTACGCGCGATGCGCCTATCCTCGGACAGTTCCCGACGGAGAAGAAGAGAACGTCGCCTTTCGGCAGCCCACGGGTATTCGCAAGTGCACTCGGACTAGGTGAAAAGCCTGAAAGCGGCTCTGAACGCTTCGGCGAAACGCTGGACACCACACGGTACCTGAATGCGCCATACGGCTCCCCCTTCCCCTCGCGGACGCCCTCTCCGATCCCCACTCCGCCTTATCCTCCTCCCGCCAATCCTTCCTCTAGTTTCGGTTCGCAGAATAGCGGACGGTGGCAATAATACGTCTATTGTATACGAACAGCCTAGCTCATGCACTAGCTCACGAGTACGCACACGATACCCCCAACTGCGAATGCCATCCCCCTCTGCAACTGCAAAGACTTTTGCAACACGTAGACACCGCCTTTCGTCATGAATCTAGCACACACCGTTGTCCAGGTCACGTACGGAGCGCCCCTATATCGTATGGATGGCACGAGCACTAGACTAGTTACGATAGTTGGTCTTCTGTATAATGTTTTGCGCCGCTTTTGCTTGCTTGTCTGCCCAGTTTGCGAGATACCAGCATGTCGTACCCAGTACACGCCTGCCAAGTCATGACCGTCCGTTCTGTTTCATACTTCATATCATACCCCAGTCCACGATCAACCACCCAGCTTGTTATGTTATCGTTGGTCTCGCACATTCACATTCACGTTGTCCGTAGCACGAGCGCTTCTCTCCTTCCTCCCAAACTCGCATTGATACTTGCCGCCGGCCACGTACCACTCCACTTACCAGCGACGAGCTCGTCACTATGTCCGTAGACCTCGAATGGAATAGACTCGACTCGTCACTGGCTTCGACTCTGGCAGATCTTATCAACAGGCAACTCGCAACCACTCCCCGGCCGTCGTTCATTGGGCCCATCGAGGTCACGTCCTTCGACTTCGGCTCGAACGCGCCGGACATAGAGCTCGTCGACCTGCGCGACATCTACCGAGATTTCCTAGAGGATGACGAAGAGGAAGAGGACGGCACCCACGGCGCTCCCGTGAAGGTGACAGAGTTCCCGGACGACGATGGGTTCGAGTGGGTCTCCCGCAAGGCCGCGCGCGGCAAAGGTGTGGGGGAGGACGGCCCCGCATACCATCTCCTTCCACCGCATGTACGCTATGGGATGGGCCCCGGGATGGGGGGCATGGGCATGGGTATGGACATGTTGCACTCAACACCGTTCTTGCGCTCCCCGAGGGACATCTGGAGCCCCGCATTCACAAGCCTGGCCGACCTGAGGCCATCATACCCCTCCCCTTCATTATACCTCTCTGCTATGTCTGCCGTATCTAATGCACCACCTCAATCAATTTCTGCGAGTCGTACACCACCCATGCTTGAAAGAGGTATCTCCAGAGGCGAGCTCGAATCCCCATCCCCGTCCCCGTCTCCTCCCTCCGAGCCGTCCCCTCCGAAGCCGCCACAGCACCCCAACATCCAATCCCACCTCCACATCACCTGGCAGTCAAATCTCCGTATCACGCTAACCACCTCTCTGCTCATCAACTACCCGTCTCCGATGTTCATGTCCCTCCCAATCAAGCTGTCCGTCACAGGCCTTATCTTCAACGGCGAAGTCGTCGTCGCGTACGAGGGTGAGCGCAAACGCGTGCACCTCTGCATCGTCGACGAGCTCGATCCGTACGGGCCCCTAGGCAGCGACCGTCCGAAGCGCGACACGCCGTCCTCAGGCACTCCGGTCGAAGCGGAGGACGAGGCGCCCGCGTCTGCCGGGGCAGGTGGGGGCACCAGGGCGGGCAAGCCGTTGCCCATCGGCCAACGACTGCTCCCGTCGATTTACATCGAGAGCGAGATTGGGCAGGCAGACAAGCATGTTCTGAAGAATGTCACACGTGTAGAGCGGTTCATCCAAGACGTGATCCGCAAGACGATCGAGGAGGAGCTCGTCTTCCCCAACTTCCAGACGTTCGTTCTCGGGGACCAAGAGCCCGAGGATGAGCCCTGACCGGTGAAATGATGAAGTGTTCGGGTGGAAACCGGGTTGCGCAGACTAATCATACGGATACACCATGATTGCGAAAGAATTGCTACAATACATGTACTATTACAAGTGTGTGTAACGGACTCACGGTCTGCTATGGACTACAACAACGATTTGCTCATGTATGGGCCATCGAGCTCGTATCCCAGCCGACGATAGTAGTCTCGCGTGCCAACACCTGACAAAGTTCCGTCAGTCCCCAAGGTTAAGATTGGGCGCGGGGGTACATACCCGAGATGACAGCTAGCTTCACACTGCCATGCTCTTCACGGGCTATCCTTTCCGCCTCCTCCATCAGCAGCGTGCCGAAGCCCTGTGTCCCAACATAGGTCAGCATCACCTTGTCCATGACCTACGAAAATAGAATTTGCCCTGAAGAATCTTGTGTCTAACGCACCTGATGCTGGAACTTTGTTGGATCGCGCCCGTGCACAGGGACAGCAGTACCATACACATGCAGCTCTCGAACGATACTGCACCCGCCCTCCTCCTGCCGCACCAGCTCCGGCCGGAATGTACCCTCGTCAGAACACTTCCGCAGCCGAAGAAGCCCGATGAGGATATCTCGCTCCGGATCCTCGTAGGACAGGAATGTCTCCCAACCCCCGTTGGCAGTATAGTCCCGACGGAGCAACTCCACGGATTCCGGACGGACCTTGTGGTGAATCTCGTGGATCTGTAGCACGAGTTGCAGAGTGTGCGGGTGGATGCGATGAGGCGATGGACGATGACCACGATTTACCAAGATTGGTAATGATGTGGACGAACGACCGCAGTTAATGCGGCGTATGATAATGGTGTCATGAATGGGGAAAACCGGCATGCGTATCGAATTCATCACGTCACCCAAAAGTTAGCGACTGCAAGACGTTTGCGGGGAGTCACTGAGAAAGGACGTACACCGACTTCCCGGAAGCGCACATCACGGCATTCCGCCCCGAAGTCCTTCATGCGGTTCAACGCCAGTTCTCGGAGGTTCCCAGAATTCTCGCAGCCGCTGGTGACGAGCGGAAGCGGAATGTCTCTGCGATCGGTGTCAGTAGACGAAGTCTATCAATGGCCAGTGTGGCCACGGCTTCTAACCCACCTCTGCACTCGATACACGCGTGTCCACGGAGGCACTAGCGCTAGAATCCGCGCGACGACGTCAACGAGGACGTTAGGCGTGTAATTCTTGTATCTCCCAGTGCGCCACAATTCGTAAAGCCCTGTGCCGCGGATTACAAGGGTCGGATAGATTTTGAGTCCGTCGCTTCTGAATGCAGGGTTCTCGAAGTACTCCTTGAATTGCTCCAAGTCACGCTCGACACCGACGTTGGGCAGATCGGGCATCATGTGGGCAACGACCTTGAAGCCTGCGTCCTTGGCCAGGTGGAATGACTCTGTGACCGCACGGACGGTGTGGCCGCGGTTCGTATCACGTGCGACGTCCTCGTACACCGACTGCACACCAATCTCAAGACGAGTGCACCCGTACCGCAACATCTGACTGCGGCGGGTATGAGTCCGACTGTTATCGATGGAACGTTAACGTATGCGAGCTACGTTACCTGAGGTGAGGCCGCAGGCAGTAGTCGGGACGTGTCTCTATCGTGATGCCGATCGCCTTCGACTTGCTTAATTCCGAGTAGCTGAGAAGAGAGTTTAATGAACGGCTCTGCCAGGATAAGGAGCCGGCGGCACTGACCGAACAGCCTCGTCTACATCCAATCCGGTAAATCCGGATAACGCGTTGTGCAGTTGCGCAATGAAGGCGTTCCTGTAGTCTTCTGGCATGCTCATGAACGTGCCTCCCATGATGATGAATTCAACCTGACAAGTGGCTGAGTGACAGCAATTTATGCTGTGAAGATTACGACAAACCTTGTCCACATTGTGCCCAAGGCTTTTGAGCTGCTCTACGCGGCCTCGTGTCTGTTCATACGGGTCATACCGCGCTCGGATAGCACGCATACTCGTAGGCTCGTATCCAGTATAGCTTTGCGTGCTGTAATCGAAGTCCGAGTCGGGTCCTCCTGGACAGTATCTGCAGGGTCATCAGCGGCCTCTCCGGCAAAAGACGAAGGTCCACCGTACACGCAGATGTTGCCAGTCATGGCGATGTGCGGACACCGATGGGGCTTGCACATAACAGCTACCACTGCGATCTTTCGCATCTGTGAGCATGCTCATTCGCAGAAGCCTTGATCGACGTACTCCACTCGCTGTCCTGATAGGACGAGCTCTGAGCTTCGGCAACAAGGCCTTCTTGTAGTCGTCCGGTATCGCACTGATGATGTCCACCAGCCTTGGAACACCGCCGAATCCATACTTCTTGCTCATTTTCGCGCGGAGTTCGTTCAGTGAGACAGTTTGATTTGCATCGTGCGCCTTGATGAGCTCAGCTGCGATGCCAGAGGTAACTCGCAGCAGCGTTTCAGCCTGCGAGGGGCCTATGTGCCGATGAACAGGCAATTAGCGGAGATGTAAACGAAGTACCACACCTTCTGTCCTCGTCCTTTGCACCATACTCTTCCTGATTGTCCCGTATGTGATGTAACTTCAAATAATAAGGCGGTACCAAGCGCGTTCGGGATTCTCTGATTGGTTCTTTGTTTGGGACAAGCAGAATGAGCCGCGAGGCAGATGAGGGTCGGTGCAAAGAGCTGCAGCCACGGGATCCGCGCCGGCGGGAGAGCGCTGCCGCCTACGGAGCGCGAGCGCGGATTTGGCGAACAGACGTCCAACTCACCCGTTCCCATGTACAGCGACACCGACCATTAGTCCACGACCACCCTACGATCTCTGGAGTCATCCTCGCGACACAAAGCTACTTGTTGCATGCGCACATAGACAACGAGCCTCGCTGATGCTTGTCAATGCCCCCGCCTACTGTCGTCGACCCATGGTTTTCCTCGCGCCGCTTCGGAGTTGTCATAGACGCAGGCTCGTCAGGGTCGCGCCTGCAAATATATAGCTGGAAGGATGCGCGCACCGTCCGCCAAGAGCAAGGTCCAGATGCGCTACGAACTTTGCCCCAGGTTGGGAAGGGGACGGAGAACGGAGAGGAATGGTCTCTGAAAGTCGAGCCAGGTACGTGAGAGCAGAAGCCTGCGTCCCGCGTAGTAGGCCTAAGAAGCATGCCCATAAAACTAGGTCTTTCGTCGTTCGCGGACGATGTAGATGGTATAGGGGCGTACCTCGCGCCGTTACTTGAACATGCAAGGACACACATTCCCCCGTCTCTGCAACCTGACACCCCGCTGTTCCTTCTGGCTACGGCAGGAATGCGTCTTCTCACTCCCGGAAAGCAGGCGCAGGTTCTCACTTCCACGTGCCAGTTCCTCAAGTACCACTCCAACTTCAAGATTGATGATCCCTCACCGAATGGACCGTGCGGCTCTAGTGTTCGTATCATCACGGGCGAGGAGGAGGGGTTGTTCGGATGGATAGCCGTCAACTACTTGATGGACGGATTCAACGGTTCGGATGACACTCGTTTGACTTATGGTTTCCTGGACATGGGTGGGGCCTCCACGCAGATCGCATTCGAACCGAGCAAAGAGGAGCAGGAGCGGGCGAAAAATCTCCTAGACGTTAGGCTACGTCTCCTTGACGGTAACGAAATCCACCACAAAGTGTTCGTCACCACATGGCTAGGCTATGGTACGAACCAGGCGCGGGAGCGCTATGTTGGGCGACTCATCAATGAGTACGAGGCCAGCCGGGCACTTTCTACCGACTCAGAGGAGCACATCGACGACCCTTGTCTCCCGAAGGACCTCGTCGTCTCGAACACACCTGTGCAGCCGGACTCTGCATCCGCACATGCCAAAAACACTCACAAGTTCGTCGGGACGGGGTCCTGGGAGCAGTGCCTAGAGAAAACGCTCCCTCTACTGAACAAAGACGCCCCCTGTCCGGATTCTCATTGCCTGTTCAATGGCGTGTCCGTGCCGGTCATAGACTTCAAGGCGTCACGCTTCATTGGCGTTTCTGAGTACTGGTACTCGACGGAGCAGAGCTTCGGGCTTGGTGGGGCCTACGACTTCGTACAGTACGAGCGCGCGGCGTCCGAATTCTGTGCTCAGGATTGGACCCGCATCCTCGGGGAACACGAGGAGGCGCGGAAGAATGGACAAGGACGTCTCGGCGGCGATGGTGAGGTCGAGGAAGGTGGAGTCATCGTCGACACAGGCAAGTGGGGGCTAGACGTGGAGATCCCGCGGCTGCAGATGCAATGCTTCAAGGCAGCATGGATCGTGAACGTCCTGCATGAGGGAATTGGGGTGCCCCGCATTGTCGACGTAGGAGGGAATGTCACCACCGGTGGAGAGGAGGTCACAGCTCAGGCACAAACGAAAGGTCTCGGTCGACCGTCTTTCCAATCGATGGACAGTGTCGGCGACATCGCGATCAGCTGGACGCTGGGCAAGATGGTCCTTGAAGCCAGCAGAGAAGTCCCTGCGGCGTCTGCAGGGGCCAAACCCATCGTAGATCCCCTCGACGATATTCCCGACATTTCGACATCGCCTGTCCAACCAATTCGACCTCCGTTCTTGGATTTCGACGCGATCGAGGACAGCATATCCCACCACTTGCCGCCTTCCCTGACTCGACACCAGCTCGGTTTCTCCCCTGTCGCATTCGTCTTCTATCTGTCCATCTGCGCGCTCTTCAGCGCAGCCTTATACCGCCTGCGCCACCGCATACGAAGCACCGTCCGACGCTTCGTGAATAAGCGTGACCGCTCGTACCTCGCGGAGGGTTACATGATGGAAGAAGGCCTGTCACTCACGGGCGGCCCGCCGCCCTCGCCCTCGCGGTCAGCGTCAGGTTCCCGATTATCCCTGAGCAACATCATCCAGCCTATCCAACGTTTAGCCTCCAAAACAGGGTTCCGCTCATCGCGCCCATCCCCGCTCAGCATCAGCAGGGAACCGTCCCTACGATCTGGACAGTATTCCCCCGTCCGGGTCTCACCCCTGCGGTCGTTCTCTTTCCCTATCGCCCAGGCACATAGCAGCCTTGCTCCGCACGATGAGCCTAACGGCACGGCCACCGCATTTATCCCGAGCTCACCGCGCCTTCCGGACGGGAGTTTCATGTCGAACGGCAGCGTGTCGTCACTCCAGTCGCGATCCCGGAATTCCTCCAACGTCAACCTCACGTCACTCGCACCTCGGCAGGCCGCGTCACGGACGATGAGCAGTGGTCATCATGTACTCTCAGCGTCTTATCATGACGAGTAACTCGTATACCTTCCCCATTGTCTCGAATACCGATCATATCTTATTGCGACGGACTAGGTCATGTTATCAACATGTAGCGTATGGCGTATGTGCTAATTATCGGTTGATCTTTCGTGGTCCCCACGTAACAATATATAGCATTGCCCTCACCCCCGTCATTCGATGGGCTCACCGCGTGCCTGCATGTATTCGCTTCCGTTTCGGCCGAAGTGCAGCCCTTAGTCGACAACATATCCGTGCACCACCATCTCACAAATGAAGCCACTTCATCGTCCCTTGCTCAGCGAACTTCCCACCGTAAATTACCCACGTCCATATACGCCCTCGTTGCTGTCGCACGGGTCGAATATAACGCTTCCCGCCTATTATAAGTTCAGGGCTGCCTAGGCGACAGGCAGCAAAGCAACCGTATGATCCCACTCACTTGCACCGTTGCGTTCATCTTCATCTCACTTGCACGATTTACGATCTAGATGGACAAGAAACAGAAAACAACGCTGACACAGAACAGAACTCAATCGTGTTCCCCGTCGCGGTCAGCATCCTTCGGGGAAACGCAACCACACGGAGTGCTATTGACGCTGTCAGAATGTGTCAAGGCCTCTCCCAGTGGCGTCGCATGAGCATATGCTCACGAAGCTCCAGGCGGGTTCTATCCCATGTCGAGCGCGAGGTTCTGTGAGAACGGTCCCCATCGCAGATCTCAACTTCACACACCGCGCATGTCTGCGCGCGAATGCGGCTGCTACTCGCACCGCGGGGCTTCCCAGACTACGAGGAAAAACTCGCTTTGTGGCGTGTGCAGATTCCCCGGTCGAGCACGGTCTGTGTTTCCGGCGTTTCCAGAGAGGACGCAGGGAGACACCGAACAGTGCTTCCCACTCAGAGCGCATGGCGAGATGATGAAGCGGAGGCCGCTGGGGGTCGGCGGCCCAATCTCAGTGACTACCCTATGCCGTATACGTACCAACGTACGCTGCTCATAGATGCAAAGAGTATCAGTATCAGGCTGCGCAGACCCATGTCGTAACGTGTGCGCTGATCGAGGTGCACGCTGAGAGATTTTGTTTTGAGTCGGATACTGTCACCTTACTTCTCGCCTTCTTGCGGCGGAACAACCGCCCTCCCACTTACAACGCCCGGTGGACACGGCCTGGCTTGACGGAGTCGAACATCACGACAGTATGGCGATTGCATTGGGATCGAGCCGTTGACGCGCTTGCGCATGCGGACGAGTCGATATGAAGTTCATCACAAGCGGATAGAGGGGCTTTCCAAGAAGTTCCAGGGTCCCGAACATTCAAGTCCGTCCTGGATAAGCATTCATGTAGGTTTCGGCAGATAGTACCGTCACTGCACCGCGGCACAAGTGCGACCGCCGTACACGCATTCCGTAAGCGATTCGTATATATTTGTGCGAGCTGTGGGTATCCCTGTCCGCATTGGTTCTTGTGTAGATAGATAGAGAGATAGCAACAAGGTTCGTAGAGCTCCGTAAACCTTTCTTCAGGCCAAACGAGTGAGTACGGCATGAAGGGATACAGTTCGAGACTCACATTCAAAGTTCAAGCAAAAGCAAGTCATTCAAACTCCTCTTCGAGTTCGCCCCGGGCGGATTGTGCCGACGGCAACACTCCCGTCCCTCTTCGAGCTGGGTTTTGCCGGTGGGAGCATCGTCTTCTCTACTGCCTGTCGCAACCGTAGGATGTCGTGCACCCAATTCGTCTTGTCGCCCTCCTCCGTGGCTCTGGCGTGTAAGCGTTCTTCCTCTTGAGGCTCGAGGAGCCCCAACACCTTGCGTTGCCCCGTGCGCCACAGAAGCAGCTGGAGGATCGCCTCTTGCAGCAGGATGTTGTTGCAGTACTGCGCAGCGTCATCGTCGCACGGAGCAATGTTATGGTGCAGGGTCGCAGGAACAACAGAAAGGCAAGGACCCCAGTCAGCTAGCCGAACGTTTCCAGATAATCTGGAGCTAATCTGACCGTTATTTTCTCCACAGCATCTAGGTCGTGGAACGTCCTGCGTGCAGTCAATAGCGGCGGCGAAGGGGGACGCGCAGCCGCGACTGAATCATCAACCGGAGCCGCTCGCTTGTCGTTGGCTTCCTGGCCGTCTTCTGGAACCGGGACGATTGCTGCCGGGTCTGTGTCTTGGATCTGCGCAGACGGGGGCATGGGTGCATCCTACGCATGTGCGTGTGCGTACGTTGAGAACCCATGCAGAACATACGGCCCGGTGGGCAAGAGATAGCACGTACTTCGGTTGAGCTCCGGTGCTCTGCCATAGGGCTGACAATTACGGCGGTGCCATTTTCAGGAACTGGTGCTGCGAGCTGCGTATCACATCGTTTAATGGCAGCCGTCTAGAAAGACTGCGGAGAGGTCTTGAAACCCCCACAAACCTCATGATCCGGAACGTCTTGCCGGCCAGACGCAGACATAACCTTCTCGTCCTGCATGCAGGGTGCCTCAGCGTCTGGATTCTGACCATCTCGCAACACAATACATAATAATACGCACGTCCGTGTCGTTTTCCGTCGGAGCAAAAGACGACGGAGGTGCCTCAGGTTCCGAAGGAGGAAGCGGCTGAGCGGGTAGATCATGTACACAATTAGGAGTTTTGTCGAGCCATCACCGGAAAATATAGCGGTCACCTCGGTGTCATCACAGGACAGCTCTGATGTCGGCGTGAGCACGCTGTCAGCGTCATCGTCGCCGCCCTACGAGAACCACGGCCGTTAGATCAGTACATACACAGTCCACCAAAGACCGCCCAAGCGCAGCGGCCGCCGTTTTGGAGGAACAGAAAGGATAGCGCTCACCTCGCCATCGGCAGCGGCCAATTTTCCGGTAGCACGTTCCTCCCTGGCACGAGGCAGAGGAGGAGGGAACAGCCTGTCGCGCGGATACTCGACTTGCAGCCCCATCTCCCTCCGCTTCTCCATTCGCCACGCCCACGAGCGCACCAAGAACGCGACCTCCTCCTTCTCCATCGCCGTCAAGCTCCCCCGCGGCGGCACCGCGTCGAGCACCTTCCTCCGCGCCCCGCCCCCGCGCATGAACCCCTCGTTGCGTGCCTTCGCGGGGCCGTAGGCGTCGTCGAGCACCGCGGCGAGCACGGGCTTGACGTACTCGAACTGCTCGGCCACGCTCAGCTCGGTCTCGAACGCGATCGGGCCGGGGGCGGGCAAGGCGGGGAGCGGGCTGGGCGCGCGGAGCGTCGCCTCGTCCTCTGGCGCGAAGGGGCGCGTGAAGTCTTCGGCGGCCGCGGTGGCGTGTTCCAGGGCGTCGTTGTCCGCGTCGAGCCCGTAGTGCCCTGTCGAGTCGCCCATCTGCAATTTGTAATATAATATGAAAATGTGTCAGATCGGACAGAGAGCCTATATGCGTGACGTTGATGGCGGGACAAGCTCGAGGGAACGTACATTGCACGTCGCGAAATCGTCGTCGGTCGTCGTGCAGAACAGGTCGGGCTCGATCTGCTTCACGATGCCGTCGAAGAACACGACTTTGTACTTCGGCTTCTGCGACGGCCTCGTCGGCCGCACGTACGCGAGGATCTTCGCCGGCCAATACTGCCTCTTTGTCCTCGACTCCCGCGCCAGGATGAGCTCCCCGGGGATCTCGAGCAGCGGGTTCGGCGACGGCGCCCGCCACTGTCGCTCAGCCTTAGAGTCCAGATCGACGCCGAAGGCCAGGCCCAGGCCGAAGCCCTCGCCGGTGTCCATGTCGGAGTCGGAAGCTTTGGCCTTGCCCTTGCCTTTCGGGTCGGCGTGCGCTTTCCCCTTTCCCCTCGTGCCGTTCGTGCGACGCGAGGAGCCAGAGGCGTAGCGGGAAGAGCCGGGTGCAACCTCGTCGTCATTACCTTCGTAGACGCTGATCATAGCATTGCGAGCCTCTCGCCACGCGATGTCGAGGTCGAATTTCCGCTTCTTGCGCGGAGAAGACTGCACTTTCTTCCGTCGTGAAGGGCGGTAGTCGTTCTCGTCGAACCGGATGTGACCATCGAGCTCTATAGAGCGAACGTTGTAGGCCGACGGGCTAGGAATGTCGAGCTGGTGGGGACCTGGAGGGTCGCCGAACAGCGACACACGCATGAGCGGTTTAGGTAAAACGACCTGGAGATAGCAACGTGGTTATCATAAGCTTCGAAGCATATACATGGCCAGTCTGTAAGAACCTTCGCCGGCCACCACATCGTGTCCTCCTTGGAAGTAGCATCCGCAAGATGTCCTTCCAGATCAAGGCTGACCCAGACGAGGCTCCCCACGTCGGTCGCGTCCATGTCGTCCTCCGATTCCGAAGACCCGGAATCCAAAGCGAATATGTCGTCGAGCGACTTGGACTGTTTCAGCGGCTGGGGCTGGAATTCTGGCACCGTGGCAGGCTGCATCTGGGATTGAACACGCAAGAACTGTCGAGCCAGTCGGGGGGCCAGCGTGATTGTAGGAGGAAGTTGCAAAGGTTTCGAGGGGACCTCGGGCGAAGAGACAGGAGTGAGGTCGCTGAAATCACCAGAGCCACTGGACGACGTGTGCGACATGGGCCTCTTCTTTGGTCCTTTGCCCGTCGATGATTGTGCTTTGTCTCCATTGACGTGTGCGCCCCGGTCCTCGGAGCCTGTCGCCGTGTTACGACGAGGGATGTCTACCACGAGCTTGAGCTCGAGCTCGTCCTCGACAATGATAACCTCTGGATCGGACTTCCCAACAGACTCGTTCTCGATAGAGGATATATGAGAGCCAGACCTTGTCCGTGCGTGCTTCTGACCGCTTGCGCCACGTCCGCGCCAGCCACCGCGCCCACGGCCGACGTTGGTCGCCCGAGGTCTGTTCGGAGACGACTCGACAAGAGACAGGCTCCGCGAGTGCGCACGAGACGACCCAGCGTGGGCATTGGTCGGGGTTCGCTTGTACTTGCGCTTTCCGCCATACGTGACCTTGACCGGGCTCTTAGGAGTCGAGGGCTCCCGAAACGGACCACCACGGTCTTCCTCGTCACTGTCCAACTGTTCCGCGGCAAGCTTGGAAGCCTTCTGCGCGGCCGCGCGCCGCGGCACGATCTTGCTTGCGACCGAGTCCGATGCCAGTTGGTCTGGAGACATGTGGGTGCCGGTGTGACCCGCCCGAAGGTTTCGGAGGCAGACGAGGGAGATTGAGAGGGTTCGCCAAGCTAGCAGAACTATTCCAAGCGGTAGTAGAGATTGAAGACGGAGATAGGGTGCACAGAGTGGTTAAGAGACGGCCAGCTGGACGGCGGCGAGAGCGGGAGGAGAGAGAGCGGGAAAGTAATAGAAGAAGAAGGCCCCGAAAGAGCGTCCGCTGCGCCACCGCTTCCACTTGCAGTTTCCCGCCCAAACGCGCGCCAGAAACGCGCCTCTCTCAGCCGGACGCGCTCCGTCACGCCGTGACAGCTCCCGTCCCCCATAGCAAACAAGGTTGCATCCGAAACAGAATGCATTATACCCGTATTCCCTGTACAAACGAGTGACCAAAAACATAAACACCGTACACAACACCCGCCCTCAAACGAACAAAGCAGAAATGAGGCCCACGACTCCGAGAGAAAGCCCCGTCGACATCTCCATCCTCCCCGCCCCGTTCCCATTCCCGCTCGCGCTCACGCTCGTCTGCGACGCCCCCGCGCTCCCCGTCTTCGAAGCGCCCGACGTCGCAGCGGATCCCGCGCTGGGCGTCGAGCCAGTCGCCGCAGCCGTGTTCGACCCCGAGCTCCCCCCAGGCGCGGCCGCCGTCGGCGCGGCCGAGTTGCCCTGCACGACGAAGCCCGTCGCGGTCTCCGTCTCGATCGCCGTCGAGATGACGCCCTCCACAGAGGCGACGGCCGTGCAGACGGCGATGCCCCCGTTGATGGCGCAGTCCTCGGACAGGAACAGGCTGTCGACCGGGTCGTTCCACACGAGGTGCGCGTCGCTCGCGCCGGCGACGAGCGTAGCTGTGTGATGCGTGCGTAAGAAACGGTTCTGGACAGGCTAGAAGACGAGAAGAGCGAGGAGGGACGCACCGGAGCCGATAATCCCAGGAGCGTCCTCGTACGTCCCGCTGGTCACGCCCGGGCCGATCACCCAGGTCGTGTGGCCCGACGCGTCCGTGCCGACTTCGTCGGCGGTGATGGCTTGCGGGTCGAACCCGGGGATGTAGAGCGTCGTTTGCGCCACCGCGACTGTGGAAAATGCGCCAGACCCCATCTATCAGTGTCTTCGTCCTTGAGCTTGATAGGAGACGTACAGGACGCGCAGAGCACGAGAGCGCCGGTCGAAGCAAAGGTCCTCATCTCGACCTCTCAGTGATTTTTTGGTGAGTGTAAACGAGAGGAAGGGTTATGGTGCTGCAGCGTGCGATGCAGGCGGGGCTGTGGAAGAAAATGATCCTCCGCCTTCGCCGACTCTTGAGCAAAAAGGGAAACAAGCGTCGGGTGAACATCGCGACCGGTCCCTCGTGCTAGAAGCCAAACCGACGCATGACTCAGTCTACATGCATATGTAGATGGGCCGGCCCATCGACTCTCGCACTCGTCGATCACCGGGCTTCAAGCCCGTATGTTGGCGAACTCATCCCGACTCTCGCCATTCCTCGCCCACTATGACTGTTTGTGAACAAGAGACCACGATAAAGAGGGATGAGGATGTTATTGACATGCAAACTGAGAGACCTTGGAGAACACCAGCAAGGGTCGCCGGATCGCCGACCTAAAGTGACCAGGCACGAACACCGAGGCCCAGATCGGTCGCTATAGACGACGCCTGGACGCGTGCTCGATCGGCCCCGATATCACGCAGAGCGCATCAAGAGGCGCATCAACCGCGCCCTCCGTGCGGGTCCGAGGCCGATCGCATACTTACCCCGGAGACCCCGTCTCGGCCTGCGCTCCACGGTGGCAGTTCGCCACGGCGGCCGTCGGCGTACTTCGGAGAAAGTCTAATGTGCTAAATAACTTCTCGGGGCCTACACAAATTGCAAACAAGTCGGGAAGCGGCGCATGCGAGCGGTTCGCGGAGCGTGCACGTCAAGGGAGGGGGACAGCGGTACAACGTAGGTGTTACGTTTCAGTTTTAGTCAGTGCGGGGAGTAGTAGGTGCGACAGTAGGATGCGAACGGGATATAGCGAGACATATGGACATAGGGCTACAATACACACTACATGCGGCGAGGTGATATCGGCAGGCGCACGACAGAATACCATACTTACATACTACACGGAATTGACGGGTTAAGCCAAAGCATGAGCCGGCAAGCGGGATGGAGAAATGAGGGTGGTAACGCTCGGAAACCGGGAGCATGGCGAAGTAGAAGTAGAACGAACAGATGCGAGCCGAGATGCGAGCCGAGGAGATGAGAGCCCGTCCAACTACGAAGAGTACTCGTCACGTACGGTAATCTATACGGTACCAGGCAGGTAGAACGATACGATACCCATAAACCATAGTCCCCCAACGAAGACTGCACGAGCGGGACTCATGCGCCTACTTGGGTAGCGGAAGGCTGCTGACCGTCCAGGGGACCGTCGAGCGCAAGGTCGGCCCGCGGCTCTTGTGAGTGATGCTGATGGTGCTGCGCTTGACGCACAGGCGAGCCAACCGCCGACGGCAGAGGAGACATCCACAGCCGCGGTGTGATAAACCCGCTCCCACCAGCACCATACACGAACCCGCCGCTCAAGCTCTCGACGGAGTTCGACGAGCCTACACGTCGCGTTAGCACACCGCCCATCACGCCACCAACAGCATAAAATGCCAACGTACCTGGCACAAGCACGCTGTCCCAGAACTCCGACGTCAGGATGCTCTCCATCGACAACATGCTCATGTCGATCCCCGCCGACGTCGGGGCCATCGTAGGTGGGAACGTCGAGATGTCCACGACGGGCCCCATCTCCCCGGTATACGCATAGTTCTCCAGGGCATCGCCCGAGAGCGTGGTGACGTGCCCGTTAGCGTGCCCATTGGCATGGGCATGCTGTGCGGCAAAGGACGAGCCAGACGACAGCTGCGGATCTGCGTGCGCCAGGTCCCCGTCTGCCTGCTGCCCGTCCTGGTTGCCCGAGCCGTCCGTGCGCGAGTTGATGAGCGCGCGAAGGAAGCAGCTGTATAGCGCCGGCGTGTGCATGGGACCGACCGCCACTCTGTCGAACGTGTTCGCGATGTCTGTCACGATAGCAATGGTCTTCTGCTCGTGATCCAAGAACGCTTGGAACTCGGGTCGGATGAGCTGTAAGGGCACAAGTTTCATATAAGCTGGTCCGAAGGCACACGATCATCGCGCGGGGAATGAACGCACCTTGAGCAAGCTGAGCACCGCGTAGGAGCCCATGACATAAGTCGAGTCCGGGGCGTACTTGAGGTAGCCCATAGGGCCCATCTCGTCGCGAAGAATGGTAGCGCAGCTCACAGCCGAGGAGTGGCAGCGCGCGAAAAAGTGCCCGATGTCGACCGCGGAGCGCTCGAGGGCGTTTTGGAGGCCGAAGGCGTTGATGGTGAGCATGGCGTAATGGAAGTAGAAGTTGGCAATCAACATTCGGTACTGAATGGTGTACTCGTTCTCGCCTGTCGACGCATTCAGCGAAGCCGAAGACTACGTTAGACACATTCCCGAAATAGGCATAGACATGGCGCGATTGGGCACGTACCAGCAATCTTACCCAAAGTGACCCATTCGTGATGCCAGGCGAGCAGTTGAGTCTCCATCGTTTTGATGACGAGCAGGAAATCGCAGTCGGTCTGCAGACCAGACGAGTTCGCGGTACCCGAGTACAGAAGGTCCAAGCTGCGCGTCAAGATGCGCTGTAGGTCCTGCACAGCGCCCAGACATGTCAGCGTCTGAGTTGTGGGTCCACGATCGACGCAGTCCTCACCGCGTAGCCAGCCAGGGCGCTATCAGACGATATCGAACCCGGAGAGCGAGCCCATTGGAGTGCGTTGCGAATCATGTAGCTACCGAGCGCAACAACGTCCGAGCGCGACGAAGTGGGTGTGGCCAGTCACAACAATCAGGGAAGTACAAGGAAGCAAACGTCCTGTCAGCACCCATACAATGGCGAAAAGCTGCCGAATTGCACGCACTCTTCTTTGATTGAATATGGCTTGCCCATCTGCGCACTAAACGAGCGGTCCAGGCAGAAGCAGATGATCCATGTGCGTTCGCGATTGCGTACCTCGCGGTCGCGCGCACGCCTTTCTGCCGTGTCGGGACTCGTAGCCGCCGAACGGCGATGCAGGTTCAGGTCGGTAGCCATCCTGCAAGTTTAGAAGCGCGATGATGTCAGCGGCCGTATGTGGGGAAAACAGAACGAATCGAGTATGCGGCGTGCGTCCTACCCCGCATGTACGGCAATCGCCCAACAAGGGACACAGATCGTCGGTGCCCTCATTTTGGCTTCGAGGGAGCCACCTCGAAGCCAAGACAGAGCCCGACGCCAAGGAGCGGGCGAAGGAAGGAAGGACGTACCTGATAGCCATGCCGAGGAGCATCCATGTTTGGTCTTGCTCGTACCGTTGCACAGGGCCACAACCCCAAAGCACATTGATGAGGTACGCCTGCACGATCTCGACGGATTTGTATCCGCGGGCCGGCACCTGGAACGCGAGCTTCCTCGCGAGCTCCGAAAGCTTTGTGTGGAGCTCAGGGCGGCCCTCGTAAAACCGAGATGCCGCCGCACAGACTACCGCGAACGCGTGAGTCAGCAAGGTACTCCAAATCGACCATATAGAGGACCTACTGGAAGTCAGGAGGAAGGGGGAACGCGAGCAAACCAATGACGGTGTGTGGAAGTCAGGGTCGAGGAAAGAGGCTTGTACCTATACCCGCGAATGAGTCGACCAGTGGTCTGGGAGCCAATGGTCGAAGCTTACATTCAGATGATCAAAGTAGCTATAATGTCCGAATTTCGATTGAATTGGCGCATGTCAGGAATGCCCACGTTCACGGGCGGACATTTGGTGGAGGAGAAAGCACGTACATTTTAAACAACGCAACGACCTCCTCCGTGCTGACAAAGCTCAACATCTCCGGCTGAATTTGTCGCTCGATATAAAGTCGCCGTAGTGGCAAGAGCGTCATAGGACCTGGACATCCCATGAGATCGGAGCTCCGTGACAGACCTAGCATAGAGACCGTGAACTTACCAGGCTTGAAGTAGACATCGCTGGCGACGCCGACCCTCTCGTTCGATGCATCTCCGGAGGCGGACTTGGAGGACGCCTGTGACCTTCGGTTGGCCAAGCTGGCCTCGGCAAGCAAGCCCAACGGGTTCAATGCATTGTCGGGAAGCGAATGCATCTTGGGCGACGTTGGAGGTCCACTGAAAGAGGAAGAAGCATGTTGATGTCGACGCTCGGGAGAAGGCGGAGGGGACGGCGAGTTGATCAGGGCCTGGGTATTCTGCGTCTGGAGGGACGGCGAGGGCGACCGAGAAAGAATCCCAGCGGCGAGCGTTGGATTGCCGAGAGAGCGGAGCACTGTGTCAAGGGTCCGCTCCATCTTGCGTAAAGAGCGCGTTAGGATCTCGTGCTTTCTGGGGCTACGAATAAGCGTTCATACATTGCAAGAAGCACAGGCGTGAACACTCACTTGGTGGAACGCTTCCCGCGGTTTGACTCCTCAAAGATACACTCATGGTTACCTGTCTGGCACCGTTTACAAGGGGGTCCATTCTCGGCCCCGACGCACTTCATCTTGAGTCGCCGGCACACAGTGCAAGCCCTTCAGGGGGTCTCAGGAGGGAGAGTGATGCGACGAACAGCAGACATACCTCGCTCCACGCGTTGGCTTGGCCTTAGTCTCGTCACCCTTCTCGGTGCTCGGGCTTTGTGCCTCGTCGTCGTTGTCCTGACGCGCCCTTTTGTTGTGACTGTCCATGCTGTTTGAAGAAGCGGGCCGCTTGCCGTTACCGTTGGAGGTGAGGGAGATGACGTCGTTAGGAGGCGTGCCCATAGTCTCGGAGCCATGTGAGGAGGGAGAGGAGAGGCTAGCGGACAAGTTGAGATGAGGGGGTGGCATGTGTTGGTGGGATTGCTGGTAGCCGTAATATTGGGGCGGGTAGAGGGCCAGCGAGGGGTCTATTGGAATAGGTGGCGAGGGGGGTTGCTGCTGCATCTGGCGTGCCAATGGGTGTTCGTGTGGATGGTGGAGGGTGATGGACTGGGAGGAGTAGGCGGGATGGTGGTGGTGATGGTGGGGGCTGTTGGGGTGCTGTGTCTGCGGGAGAAAGTAGTCGGAGTAAGCGAGAGGAGACATGACGGAAAGCGATAGAGGGAGGGGGAGTGCGGGAACTGACTTTGGAGGGAGGGCCTCGAAGGATATGGTATGCGAGCTAAAAGGAAGGTGCTTGTTTCTGGCCGAGTTTGTAGGGGTTTAGGCTCACGTGGAGGGAAGCCGAGTACGATGGAGGTATGTGGGAAGGCGAGAGACGGACGCAGATGGGAGACTTGCGAAAGACAGACAGGGTTTCTGGACGAAATGGAGTAATTCGATTCCAGGCTGTCGCGCCACGGTCAATCAGTCCGAGAACGCTCGATATACGCAGTCGCAGTATGGGAACTAGTCGCCGCCAGAGCGGGAGTGGGAATCGAGGAGCGGTGGATACGATCTGGGGGGTGGAGGACGAGGACGAGGACGACGAGGACGACGACTAGGGGCGCAGTCGCTGCTAGTCAGGCCGTCCAGTCACCCCCCACCCCCAACCCCGGACTCTCCCCACAGACGCCCGGCCAATCCCCCGTCCGATCGCCAATCTGGCCAATCACAGCCCGCCCTTCTGCCGCCACCTCGGCCCGATCGTGGGGTCGCCCCAGACCGCCGCTGAGCGCGGACGGACCAAGAGCCGGTCAGAGTTGCTCAAACATCGTCCTAGCACATCGTCCTAGCACATCGTCCTAGCAGCGTATGGCCGCGCCGTTGTATTCATTCCTGTCCGAGTATCCCGCGCTCTCTGGTCGCCCATGCGCAATGCATTCGCTCGGTCCCGCTTTGGGACACTGCCTTCGAATGTCGCCGTGGGACGAATGCCGCCGTGGGACGAGTGCTTTCTGCTCAGAAATGCCGCCAGGAACCGAACTCCGACCAATCGCATCTCGCGCTCTCCTCCCACCGCTTTGGGCTAAAGACGGCCCCCAGTCCAGGGCCTTCTCACCTGGATGTCTTTCTTTCCGCATCCGCAACGCAACACGCACATCGGGATCCCATCCCCCTCTCCTCCCCGTCCGCGACAATCTCTCTTCCCTGTTCACAGGCCAATCACCCATACTTTAGCATGCCTCCATCCACTTCTCCCCACTCTCGCTCCCACCGCTATCCCTAGTCCGTCGCTCCTTCTGTCAAACATGGCATTCCTATCTCCTTCTCTGCTCTCACCTTCCAACTCTCTGTTTTATCGCACATGTCGCAATCCTTGCAATCGCCACTCTCATCAGCTCTCGACGAGCCAACAAGAACGCAGCGTCTCCCTCTCCCGCGCCAGATAAGCGTGGCTCCGTCTGATAGACATGGGAAATTGCAGCAAAGCGCAACCCTCGACGACACGTAAATGTGACTCGCAAGACCAAGACGCCTCACGAGAAGGGCGATTTCGTCACCGCTCGTCCGCGTCTTGCCTTGCCGCAGATAATTGCAATGACAATCGGCCACTCCTATCTCGTATCTGTCTGTCGAGACGCTCCCGGTCTCTTGAACATCGAACCGGCCCTTGTTTGAGCACGTCGGGTCTATCCTCTCCCGTCGAGTTAATGTCCGATCTTGTTTGACCCCGTTGCACAGCCGCGCCCCACTCACAGCTCGACGTCGTCAAGCCCGATGGTCCTCCACACTTTGCCCAGCCCTGTCTGCATCGTCACGCGTCGCTCGCGCTTTCTAGGAAAGTGTACCACCACGCTCCTACTCGGACCCTTTAGCTACAACCCCAACCCTAGCCATAACGTCGTGTGGAAGCACGTCTCCGCAAGCACCAACAACTCGCACGTTCCCCTCCGTTCGCGACTTGCCGCATTACCGCCCCACCGGGCAGCCCGGACCAAACGTATCCCTAGACAGGTTTCGTGGACGGTACCACCCGACTTCTTTCGCCCTCTTCCACTGGCACTGTTCCCGACAGGGCGGCCCCCGCAGAAAGCAGCACTCCCCTGGTCAAAAATGGACGCCGTCGGCACGACGTTTTCGTCCTCCCAGGCTCCCACTGGCAAAGCACATTCGGCGCATCCAGGCACGTCATAGACCCGCCCGACTCCCACCGCCTATGTTCGTCCTCCACAGGCTCGACGACGTCGACGAAGCCCCCTCTATTTTCCGTCTGCCACTTCGCCTTCGACCGCGACTCGGAAGGTTACGCCCTGGCAGCGCTTCCCCGAGGCACCAAATTGCCGACGGCAAACGAGGCTTCCTCCCTGTTCCAGCCCCGCTACCCTCCGTACCTCTCTACGTCCACGACGTCCATGCACGCGTCATCGCTTCTTCACGCGCGGTTCCACATTCAAAGGTCCAGTTCTCACGGCGCACGTCGAACAGACCCCATCGGGCTTCTCCACGAGGCCTGGAATCTCTCCTGCAACGTTTGTGGCGGACGCCGACGGGTCTGCGTCCCAGGCTTCCACGCGTATTTTTCATTCAGCGGACGCGAACGTACTTCATTTCCGGTCGTCAGGACTGTGCCTTCGGTCCCGCCAAGCAAGCGCATGGTGACTTTAGTATGTCATGCGCGCGTTGTGGGGCAGGGCGGCGCCCCCATCGTTTCCTGCCCTCTTCTCTGGCGCCTTACGGAACCCACACGCTGAAAATGAGGCATCAGGGACGGGCGCGGTGGTTACATGATCCCAGAGGAGGGGGGCGTGGTACCGATAAAGCTTAACTGCGTGGTAATGCTCCGAACCTGCGATCCCAAAAGGCAGTCGGCTTGCCTCTAGCTGTCAATTATTCTCGTGTGCGGCAGGTCTGGCCGCTGAGTTTAGTTTTTCTGGAGCTATTTGCGGTACGCGGCGATCCGCGAGTGGCTTGGCCACTCTCTCTCTTCCTCCACCGCAGGGAGAAAGGGGCAGAAGTGTCGTAATTGCGGATAGAACTTCGTGAGGGTGTCCGCCATACAATTCTGTCTGCACGACGTCACCCTAACATACTCGGTGGACCGTGGATCATTTTCAGATGCGACGGTCTCGTCGGGACGCCAGCTGTATTCCCGCAAATGATACACGCCCTTGCGCCTCGCACAGTTGGCACTCCTGGTGAGATCATCTTCTGAGCTCGAAATATACGTTGACGTCTCTATCCTGGACCTGAGCCTTATTCGCTCGCAGCCGCTATTGTACTGCGATCTCCGCAGATAGACTCACAGGTGTCACGGCGGATACAGAAATGACTGTTATCGTACTTCGTAAGATGGTATGGAGACATTGACGCTAAGGGCTCGGATCGAACAGGAACGACAGAGGCGGCCGCTCGATGAGTAAATTGCAAGCTTTGCCGCTGAGGCGTGTAGGCAGCGATAATAGCTGACTCCTGCGCACAGAACCACAGAAGGCACTCCCGGCGCTTGGGAAGCACCGAACGGAGCACTTTACCGATGGTCGCGGGACCCTAGGGCGCTCGGCGACCCATTACTGCATTGTTTTGGCTTGGCGGACGCCTGCGGTGAGCATTTGGTATTGCGAAGGCCCGACCGACCGAGAGATGGCGCAGGCGAGCCAGGTACGTGCAATACGCGGGTCAGATGCTGCGCCGCATTCAAGTCCTGAGTACTCGGGCTGAACTGCGCTCTATCACGTCCCTTCCTAGGCTTCGACTTCTCAGTGCTTCTGCTCACGAAGCCTGGAGGTCGACGTCGGGGTCGGGGTCGGCGCGGAGCTGTCAGTCTCACTCAGTAAGACCAAGAGCCTCACTAATTCACCGCTCCAATTTCCCATGCTCGCCTGTCAGTGTATTGGTTCAGAGTCGGCAATGCGTTTGCATGCCCACCATTACTCATTGTCTTTGCATCAAGGAATTTCAGTGCCCGACGGGTGGTGACGTTGTAAGGATGTGCGTATTGTGACGATCTCACTACCATATGCAGGTCCAATATATCTCATAGAAACGTCAGCGTGCCGTGAGCTCTGACAAATGGCCACGCCACAACCGAAGCGAGCTCCCATCATGTTAGCAGCAGTCCACGAGAGAAAAAAAACGACAGTGACAGGTGCAGTTGAGGTCAGCATCCTCTCACCTGCCGGCGGGTAATGTGGTTTTCTCCATATGTGCATACGGAGCCTGGTAGTCGCGCGTGCAGTGCAGGCGAGATTTCTCCGACACGTATCGCGGATGAAGCGCGACGGGCGGGTCCGTTCAAGGTGCGGTGCACCGCCACGGTCGTTGTTACCTAACGAGCGTTCTAGGGGTGCGCTGCTACGTAAAGACTGGGGCTTCAACAGGCCCCGAGGCCGCTTGAGGACGAAGTGAGAGAATGTCAAATGTATGTGCTGGTGGATACGCGAGTCGCGTGCCTGATAATCATGCCCGATTTAGGTACGCGACTGCGGCGATGCGCCCACCAGTGCGAGAGGGAAGTTGCGCCTCAGGGACTCGAAGCCTAAACAGGAAGCGAACGGATCAACCGGGCCAGCAACGACAGCTCTCGTCGTATATCATACAACGATGCGCCACCAGGCTCATAACTGATTGACATCTCCGAGGCCATGAGTTGGATTCAGATGTCATGGTTTGAGGGTGGCAGCGACCGCCGGGCGGCGATTCTGTCAGAAGATGAACTAATCACCGCTCGAGACAGGTTCGCGAGCTTGCCATCATTGAATGAGTCTGAGCACTTGGTGAGACAGGCCGTTTGATCAGCTGGACGCAAAGTACGTACTGTATGTACACTGGTGGAGAGCAGACTTCAGCTCGGAGTTACTTCAGCTTCCTCTACTCACGCATTCCCTAATTACGGAAATGCCCGCAGGCTCCAAATCTTAGAAGAAAGAACTGTCAATTAGCCTCTAAATAGGAATGCGTATTTCCCAGAGAGTCCACGATGTACCAAAAGCTCTGTGTAGAGTGCGTCCTCGACGTGGAGCGGTAAGAGGGAACCACTCAATCTTGATTACCTTCCTAATCGGACAGAATGACCCAGGCGGCGGTGCCGGTCCGCCTCGACTAAAGCGTCCGAGGGTGCACAGCCGAGGAGATTGGAGGTCCATCTGATTTTCGACCCTTCGGCCCTGGTCTAAAGCTGTTTGCGTTCGCATGTCTCCGTCGACGAAGGTTCCGGATCCAGCATTCTCATTCTCATGTCAATATGATCGTGAGTAGCTCCATAGCGCCTGCCATTGTCGCGTACCAGTGCAGCACTAGTGAGTAAGTAGTGCTTTGGTTGCGGATTGACCGGCTAATAAAGTGGTACCCACGCTTACGAGCTGTTCGGATGGAGACAGGAACAGGGACCTGCCTACAGCATGATTCATACCATGGCGGGTGTCATATCCCTTCGTGGCAAGCCGCGGGAACTAGACAGGCTCTATCAGGGCATGCCCTTAATATGACAGGTCCTCTCCCAGAACCCCTCTCAACCAACGGCCCCGAACTTTACTATGTAGATTTTACCAGGGCCTTGCGGAGCTCATCATTGGCTGCTGATCTCCTGACATCAGAAAACATTGTCTCCAGCTCATACTTCTCGACCTCCCCATTGGACACCAGATCCTTACCTGGCATCTCCGTAGCTATCTTGCCGTAAGCTCGCTAAGGCTCTTCCCATCCGTCACCACGGCCTTTGCAGACGTGCACCTTACAATCGTTGTCTCTGTCTTCTAGTCCTTCACAACAAGTTACCTGCTGGAAGTTCCAGATAGTGGCCCAGTGACTCCATGAGCGCGCGCGCACCATATGCTCGCTCGGTCTTCGTCGAAAACGTGGGTCCTTCTTTCTCATGAACGCCTTTGCCATGTGGTCAGTGTTGACGCTTGCTTTGCGTGTTCTCTCTGCTACGAACAGGTTATGTTGCTCATCTTTCTCACCGCTGCTTGTCAAGAAACGCTGCAATCTGTCGACAGATGACGTCGACGACTGGCACACGATCCCGAACATCCGCTGACCTATCGCGCTTGGCATACTCTGATAGATCATTTCGCTTTTCCCTACAGATACTGGTATGGAGATGATAGCCAGAGGCTCTACGAACTTGGTTGCACGTCTGCACCTGGCAGATCGCATAAAGTCGCTATGTCCGTCGACATTGGTTGAAGCTCCTCATTGACGGCCGAAATGTGAATCGATCTATCTTTGTGCAGTTGCGATTTCAAGGATGTATCTAGCTCAAGGTTCCTTCAGGATTGCAGCGCCTCCATCTGTTCTCCCAGTCTCGGCGAGCCTCATACCGACCATCACAAGCCCGTGCCGAGTATGTGCTAGTCTGTCTTCGATCGTGTCGACCGTCTTCGACGATGTCCACGGGAACCTAACCGGCGATACACTGAGTGCGGACATCGTCGATCGTCTCTGGATACGGCAACCCCTTTTCCGGAATGGTACAGGAGCCGGACCTAGGATACTATCGTGAGTAGAACGGAACCTCCGATACAGATACCTCTCGGGTACGTTGAGATTGACAAAGCATTATCCCAAGGGGAAAGAGGTCATTCGGCTTATGGTAAGTTCCACGAGTCGCTGCCCGAGAGCACCGAGGCGCACACACCATTGCAGATGTGATAGGTACGGCTTACTTTGTCGCTTGCCCTAGACAGATATCGTTCCTAGGTCGAATATATCCACGCCACGTACCCAGCAAGACATCAATAACCTTGCGTGGACAAGCTCGCCTGTGCAAACACACTCTAGGGTGGCGGTATCGTGCGACGTCACATTCTGGTCGTCTTTGTGTGCCTCGATAGCTCCGCAGGACGCTCGCTAAGTCCTGAGATTAGAGTTCGGCGGTCACTGTCAGTGCGCGAGACCCTTCTATCTTGACCGTCTGACATAGACACAGGTCTTCCCGAACATCTCGAAAACCATTCCTCAGCGGACTCCGTCGCCCTTCTTCCAATCTTCTTCGATGGCCATTCAGTTCATCCAACCACCATCGGCCGACCAGCAGCCAACCAGACACAAGCTACTCGGATCACAAGTGCTGACTGGGCTTAGCGCAAGATCATGGCTCCAATCGAAACGTACAACGAGGTCGCGATATGGAGTAGAATCCCTCGTTAGGCCGCCCGAGGTCCCACACAGGTGCCATGCCCGCATGGCTACCGAGCATCAGTCCAAGCGCACCACGACATCGCACCCTCAACTTACTCTGTGAGATACTGCGATAGTACAGCGCCACCCCGAAGGAATGCGAGGCGGTGTGCCCTGCGCGCTTCCTTTGTTCCTTGTGTGACTGCGCTCTCAGGCCCGCCGCTCCTGTCTGAGAAAGGCTGGGGGACACGCCGATGTTGTCACTTTTATCCTCTCCATTGGGAGAATGTGCTATTTAAGACCGGATCGTGCGTGCGATGCTGATTACCAGATCTGTGCGTGGCAAGAATAGGCTCTTACTCTAATGGGACATAATTAGTCATACTAGGGAATTAAGTGTAGTGAATTCCATATGCTGACTTCGCAGTGGTGGTGGTGGTGGTATGCCTTTGATTGTTTAGTTCTATCACTGCGAAAGCTTCGTGTATCTTGAGCGAGCGTGCCGTAAACGCCGATGCCAAGGTGTGATCTCAATTCAGAGTCCGTCTAATCCTGACATTAACGGTGAAGTGTGGGGATCCACGGAAGGTGCGGAGAGGCGAATGTTGAACTGGAGTTTGGAGCGAAGTAGTGTACAGTTAGCATGACGTTCGCAGCGGGTCCACCTACAGCTACGGTTCAGGAGGTGCCTTGCCCTGGGTGTTTAAGCACTGGTGCTCTGCGCTAAATATTGACGATTAGCACGTGCAAAGCGTCTGAGTATTGCGCGAGTATGTCGTGTGCGTAATCGAATGACGGGACCGCAAAGGTTATCATGCGGGCCGAAGGGAATAATTCTGAGGTACGCGTCAAGTCGAACCCCTTTTTCGGGTGCTGAGTATCGTTGTAGGTGACGCGGACGGCTCAAATTCGTGCTTGCACGAGAGTCTAAATATGGATGCAGTTAAGTCTCTGCCCTGGGCAAGAGGATCAATCTGTCACAAAATGAGTCGGATAGGGGGCAAGGACGCTAATATTGATAGACGGGCAACGTACTTGACATACGCCGGCGGGCTCCGACATGACGAGATATGCATCATATAAAGAAGGACAGCCATTGTTCCTACACCAGCCTCTGTGGGGAAAAGCGGAGATCGATGTTTGTCTGTCAGCTATGCTTCAGGCCCGAGGGTGCTCTGGTGAGAGAAGCCGGGGCCGCAGACGGCAAAGAGGACGCGTCATTCGCAGGGCTGTCAGCAACGTGCCGTCTGCGACTCCGAGCATCGCAGAATCTACTCCTCGCAAGAAGCTTACATGGGGCCCAATGGCGCAGACGCCGTCGAGTCCAACCCCTTGCACGAGCCGCTGGCTCGCTTTTGAACCGCTGTACCTTTCTTCTTTAAGTTGTAGTCAGTTGATGTACTTATGGCCTACCATGAGGCTCGGCCTCGCAGGGCAATAAACGGGATCCAGAAGAAGAAGAAGAAGAAGAAGAGTCCAACCCCATCTTATCATGTAGCCCTACATGCGAGTTAGTCATGATACAGTTTGATGTCACGTGGAAGGCACAGTTTCAGAACACGATATCAATGCACTGTCGTGGAAGACGGTGAAGCATGCCGTAGGAATAAGATGCACATGTATAGGCAGCCCAGAGCACGAACGCTCGTCCATGGAGGGAGGCGTACCTGGATATGGGTGGTGGCCAAGTTGGACAGCTATGCCGGCCTGCACATCTACTAGGGGTTGTGAAGGTGCCGGCAAGCTGTCATGCTTTAATGGCCAACCACGTACTACCAACAACGGCGTTGAGCGGGCCGTTATGTGCGTTCGGCTGACAATGAGACCCATCGACTCGGTGCCTGGCGTCACTGAGGGGAGGCAAGTGCCACGAATCTAAGTTGTTTGCACGGGAGACGGAGAGCTGGGTGGGTTACCGACGGATAAGGAAGGGAATCCAGATGGTACTCACGACAGCCGCGCGTCCCGAGAAGAGAGATTGACAGAGTCCTTGGTGCCTGCACTGGTGACGCCGACACGGCAAACTGGGTGGGCCTAGCCAGTTTCGGCAGACAGAAATATCGCCGACACCGTTCTGGTATGCATTGTGCAAGACGGCAGCTCTCTGGAGGAGACATGCAAGCGATCGTTGTATCTGGTGCTCGCCGGGAATATCACCACGCGAGCGAAGCATCCTCGAGGCGCTAGAAGCGAGAATGAGACTATGAGGAGGAAAAGTGTGGAGCTACGTGAGAGCTCAGGCTGGATGCGCCCACAGTCAGCAGGGATGGCAACACACTGGCTGTCGCCCTGACAATGCGGAGAGGCCAAGAGAAATCTTGACCGCGGACATTCTCTGGACGGGACAGAGCGGAAGGCCGACAGATGCCAAATCAAAAACCTAGCTCGGTTTATCGTTGACGAGGGCGGACATGAGTCTACAAAGAAGCCATGTCCTTAGGTTCCTACCGACTTAGCAGATATTGACGAAGGAGTAGCGCTTCGTGCACTTCGGAACATGTGTTGCTTTGTGAGCGGACATGATAGATAGCCTGTCCCATGTCAGTCTGGAGCGAGGATGATACAATGGAACCAAAGGTGTCCAATTCATGCCTTTCTGAGCGCCTCTCCTCCGCACTCGTACAAAGCTTGAAGTTGATCTTCGTATCCTGCTGCGAAACCGGGACATCCTGCGGTGGCTGCTACTTACGGGTTGAATGCCAGCCGGAAACCTCAGCGCTACTGCCCCCATCCGATCCTGTTTGTTGCGGCTGGACAATCCCGCCACGCCGCCATGCATATAATGTATGAGATGAATATCAGACTCAATGACGAGGGATAGGACAGTACTCACCAAAACACAGTACAAAAGATGGAGGAACGAGACGGAGGACGACAAAGCGGCCTTGTGGGCGGGCGGACCGGATTGAGACTCCGCTGTGGCACAAGGCCAGAGTCGGCGGGCGCTCATCGAGCTCAGGTCCAACCGCCTCAGCTCGAGCTGCGCCGTCGTGCGCATTCCCCTCCTCGCCGCCATGAGCAGCAACGCCCGTCCTTCCCTCTACCTCGCTCCGTCGGTGAACACCACCACGTGCGTATTTCTTTGCTCCCCGTGTTGCATGGCTAATATGCTTCGTCCGCAGGGTGGTCACGACAACCACGACAACCACGACATACGCGCCTATCCCTCTCCCGTCTATCCCCCCGCCATCTTCGCCAAAGGACCCCAAGTTGTATCCTTTGTACGGTGCGACGCTTCCGAGCTCACTGCGCGAATTCCCCTTGGTCTTCCCAGGGGGTTCGCGTGCCACATTCCGCGATGGCACGCATGGCGAGCAGGAGATGCAGGAGGAGGAATTGGTGGCCGAGGGAAAGGGTTGGAGAATGGTCAAACGTGATGAGGGCGACTCTAGGAAGGAAGTCGGTCTTGCTGAGGCCATCGAGCGGTACGGCCGCAAGAGGTCTTACAGTAACGAGAACATGATGGAGGGCATCGAAGCCATTCCTGGGCTTGTTCCGACAACTCCACCGCGGAAGAAGGCCAAAGGCCATCCCTTACCGCCCATAGCGACGATGAACACCGCTGCGCCCCCGTCTCCTTTGCCGTCTCCCCATGGCTCGCCGCCTCCTGAGAGCATTTGGCCATCCGCCCCGCCTAGTGGGCACTCCTCCCCTCAGCCTCAAGCGCACACGCAAGCTCCGTTGCAACCGGACTTGTCGTTGACGACCCTTCTGGCACTTCCTACGTTACTCTCTCACTTTTCAAGTCTACCACCACCTCTCCAATCCCATGTACTACTCACGTTTTTGCGACACTCCCCGCTGTCTGTCCTGAGGACATTACACTCGGTTCTGACACCCACCTTAGCCCGGGATTTCCTGACGCTCTTACCGCCCGAACTTGTATCACTAGTCCTCAGCTTCCTCTCCTTCCCCGACCTCGCACGAGCATCAAGAGTATCAAAGTCTTGGCGAGCCATCATCGACTCTGATCCTGTCCTATGGCGCGAGCTCTTGAAGACCACGAAAATCTGGTTTGGACATGATTCCGAGACTGCATTCGCGGACGCCATCGTGTCGCGCCGCAGACGACAAGGTTTACCTGCCCCGAATTCGCTTCCCCTCCCTCACCCATACAAGATCCTGTTCAAGTCGCGTCACCTTACGCGGACTCGTTGGGTCACGAACCAGGACCCAAAGCGACTAACGTTCCCAGCCCACGGGCGTTCTGTCGTGACCTGCCTGATATTCTCGCATGGTCGCATAATCTCCGCTTCGGACGACCATTCCATCCACGTCTACTCTCCTGTAACAGGCACCCTCATTCGTTCTCTGGATGGACATGATGGTGGCGTGTGGGCTTTGGCAGCGACGAAGAACACTCTCGTCAGTGGTTCTACGGACCGTACGGTCCGGATCTGGGACCTCGAAACGGGACGATGCACACACGTATTTGGCGGTCACACCAGTACAGTTCGTTGTCTAGCCATCGTGAAACCCGAATGGATAGACCACGAGAATGAACATGGAATAATCACCCGCGAGAAATGGCCCAAACGACCGCTCATCGTCACGGGTAGCAGAGATCACTCGCTGCGCGTTTGGGCGTTGCCCAGGCCTGGAGACGAGGAGTATAGATGCTACGGTGCGGATGATACGGAGGTAGATCCCTCAGAGGTACGCGTGTTGTATGAGTTCAAAACCTTCTTCGTGAAGATTGACGTCACGCTGCGCAGGAGGACGTCGAGGATAATCCATACCACAAGCTGCACCTTGAAGGCCATGATCATGCGGTGCGCGCTCTTGCCGCGCGCGGGCGGACCCTTGTTTCTGGAAGTTACGATTGTACTGTCCGGATATGGGACATCATTACGGGAACCTGCAAGTGGGTTTTGGTAGGGCACACACAAAAAGGTGCGAATGAATACCAACGGGGCTCGACCTGGAACTCTATTGCTGACTTCTTGCTCCGATATTATTCAGTATACAGTGTCGTGCTGGACATCAACCGCAACCTTGCGTGCTCCGGCTCGATGGACGGCACCGTCCGTGTCTGGAACTTGAGCACCGGCCAGTGTCAGCACATTCTCGCGGGGCACACCTCCCTTGTCGGTCTGCTTGGACTCTCACCATCACACCTCGTTTCCGCCGCCGCCGACTCCACCCTCCGCGTCTGGGACCCTGACACCGGCGAGCTTCGCCATACATTGGCAGCACATCAAGGTGCTATCACGTGCTTTCAGCACGACGAGTTCAAGGTCCTGAGCGGGTCCGATGGTACGCTGAAGATGTGGGACATCCGAGACGGGTCACAAGTGCGCGACCTGCTGACGGGGATCGTCGGCGTGTGGCAGGTCGTGTTCGAGGGACGATGGTGCGTTGCTGCGAGCAATCGCATGGATTCCACCGTCCTCGACGTCTGGGACTTCGGTGACGATGACGACGATGAGTGGGAGGGCGAGCCTCCGGGGGGCCTGTACGATGAGGAGTCGGACTACGATGACGAAGATGACGAGATGGATCGCGTACAGGTCGAGGCTGATGCCATGGATCAGGACCTCGATGTCCCATCCGATACAGACTTTGTCGAGGCAGACCAAGATCATTATCTCGGGCTGACCGATGATGAGCCAAGGTCGCAGTGGAGTGGCATGTCCACTGATGCGGACGACAGTGCGAGGTCGTCCACTAGCAGAGAGCTCTCCGCGTCTACATCAACTGGCCACTACCGGGCCCGCACGTCTACTAGGATGCGTTCGCAGCGAGAACAGCGAGAAGGGGCACTGCTCCCATTGCCCCCCACCCTCGCAGGGGTCTCGGAGCCGCTGCTGCGCACGTTACCTTCCGTGGAGGAGACGCCTACGAGGCCGAGGACGCGTAATATCGGCCATCGCAGGCGGTGGCAGCCGTAAATGTTAGTCTCACTTCGTTCCGCTTCTTTCTCGCGTCCGTGTACTACCATCAGGGACTTCTATCGTTCTGCAGTGTGTTGTCGTTCTCGCTCATTTGATGGTATGGACTTGTCTTTTGTTCTATTGACTGCGGATGACCCCCTTCCATGACATATGCATAGAACACTGTTCTTGTAGACGACTTGTCATTATCCGGTGGATGGTCGTCTGTACGTATCTTATCCATGGGACGCATAATCAACTGTTGTCGACCATTCTATGACCGGGAACCGACGCTGTGGTATCTCCGCTTCGACCCGACCGGTGGTGCGCGATCTGAACGTCTGGGGAGCTGTGCAAATTACTCTGCTCGTCTCGAAACTGCCGACGTGGCGATATCGATTGGCACCCGACCCCAGGGCACACGGGCTGGCATTGACGTGCGGGGCCGATCCGCGGTGCCGGGCTAACGCCAAGCCTGCATTGCGAACGAAATAGCGGTCCGAACCGCTGGAGAACGCTCGAAGAGCCCTATGACAATCACCTGGCGCATTGCACAGGCCCCCGAAACTAAGGGTTCCACCAGTATTCCGGGGACAGGGCAAGGGATAACGGCCCCCCGGGCACGATCTGCGATGATAGAATTGCCCCCAGAGCGTCCGCACGCAGAGAATCCCGAGAAGGCCATCAAGTGAATGGTCAGTGAGTATCCTCGGAAGGAACAAGGGGATCGCCTCCGGAGTGACTCGTCCGGAAGAGCGACGCGCATGGTCGAGATCGAGCAACCGGTACTCCACCCCGCAATGGTGAACAGGGCCTCCCGCGCGCGGCGCGGACAGGCGAAAGATCACCGTATGGCAATACGACAAGGATGCTGTAAGGATGACGATACGACGAGCGAGGACAGATAGCGTCGAAAAGGGAAAGTCGTGGGGGCCAATCGGACGAGGGAAGGACGAGCATCAGGAAGCCTCGCATCCAGTCTTCTATTGCTGTGAGAAAGGAACGATATGCGAGCCACATGCAGCATGCATGGTTTCTGGGTAGTGCGAGCCGTTTTCATACCCTCTGCGCCCGGACCCTCTGCGCTGGGTCTGCCGCGAGAAAGAAGGGAGGTGTTGATTTGGCACCTCCCGGGACCGTACCATGGTACGTAGTACGATGGCGGCAAACGCCGAGGGATTCCTATGAGAAGCAGATTTGGCAAGCAAATAGGCACAGAGCGCCTGGAGACTCACGACTTCGCAGAATCGAAGATACCGTCTAGAGAACCTCACCCATTCACCATCGCACTCGTCGCTGTCTTGGCCTGCGCAACGTCGCGCGTTGATCGCATGTCGAGGAGGCGCGGGAGTGTGTTGCTGCGCCTGAGATATATAGGACGTCTTACGGCACATATCCTGCACAGGTACCGGTAAAAACATACATGTCCCCGAAGGCTCGCGCCCTGTCCAGTTGCGGATGCAGAGACCCATGTCCATACAAATGGGCGATTACAGAGGCCGTAGAACCTTCGAACGTCGGAAACAGCAAGGCGGGGAAGCAGGAACCCACCATAGACCCTACAGACGTGCTGTGGCTTCCATGCGGGGTAGCGGCGGAGAGACGTCAACCACCAGAAGCGACTCAAATCGTTCGTGCTTTATATATCTTCACATCCTCCCGGGGGCTTGGCAGAACGATGAGCCTCGATAGAGAGCAGATAGCCCACGAGTGACCCACCGATCTTGCGCATCTGTTGCAACTGCGCCAAGTCTTTGCACAACGCGCATTCCCGCACTAACGCGGCCAAAGATAGTGTGCTTGTTGTCTAGGTATGGCGTCGGCGCGAGCGTTATGAAGAATTGTGATCCTAAATCAGATCAATGACAAGGTCCACGAGCAGATACATAGTCCAAAAAGCACTCACCATTGGTGTTAGGCCCTGAGTTGGCCATTGCCAAGATGCCGGCCCCGGTAAAGCGGAGCTCTGGATGAATCTCGTCCTCGCTGCCTCCGGAGTGTTACTCACGGCACAATAGCATGTCTATGTACACTGACTCACAATTTTTGGCCATAGATACTCGTTCCCCCGCGGCCTGTACCGGTTGGGTCGCCTGTCTGTATCATGAAGTCCTATCAAAGTGGCGATTATCAGGCGAAGGCGGCACGTTCCCCTCAGACACCGGCACGCACGGCGACGATCCGATGAAAGACGACCCCATTGTAGTACCCGCGCTTCGCAAGCTCGGCGAAGTTCTTACATGTCTAATGGATACGATGATCTGAGACGGTCTGGACGACATAGAAAAGCGAATGAACCGACCTACTCGAGGTGCGTGGTCCCAATACAATTCCAGCTGGATATCCCCCATGCTTGTTTCCAGTACAACCGATTCCATTGTAGCACGAGTCAAGAGCGCGAGGGAGTCGGTGGCAATACACAGGGGTCACTGGGTCGGAGGGTGGTGGGCGAGGACAAGGAGGAGGGTCAGGCTTCCCAACTTCGCGCCGACGGGTTCTCACCGCGCCAAACCTGTTGCCGCGCGTTCATTGCTCCGCCCACCACCATTGCTCGCGCTCATCATCCAAAGCTCTGCGGACACGTCCACGCCACCAGGTAGCGTGCAGAGAGACGTGTATAGACATGCGTGCGATCGTCCAACGAGTCAGAGAGGCGTCGGTCACAGGTGTGTCAGGAGATTGCTGGTCAAAGTAGCTCAGACTCTGAATCAACCTCGATTTTCTCGTGCAGTGGATAATGAAGTGATCTCTTCCATCGGCCGGGGTCTCATGGTGCTCGTTGGTATAGGGAGAGGTCAATTTCGCTCATCCTTCGGGAAAACAAGAACATTGGCTGATTGCTGTCCACGCAGAGGACAGATGATACCGCGACTGACCTCGAGAGCCTAACTAAACAAATGTGCGTGTCATTCACAATTCTCGCTCGCGGCTGCATTCTTGATGGCAATACGTCCATCTCGCCGCCGTGGTGCCTTCTCAGCTGACCGTGATATGGACGATATCTGATGAATCATTTTGACACCCCTTCGTTCCTTTCATCCTACGCACAACAACTCCCGCAGCCTGTCGTTGAAGGTCTTTTCCGACGATGCCTCGGGTGCTATGTGGAAAAAGAACGTCAAGGACATTGATGGCGAGGTTCTCTGCGTCTCCCAGTTCACGCTCTTCGCCTCCGCCGCCAAGGGGAAGCCCGACTTCCACCGGGCGATGGTGTGTATTGCAACTATCTTCGTATTGGGCCCGCAGCCGACTGCTGACCATTACGCGCCCCGCCTGGCTCCTGTTGCTCGCCCTTTTCCACACGTTCCTCCCAGGCGACAGGTCCCTCTCGGGACTTGTACGCGTCTCTCCTGGACCGGATGGGCGAATTGTATAGGTCAGACAAGATCAAAGGTGCGCTCGCCCGCGCTCGGTCGCGACCCTCTCTCGGGTCCTTTACACGCGCGACACGCGACTGGCACAGTTATTTCCGTCAGTCCAGTGTTGAATGCTGACGCTACGACTTGTGTGAACAGACGGACGGTTCGGCGCTATGATGGACGTACGGCTGACGAACGAGGTGCGTTATGTGTCATCCAGCTCACACCACGGGTGTTGTTGTTCGGGCAAGGCTCATCGTGTAGTCATGGCTGATCTTTGTCCGCTGCTTCTGTCCGACCGTTTGAAGAGTTCTGACGACACATAATACATGTAGGGCCCCGTAACTTTTACATTGGACTCGAGGAAGTTTGAATACGTCGGTCTGCCGTTGGAAAGCGCAATTCCGAATAAGGGCCCCAAGGGCACGCCTACTGCGTCGGGTAAACAAACGCCTCGGGCACAAGAAGAACCAGCATCTTTGGCAGGTGATGCTCAGCCCGCAGCGTAGATACAGACCCCGTAGACTCTGGCAGAAGCCTACGTCGCGGGTGTCCTGTCTTGTATGCTTCGCGCTGTGATATGTATGTGTCAACGGAAATTCTACCTGCGCGCGAAGACTCGCAGGCGCAAGGCACAACTCGAGTGGACCATGCGCAAGGGGCAGCAGAGCGGCTCTTCGAGCCCCACTCATCATATATCATTACTTCGCGAAGGGCTACTGTGAAGCATTGACCATGTCCGTGGACTTGGGCGTGCGCAGCGAATTAGTATCTGATAATCGATGTCAAACTTTCGAGGTGGCAGAGATGCATGTCCTACGCAGCTTGTGCGTGGCGTCGCCACAAAGGCAAATGGTTTGCCACTTGCAGATGCAGCATGATCAACCACGCCGACAATGTGGGACATCCCATATCTCCATCTCCGAGCACGTTCTGCGTACGGCCATGAACAGTCCAGTGTTCTGTGCACCAACCGCGAGATGCTTTTTGCTGTAGTTGTGTTCCCGAGGGTATCTCACTTGCCTTCTCGTGCCAAAGTCAAACATTGGCTTCCTCCTTTCATTTCCGCACGCATTCACGACTCATCTGGCCAAAATACACCGCGGCCAACGCCGATGTGCTTCATCCCACCATTGCTCGTAAGCTAAGACACAGGGCTGCCTACAACATGCCACCCACAAAGGCGACCAAAGCCCGCGTTCCCAGCCGCACCCTTCGAGCCTCATCAGAATCGTCCTGTCCACGCCAAGGCCGGGCGTGCTCGCGCAGTCCCTCCACTTCCTCCGCAAAGCGCTGGCGAAGTGCAGGGGACCTCGTGGCGAGCACGAACGACAACTCAGTGTCGAGGTTCGCGGAACGAGAGTTGAGGTTCGTTGAGCCGAACAGGGTCAGCGCGGGAGTTGAGGTTGGGGTGGGACGCACCCAGATGCCTGGATGTTCATAAGAACATGTCGGGACGAACGCAACGGAAGCGCAGACGAAAATAAGCAAGTGAAGAGTAAGTGCATGTACGGAGAAGATGGCCGAGGGAACAATCACCTTTTGCGTGGTAAGTCCATCCTTCACGTTGCCACTCCTGCAGCCGGACTCCTGCAGCTACATCCGAGGAGTTAGAGGACCATTCGGCCCCGACGGAACGGACCGCATCCATGAATCGCCGCTCAAAGAGGGTATATGCTTCATGAATGCGTCCGGAGACACCCCTCGATTTGTAGAATCCATTCGCCTGATGACAGGAAGATGGAGAAGCTCAGTAACGGATAATCTCCGCGGACTAGACCGTGCTTACTCGAGGACTGGCAGCGAGGATCCTGCAGGCTAAGCGAGAGTCGATCACCGCGGACTGGTAAGGTTTGTACAGAGCGAAGTAGCCACTCGTCAAATCCACGAGAGGTCCCTCGTAACCAGATGTGGGAGGGATGGAGTACCGCTGTTGTGCGGACAATTCACGGAACAGTAGCGACAAACACAGCTCCTCCTCCCTGATGCCAAACAGTCCCGCCTGGATCATAGGGAAGACGAGAACATCGTCCTCTGCGTCTGGATGCGCAGATGGGCCAAGGTCAGGCTGTTTTACCAAGGAGATTCCCAATGCCCCACGATGGACATTCTGCAGACAAACTAGAGCCTGCCGAGCCTTAGCCTCTATGTGATGTGGATGAGTGTGCACATCTGACCAGTGGAGTACGTAGTTATCTGTTGTACCGGGAGAGGGAAGAAGGCTATACGAAAATGTAGATGCTGCCTGCAGGAAAGAGAAGCAATAGTCCGCTAGACGGGCCTGATCCGTGAACTGCAGATATCGGTCCTGGCGATTCGAGAAATATGAAGTATTCAGGTTGGCACTACGATGAACGTCAATCTTCGTCTATATACGCTTCCATGACCAGATACACCCTTACCCGGATATTATTAGCGTGTCGTCCGCACCATAGATCTTCGGATGCCAAGTCCCCCAGCCTTCATTGAATCGTGGAGGCACGATACGAGCCATGATGCCCTTGAGTTTGGGGCTTCGGAAGAGGTAGACATGTACCCTATCAGGGTGTTGTATGAGGAGAGGGAGAAGGATGTTCGCCGTAGAGTCCGGACCGGGGCGAGTGGAGCGGTTGAGATCAAGGTGAATGTAGACATGTAGAGAAGGGCTTTCACGCAGGGACGTGTGTATCGCGTCGATCTTGAAGGCTCTGTTGGCTGAAATGGAACAGGTTCTGCGATTTAACACTCACTAATTCTACATCCTCATGGCCGATGTAGAGGGAGGATAGGAATAGTCTATGGCGTGCTTTCCGTATCATACTCTGTGGGTATACCAATCAGGAAATGTTGATATTCCAAGTAAATTCAAAGAGACGAACTAATAATGTTTGGTAAAATATTCGCGGCTCATGCATTATTGAGACACTAGAGGAGTTCATAGCGAAGCATGGCTGATGTTCTGAGAGCTTCACGAGGAATTGACGGATGGTTGGCTCGAAGGAGACTGTAGAAACATTGCGTGGTCGTTGAGCAGCGGCTATTGGGAGAAGCGTAGAACATATACGCAGGCGTGAGAGCTGCAATGCACTCCGCGCCGCGCCGAACATCGAGCTCGAGCGTGAAGTTAGCAGCGGACACCGTGTCGTGAATGGCGTCTGCCGCGATCACCAGAAGGGCGCCTGAGAGCGTGGGAACGGGAGCTGCCGGGAAGTCCTGTTGTTACACGCTGCCGCAGTCTTTGAGTGAGTCTCCAGATTTCTCGCCTTCCTTTCGTCACCATGGCCGCTCTCAGTTTCATCGGGTGGGTTGTAACATCTCCTGCGCTGTACAAAGGTGCTGACTGACTTGTTGCAGAAAGCCCATCTCTCTCATTTCTCATTCGGATGTACGATACAGAGGTATTCTTGCGGGCATCGACCCCGTCGCGTCGACTATTCAACTCTCCAATGGTGAGTACTCATCTGGTGACGGCAACACATTCCTTGTGGTGCTGAACGTATTTCAGTATACTCTATGGGAACGGAGTCGCGAAGGTGAGCACTTTTTCCTTGACTACGTGTTGAAAGGATGAAGCTATTACGGATGTAAAAGAGCTATGGCTCATCCATCCGAGAGCGCATCAACCTCATGTGGATCCTTCCGTTGCCTTCCTTCTGATTCAGTGTCTACTGCCCCCTTTCGCTCGAGCCGATTGTCGCTGACTTCCGATCACCTGCAGACCACCGCAAGAGTACATCCCACCAGTACAAGAGCCCTACACCTACATCATCTTCCGCGCCTCTGAGGTGAAAGATCTTGCAGTCGATGAGCCCGCAAACCAACGACGCAATGTGCACGACGATCCCGCAGTCATTGGCGTGAGTGTTCCCCTATTGCACTCGGCCGCCTATCGCGCTTGATGAAATCATTGACGGATGTAACGAGCAATTGCTCAGTTGTCCGAGAGCGCATAAACTCATGTGGATGTCCCGTTGCCTTCCTTCTGACCGTTTCTTTGCTACTCGCCATTTTGTGCCATATCTGACAGAGCGCTGACTCTTCCTCTTCCAGGCGTCGGCACCTCAGGTGGCACCCAATTACCCTCTTTACGGCTCTCCCTCATACCCCCAACAGGCACCTGCTGGTGTTTCTCCACAGCCCGGGCAAGTGCCCCCACGACAGCAACAACAGTTTGCTAACCGCCAACAAGGCCAGCCGTCGGGCTCTCAACCTGGGCAGACCCCAAATGGGCAGACACAGGCTAATGGTGCAGCTCCTCCGCGCCCTGCCGCGCGTAACCCGTCGGTAAACTCGGCAACCGCTTCGATGGAGACCATCGAACGTGCCATTGGTGACCTCCGGGTGTCCAGCGTCACAACCAATGGCGCCACCCAGCAGCAGCGTGGTGGCCGGCGCGGTGGTGGCCGCCAGGGTGCGGATCACAAGGCTAGCGACTTGCGCGTGCCGGCGACAGATTTCGACTTCGAGAGCTCCAACGCTCGCTTTGACAAGGCTGCGCTCGCCCCATCCCCCCGTGGCACCCCCAAGAACGATAGCGAGAGCCCCGAAGGGGAGGAGAAGGAGGAAGAGAAAGAGAAAGAGCCGGCATACAATCCGAAGAAGTCGTTCTTCGATTCATTGTCGTCGGGCAGCAATGGCCCGGGCCCGTCTGGTGGTGAAGGACGTGGACGTGGCGGCCGTCGCGGAGGCGGACGTAACCGCCGAGAAGAGGAAAGGGAGCGCAACGTAGCAACTTTCGGTGAGCCTGGTGGTGTCGGTCTGATGGGTCCTGGCGCGTATGTTGGTGGATGGGGAGGATACGGTCGCCGTGGCGGAGGTGGACGTGGACGACGTGGAGGAGCTATTGGTGCCCGTTCCTGACATGCGTTCGATGCAGCGACCTGGGGTGCAGTTGTGGGCAGTTGACTGCCATGGCTCCTGAATGTTACTACACTTTTTGTCTCTGGTAGTTGATGATGAGTCGAATGCAGAGCGGTTGTTGTTCATGAATGTCTCGTCTACTGTGCTTTCAGTGGGAACTAAAGCCAAATACTCTAATAGTGCATACGATAGTACAGCATGATGTCCGGTACAAGCAAAAGATACAGCGCAGACGAGAGTCAAACAACAACTGGACATGCACGGGATGAACTACCTGCGCCGGAGCTTGCCTTTCTGCGAACGACGCAGTGCCCGCCAAGCCAATGTCAGTGCAGCTGAAGCGATGCCCCAAGGTGGGAATAGCCAGCTCAACCTCCAAGTCCAGCCAGCCTCTTCCATGAGCCGTCTGACTACACCGTCAATCTGGCGTTCGAGTTCTTGGGGAGTGCCAGAGTTGTCTATGACGATGTCCGCGTACTTCACCTTTTCCGCTATTGGCAATTGAGCATTGAGGCGGGCTGAGGCATCTTCGCGCGAGGAGTTGTCCCGCTTCATGAGCCGTTGAAGCTGGATCTCTGTAGAACTGCAGGGGGGGGGCATGTCAATATGCTTTCGACAGGCACGTAGACTGTATGAAGCTAGGAAACCCACCAGTACACCACCAACACCTTTCCGACCCACTTCCAGAGCCCACCCTCAATCAACAACGGCACGTCCAGCACGCACAGCCGCTCCCCCCGCCACCAATGCCTCAGCACGCTCCAAAACATCTCCCTCCGCACCGCTGGGTGGACGATCGCGTTCAGCTTCCTGCGCTTCTCCTCGTCCGCGAACACGATGCGCCCGAGCTTCGGCCGGTCAAGCGTGCCGTCAGGGAGGAGGACATCGGGCCCGAATACGCGCACAATGGCGGACAGCGCAGGCGTGCCTGGCTCGACGACCTTTCGGGCGAGGACGTCGGCATCGACGATAGGGACGTTGCGTGCGCGGAGGAGGGCCGAGACGGTCGACTTGCCGGTCGCGATACCGCCGGTGAGGCCTACGACTGTAGGTGCAAGGCAGCGCGTTAGTATAAGGATTCCAGCAATCAAAGATGAGAGGATTTGAAGGAGCAGATGTTCAGAGAGACCGTCTGCGGAGGTATGCGCAGTGGCAGACGCACCGAGCATGGTATGTTCAAATTCGTGGAACGAGATAGGTGAGTGTTTTGTGGGAGGTCAGGTCGATGTGGACACAGGAGGTCAGAGATGCAGATAGCTGGAGAGCGGGGGCTGCGGTATGTTCCTAAGATTGCGCTTCAGGCGGGCGCATGGCCAAAATCGTGGTAGGAGTACGTGACCAAGTGGGGTTATGCGCATTCTAGTCTTCACGATTCGTGCGTGCATCAGCGGAGCAGCGTCTGTTGTCCGCAACGTGCCGTACGCTGAATCCTCGCTAGTCTGTTTGTTTGAGTGAAGGAGGTCGCTTGCTCTAAAGAAGAGCACGCCCAGCAGGGGGTATATGTGATTAGGCTGCATGTGACCCGGTATGCGGCCAACAGCAGTAGTAGGCATCAAACATTGGGTAACGGAGTAGTCATACAATTGCAAACAGAGTTCGACTGACAACCGTAACGTGTCCCTAAGAATGAGCGAAAGCAAAGCGATTAGGTCACCATGTGACTGGCAAACGAGTGCCATATGCAGATCTATGTAACGGAGCGGAGGTGAAGGAGCGGGTTAGGCATTATCGCAGTATCAGCCTCGGAGGATGGGAGGGCTTTGGTTGGCGGACTTGTATGCGTGGCGTCGCATGCCTATGCATCTGTACCTTGCGTAGCTCCTCGTCTAATCGCCACATGCCCTTCACAAATCCGTCGCGATCAAGGGAACCGGTACCCGCCGGGTCACACTCCATCCTGCATGCGCGGTTAGCCCCGTTACTTCAAGACTACGGGAGAGCATTCCTTACCATATCATGCGCAATGTTGCATTTTCGAGTCTAGACAGCTTCCATATTGCCTTCACTGTCTGCCCGTCCAGCTTCTCATCACTGCTCAATTCCTCCTCAATGGGCTCCGAGCGCGTCCCCGGATCGACGCTGGAACTGATCTCCTCCGGATTTGTGATCAGGTCCACCGAGAGCCCACGCCAACCGGCCGCCTGTCGAGGCTTGCGTATTGGGGGAGGCGACTTGGCGCGTTGCGCCTGGCGAGCGGCAATCACGTTCCCATTGAACACGGCTTCATAGCGTTTGCGCGCGGCAGGAGGCACAGGCGTGGGTCGCGTGAGCATTGCCGATTTGGGCTTCGGGGTCGTGGTGCTACGCGTGCTGATGCTCGTGCGTGAGGTAGCAGTGCTGAGAATGGAGGAGCGGTCGGAAGTGGAAGCCGCAGAGGTCGAGGCAAGAGAATTGCGGGAGGAAGGTGGACGTGAGCGTGGAGGGGGAGGAGGAGCCGGACCGTCTCGTCTCGGCGTCAGGCGTGGTGAGGTACGGGGTGACGTCGGCGCGGAAGCGGGGGATTTTGCTGGACGCTGGGGGAGTTTGGGAGGTTCGCGCTTTGCGTACACTTCCCAATCGTGCGAGACAGATGATACGGAAGGGCTTACAGCAGACGTTACAGAGAGGTTTTCGAACGACTCGTCAAGACTGACGGCGTCCAGATCGCGAAGGCTTCCCCTATCGTGATCGTCATCGCGGTCTATTGGGTAGGTGGCAACGTGGTTGGCCAAAGAGTTCGCGGTGCCTGGGGTAGATGGATCACCTCCATCTGAGGAGAGAGAGACTGAATGAAATGAGGATATCGAGGAGCCCGGCACATGACGTGAGGGTATATTGATGCCTAATTTGGACAGCGGTGGGTAGGTGTGATCAACGGTGAGGGAATCGGACGAGGACCTCGTTGGCACACTTGGGAGCGGTGGAACCGGAGGGCGAGGGCTACGGGATCCGGAGTTGGAGGTATCTGTTGGTGAAATGGACTTTAGGGACGAATACGAAGCCTTCCGAGGTGGCAAGGGAGGAGCAGTGCGAGTCTTGGGCGGCGAGTCGAGGTTGATCAGGGGAGGTGGCGGTTGACGCAAGGCAGAGTCTGAGACATGTCTTGAGGTCGGCTTGGGGGCAAGGGGTGGAGGAGGCTTGCGAGCCAAAGGTGGTTTCTGCCTCGGGACATATGGAAGAGGCCCGTCGTCTACGACCCAATCATTCAAGTCGATGAGCGACGTTTTCCTGCCGAGGTTCGGAGGCGAAGGTGAGGGCGAGGGAGGCATGGACTTGCCTGTAGTCGCTAAAGGGCGGATGGGAGATATAGAGGTGGCTGTAGGCGAGATGGGAGTCTCGAGGAGGTCCGGAGGTGATGTGGAGACCATGACAGGCCCGCCCGCTGCCTGCATAGTCTCAAATGCATGTATCCGCGCCTTTACTGCGGAGGACGCCATAGCAGCGTGCGTTGTTGTCGGCGGTGTAGGTAAGTCCGGCATGGACGTCGAGCAGGGGAGCAGAGAGATCGCAAACGGAAGATGCCGAGGGCTTCGCCGCCTCGAAGACGCTGCCGGGTCAAGAGGCGCCCCCGCGGAGGCGGGCCGACGCCGGGCGATGATGATGTCTGTCGACTGCAGCGCTGCCCTCAGCGTCCTCGGACTTGGTTCTTACCCTCTTTCCACTGCCACCAGCCATGGCCGACCCTCAGCTCGACACCGACAAGCAGCTGCGCGCCGCGAGCGTCGGTTTCGACCACCTCTTCGCAAACGACCTCACCAAGGCACGGGAGACTTTCGCTAGTGGCGATTCGCCCTTTCACCAAATGGGTCACGGCGTATGCGCCTTTTTGGAGGCTGCGCTTGGAATGGAGGTGCCTACCCATTTGTTTCCGTTATTCGGGTATCTTGCTCACGTTCGATGCTCTTCGCAGACTGGTCTGATGGCCGAGGCCTCCCGCCTGCTCGCCCTGTGCGAAGCGGGTGCAAAGAGGCAGCTCAAGGTCGCCAAGCTCTCCTCTGCGACCACTCAGTTTCCGCCGGGCACAGAATGGGAACTCTTGCATTCCGACGCGGTCATTCTTCTCGGACTCACTCACGCCCTCAGGTACGTCCCGTGTGATTCCAACTGACCCCATTTCAATCTCATCCGGCTTGGTCAACCAGTGAGTCCTACATGGGCTATCTCCAGTGCTTATATGCAATGAACAGGTAAGTCACATGGCGCTGAAGATGTGTCTAATGGTCACTCACGCTCATATGCTAGCGCACACTCAAAATTCACGAAGTACGCACGTTGCCCTCCGAACGTGTCCCCTGCACCCTTGAACTCTGTTATTTGCAGACTTTACAAGACTGTATATCCTCATGGTCTTGACAATTACGCAACTCCAGCCGCGTCCGCACCTGGTTCCAGTGCCGCGAGCATCCGGTCAGAAGCTTCTGGCACGAGTGCGACTCTTGCCGCACCCAAGCCCTCGAAGTCGAGCTTCTTCAGCCGCTTTACCGGCTCAACACTGTCGGTTCCAAGCATCGCTCATACACCGATCAATGTCGGCGAAGGCTCGGTAGATGAACTCATCTTATCTGGGACTGCGTTCGGTAGGGCCAAACTTTCTTCACTGTCTCCTATCGCTGACATTCATATTCCAGGATATGGGTAAGCTGCATGAACCTGCAATAGCGTATTGGTACCGGGATATTGAGCGCTCGCATATCAGCTTGTTCAACCTTGTGTTTTCCCTCCTTCCTGCCAAGATTCGGTGCGCATATATTCCCACATATTCTTACTCTTTATCCTGATTGGATCTCCAGAGGAGTGGTTGGATTCCTGGGCTTTAACCATGATAGGAAGCTGGCCCTTCGTGCACTCGCCGTGTCGGCAGCCAAGACAGACGTACACGCTGTCTTCGCAGGGTACGTTCAAGGGTCGTCCCAACTTAGTCTATCAGACTATCAGTTGACCTGGTCATATTCATAGACTGTCATTAATGACGTACCATGGTGTCGTTCTCCTGCTCGCCGGCTATCAAGCGGATGAACAACACATACTCAAACAATACCGGTCAATCGTAGACAAGTCGGTATCTCCTCGATATCTGCGCGAGATCTCATTGATAAGCTTCCCACAGATTGGAGGCTCGTTATCCGACTGGTTCGTTGTGGATCCTGAACCGAGTGAGTGGCATTGTGTACATTACCCAGAACGTATAAATTAATGGCCTGTGTGCAAAAATAGGCAAAGATCCTTCGCATGTCGTACGATCCGGATGGCGCAATCAAGGTGTTACAGGATGGTCTGGCCCCTGGAATGCCGCACACCTTTGCACAGGCCGACGGTCTGGTGAGTCCGTAGAATTCAATGATGTCACGCTCCCTAACCACCAATTGTTGCGCCATAGCTCATCTTCGAGTTGGCGTGGACGCTGCTCTCACAAAGACGGTATCAAGAAGCCGCGGAGGCGTTCATCCGAATGACGGAGATCAACAGCTGGTGCGTCATATACATTGGCATTTGCGTTCGTAAAAGTCGAGCTCACGTGCGCGCTTCCTGATCTCATAGGAGCCACGCTACGTACTGCTTCATTGCTGCCGGATGCTACATCTCTATCAAGAACTACGAAGGAGCGCAAGAGCTTCTCGACAAAGTCCCAGAACTGATCGAAAAGCGTAAAATTGCCGGGAAGGATTTGCCTACGGAGGTCTTCATCAAGAAGAAACGTGCGTGCCCTCCCTTTCCAGAGGACATCTGATGCGATCCATAGTCTACATATAGTCGCCTTTTACAAAGAAAAACAGAAGCAGTTGACCGGGTCCGAAGCCAACTATGCGCATGCGGCAAAGATCAGTCCCGCAGAGGGTTGGTGCACATACTTAATGTAGGAAGCCTGACTGACTGACACCACACTATGTGACAGAGCTCGGTATTTGTGAGTGTCCTGTATTGATATGTCGCCCAAGTCACTGAACAGCGTATAGTCTGGAATACACATGCGCGGATCACCAGAGAGACCGCTCTCGCGCACATTCAAGACTGGGCCACATGTCTCAGCCCCCCGCCCAACGTGAAAAGCGAGTACATCGTCTCCGCTCTCGATAAAGAGCAGCCCGCCGCAGACCAGGTACCGGATACTCCAGACGAGCTCGCTATTCGCTCCCTACTCCTCGGCATAGTCCACCGCACGGCTGGCGACTTCGTGTCCTCCCGTGCGCTTCTGGAGGACGCGGTTGCTCTCGATCCCGCTGTCACAGTGAGCACATGGGTAGGCGGTGTGGCCTGGTTTGAGCTTGCCGTGCTCGACCTAAGGGAACTGGAAGCTTCACAGCCAGAGAAGGGCAAGGAGGGCCCTATTGCAGACACGGATGCGTGGGCCCGCGTCATCAAGAGTGCGCTGGTGAAGCTCGACAAGGCCCTCTCGCTGGCGACGCAGCAGGTTGACCTGTCATCGCGACTGGACAGCCGGATCGCTATGCTGAAGGATGAGCTTGCGCTGAAGAAAGAGATGTTGGGGATCAGCTCCTGAGGTTGGAGTCTAGCGGGTCGGTGGTTTTGTGTGGTCTTGGATTTTATCAACGACGCTTGCATATACGGCGCGGACGTCATGGAGTTCGGGTCAGTAGAGTAGATCCTATAATCTTCTGTACGATCCTAATATACCAGACACGGACTTAGACATGGATTGCTACAATCATCTGTGATCTCAGCGTACCTGTACTCGCTAAGTCGCCGTAGCGCGCTTACATGCGGCACATCGCCGAGGAAGCACTCATTTCTGCTGCATTTCAAGACACTGCACTTGGACCAAGGTAAGAAAGAATACGAATGAAGTTTGCGGCCGTATTAACATCCAAAAGGCATTACATCCTCATATATCCACATCGCTCTGCGTAGATCAAGTAACGTATCCGTCGTCAATGGAGCGTCCGGCTTTACCACCGCTCTTCAAATCGCACGTGGTGGACCCCTTCCACGCCCCTTCAAGTTCGCGCCCGTTCCATAAATTTGCGCAAGCAGCCCCAGGACACCACCATCCTCCAACTCCGCCTCATCGTCGTCCTGCTGAGACTGTGTGATGCTCGCACGCGGCCGCCGTCCATCGACGTATGACTCGCCCAGCGTGCTCCCGACGCCCCCGTCCGCAGCGAGATCCTCCTCTGGGATGACCGAATCGGCGACGTTGCCTCCCGCCCCAGTGCCGGGGAACACGCTCCCCTGCGAGTCGCCGAGGACGGCGGTCTGCGCCATTGCCGTGCCTCCGATGTGCGATTGGAGCATACTCTGGCCGACTCCGCCCAGCTGCCCCGGGTGCAGCACGCTCCCCATCATGCTCGCTCCAGGGCCTCTCCTCCGCACGTTCTGGCTCGCACGGAGCGCCCTATCGTACTCCCTCGCCTTATCCTGGGGCCCTGGGGCGTGGAGATGCACTGTTGAGTCCATGCCATGCTCGGGGACGGGCCCGATGATGGAGCGCTGGAGGAGGCGACGACGGGTGACGCCGTTGGGGTACGCGGCGCCGAGATCGGCCATGCGGGAGAGGTAGTCGGAGCCATGGGGGTCGTTGGGCGTCCAATCAGGATGGGCGGCCTTGAAGTTAAGGAAGGACTTCTCCATCTTGCCCTCCCTGGACATGAAGCGCTCCTCGACCTTGGCCTTCGCGCCGAACTGGACATAAGGGGGCGTAGGTTTAAGACTGCAAGATACATGTGATGTACGGGATGCAACGCACCTTGACGTTCCCGTGCCTTTGGAAGTCAAACACTGCAAACGAGCAGACGTACCCCAGCCCGTCCACATGCACCGTGAACTCCCTAAAGAAGTCCACGATCGCCGGCGCGCACGGCGGTAGCGAGTACCACAACACGAATGGCGTCAAGATTACCGACATGAGCTCCTGCGCGAACGTCATGACCTTCATCGCGAAGAGCTGCCCGAACTCCTCGTGCACCTTCTTCGAGTGCAGCTGGCCCTTCCATTCATCAGGCATGTAATGCGTATACTGGACGACTTCCTGCATGAGCAGCTCGGGGTCGAACACGCGGTTCTCCTCCGGGACCATGCCGCGGGCGACAGCAAGGATGGAGCCGAAGACGGCGATGTAGAAGACTGTCGTGCGGTGCGGGGTGATCTCGAAGTGGACGAAGAGGTCAGGGTCGAGGATGGACGCGAGCACGAGGACGGCAGCGAAGGACCCTGCGATGAACGAGACAAACCTGCGAGATGGTTATGCATGTGCGTGCGCTAGGAAGTGAGGAAACTATCCTACCTCGCAATGAGCGTGAGCTTCTCGTTAGGAAACTGGCCGATGTACATGCTGGCGGTTTCGTACGATTCGTTCAAGCGACGTTTGAAGAGATGCGGTAGTTCGTTGAATTCGCGGAACTTCCATTGAGCGTATGGAGTGTACCCACGGCCGCTGATATTGGACGGGTTGTTGTGATATTCCTGCGAGAGTAGACGGTTCCAATAAAGATGTAGGAGCGAGTAACAGAGAGGCTTACCTCGAAGTAGCGGAAGAAGAAGAACATGAGGAGGTACAGCACGATGAATGGTGCGAAGATGGCATTCAGGAAGCCCATGAATATCAGTCGTCGCCGCAGTCTGATCCCCGATATGAGTATTGATCGTCATGAAGTTAAGCAATTGGGTGAACTGACCCCTCGATCAACGCTGCACGGTTCTTGCTCTTCAAGAATACCTTCCGCACTCTCCCGCTCTCGTCGAACAGATACTCCATTAGGCAAAACCTCAGATTCCACTCCAGCGCCCGCGTCAGCATTTTCCCCTTCTGCTCGTCCGCAGCCCGCCTGAACAACGGAATGCCTTGCAGAAACAGCGGCACTGGCACCCGGAGGTCAAGCAGCTCCTTATTGAATAGCGCGATGAGGAAGTTCTCCTGGCGCATGATCCGATTCGCGATGTCATGTGCGTCGAGCTTCGCCGTGACGGACTGGTGGGCGGCCGTGTTGGATGAAATGGCCGTGAGGGGATTATCTTCGCGTATGGCACCGATGCGGCGGACGACCTCAGGCCAGGAGATGGTCTGGATGTCCTCGTCGGGGATGTGCAGGAGGTGGGTGTAGAAGCGATACATGTCCATGAGGCGTATCATGCTCAGCGTGTAGGAGACGAGCTGCCAGATGAAAAACGTAGAGAAGAGCATGAAGAAGAGAAGCGTGAACCCGGAGAACCTGACGGAATCAGAGTCAGCATAAATGAAGGGCGGACAAACAATATAAGGAGGGTGTAAGTTTGCGAGGTGCCTCAGACAGGAGCTTGTTTGTGCAACGCTTCGCTCGACACGCACCTAGATACACAACTGCTCACGACTATGTCTGGCAATCGCGTGACCTTCTCTGGTCGTATGCGAGAGTAGTCCACGCATCCAAGCAGGAATGTTGAGAATCCAATCACGAAGCCAATCGTGCTATGTGACACTATCAGTATATTTCTTGAACGAACGACAAGGATGGGTAGGACAGACAGGAGATTCAAGCCTCGGGATAGTGCTATACTGTATATCCCCTTCCCCTCGTAGTAATAGTACGCCTCTTGGAGGAACGCGTCAAGGTTAAACACGTTCACCCAATTCCACAGGGCACGTTCATGCTCATCCAAACCGCGTATATGCTTCGTTGGAGACTCGTGTAGAGGTTCCGACTGCGGTTCCGGGTCAACGTTGATTTCGGATGGTCTTGGAGGTATCGACACGGGGGCGTCGGCGGTAGTCGTAGGGAGAAGAGGTTTCTGGACGGAAGCCTTGCGGGACGCATAGAGTGGTTGCTTACGGTCTTCCCGCTCCTTGCCCTTCGCGGTCTTCTGGAGTTGAGGAGACGTCGTCCTGCGCTGCTGAGCTGCCGCCGCCGCCGCCGCCGCATGACTGGACGCCTCGATCATGAAATCTTCCGGGACCTCGCCATCTGAGGACTCTTCACCATCTTTGGGGTCCGCTCTACGTATGTTTGGATGGAGGACATTCATCTCTGAGGCGTCTCCGCCCCACGCAACCTTGCGTTTGCCATGCGACTTTGTCGTGGAGCGGGAGCCTGAGCGTGAAGTACTACGGCGTGGGCTCCCCGCTTCAAGGTCTTGGTTCTCCTCGTCTTCCTCCTCGACGACAGACTGGTTGGCTTGCATGTAGCCTTGGTATGTGCGACCCATGGGGTTGAGCATGTTGAGGAACGGACGAGAGCTGCTGCCACCAGGGAAGATGGACTGGGAGCCGTACATGGAGCGTGAGTTTGGCTCGCTAGCCATGCCTCATCGAGAGCGTTGGATGGAAAGCAGAATATGAGGAAGGGTCTCCAGGACGTAGTGGCTGAGGCTTGCGCGTCGAACAAAGCTCACTTTGGACGGGCGCGACAGCCGCCGACCGTGACGCGAGGCAGCGCTACGGGCGCTACTCTTGCTCATCAAGCGCCGCCCGTTCTCAGAGCGGCCCGGCGTGTGGATGAAGTTATCTGCCACTGAGTGTCCGCGATGAACACTGTTCTCTGTCTCTGAGCGGCGGCGCCAGCGGAAGCATCTCCCTCACGAAATTCGCAGCGATCGTCGAGTGTAAGTGGCAGGGACGTAAGCATTAATATTGACTACCCTCAGTATTGTGTGCTATCGCAATCTGTCCAAATGGGCGCCTGCGGATAGCAGTGCAGGATGTGCCTCAGCGCCTACCACGCGACGCCGACGTCGTCGCGGCTGTCGACTCTCGGCGCGCTCTCCAGCCTTCTCCTTTCACCACTATCCTATACCCGACTCAATGTCTCAGCCTAAGTTGTGCGCCACCCACTCGATGCTTTGGTCTTTGTCAGACTTACTCACAAGCATCCTAGAACATTACGCCCCCCTCCTAATGTTGACTTCGTCCAAGGTTCGCGCGTTTCTAGGACAGGAGATGGCAGGGAGAATGGCGCGTACTCACATGGTTTTGCAAACCAGGCTATCCTGGGATACCACCAGGTGGACCCGACAGGCCCCAAGCTGCTGTCAAAGGTGTACGTACAATCATTCCACGAATGATACTCTATGCATATACTAACCTCCCACTGTTCCCAGGCCATTGAGGTCCGGGTAGGACAGCAAGGTGTGAAGGCGAAGTGGGTCCGCATCGAGCTCAGGAAGATCGAGACACTCCCCGGCGGCGGTGTGGCCAACACTTTCTTCGACTTCGTCGGGCAGAGCCCTATCAACCTCTGGCAGTCCCCCGACGACCAGTACAGCACACTACACACGGTGCGTGCTTTCCGCTCTTCGAGCTCATTGATGTCCTCAACCGCACAATGGTAACAGAATGATTTTCCGTTCTTCATACGGATCCCGGAGTCGATACCCCCTACGATAGCACTCGAGAAAGGTGGTGAGTCGTCTTCCCATGCGCCCCTTCCCACTAGCTGCATATTTGGACATCGGCCCTCTCCACTTCTCGCCACATCCGCGTGCATCGGCACACACCTACGTGTTGCACGGATCGCCCACTCGTCTCTCCTCGGCAGGCGTATGTCACGCTAGCCCTCTCAGGCCATGAGTTGTTCACTGGTTTCGAGACAGAGTTGGGGTTGAACAATGGTGCATCTTGAAGAGCCCATTCAGGTGCATGTCAGCGCGCTGACGCGCGGTACTCCTGTGCGCGTGGAATCTCGTATTCTCAATCCCCTTCTAGCACGCGCTTGTCCAGTTGTGCACTCGCTCACTTCATGCCATTTGCCTAGCCGGTATCAAGTACGAGCTCATCGCGTCAGTATGCGTACAAGGCAAGAAGTGAGTAATCCGTTCTTGCATGGAAGTGGGATCGTCCAGCTTCCCCGCTTCGCTCTGTGACCGACTAATCACACGTCGTAGGGGTTTTCTGCGGCGAGACAAGCCCACCGTGACTGCGACGGCGTCGGTGATCACCATCGACAAGCACGAGCTGCATTCGACATGGCCCATCTACCTGCAGCCCGAGACGCGATCCCATTCGCAGGACGGTGTGACTCTCGTCGTCGAAAGATCGCACACTTGCTATGGCCCCGGCGACCGTGTCGTGGTGATGGCGACGGTCAAGTCGGACACGCTACACACCGTCCTCCTGCGCGGCTTCGAGTTCATGCTTCGCGAGACGACCATCTTCCGCGCCGCCCCTCATACGCAAGGCAAGAAGGGCAGCCCTCAGGTCAAAGTGTCGAGCATTGGAGAGCAGAAGGTGCCAGTGAACGCGACGCTCTACGGCGGGACGCAGCATAAGGCGGAGCTGAGCATCACGGTGCCACCGCACCACACGTCGGCAACAATCAATGCTGCGAGGCACATCGATATCAACTACGTCCTCACCGTGAAGGCGTTGATGAACACCGGGCAGCCCGTCATCATGGATCTTCCGGTTATGATCTCGAACTGGCCGAGGTTCGTCATTGCTTCTTTCTGATGTGTTGAAAGCGTCTAATTCGAGTGGTTTTGCAGAGCCGTTTCCGCTGAAGCCATGAGGTTGGTTCGAACACTTGTCGATATCCACAGTGATAAAGTATTCATTGACATTACATCAGGCGGATAGGTCATGCTTTCAACGTTTCGCTCCCTGGCCATCCGAATGGCCAAACCGGTTCCGGACAACAGTTCCCGGCCGCGCTCATGGGCAACAGGGCAACCGCCACGCCTGCGGCCCCAGCTGTGTCTCCCTCTGCGCCATCCTCTGCCACGCCCTCCCATACGCACTCGAGCTCTATCGACAAGAAGTCCTCCATATCAGACCTCCGATCGCCCACTAAGCCCGCGCTCGGACCGTACAATACTGTACCTCCCAATTCAGACAAGACTAACTACGGCTATGGCAGCACGAACGAGTTTGGCGAGCGCGAGCGCAGGAAGACCGCGGAGGGCACCCCGGTGACCTTTGCAGCCCAGACTATCGGTGCGACGGGCTACGGCGCGTCACGCACACGTGCGGGTAGCGGCGCGTCTAACGATGTCCCCGTCGCTGCGGTGCGCCCGCGGTCCAGTGGCGGGCGCACTTCAAATCCAACTAGTCGTTTGACGCTCGTAAACACTACTGAAGAAGAGCTGCGCGAAATAGAAGCAGAGGCGGAGCGTGCAGCTCGCAGACAGCCTTCGACGATCCTCGAGAGCCCTGTTGCGCTGGAACCGTCGGCACAGCTATCGCAGACACAGGCTGCGCCGAACCAACAGAGGACAACGACGCCGAAGACGACGACCGCAGCTCAAAAATGGATAAGCGCGGCAAAGGAGAAGGAGATCTTGTATCAGCGCGCGGTGGAGAGTGTTAATCGTGTACAGGGGACGCGCATTTCCGTTGACGTGAGTCCCAAGTTTGGCGTATGTCTTGCTGCATGGTTGGCTCACGTCTCGCAAGCAATCTTCGCAGAACGGCCACGGAGACGCACAGTCCATCAAGAGCGCCACCACGCCTGCGTCTGCGGTTAGCAAGCCGGAGAAGCGTTGGCCAAGCGCCGAGGAGGAAAAGGCCCAAGCCCGCCGATTCGAAGAAGCTAAAGCTGCAGTCGTGCGCGCCCGCGGCCAGGAGGCGTTTGAAGCTGCCAGTGGCTCCGCCTTGTCCGCTGCTCCTGTCGCCAGCGGAAGCGCAAGGAGCCCCGCCTTATCCCCGGGTGCTACCATCTACTCTGAAGCAATGGCCGCCATCAATCGGCCTGTTACCGCGGGCTCCACTCATTCCACTGGCTCTATAACTTTACCATATCACTCCCAGCCATCTCAACCCGTCCTGACCCCTACTACTCCTGGGAGCACCTATGGTCGTCAATCATCATCTGGTGCTCTGCCTTCTGCAGCCGAAGAGAAAGCGATGATGGCCCGTTACTACGAAGCAAAGACTGCTGTCTGGCAGACACAATCTGCCCATTACGGACGTGTGCCCGGCAACGCCGGCCCCGACCCCGTACCGTACGACGCTCTCTATCCCGGTCAGCAAGCGATCAGTCCCGTTTCACAAGTCCAGCCCTATCCAGTGTCTTCCCTGTCTGTGCAACCACCGCCGGCCGGTATGCCTCCGGCTTTCGTGGCTAGCGGATCGTCGCAACACCCGATCCTCTCTGAGAAGGAGAGGTTGCGAAGACATTACGAGGCTCAAGACGCTGTCGCGGCTCAGGCTCAGCAGCCGCCGCCACAATGGCAACCTGCACCCCCGCCCCCACAGGATTACGCGTCCTCGCCTCCACCCGGCCCCTACCCTGATTTATCACCCGCTGGCAATCCGCCGCCTTTCAGCGCACCGCAAACACCCCTTTCCGCGTATGCGGAGAAGGAGATGCTTCGTCGAAAGTACGAGCAGCAGGATGCGGCCGCACAAGGTACCCCTCTTCCGACTCCGACACCTCCCCCGCGGACGTCACAGATGATCAACGGCTCTGGCGGACGTGGTCGCCCACCACCAACTCCGCCCATCTCACCCAATGTGATGCCCGGGACTCCTTCCAGTGCGCGCCCTCTAACTGCTGCTGAAGAGAAGGCTCGTCTCAAGGCCATGTACGAGGCGGAGGACCGCACAGCAGGAGCACGTCCTCCCATTCCCACACAATCGCCTTACCCTTCACCACCACCCTCGAACGGATACCATGACCCTACTGCCGTCCCGCGCACGACACCCTCCCCTCAACTCCCCATCAGCGCAATCCCACCTCCGCCTCCGCCTCCGCTCGCTCCCAAGCCGCCCAAGGAGTACATCGAGGAGACGCAGCAGGTGGACATCCGGACCACCGCGAAGCTGCAGGCTATCGACGCTGGAGAGCTTGACCCCGAACTCGCCTCGCTCGCACCTTCCGATCACGAAGCCGCCGACGTCGAGGAGACGGACGCGCGCGACAACACGTTCGGGCCCGGAACACTCTCTGCCGCCGCGAACCCTTCGAGTCCCGGCCCCACCTCAACAGGATTCGCGCCTGGCCTATCGCGGCAGAGTTCATTTGCACCGTCCGTCGGTGGTGGGCCGTCAAGACAGACGTCATTGGTTGCTGCCCCCGGCACGCCCAGGACGGTGCCTCCGCCACCACCTCTTCCCCCGAAGGTGCTGATTGAGTGAGACTTCCCGTGGGCGCAAAACTCGACCTCGTCGAGATCCACATCCAGTCGCACCCGTGGCGCCCTTACTTGCATTTGCACGGACTATATACTCTACTTCCCATTCTGCACCCACTGTAAAGCCACGGCCTTGGTTGCACGTAGCCTACCCACCATCGTTCTACCCCTAGTTTCAGTTCATCTCGCTCAATCTTCTCGCGCAGGGCCCCTGTCTTCATCTGTATCATTCTATCGCACTCATTTATTTTTTGAACTATCACTATGTCGCGCTATCGCGTTGCCTGCCTGGTGCTGATCCTGTTCGCTACGTACCGGTCTGGTGCCCCGGGGAACTTTGAATGTTGCAGTCTCTCTCTCGCTCTCGCTAACCAGTTAGCCAGTTGGTCAGTTAAGCACTGATGACATGTATAGGGTTTACGCTATATATCAGTACGGATACATCTATAATCGTACGCTTCTTTCGATCCCCGCACATCCTGAGCTCTATGCCCCGGTCACACGGGCGCTTGACTGCTCATTCGCCAAGCGCAGAGGGGAGAAAATGAGCAGCAGGCATAGACATACGCCACCAACCGCGAAAGACTCGGCCGAAAGACCTAGGCATGGGTTATGAGGAGAAAGTGGGGTTTGGGAACGGACCGCAGCGGCAGAGGGACACAGCCGTGATGGGGACGGGAAGACGAGTAGATGGGGCAGGAGAGGACAGTGAACGAGACAGAGACAGGCGGCCAGAATATCCACGCGGGCCACAGGTTACACAAACGTCTCCCCTCCCATCCACAGCGCACGCAGGGTGCAGGTCGGCCGCAACTCGCGCGGCAGCAACACGCAGGCGCAGACGGAGGCAGCACGAGCACGGGCAAGCGGCACGAGCTCTTGAAGAGGTCGGGTGCTCAGCGCTTGCGCTTCGCCTTCTTGCCCGTGCCTCCCTCCGACGAGATGGGCAGCTGGAGATCAATCACGTCCGACTTCCTCTTCTGGTGCGCCGCGGCGCCCCCGATGGGGCCCACCTTGGGGCTCCGCGACGCAGCGACTCCGGGGGCCGCCTCGGCGCCCGCGGCCTCGTCCAGGAATGCGGTCAGCTGCTCCGTGCTCGCGTCTTCGATGCTCGTCCCGTCGATGCGTGTGTTGTGGTCGTAGTGGTTCGTGATGTCCTGGTAGCCGTCCATCATGTGCCCGCCGATGGCGTCGAAGCCGACGCCGTGGCCGTTCCCGACACTGTGCCCGTCGCCAATCTGGCTGAGCAGCGAGTCGAGGAGGTTCTCGGGCTGCGTGGCGCCCATGCCATCGCTCACGCTGTGCATGCCATTGAGACCGTTCGTGAATGAGTCGTGTGCCATAGGCGCGGCGAAGCCGTTCGTGCCTGAGCCGTGGCCGTTCAGTACTGCGCCAGGGTGGCTTGGTGCGGTGGGCGACGTAGGGGACATGGGCTCATCAGGCGGAGAAGGTGCAAGAGAGGCAGGATCGATACCGAGGTTGTGAATGAGGGAGTTGATTGACGACTGGAGCATGTCCATGTCAGCATCGATCTCGGCCGCGTCCTCGTAGTTCTTCTGCAGTCGCTGTTGTTCGTCAAGCAGGATCTGTAACGAAGCGCTGTCTTCTGGATGGATGGGGGCGAGAAGAGGCGGGGAGAGGGAAGCGGGGGCGGAGGCGACTGGGGTGCCGGGAGCGCTGAACCAACGCAGGTAGTCCTGCTGGTTCGGGTCGTACGCCTGGATCACCGACGCGGATTGGGGGATAACGCTGTCTTGGTTGCCCAGACCCGTCACGGGTTGCTGACTGGCGAACGCCTGCACGAACTTCTGCAACTGGCCGGGGGATGTCATCATGTGCTGGAGGGCGGCTTGCCACACCGCGTCGACGTGCTGGCCATTCGTCTGGGCCCCGAACGCGGGCGGAGTCTGCGCGGGTGTGCTGTCCGTACTGCCGTTGGTGAGACGTGGCGTAGAGGCTCTGCTGTTTGTTCTTGATAGAATATGCGAAGGACGTACAGGGACAGGAGGTGTCTTTGACCTGTCAGACAAGGTCTCCGCAGCGGATGAGAAGGCATCCGAGTGCGCGATGGACGGAGACGACACAGTCACATCTGGCGTCTCGATGGTGGCATACCGATCTTGAGACGAGCGGCTATTACAAGGATGACCTAGGATAAGACACGAGTAGAGTGCTCACCCGAAGAAAATGAATTGGTGCCACGCATAGCGTTCGCCTCGTCATCCTCGACCTCCATAATATCCACGTGCCTCACTTTCGAGGGAGCCCGACCGTCTCCGATCATCAGCCTCTGCCGCATGTGCGGCGTCACCTGGGGCGGGGAGTGTGAGCCATCGCTCGAGTGGCCTGCGTCGTCAGTGTGCCCGAACACGCCAGCCAAGAATTTGAGGATCCGGTTGATCGTGTCCTGGTGCTTCGCGTGTCGCTGGCGAGCGGCGACGGCTTCTTTCCAGAGCGCGTCGTTGGACTGCTTCAGGGCGCTGAGGTCGGCGGATATGGCCTGCTGATGGCGTTTGATCGCGGCGACGCCGTTGACGATCGAGTTGATGTCCATGAGGTGGCCCGGGGTGACGCTGGCGACGGGGCTGGCGGCATCGTGCATGTCCATGGCGGCATCGTCGGGCTGGCCGTGGGCGGGCTGCTTCTTGCGCTGGATGAGGCAGAGGAGGTCGGGTTGGCCACGATGAAAATTGGGGTGTTCAAAGTGCCATGGTTCGGTGTCAGAGTCGCTCTTCAGGACGCCTTGCTGCAGATGAGGAATTTTGTGAAAACCGTACATGTTCAGCTGTCGCACGAAGGACGCAAACTTTTGGTGCTTGAACCAGCGTCCGAGGACCTCACGTGCGAACTTTTCATGGTTGAGAACTGGAGTCGGGAACAGACATCACAGTAGCGGAGGTTGTGAGGGGTGGATGAGTGGCGGATGGGGGCAAGGATGAGCGAGGGATAACGGAACAGATGTAGTGGGTAGGAGACAGACCGTAGAAGGAGTCGCCATTCTCGGACCACTTGATGAGTTCTTCATTGGAGGCGTCGTTGACGATTCTGGAAGTGGTTAAGTTTTGTGTCGAGAGCTCAGCGGTCCGAAGACGAGAGAACATCGTGGAAGATGACGCACTCGTAGAGCTTCTGGAGAAAGGGGGGGACGACTTGCCGCGCGGCCCTGGACAGGTGAGTGGACTCGCCCCGCAAGGATGGCCTTGCGAGAGCGACCTGGGTGTCGAGCGACATGGTACTTGTCCGAGCAACGAGAACAGTGTGGCCAGAGACTTGTCGTTAAAACAAGAGGCAGAGACCGGAGGCGACGCTCGCAGGCGACGATGATGGAGACTATGACGCAGATTATCTCTAATCGAGGTCCAACCTGCTCGAGCCCCTGCACAGCCACAATTACGCGCCCCCTCGCGGGGCCTATCATCTGGCGCGATTACAGTAACCATCTGGCATCCGGTGGCTATAGTTTCCTAGTGTTCTCATCCGGTCTGCGTAGCATACGACATCTATGACTGCCAGGACGACATCATCCTCCATACTGTCCGCCCTCGTCCTGCAGCCCAAAGATCTGCCACAGCAGCCGCACCTGCCCAAACGGCCGCTCGCTCCCCAGCAGCGTCGCCGCCGCCTCGTACTTGTTCTCCGCCTTCTTCACCTCCTCGCACACCCGCTCGTACGTCTCCGCCAGCCGCTTCAGCGCGGCCTGGTGCACCCGCGTGTGCAAGCTCTGCATCGTCAGCAGCGACAGTCGCGGCGAATGCACGACCTCCTCCCCGGACAGCCACTCCGAGAACCGGTGCAGCGCTGCCTGCAACGCCGCGGGCTCGGCGGCCGGGATGCGTGACAACGGCTCCTGAAAGCGACGAGAGTTCAGCGACACGAAGACAGGGGCTGCGAAGCATTCCACAACTCACATTCGCGCGTCGGCCTTCGCACGCCCCAGCAATCTCCGCCAGCCCAGAGTCAGATAGGACGTCCTTGAACTGTTCATACTCGTCAGCGTGACACTCGAGAAGGAGGCGACGCTCCTGATGAAGAAGCCGGTGGCCGTAATGGTCTGCTCACATGTTCTTCGATCAGCTGTAACACCTTCGCATCCACGAGCCCCTGTAGAACGCCACGCTTCTCGACGGCAAATGCAAAGGGCTCAAGCACTGTCTGCAGATACGCTAGAGTGTTTAGCACGAACACGGCCTTGTCCCATGCCGGCCGCTGACGCTTCTTCTCCTCTGCACCCGTTAAGCACATCTCGAGCGCTGGGTCGACCATCTTGTCGAGAATATCCCGGAAACCGGCCTGCAGCTCCTCCTCGTTCTCATTCCCGACGAGAGATGACTCGTACACGATCATCATCTCTCGCAGCACCTGGGCATGGTCGAGGATAGCGAGCGGCGGCGAAACGCCGGTATCGTCGAGATCCTAAGTCAGAGGGCATCAGTCACCGCCGATGCAAACGCCGAGATCACAACGGCAGCGCTCACCAGGGGCACCCTCAGTAAGCCCCGTCCCTGGGTTTCGAGCGCGCCGTAGAACACCCCATACGCAAGCTCCGTGAGCTCCTCCAGTGTCCTCGACAGCAGCGCCTGCCTTCCGATCGTCCTCTGCATCGTGGACAGGTAGAATCCGAGCAGGTTCGCGATCTTGTAGCTCGTGATGCTGCTCTCCTGCGACCGCACCGTCTGCTGCACCCGGACCCTCAGGGGCCCGCACAGGCCCTTGACCGCCCCGTCCATCATCTCGCCCATCCAGCCCTCCTCCTCTGACTCGGAGAACTCACGCGGCGCGCCGACCATGCGGCGGTCGCCGCGGACCCCGAAGAGGCTCTCGAGGAGTTCCCGCTCGGCGGCGATCGCCTGGTGCACCCATGCGAGCATGTCGCCGACGTACCGGAGCGGATCGTGCGCGTGCAGCTCGATGGGGCGTGGAAGCCCACCGGGCCCGCCGCGGGTCAGGGCATCCATGAACGCGGAGAGAAGCGTCGCCTGGCGCGTTTGTGAGAGGTACTGCAGCGCTTCTCTATCAAATGGAAGATTCAGAAGCGGGCATGTACGACGACAGCGAATGCGTAACCTACTGCAGGAGCTCTGGCCGCTGCCTTAGCCTCCGCACTGCCTCCCTCAGAGCTGGGGGGACGTCCAGGCTGGTCGCGTCCTTGCCCATCTGGCGGAACTCGAACGAGCAGTGCCGGAAGATCTTGTCGTACGCCTGCTCGAGGTGCGTCGCTGTTGCCGAGAGGATGTCGATGCCTGCCTTCGTGTCGCCCTCGTCGCCGGTCATGAGCACGCGGCAGTCGTCGCGGATCTTCGTCGCTTTGTCCATCGCGGCGAAAAAGCGTGAGCCAACGGGAACGTCGCGGGACGTGATGGCTTCTTTCTCTTCTGCGGAGAGGGTGAAGCGGGAGAGGAACAGGGCAATGATAGACTGGCGGACTGCAACGCCTTGTCTGTTTCGATGAAGTATGTGTGAGTGAATAGACAACCTCAAATGTAAGTTACGCTCGTACCTCTGCTCTCGGAGCGAACCTGCGCGATCAAGGAGAGACTTGCATGCTTCATTCGTTTCGTGTAGCTGAGTCTGTGCCTCATCACACCGCACGCGCATAAGCCCTATGTGCTCCTGCAAGGTATCTAATTGCTAGGCACGAGTGCATGTCAGCGGACGAAAGTAAATATCATAAGCACACGCACCTTGTCTACCTCCCCAAATGCAGACAGGAATTGGCGACTCGACTCCGCAAGCTTGTTTTCGACATCCCTCCGGAGGTTCTTCCGCGCTCTTGCGGCGATGTCTCCGGGAACGCTTTCCTCCACTGCCGCCGCTGCGACCAAGCCACTAGGCTTCAACGTAGAGAGACTCTCATTCTCATCCTCCGCATCGCCATCCAGGTCACCGTCTAGCTTGACCTCTTTGCCCTTCCCATTTACCGTGTGCCCGGCACCACGAGCAGGAGCGTACAGCTCCGCAAGCGTATCTAACGCCTCACGTGTTGCATCGTCGTCGAAATTCGCGCTGAGGACCTTGTACAGCCGGGTAGAGACGGGGTTCTGCGCCGCCGGAGAGGAGAGAGACGGTATGCGAGAGGTGGAAGGGGAGGTCATTGCGTCTACATAGCCTGTAGCGCTCGACCCCGCATGATTTCACGCGACGCCGCGCCGACGCGAACCTGGCGGCCGGTTCACGTTCCAGCCGCGAACAGGCTACTGTACTTGACCCCTTCCGAATCCGCGAGCATCCCGTTCTGCCTCCTCTTTTCTACCCACTCTACTACAACGCATAAGACGAGGAAGACATAAAATACAGCCCCTCGTCGCTGTTTTCAAGGCGGCCTCACAACTATGTCCATGTCTCTCCGCTCACCGCTACGTATTCATCTTCGCGCATGCCGCGGTGTCCAGAACGTCCGGAATCTACAACTCCTCCGAGCTAGCTACACGACGACCCCGCGAACGCAACATCCCAAACCCCTCCCAGAGGCCGAGACGTTCGACAAGACCGCACGCCCCGGCCTCTACTACTCCCGACCGTCTCCGAAGGACCTGCCTCCTCTACGGGTACGTCCTTCCTCCCTTCACCACATCCCAAACCACGCGTTTACTAGCGCCTCATACTAGAGCAAATGGCCTGCGATCCTCGCGCTCAGCGCCCTCGGCGTGAGCTCATGGGCCGTCTTCATGGTCTTCGTCGGGAACCAGGAGCGCCTCTCCTCGTCCATCATGCAGCAGGTCATGAACACCATCCGGGACAACGCAGAGCTGCGCGAGGTCATCGGAGAGGCCGTCCGACCGGAGCCCGTCTGGTGGATGAACGGTGACCCCTGGATCAACGGCGCGGTACGCGACCTCCGTTCCTCTGCGTGCTGACTGTGGGTGAGGGGGGAGCTGACCGCGCGGACGTGGCAGATCCACATACCAGGCGGCAACATCGACTTGAGCTTTCGTGTCAAAGGACACAAAGGTGAGTTCGGGTGTGCGCGTCCGATTTCTTGATCGAACCTATCACAGGCGCGGGCACCCTGTACTTTACGAGCATCCGGAGAGCGAAGGGAGAACCGTTCGAGATTCGTAAGCCTTTATAATTCATGATTCCCGAGCTGCGAGTTCACGGGAGGCCATTCAGTTCGCTTCAAGGTGATTGCTGATGACGGAACCGAAGTCAACATCGCTACTCCCAGGCCGACATAGGACAGTCTGGATCCTGCATACTGCATTCAATCATGGACGGTGCTCCGGATATTACTAGAACACTCCAGCATAGCATGCAAAGCAGTAGTATCAACCAGCGTAATGTAGTCTATATCAAACTAGTAACAAACCCGCCCCACACGCAACCATGGCCCTGAACTACGCCCGTACACCCTCTCAGAAGCGGAAGACCTCCTCACGGTCCCTGCCGCGCATCGCCGGAGGCTCGAAACCAGCGGAGTAGATGTCGGTCCAAAGCTCCTTCTCGTCGGGGAACGGCGAAGCCTTAGCCTCCTCAACAGCAGCGTCGACCTCGGCCTTCGCCTCCTTGTCTATCGCCTTGAGGTCCTCCTCAGACGCGAGACCCCACTCAGATATATAACGCTGAAGACCGCGGATGGGGTCCTGGGTCGAACGAATGCGCTGAATCTCCTCGCGAGTACGGTAGGTGGTTCCGGGGTCGGACATGCTAGCGACGCGCATAACGATTAGTGACAAGGCATGCAATAAGGAAGACAAGTGATGACGTACGAGTGACCACCATAACGGTAAGTGACGAATTCAACCAGGAGGGGACCCTTGTCAGAGTTGACCCAGTCCTTTGCGAACTTCGTCGCCTGATGGACGGCAATAATGTCCATACCGTTCACCTGAATACCGGGGATCAAGTCGCCACGGGTGTAGTACTCGGTGTTGGACGAGCTGCGCTCAGCGGATGTACCCATACCATACTTGTTGTTCTCGCAAACGAAAATGCACGGGAGGTTCCAGAGCTTCGCCTATTTGATCACCGAAGTGGCGTGAACATTCAGCATGTGCAGAACGAGCGGCATGTACGCACCATGTTGAACGACTCGAACACCTGACCCTGGTTGGACGCACCATCACCGTACATCGCGAATGTCGCGTGCTTTTTTCCATGGTACTTCTGCGCGAAGGCAAGACCAGCACCAAGCGGCACCTGCGCGCCGACGATACCGTGGCCTCCCTGGAAGGCCTCGGTGAAAACATGCATGGAACCACCCTTGCCCTTCGACACACCGCATACGCGGCCGAGAAGCTCGCCAATGAGGCTCTTAATGTCTCCGCCACGGAGGATGACGAAGGGGTGCGTGCGGTAGGAGGAGATGATGTTGTCATCGAAAGTTGTCGCAGAGTCAAGACCGACCGAGACAGCTTCCTACAGCCACAGTCGACGACATCTCAGCGCTCGTCCTCCCATGTCCCGCGCGCAAAGTGTCTGGGATGCGGACGCACCTGACCGATAGCAAGATGGCAGAAGCCACGGATGAGCTTTTGTTTGTAGAGAGCGTCGGCAGCCTGCTCCGTGCGGCGGATGACGGTCATGGATCTGTACCACTTGAGCAGATTCTCCTTCGTGACCTCGACATCGAGGCTGGGAGTCTCCGTCCGGTACCCGCGGAAGGAGTCTTCATGCAGCTTCACCGTAAATGGCTCGGAGTGGGACGCGTCCTGGTGCAGCTGCGTCGTATCGGCGGCGGTCTGGATGGTCCGCGCGAACGGCTGTAATGACTGGCAGAGCGCAACGTCACTGAGGCAGCTCACTTTCGTTGGGAGAGCGGTACTTACGACGCGGCGGGGGACAGCAACACGGATCCGCGCGAGAGAGGCCATGGTGGTGAGGGCGGGGGTAAGGGAGAGGGTACAGACGAAGGCGCAAAATGGACTGGGACGTGTCGCCCAAACGCGCTCGGGTGAAATCGGTCACGCCCCAAAGTCACACCACTTGCCCCAGCGACGCCCACCCGAGTCGCACGACCGCATCCGACCGACCCACTCGCGACACCCGGCTGGAGAGCAGCATGCAGTGCATTATACAACGGTACGAGAGCGATAACAAATAAGGAACCCATGTAGCGATACAATCCTCGAAAGCACGATACGAGTCCGTCGAACAAAGCTACACGTCCATATCCAAGCTGTGTTCCAACCAATGCAGCGCCTGCTGAGCCTTCTCCTGCACCTCCAGATCATCCTCCGCACCCATGTGTCGCCCTCCGGCAAGGCGTAGCGTCGGGCTCGCGCTGACATGTGAAGTGTGCTCGCACATGTGCCGCAGCGTAGAATCAATCCCTGCTTCGTGGAGCTCGCGATGACTTCGCGGATTATGACGAACCAGCTCGAGGACGCAGGAGACTGCCGGTCGTCGAATCTCGACTTTCGCATCTACTAGACACTCCCGCAGGCGATGCAATATCCGTGGATGCGACAATATGCTCCGCTGGTGGGCGGGGCTGTTGGCAACGTTTGCGAGAACGAACACGGCCTATGAAAACGAGTGTTAGCCGAAGTCGGCCTTGAGAAGCATACACACGAGCGCACCTGCAACACCACATCCTCATCGTCAGACTCCATTGCGACCGCGAGGGAGCCGAGCATTGCCTCGCTACCACCCATCTCCGAGAATACAAGGTCAACTTCGTCTACGCCATCCGCGATATGCCGTACGATATGCAGTGCCTGCTCTTGTATGCGGGTGTCCGGATCCGTTAGGAGGCTGCCAAAGAGTCGTTCAGGATGAGGTAGCAGAATGTTGGGACAAGCGTACTTGTTCATCTCGCTCCAGCCGATGCTGCTCATCACTTGTCGCTTCAGATCCGGTGTGGCCTTATATAGCAAATTCTTGAACGCCCACAGAGCGTTGAGCTTCAGCTCGACATCTCCGTGGTTTAGCAGCTGTACGAGTCTCGTAATAGCGCCCTGATCGATAACAGTCTGGAAGAGGTTGTCACCAGTGAAATAGAGACGACGCCGAAACGGTCAAGACATACCGACCGTAACGGAGAGAAGTCGGTGACAATATTGCACATAACCGCCGACGCGGCGTGCATCACCCGACGATCCTCATCCTGCTTCATAAATAGCTGGAAGACGGACATGCCCAGACCAGTGTCGACGATGTTGGTGCGCAGGGCGGCTACCGCACGGCTTAGCGCGCGAGCGCATTGGCATGCGGCGTATCGCACGCCGACATACGGATGCGAAAGGCTCGCCTGTATCGCGGGTATAAGTCGAAGCTCGTCCGTGATTGCGAACCGAATGTCGATGTCGAATAAGGAGATAGCCGCCACTGCCGTGAGCACAGCCTAGCAAAACTCAGTCCAATGGCTGTGGGTGCAACGAGGGAGGGATGGTGCTGACCTCGCGAAGTCGAGAAACACTCTCCGGCTCGTCCTCTTCCACTTCCGTGGTCTTCTCCACGGGCGTGATGGCGCTGACGAGTTGACCGACCTGATGAAGAGAGTTGCGTTCAAACGCGAGTTGACAGAACGTTCTATGGTCCGTCACGAGGTAGTCTATGAGCGTTCAGTTAACGCCCTCGTGTAGAGTCTCGTACGCGTGCGCAACCCACATAGAATGAAGCAAGCTTTAGTCTTCGTATGGTTGTTCGCCGTATCTGAGCCGATGACGCGGTTCAAGACGTGCATGATAGTGATCGCGGTAGCCTGATCGCTCGGCGAAATGTAAGAGTTGTTTGGAGACGATGACGCGCGTAGGATATTGGTCGCACTAGAGCCCGGTAAGCGCGTAGGACCACCAGGAGTCAATATGTGACATACCATAGGGAGGCAGCCAATTGGAGATCCACATTCCTAGACTTGCACAAGGACAGCACAACTGTAAGGACAGCTACAAGGTTCAAGTCAGTTGACGTACGTCGGACCAGAGACGAGCAGACGCACAGTCTTGTCCCGGTGGGCCCTTCGCTAAGCGTATGGCGAGTGTTTCGTTGTCTTTCGCTAGAGCAGCCAGGGCCGAGAGCGCTGCTTCTTGAAGCTAATGCCGCTCAGGTTCATTGAGCGCCTTCGTCGAAAGAACCAAAATAAGGGACCCACCTTCACATCCTTACGATGCAATAGAGTGGCGAGCGTACGAGCAATCCAGCCGCCGAGGCGGCTTGGCGACTTCGTAGGATCCCGTTTTTCCCAACCACGCTTCCCTTTCGTCTCAACAGACCTCTCCACGAGGGGGCTCCACTCGGATATTCGTATCCTGTGCGAAGCATCCCGGACCGCGGACGCGACGAGCTGCGCCATCGCGGCGCTCACCTGGGCCGATGGATCGACAAGCAAGGGAATGTACACGTCCAGGACCTCGGGCTGTCGTACAAGAGGCCGTTAGATATGCTTCATGGCGATTAGGCGATCAATACGTTCATACCTGAAACAGGTAGTCGAGAGCCACCTTCGCTTCCACTCGAAGATCGGAAACGCTTGATGCGAGACCCCACTGAGAGGGCCCGACAGCGTCCGCGACAGCAATCGCAAGTGCCCGAAGTGCACGCGCGAGGGCAGCCTTCAATGCGACGCTATCCTTGGGCTGCAAAGTGGAAATGGCGTAGAGCAAGGCTTGTGGCGCATTGAGCCGTAGTAGTGTCCGCAGAGCGTCCGGCGAGCCTGCAAACAGGCCTTGAGAAAGTTGATCGTCATTGAGAGAATGGCGCACACACCATACGACAAGGATGCGATGATGTGCGAAGCTTCTATACGAATGGCTGTTGCTGAGTCGCCAGCAGGAGCAGGGGGGTCGTTGAGCGCATCAACGAGCCTTGCAGACCGTCAGCGCGGGCACACTCCATGCCTCGGAATACGACGTACTTCGTAACAAATGTTTCATCCCGTCCGTAAACCCCCTTCGAAGTACGGTTTCCAATGACAGAGTTCTTGATCGCCTTCAAGGACGCGACATTGATGGTGGCAATGGTCATGACGGCTAACGTTCCCGTGTCTTCCGAGCGGTCACAAACCGCATGTCCTGATACGACGACCCGTAGTGAAGAGCGTGTGTCAGAGCAAACAGGATAGGGACTTTGGGGGAGAAGGGCGGTGCCTCAGAAGGTGGAAGCTGGAAGAGATGGGAGCGCGACCGGGCGCCAGGCGCGGCCTTCGCACGAGTCGAGTCGATCGCGCGTCATGGCTCGGTGGACAGGCTCTTGTGCAAACGCTTCGTCCGCCATCCATCACCACGCTCGACGAAAGCGTTGTGCACATTCGAACACCTGCATCATGGCGCAATCCGCTTCCCAGAATGGTTTATACGCGGTCGCAGGTTCGTATCGCTTTCACTCCCAGGTGGACGTAACTAATCCGCGCGTTCCTATGCGAATCCAGACTTCTGTCTCATCCCGATAGGTACCGGGGAGCCTTCGGTATGCTGTAGACACTACACTAGCCATCATGTTGATTGTTGGGGTTGTAGGTTGCTGAGTACATCGCAGAGTGCGTCCGCGTCCTTGAAAAGACAGGACTCAAGTTCAAGGTGAGCACATTGCCAGTCGCTGTAAACCGACAAAGCGTGATAATCTATATGCGCGCGCGTGTGTTTCAGATGCAGTGAGTGCTTCCGCTGGACCTCTGCCTACTCAGGCGTTGCGCAACGCTCAATACGTGCTTCTGCAACGGCAGTGGCTATGGGACCAACTTGGGTAAGTTCCTTAGTGCATCAAATCCTTCACTTGATAACCATATCGTCCGTCTCGCAGAAGGGCCCTGGTCCCAGGTGGTGCAGGCAATACATGATTGTCACGCTGCTGTGCATGCGAAGGGAGCTTCTCGCATCGCTACAGACATCCGGATCGGAACACGCGTGGACCGGGAGATCCCACCTGGGACTGGAAATGAAAGTAAGGTTCAGCGCGTTGAAGAGATCCTCAAAAGAGCACAAGGTGAGTATACACAAATCATCCAATGGTGCCTAGTCTTCACCATGTCTTGTGTAGCTACAAGTCCTTAGATGTGTAGTACCCCATATTCTATGCTAGCTCTGGGCTGTGAAGCCGTGCTACCTTCTCTTGATCCCTTCCCTGCTTCTGAAGCCTAACTAAGGACTTCCCTATTTCCTTTCCTAAGGCTGCTGCAAGGGGTACAGGCACTGCATTGCCAATCTGCCTTGCTTGCTACAAGACATGAGATCAACTTCTGAGTTCATGTTCTGTGGGACCACTTACATCATCTAGACATCTGTTAGGTAGATCATGAATTGAAAGAAATTGATAGGAGTCAGGGAAACCCTGGGCTCTAGCAGCTTCTCTGATTGTGATGATCCTATTTTGCTATGAGTTTCATATTAGAAACATGTAACCTCAGAAATGGGACGGAACTTCTCTACAGTAGGATGAATGACCTTGCCACCCTTTTGGTTCGGAGCCAGGGTTGTCAATGCTGTCATGAAGCAGCCATCATTGTCAATCCTTCCATAGACAGCTAGAATGTTGACATCAGCATTAGAAGTTTGAGATATTGAGAAGATTAGCACTAACTTGTATATGCACTCTTAGAGCTCCCATCTGGATTTAGCCAGCAAGGTATCTGCAAGATCTTGGGTAGATCTATGAATTTGACACTATGAGTGATGAATGTTGTAATATACAAAAGCAATTACCTGCATGATTGGCACCAGGTTGAATTGGGACATTGACCACCCTAAATGGCATAAGTTAATCTTGAGTAGCTCACTCAAATATAAATGCTCACCTTTCAACCACAGCTGGAGACCATCTTCTTGTGTAGTGATAGGTGACTATATCACTGTCTCCTCTAACCCAGCTCTGAAAACGACTGAGTGGGGGTTGAGGATATGCAACAGGTGTGGGGAAGCCTGTGAGGCTCCTGCTAGGTGAGGGGACAGCCTCAACACATATGATCCCCTCTGCTAGACGGGCTTGTCCCTTCTGAACATCTTGTCTTGATCTTGCAATTACAAGATGTGGGTTTTTCCTATAGATGATGTTAGTCAACTAATCTGGCCAAAGAATTGTTAAAAATAGACCAGTCAAACTTTGGCTAGAAGGGTGCAAGTTAGGCTTGGTTCTTTAAGTAGAAAGTAGTACATACCAAGTCTCCAATTGCTTCTTCAGTGGTGATAGCAGGCAGTGAAACACAAGCTTGGCCACAACCAGTAGGACGGAGATAGGGATAGAGAACCCCACCATCAGGCAAGTTCTTGGCTTGTACTGACTTGGGATAGTCATGCTGAGGGGTAGGAAATTGCGGCAATGGAATGTCACAACGAGCTCCTAGAAAGATGACCCTCTGCCTTCCTTGTGGGGTGCCATACTGTCCAGCTTGAAGAATCCTAAAGTGAACCTGATATCTAAAGACTAGTTAGAGTACATATATCAGCTTGTGTTGAAAGACACATACCCTAGAGCTGTTAGGGAGCGAAGAATGAACTTGACAACTCCCATGCATATGTTCCTGTCCAAAGGCTGGTCCCGTGGCTGCCCATCTGTTGGAGCATTGAGAATGCCTCTTACATTCTCCAATAGAAAGTACATAGGCCTATAGAACTCCACATAGGATATCATGTTGCAGGCCAGTGTACTCCTTCAAGGAGATTTTAGAGTATAGATGAAAAAATAGCTCAAGATGACCTACCTAGGATCATCTATTTTCTGTCAAAAAATGTAAGCACATCGCTATCAATGCCAATAAGATCCAATACCTTATTATGATTGATCTGTGAAAAGCTCTGGCAAGGTGGTCCTACAATTGAAGTGTTAGACCAGCTATTATTTCACCATCAACATAACTTGCATACCTCCATAGATAAAGTCAACCTCCCCTCTTTGAGGCATAGGAGGAAGGTTTGTGCCTGTTTTGCTTACAAGTGGTCGTGGATGATGACCCTCTGCAGTATCAACCACATGCTGTAGCAGAGTACTGGTGTTCTGGTTGTAGACCAGAGAGCTCTGATGATTGGCCCTAATTCAACATGAGAACACTGAGTATGGAAACCCACCAAAAACTCACTGAAAGGTCTTGCAAGCACTTTCTGAAAGCTCAACAGCCCACCTTGTTTCAACAAAGCCAGACAGGTCCAAGCCAGTTGACAAGCCACCAGCACCTACATCACCATACATTTCAACTTAAGATCACATGCACATGAGAAGGTCTAGCTCACCTGCAAAGAGCTCCAGGCCCCTTAGCTTTGATGAAGTCTTCAAAAGAAGCTCCTCTTCTGTTGCTTCTTCCAAGACTGCAGCATAGCACCGATTGCAGTGCACTAGAGCGGTGGGTTGTAGGATCTCCAGAGATTGAGGGGTTAGGCTTTTGGCAAAGAGATCACAATAGAAGTGATCATCTGCCTTGACCCACTGTTCCCTCTGCCATGGAGAAGAGGGACAGGCAACAAAGGCCTTACCCTCAACTGCCTTCATCTTCACAGAGATGATGACATCTGTCATGAAGAGGCGCCGCTTATATGAGGTTAGCATATTGAACTGAAAGCAGACCAGATTCACATACATTGTCAGATGGGATTGCCTTGTCCTTGACGACATGATCATAGCGACCAAATCGGCGCACTTGAACCATAGGCTCCTCACAAGAGAGATCAGAGAACTCCACAACTTGCCCAATATGGAGGAGGTTCCCTCCGGAGTTGTGGTGATACACAAAGTCATTGACATGATAGTCAATGCCTCTGTAGGTTACGCCTCCACTCTCCAAGGGGATACATTGCTCCTGCATAGCCTCTAAGGCGTCCAGACCACAGGGGATGCAAGGCCTCAGCTCGTCAGTGCAGTAGGAGAGAGCTTGTTCAATCTCTTGGGTAGAGAGATGTATGAAGGAATGATCGGTGTCATTCAGAGTAAGCCTTGGAAAGCAAATGGTTAGACAGACAAAGCAGCATTCAGGTCGAACATACCCCGTGAAGAACAGGTTCTCTGGGCCATCGTCGTCCTCAAGGGGTTCCGCCTCGCCAGGTGGCCAGGGTTGCAGGTTACAGTGTGAGTAGATGCACTCGACTTGGAGGTCCTCACACTCATTGAGCCAGAAAAGGGCTCTCGAGTGCGCCGCCTCCTGCAAGAACGTCTGTGACCCATGTTGGAGCCACTGGGCATGGAAGAGCTTCTGCCAGCCCAGGCGAGGTTCGTACTTCTCGAAGAAGTAGTTGATCTTGCAGAACCTACGAAGACATCAGTCGATGCCGCTGCAGCAACAAGCAACAAACCGACCATTTCTTGGTAGCAAGATTATTCTTGCACCACGCTGAGGCGGAAACAGCATGCTTCGCCCTCTTGGCGCGTTCGTCTTCTCCAGCGTCCACGATCACAACATCCCCAGCCTGTCACCATGGTCAGACAAAGGTGATGCAGAGAGGGATGGAATGCGCGACATACAGAGTATGTAGTGCCGTCGAGGACCACCGACTTGAAGATGTGTGGATCCTCCGTACCCTCCCCCCATTCGATCACCTGAGGATCGCCCTTATGCACGGGCCAGATAGGGACCGCCTGACAAGGGACATTCCTCACACCCTCCGACATCTGAACGACGCGCAGAGGTTGAGAGAAGAGTTTCTGTGCGATTGCGCCCACTCGCGGCGTGACTACTGTGGCCTGCTCGGCTGCGTCTGTAGCAGGGAAGGCCTCGGGAAGAGCGGGGTACAGGTGCTTCACGAGAGGCGACCGGACGACCCGCTGGAAGAGCTGCTGACGCTGGTCTCGTGCCTCCCACCAGATTGTGAGGACAGTGGTCAGATAGGCGACCTATGGCAAGGTTAACCTTCGTCGCCATCGAAGACATATCACACTCACAAAGGGCTGGGACGTGAGAGCCTCACGTGAGACAGAGGAACAGAGAGGATGCGCCCCGTGGCGTTCCTTCAGCTGGGAAGGGAGATGGTTGAGTAGCTTGTCCGCCGACGCATTGGGCATCTCCGCGAGACAAGAGAAGAGTATGTGGAAGAGGCCGTGATGCGCCCTGAAGGACTTGTAATGTGGTGCGTATGATGAAGACGGGCTGCCAAGTATGTACCAGGCATGCTCCGTCAAGAGGTAAACGTTCCTAGGCCCAAGTCAGAAGTCAGATGCCTAGTTGCCATCGAGGAACTCACTCGTCCAGGCTGTAAGACCGGCCATTCTTCTCAACCCAATGGACGCTAAACTCTAGTATCGAGGATAGCTGGACCAACGGAAAGTCCGAATCTTCGTCATCGTCGGAGTCGACAGAATCTTTAGAGACGGATCGCACAAATCCCGCGCCGACCCAGTCTTCGGATGGCGCCTCCATAAGGAGACGGGAGACTGGAACAAATTCGAACGTCGTGCGGTCGAAGACAGCAAAATTCTCCAACATGCGGATCGGAACGTCATCGTCCTCACCGTCATCGACGTCCGGAACTGACTCGCCAGGGACGACGAGTTCGTCGTCTTCGGGAAGCTCGTCGCCAACGGGAACATAGTGGGTCCGGAGGGCTACCAGAAAAGTTAGCACCGCGCAGAATGGGTAGGATCGGCAGTCCACGTACGCGCTATGCTAAAACGCAATGGTACGTGAGCACATCACCTCATACAAGAACGTAAATAGACTTTCGTACCTGTTGCGAGGCCTCGTCGGAATCTCGACCCAAATGGACGGTCCGTGACTAGAGTCATGGTTGTCTATGGAAACACCGTTATGACGCGGCTGATCGGACTCGGCAAGAAGTACGGTAACTCACGGTCGGATCGAGCGCGGGCCTTTTTCGCAGGAGAATTGCCTAGAGGGGCCTGTGATCTTTTCATCTATGGTGCCATGATCAGCAGCTGCATGATTCATCTTGATTGCTTCAACCTACGTCTTGAATTCCGCTAGTCCGCAAAGGAAATCCCGCCTTTTGGTAAGGAAAGTCGGCTGTAGCGAAATGCACACATTAGAATATATGTAGACACGAGGACCACATTCTAGACGTACTACGGCCGCAGCCAAATCGGCGGCGGTTTGGTTCCTGTTTGAAGGGTGCTTCGTACGCCGTAATCCTAGGGTCGATGGCGCTTCAGTGGGCTACGGCTGATGCGTAACTGAACCTCGGATGTCTCACCTCCCAGGAGGAAACACAGAATCTGAAAAAAAAATGGCGACACGATCAGCGGGGAGCAAGACGGCGAGAGAAAACATCCGGACGCTACCTGGAGGTCTGCACGAGGTCGTGGATGTCGAAAGACAACAAGGCGTGTGTGGGCGCTCAAAGGGCGTGATGGGGTCGCGTCGCGTGCGGTCACGGACCTCGCGCCTCTGTACACGACCACGACGTCCTCCTCGTTTCCCCCGCTCTCGACGCGTCTTCCGCGATGTCCCTGCCCGTGATCAACATTGAAGTCGACTACAACGAAGAGAAAGGCGCGTTTCCCTCTCAAACACGCGTCGCACCCTGCTTATCCCCCGCGCAGAACGCATCAAGCAGTTCCTCTCCACGTTCACCACTCAGGACAAGGATCTCATAAACGGCTTTGCGGATATTGATATTCACGACGATGGAGACGCGCCCGCGAGGACTAAAAACCTGAAGTACATGCAGCAGCTGGTGCGTGGGCAGTACATTGCTCGGCTTGCTCCCACTCATCCCAGCCACAGCAAAGGGTCGCGAACCGGGAGCAAGAGATGTTGGTCATCGACCTCGAGGATATATCTGAGGTGCGCAACCACTTTAAGGCGACTCCGGGCTCTGCTCATATGCATCCTAGCATGACCGCACGGTAGCCGAGCTTGTCTCAAGAATCCGGAGGAATACTCGTCGTTACGTCGCCCTGTTCAGCGAAGTCATCGACGATATCATGCCCCAACCGACCAAGGATATTAGCGAGCACGACGAGGTCATTGACATTATCCTACATCAACGCAGGCAGCAGAATGAGAATGCTGAAGCTGGAGAACAACTCATTCCGAACCACCTGCTGAGGCGATAGTGAGTAGTTCCTTAGTTTTCTGCGAGAGGCGCAATGCCCACTGGTTATATAGCAACCTGTACTTCCAGCCCCTCCGTTCGGACATTGCTATGGCAGTGCGCGATGTAAAGGGTGCCCACCTCGGAAGGCTCATCACCGTACGAGGAATCGTTACCCGCGTCTCTGAAGTAAAGCCTCTACTTCGGGTGAACGCCTACACATGCGACTCATGCGGCTCGGAAACGTTCCAAGACATCACCAGGAAAGACTTTCAGCCCATCTTCGACTGTCAGAACGAGGACAGCTGCAAGAAGAACGGCATTCGAGGGACGTTGCACATGCAGACCCGTGCATGCCGGTTCACTCCCTTCCAGGAAGTGAAGATTCAGGAGATGGTGCGTATTACGCGTTCTGCAATGACTGGCTCTGTCTGAGTCCTGTGTAGGCGGATCAAGTTCCCGTTGGCCACATACCGCGTTCGATGACTGTGCACGTTCACGGTTCGCTCACGCGACAGATGAATCCCGGCGACATCGTTCATCTCGGTGGTATCTTCCTCCCCATTCCCTATACCGGCTACCAAGCGATCCGTGCCGGCCTCCTTACCGACACCTTCCTCGAGGCTCACCATATACATCAGCTCAAGAAGCAGTACAGCCAGATGGAACTTACGCCTGAGATCGTCCGCGAAATCGACGCGCTGAGCCACGACCCCGAGCTGTATAGCAAGCTCGCTCAGAGTATAGCCCCCGAGATATATGGTCATCTTGACGTGAAGAAGGCGCTACTGCTACTCTTGGTAGGCGGTGTCACGAAGACCATGGGCGACGGCATGAAGATTCGCGGAGACATCAACATCTGCCTCATGGGTGATCCTGGTGTGGCCAAATCCCAGCTACTCAAGTACATCTCGAAGGTTGCGCCGCGTGGCGTCTACACGACGGGTCGTGGATCTTCAGGTGTTGGTCTGACGGCTGCGGTTATGCGCGACCCCGTTACCGACGAGATGGTTCTTGGTATGTCTTACCCTCTTGGCCCGTGGACGCGCCCGCTAACCGACTCGCAGAGGGTGGTGCACTGGTCCTCGCTGATAATGGCATTTGCTGTATCGACGAGTTCGACAAGATGGAGGAATCCGACCGCACAGCGATCCACGAAGTCATGGAGCAGCAAACCATCTCGATCTCCAAAGCGGGCATCTCGACAACACTTAACGCGCGGACCTCCATCCTCGCCGCTGCCAACCCTCTGTACGGCCGCTACAACCCGAAAATCTCCCCCGTGGAGAACATCAACCTGCCCGCTGCCCTCCTGTCCCGTTTTGACCTGCTGTTCCTCATCCTCGACAAGCCCACACGCGAAGACGACGAGCAGCTCGCGATGCACGTCACCCATGTGCACATGTATAACACCCACCCCCCGCTCGACTTCGACGTTCTCGACCCCACACTCATCCGGTGAGCATATCCCTGATATTCCGATCCTGCGTCGCCCCTGACCTCGTTTCTTCCGAAGCCACTACATCGCCCGCGCACGTCAACACCGTCCGACGGTTCCCGCCGAGGTGTCCGAATACATTGTCAACTGCTACGTCCGCCTGCGCAAAGAAGCGAAGGACCAAGACGCGCAAAAGAAGTCGCACACCTACACCTCCGCACGTACACTCCTCGGTGTGCTCCGCCTCTCGCAGGCCCTTGCGCGTCTCCGCTTCGCCGACGCCGTCATGCAGGCAGACGTGAACGAGGCGCTCCGTCTCATGGAGGTGAGCAAGAAGAGCTTAGCGGAGGACGACGAGGAGGGCCGTGACCACGACCGTTCGGACGTCAGCAAGATCTTCCGGCTCATCAAGGAGATGGCAAAGACGGCGCAGACGGGGAAGAAGGGTCGTCGCGCGCGTGGAGCGAAGAGGATCGGGCGCGGGCCTGGAGGCGAGCGCGATATGGACGTCGACGAGGACGAAGAGGAGGACGCGGAAGAGCTGTCCATGATCGACATCCGGTCGCGCGTCCTGACGGCTGGCTTCACCGAAGCGCAGCTCATGGAGACGATTCTTGAGGTTCGTAGCGTCGGTCATTCTTCATATCCGCATGCAGACGCTGACATTCGTGCCTTGCATAGTACGAAGGTCTTGACGTCTGGACCCGAGTCGCGCACAACTCAAAACTGCGCTTCATCGAGACGGATTAGGATCCTCTGCTATTCGCATATTTGTTAGTACTCTGCTCATCTCTGTAGATTATGATCCGCTTGTTCTGCATCATGCTGTGTTGTTTGTACTGTCCTGTAGCACATATAAATAGCCTTCCTTGCATACAATACGTGTCATGATGAGGTATACAGTTCCAATGGTATTCCGAGGTGACAAGCCCGACACACCGACGTCTATTCAACCAGGGATACTATCGCGTCTCCGAGGCATGCTCCCAACTACTCCCGCTGCCACTGCCACTTCCTGGACTCGTCGCTCCTGAGCGCTCCTTCTCGTCGTCTACTGGCGACTCAGGCTCATCTCGGTAGCGTGTCTCTTTGGGGTCGCTCCCTGCCGTAGGAGGGTCATCATCGTCTAGGAAGCCTGAGTGCAGGCCTGTATGCAGACCAGGAGAGGCGATGTGCGGTCGCAGCGCAGTCTCTTCGTCTGCATCCTCATCGTCAGACACCTCCCCAAACGCGTCGTACAACTCTTTCGTCTGTCTCGGTGCGCGCGCTCCACTGCTGTTCCGACCTACGGCACCCATCGCGACGTCGTCGTCGTGGAGGCTGGAGTAGTTCGCGCGCCGCTTGCGTGCGACCGAGCGACGCCAGAAGAATAGCCCAACGCCGACGCCGAAAATGACGACTGCTCCGATGGCCAGGAAGAACCACACTTGGTTCGAAGCCAAACTTCCGAGGTCGGAGAACCAGCCCTCGTCGGGCGTCGAGGTGATGGACGGAGAGGCTGTCGCGGACTCCGCGACATCCTCTGGGGGTTTGGTCGGACTCGCGGCTGTACCGGTCGTAGAGAACGCGGGCTTGTGGTTCTCACCATCGGACTCGCCATGGTCACCAGGGAGATGTTCGGTGGGACGGGGGATCGTCTTCGTGCTGGTAGAGGAAGGAACAATGGAGGATGATGAACCATCGTCGGTGGTGTTGGAAGGCAGTGGCGGGAGGACATCGTCCTCAAGAGGAACAACGTAAGGCTTGTGCTCCTTTTCTGGATCCGCTACGGATCCCCAGATGGACATAGACCAACCCAAGAATACACCAGACTGATCCTCTTTGCGCTGATCAGAAACGCGAATGGTCCATTCTCCGACGGGGTCCTCATCCCTGTCATCACACTCATGATCAACGTCTGTGCAGCAGTCTCCTCTAGTCAGGAACTCACCAGTGCTTGACGGTCATGAACGTCCAGCCTGGATACCCGGTGTTCGCGTTATCACCGTAACGGCGCGCCGCAAGGACGCTTCTGACTCCATTCGGGCTCACGAGCTCGACCTCTACATCTCCGCGACGCGTATGTGTGATCCACACTTTGACGGTAACATGCTCCAGCCCAGCGAAGTTGTGATCCTCGAGCAGCTCCTTCGTAACGGTGATCTTGCTTTCGACGCCGTCCTCAGGGATGGGACTTCCCCCAGTTGTGGTCCAGTTCGCGTCCATCGTACCGTTGTTGATCTGCACCGCGGGAAGATCGATCCATGTCTGCGGGTTGACCAGCTTCCATGTCTGCGCAGCCTTGACGAAGTCGACGCCGCTCAGACTCCCATAGCCATACTTGTAACTGTAAGGCCGGCCTGCCGCCGTCTGCTCCCAGTCAGGATCATCCGGATTCACCTGCAGAGCTGTACGGACGCAGAGATGCTGGACATCGCGCCACCCAAGATCAGGGCTGTAATTTATACAGTCAGATGGTCTCCTATGAGCCGTTCAAAAGCCTGCGTACCGGGCTTGCAGCGCAAGTGCGAAGATCCCCGCAGCGTTAGGTGCCGCAGCAGAAGTACCGCCGTGTGAGTGAGAACATTTGTTCTTCCCCCTATCAGTGGTAGTCTACAAGACCTCGGTTTGTTATTCGTGCGAGGGCTCAAGAGGTAGCGATATACGCACGATGTAGTTGCCACCACCGGAAGTATACGCAACGACCATATTCGCGGCACACGACTCCGAGTAATCCGGATGATACCCCTTGAAGTCAATCGCGGCGACTGTCACAGAAAATATACTATTGGTATAGCCGTCAAAGTTGCACTGGTCACCACTGCGACCGCCGTTTCCACTAGCGAAGACGTATAGAGAGCCTTTGCCGCCGCGTCCTTGCTGGATGCCGTTGACCATAGCCTTGCGGATGAGATAGCCAGGTCCCTCCATTGACCTACCATCGTCGGGAGGGCCCCAAGAGCAGGAGTAGATGGAAGTGTTCTGGTAGTCGTAGTTGAGGGCAGCAGCCTCATCTATGTCCGAAATGGGTCCTGAGAGTATTCGAATACCCGCGACCTTCGAGTCGTACGCAATCCCAACACCGCAGACATCATTCTTAACAGCAGCGACCTGTCCTGCGCAGCGAGTGCCATGGTGATCGTCGAAGAGGACAGGTGTGGGGAGATCGGTGTGGTCGTTGTAGTCGTACGAGCCGTACGCGTACTGCACAACGCAGAGATTATGTCCTGTCTTGAACGATTATGGTAGGTACACTCACGAAGTTTGCTGCGAGATCATCGCTAGTATAGTCCAGGCCATCATCAACGAATGCCGTGATGACGCCCTTGCCAGTGATGCCGTCCTCCCACAGCGCAGTGACGTTCATCATATGCTCCGGGTAGTCGTTGTTGACGAGATGCCATTGCCTCCCGAACTCCGGGTCTTGGAACTCGAGACGGTGCGCGACCTCTTCAGCAGTCTCGACCTTCGGCGGTCGTATAGGTGGAGGAGCGCGCTTGACGCGCTGACGGAGGGTCTGGGGAAAGACGTTCTTGACGGACGAAGCAACTCTTCGTCTTTGTAACGTAGATTCCGAACGAGGGGAATGAGGTGATTTTGCCTCCAGCCGAAGGCCTTCTAATGAGCGTAGAACCGGGTCCGCATCCCTCTTCTGCAGTCCCTTCGCCACGCGTACAAGCCAGTGGTTTGCGAGCTCCCCCGCCTGCTCAACGACCTCGACGCCTAACGCGCTCGCAATCTCGGCCAGCGATGCTCCTTCCAGAGGGTCATGTTCCAATACATAGTAGTCGTGCGTGTTGTAGAAGCGCTTCGCAGGTTGGGCGGCCAAGACGGATTGAATGGCGAGAACGAGAGTGAGGGGGAGGAGACGCATTGTGCGTCAAGATGCAGCAAGACGTGCTGCGCGTGGAAGGGGCAGGCAAGCCTGGCGAGGTGGGTGTAAAAGAGAGGTCTTTGGACTGCACGACGTTCACACCTGCGTCGCCCACAGCGCAGTACCGCCCCGCCATATCCGGTCATCCAAGCGTGACCCATGTCACATCCTCCCAACGTTGGGAATCCATTCTCGTGCGCGTGGCTTGGTTGTTCCCGTCAAGACGGCTTGGCTTCCCATGCCCAAGTACGAGATGTTCGAACGTCGTGTGCCTGATGGACTGTATGATCGCCTTCGGAGGGACAACACTGAGCTTAAACGAAGGTACTACACAAGATGCGCCGAGTATAGATACAATTGCCGATATGCTTATGCCTATAATGCGATGACAAACCCGCCTACAATATTTGGACGAGAAGAATTATAGCAAAGGTGTCGCGCCTTTGAACAAGAAAGTCCATAACGCGTTGGGGTCCATGTAGTCGTGGTGAACGAGGCTGACAAGCCAGCGCTTATCACGAACATCCTCTAACAGGCGACGCTCCTGGGACTCCGGAGGGTAGAAGGACGCCCATTCGTCCCATATCGAGAACGCCTCGTCCTACGGGTACAAGGTGTCAGCTACAGGTAAAGGAGTGTCGTTGAAGCATGCATACCTTCCACGACAGGAACGACTCCTTCTCGATGATGGTCGTTTGCGCGATCTCCTGTCCAGGGAAAACGCCCCATGTGACTGCGTTGCGACCGCCCTCCGGTACATTCGTCAGAACGTCGCCCTGCGCATTGTTTTCAGCTGATCCTGCTTAAGGGTGTGAGCGTAAGGCACATACCTTCGCAGTTCCCGCGAAATAGCTAATCCAACCTGCACCCTCGCTGTCGACTTTCCTCGCGATTCTGTTCACATCCTGCTCCGCGACAAAGAATTCGACGAAGCACTTCTGGTACACGTATCCGCCCCGAGGTCCCCAGCCGACGACCTCGTCAGTCGAAGGTGCGCCGTTGATCGCCGGCTGCGAGCCCACGGTCCACCAGCCCTTCGAAGTAAGCTTCTCCAGGTGAGGGAAGATCATCAAAGACTCCGGTGACAAAGGCGTACACGAAAACGGCGTCGTCGCAATCTTGGAATGGAGATAGCGAAGGAAGAGCGAAGTCAGATCGTTGACGGTCTTCGGGTTACCCCAGTGGGATACCGGAGTCGTCGCGGCCTTGCTTTGCAGCGCCGAACTTCCCCACCGGTCCGTCTCGCCATACGCTGGACTCTTGAAGTCGCCGAAACGGCCGTTCGGGAAGTCGTCCCAGTCCGCGGCGCTATTGATTTCGCCCTTGCTTGCGTCAGGTTCAGGGACAGAGGTCGCCAGCTCCTTGGTCGCCCTGTCCGCTGCAGTGTGCGGCGTCACGGTTCGTTCTGGCGGGACTGCGTCATCCTAGACGGAGTTAGCAGGCGTCCATGATGGCTAGTGTGTACAACATACAGCAATGAGCTTGTTGCTTGAATGTGAGACATCTCCCGCAAGACCTAAAGCCTCCAGGATGCGGATGATGCTCTTCTCGAGGTTGAGGGTGCAAAAGTGCACGCCTTGGATCCCTCCCGCTTGCAATTGCCGAATCATGTCTACGGCTAGCCTCACGCCATAGTCCTTTACTTTTTGATCATCATGCTGTGAAAGACAGGGTCAGAGGCACATATGTGACGGCGACACGGTGTAATCGACGCACGCGGATGGGAACGAGGTCGGACATCATTTTCGGTGGGACGCTAGTCGCACAGAGTTTCGTCATGCGGAGGAAAGAGGCGTATGTTTGTATAGGCATTATACCAGGGATAATTGGCACGGTGATGCCTGCGAATCTCTTGAGATAGGCTTGGAATGTAATACGAGCACAAGACCTACCTTTCTCGCGGACCTTCTTGACCCATTGGAGGAAACCATTGACGTCGTAGAAGAGTTGCGTTATGATGAATTCGGCACCAGCATTGACCTTTTCCTTCAAGTGATCGAGCTCACGGTCTTCCGTCGTGTCCCTGTCAGGGTGCCCATCGGGGTATGCTGCAGACGTTCCCACAGCGCCGTGAGTACAGGTAGAGACAGTCCGAAGGCAATGAAGTGACCTGCCACGCCGACGCAGAAATGCGCAAACTCAGGCGTTGACTTGATGTATCGCACCAGATCGACACCGTGTTGGAAGCGCGAGTCCGTAGGGATCCAGTGCTCTGAGCCTCTAGGCGGGTCTAGAGGGTATATTATCAGAATGTGTTTAGGTTGGGTGCGACGATCCCCGTACCTCCACGAAGCGCAAGGATGTTCTCGATCCCCCGTTCCTTGGCTTCCTGAACGTAGGGGGGTGAGCGGGTATAAGATTCACCTTCAGATCGAAACAACGCACCCTTAACGCCGCGTCCACACTTCCTTGGACCATGTTCGTGCATGTCAGATGAAGTGTTGTATCGATGCCATGCTCAAGCTGTGTCAAGCCCGCTAGGTCGAGCGAGCGGTCTTTGGTCGTCCCACCGGCACCCCAAGTGACACTGACAGAAAGCGGATTCAGCGCAACCATGCGCGCAATACGGGATACTAGGTTCTCGAAACCCTGCAAAGAGTGGGCACATACGCATGAGCTCAGTCCACATCCATGACTCGGGGTGCGCCTTCACCTGATCCGTCTTCGGCGGGAAGAACTCGAACGTGTAGAAGAGCCTGTTGGGATCATATTGTGCGATCCTGTCCGTCAGCTTCATGTCTGCCAACGTCCAGACTGGAGTGTGGAAGAAGGGTGAGAAGGAGGCGGGGAAGACCTGAGCTGCAAAATGGAGCCGCTGCCGGAGTCCGCTCGCACGGAACACCGCGCCATCGCGAATTCCATTCACGCCTCGCGCACAAGCGCTGGAACTCCCCAATGGACGAGCACGCGCCTATCTAATCTACGCAGCCCGCAGACGACTCCCAAACACCGGCAAACACCCATCTCGCTGTCCGGGACAGCGAGCACGTCGCTGATTACAGTACCGCCCGTTGTCGCCGACGTCCCTGCCCGTGTCTCTCATTCCGCAGACCACTGTTACATCTTTCTTGTTTTGCTGTCATCATGTCTGCGACTACTCCCGTGACTGCTGATTTCTCCTCGCCGCCGCTGAAACGGAGCAAGATTGTCCTCCTTGGCGACCAGAGTGTGGGGAAGACCAGTCTAATAACAAGGTACGCGTTTCGTATCCCTTCTCGAGGATCTAAGCCTCCGGTCCTTCTCGTCCTCTCTCCGTCTCTCATCCAATGTGGAGAATGGGAGAGATCTAACGCGGTGCGGATACTCGGGCATTAGATTCATGTACGACACCTTCGACAACACGTACCAGGCCACGATAGGCATTGACTTCCTGAGCAAAGCTATGTACCTGGAGGATAGGACAGTACGGCTACAACTATGGGACACTGCTGGACAGGCGAGTAGATACATTTAGACCGTATGGAAGTCGGGGTACTAACGTGTAAGCGTCTTGTCCTCTCTGTCTTCTGCATTGTAGGAACGCTACCGTTCTCTAATCCCCTCATACATTCGTGACTGCTCCGTAGCCATCGTCGTGTTTGACATCACAAGTGAGTGTGTGTCCACTAGATGTCGTGCGACATGGTATTTACGCCGCCGAAGATCGACAATCCTTCCTCTCCACATCGAAATGGATTGACGATGTCCGTTCGGAACGGGGGAACGACGTCATCATTGTACTGGTCGGCAATAAGGCCGACTTGTCAGACAAGCGGTGAGTGCTCACGTACTGTCCAATGGGCGTTCTGACATCTCGCGCTTTGGTAGGCAAGTAACACTCGAGGAGGCAAACGCGAAGGCGACCCAATTAAACATCATGTTCATGGAGACGTCTGCAAAGGCCGGGCACAACGTGAAGAGCTTGTTTAAGAAGATCGCCATGTCGTTGGTGGGTATGGAAAAGGAAAATGAGCAGTCAGAGGCGCAGAACACCAGTAGGTCCATCCGCCGCTATCTTCCTCGTACCTGCCTAAAGTAATGCGTCGTTGATGCCAGAGATCGACGTGACATCACCACCGCAGAACGAAGTGCCGGACGCGTCGCAGTGTCAGTGCTGAGCTCACCCTCGAGTGCTAGAGCAAAGCGTACACCTTTCTGCTTCACTTACGCTTGCATGTACCCTTTAACCGCGTGTATACCTTCCTTTACATCATTTGATCCGGCGTGTTGTTGTACTCCATAGTACTCAGCGACAACGCCCTAGTCATACATCAAGGAATACTTGCTACAAGCAGTGCTATGCGTCCGTAATGCATTGTATAAGTCTATTCACTCGTGCTCAGCCGCGGTTCATGGTGTTACCAGCGCCTCGAGGGTGGGTGTCCGTGTATTGAGCCCATGACTCATCCTTCTGCCTCTTCTCTTCGGCCTTCTCTTCTCCGAATACTGTGCCATCTTGTTCAGCATCGATAGCGAGTTGCTCTTTCGACGTGGGTTTGGCTTCGGAGGCAGGACTGGAAGTGAGAGCGATCAAGCAACGGTTGTGGTTCTGAATCTGATTAGACGTACCCTCCGCCGGAGATGATATTGCCACGCTGCCGCTCGACCTCGAGGTATTCGTCGATCGTCATGGTCGGCAGTCGATGATCAGCCTGAAAGACTTGAGCTTGGAATCTCGCGCGCTCGTCCGCGTTCGACGGGAGGATCATGAATGGTCGCAAAGGCTACAAGCGCGATTAGTCTTCAAGTGGCGCCAATCTATGCTGGCTACGTCAAGTTACCTTCCCTTGAGGATCCAATAACGGCCCCTTGCCGTCCGGACCGCCTCTGTTGACTGGCGCGTCCAGCTTCCACATGCTGTCCTCCTTGCGCTTCTTAGCCAAACGGGGGTCATCGGAATGCTGCCGCTGAGGCGGCGTTGGAGGTGCATTCCGCAGAAGCTCGAGTTCCTGATTGGTGCTCTCCAGCTGCGCTTGTGCTTCCGCATAGCTGAAGCGCAGCAGAAAGATCACGGCCTCCCGAAGGATATCTTCAGTGTCGGCGTCGGGCTCTGTACTTGCCTCATCGGAGTTTTGTGATGGGTCGGGGAGAACGGATGCAATGAGCTCAAGATTGGTGTTGGCATCGGTCGCGTTAGGGTTTTTGCGCTTCCGCAAGGCCTGCTGTAGCTCAGTACCTCCTGAAGCATGGCTAGCACGGACGAAACGCACCTCGATCCTCGTCCTGATATCCTTCTCCCGTTTGTACTGCTTGATCTTCAGCTCTCTCCGTTTCGCGGGATCACTCACTGAGGATGCGGCGCGGCCGTACAGCGCCTTATCCTCCTCCGTGATGATTTCATACAACTCCAAGTAGCGGACAAAGGATTCTAGATATCTCTGTCCATTCGGTTAACATCGTAAAGGGCATACACGACGAGATCGGCGCACCTTGACATTGCTGACCAAGTCTAACCGCTCATCACGATCCGTTGTCCGGACTCGAGAGAGCACCTCTGAGAGCGCGTAGGGTACGAGTATATAGACGAGATCACGGGTGGGGATGTCTGTGAGGTGCTCGTTTGCGCTGAAGAGCGAGAGCTTGGCCACGCGCGAGCTGCACTGACGAAGGTCGTCGAGTGCAGATTGAATGAGCTCCTGTGCGCCGAATTCGTAAGGTAGAAAGCGGCCTTGGAAGCAAACCGATGTACCTGTGTCTCGTCTTCGATCGTTGGTAAGTTGAGCGCCCTGGACGCTGTGGTGAGAGCGCGATGGAATAGCGACGGTAGTGGTACGTCCTCCATTGAAGCTGTAGTGTAGCGGTGCAAGTGCAAGTTGACCCTGTTATTCGTCCGAGCGGCTGAGGATCCCAGAGAGTCACTAAGAACTCGAAGTCAATCCGAATATGCTGGAAGGAGGCATCTCCAGGTGCTCCGGCCCGGCGCTGCCGGCTGGGAGCGCGTCACGACGCGTCGCGAGTCGCGACTACTGTAAACACGCCCACATGCGCCTTGTTTCCTCACAGTCACTGCTTCGGTCCTGCCAACATCCTTATGGTCTACGTTTTCCCTCTGTTTGCCTGATATGAAGCGTCCCCTGGACGACGATGCCTCTTGCACCCTGGATGTCCGAGGGGCGGTGGCCGTAACGTTCAAGCCCGATCAGAAGAGGAGAGCAGGAGACGTGTGCAAGAAACCCAGCGACTGCACGGGATATATCGAAGGGAAGGTCTATGACAGAGGAACTGTCTCTGATGATAGCTGGGAGCTCGTGCTTACGGTCGAACTCGGATCTCGTGCACACGTCTTGCTTTCAGGGAGTATCTCAAGGTGGTTCCGTAGCCTCCCCGTGGCCGTTGGAGCTCAGGTCCGTTTGACCTTGAAGGGCGTTGTCTTGGAGGATTTGCCTTTGGAAAAGATTAGGCCGCTTGTCTTGCGCAAGCGGTTTGCTTGGCGAGAAGGTGTCGCGGTATACGTGCACAACCCGAAGACAGGGGAGGAGGCATTCTTCGATACCTGGAGTAGTGAGACATCGCTTCCATCTCGCTCTCCAGCTGAATCCTAACGCGTCTCTTAGCAGTCGTTGATACTCGCCCCGGCACCTCGTTCCCTACAACCCTTGGTACTAGTGCCAATCCTCAGGACGCTGCCACCCCGGCTGCCCCAAAGAAGAGGAGAAGGACCCCTCCACCCACTCCTTCTACAACTCATGAGGGTGTACCTAGCTCACCTCATACGCGTTATGAAAGCCCAGTCAATGAGTGCATCAGTGCGTTGATAACATCTGAAACACGTCTCCAAGCTAACATTCTTCCACCGATTTCCTCTTGCAACACTAAGATGCCGTTGAGCCTCCCTATGGAGAGCCCGTGGGTGGTCCTAGTGTGGTCATAGGCGCCACACCACATAGCTCGAACCCGAATGACGACTCGCAGAACCCACAGAGTCTTCCTTCACCTCCGCCAGAACTCGGCACCGACGTTGATCCCAAGGTCGATCGCACACGAGCCGGCGAGGAAACTCCGGTTACAAGTCTATCACAAGCGCAGCACGGTGCATCCACGATGCCATCCATCGAGGGAGCCAAAAGTCTGTCTCGGCCTCAGGTCGTGGCGCACCAACCCTCTAAGTCCCCTGTGTCCGGTGTTGAGATGGGAACGAAGCAACACCCCAACGAAGGTTCAGGTCCGTCGCGCCCCAAAGACCGCCGACAGTCTCCTCTGCCAGGCAAAGCAAGTAAGAAGCGGTGGAACTCTGTCAGAGAGGCACGGCGAAGAGAAAAGCAACTGCGGAAGAAATTTGGGTCAGTTGCTGGTGTCCAGGAGGATAACGGGCAGCTGCGAGCGGGAAGCATTGGTCACGGCGATGGCGAGATGGACTGCGAGGAGGACTACTGGGGTGCGGTCGAAAATGACATTCCAGAGGAGCTACTTCGCCGATTCGATGCGGCAGAGCTTGGTACGGGTCCCAAGGATGCTGTTCGAAATCTGGATGACGACCCGCCTGGCCAGTCGAGAGAACCACAGCATGAAGAGAATCCGTCGCCCGAAGCTGAATCCGTACCAAAAGCCGAACCTGTGCCCAAACCCGAGCCCGCGTCTCAATTTGCACCTGCGCGCGAACCTTCACCACCACCACCAAGCCAGCGTCATGATAACGCTGATCCCACTGAAGCTCTGCGCATTGGCTGCCACACTTCGTTTGTACGTCCGTGACATTGCGAACTCTCTAGATTACTGACTTTGCCTGCGCTTCAGGGCGCATACATCCCGCTTCTCGAATTTACCGGGTCAGGCATGCGGAACATCATGGGAGTGATTGCTGCTGCTCCTATCACTACACAAACCAAGACGGGCGGTAAGGCAGCATTCCATGGCGAAGTAGAGTGCATCATTGACACACCTGGCAGAGTTCATGATGAGGTTGAACTTGTTTGACCCGTCCAATTTCGCGACTAGCGGCTTGAACGTCACGTTGTTTGACAAGGCTGTACTTGGCTTGCCCAAAACGGAGGCGGGCGACGTCCTAATTCTGCGATCGATCATGGTACGTCGCCACGGTAGAGCGTTTCTCCATGCATTGACTGGGTTGCGTAGGTCGATCAATTCAACGGGTATTGTGCCATCGGAGCGTCATACAAGGGCTGGCAGTGGGCGGTCTTCCATGTCAAGACGGGAAGGCTGTCAAGTGCGCCTGAAGACTCGTGTGCTTTGCGTCACTTTCAGCCTGAAAGGAGCGAAGTCCATCACAGTCTTAGGCTTGGGGACTGGTGGCGCGATGCTTCTGCGAATCAAGTTGCGTTTGGTGCCGAGAATCCTACGTCGGCCTCGCGTGGTCGTCCGCACAAGTTGTTCTCAGATGCTGACTGCAACGGTTACTTTGACTGCACGGTTGAGGTGGGTATTTTCCCTGTGTGGCGTCGACTCAAGCCAATACGGTCACTTTTAGGTTCTTCACGGCTATCAGAATGGGGACCACCCCTACACTCTCTTCGTCACGGACTACACGCGCAACGCCTCTGTGGCCCCGATACAAGCTGCGTGGTGCCCGCCCAAGCTTGCCCCAGTCGTTATGCAGGTCGAGATGTGGGATTCTTCCGCCCAAGTGGCAGTCACTATGCGACCCGGCGAATACTATTCGATGCGCAACATGCGGCTTCGCGTCAGTGGGGGTGGGTATCTGGAAGGCAAGATGCAGGAGGGTGACAAAATCAAGAAGCTTGATGAAGACGTCCTGGAGAACCAGCCGCACCTAATCGAGCTTTTGAAGTGAGTTGGAGTTGGCGAAATCCTTCTAGGTGTGCCCGACTAACGTACCTCAGACGAAAACAAGAATGGGAGGCTCGAGCGGGCACTGTTGATGGTATTCCTGAGTTCCCTCATCAGCTCATACAGGAGGTCGAGGTAGACCATCACTTCAATTGCACGGTGGAGGTAATCATGTTTCGCTCGTATCAGCCGCTTTCCGCGTTACTCACTGAGTCGTGGTCTGCTCCTAGGTCATATGTATCTCGGCGAAGGATGACTTCTCATACCTGTATGTTACCGACTACACCGCTCGTCCGGACCTCGTGCCTGTTGCGGCTACGATTGCCTCTGGGGCACTCGCAGAACGCGTTGTCCGCATCTCCCTGAACGATGCTCAGATCGAGGTTGGCAAGAGCCTTGAGACTGGCGACTTTGTTGCGATTCGTAATCTGAGGCTACGTCCATCGAACGGCGGCACCCTGCTCTCCGGTCGGTTAGGTGGGCAGCACCGGCTTATCACCAAGCTCAACCCCAAGTCGACCTCAAACATAGAACTGAGGGCGCTACTGAGGTGAGTCATATTGGAACGACTCGTCTGGTTTTGGATCAGGGGATGTTTACCATATTTGCTACAGACGTAAGAAAGATTATGAGGCTTCTCAGGAGAAGCCCAAGGACAACAAGAAGAACAGACGCGCTAGCCGTCGAGCCGCAAACCCTCCGGCGGACGAAGGGAAGTCCAGGTCTCCCTCAAGAACGAAGGGCAAAGGCAAAGCGGACGACAAGTACGTCGCCTTGAGTGATGTCAAGGCGAGTGACGCTTGTCCGTCTGTCTTCCGCGTACGCGCAAAGGTTGTCGACTTCTTCCCGGACAATTTGCGTGACTGCACAATTATGCGATGCACGAACTGCGACCGAAGGTACGCATCGAGCTTTCGTTGTACGTAGAGGTAGTTGTGCTGAACCGAATGTAATCCAGCATTCCCAAGACGCGACAGAGGTGCACCGAATGCGATGATGTCATGGAGGACACGACGTTCGTTCAAGTGTTCTTCAACCTGTACTTCAGTATAGAGGACGAGGAAGGCACGGCTTTGCCCGTCTCCGTGTCAGATGAACGGGTAGGTCATAATGCTCGCATTCAGTCCAGGCATCTCTGACTGACGTTGCTGAGTCAGTGTACTGTACTGCAGGATCTCGTCCCTGACGACGTGCACGACGATGTCGACGACGCTTTTAGCATGTTCATTGCGCGTCTGCAGCCCCTCCTTGGTGATTTATTGGATGTCTCTGAGGGAGAGGCTCGTCGCCGTCCCAATGGCGAGGGCGGTCCTATGCTCGATCTGACGCTTGGGAGCTGGCTACCCGAGGGCGAGCCAGACAATCCGGACTCGCGCGCATATATCTTGCTCCGACACGTAGTTTGCGACCCAGACTAGGGTTCGCAATCCGTGGCGAGGATTTTTTAATTGCTTCCGACTGCTCGTTATGTTTATATTGTATCATATTGTATGTAGCGTTACACTGCTCATCGATGCATTACATTGTTTCATCATGCCCCATTGTCTGAAATCAGCACTGTTGGAACAGCTCAAATCATTCCGGCTTGCACACGACAATGGCCCATCCCTCCAGCAAACCCGCGTCCAGCAAACCCGCCTCCCAGGCCGTGCATAGCCGCTCCTCAACCCAAGCTTGCATCCCCCATTGGCGAACGAAAGCGGCCCTAGTGTACGGATCATTTTCCAAGCGGTCCACACTGCCATGCAAGAAGTGAGCGTATTCCCTGGAAATGTTTCGCGCCACTTCCACAGTAAGCATATTCGGGCCGGTGGTGAGCAGCTGAAGGACTGAGAGAATGGATGTAAAGAGCGGTGTCGTCGTACGCTGCGCGGCAGAGTGTTGTTGATCCCTGTCATTGAGGAAGCAACGAGGAAAGAACGGAACTGCTGTGAGGATTGTGGATGGGGACCAGAAGGAAGCGTTCGCGGGGCGCGAGGTGAGACCGAGCACAAGGAAGGCCCCGGGTGCGAGGGCGGCCTGCAGATGCCGGATGTAAGATTCTAAATGGCGGTATGGAACGCAGTCGAGAGAGAGCGCTGGGAATTCATCGTGCAGCGTGTTAAGGAATAGCGACGATAGAGGGACGGAGTCGGAGGGGTGGTTGGGCTGGGCCGGGTTCGTGGTATGGTCGAGGGATGATGAATGGTCAGACTGACTGGCCTTGCTCGGAACTGCATACAGCAGGTACAAGATCAGGGTATGCATTGATTTGACCTCGCATACAGCGACTTTCCTTGCACAAGTCCGCGCTGTTCCGCACATCAGAGTCTTTTGAGCAGCCATCGAAAATTCAAAGGGACTTACGGGCATGCCGTACTGTTTCACGTCAGCAAACAGGTCGCAGGATACCATCCAGCCAAGCAGTTTGATCCACCAGAGGTAGTCAGCGTCGAGGCAGACCACGAGGCCAGAGACGGTCGTCAAAGAGCCAGCGAAGAGGGCGGAAAGATGTTCTCGAGGGTTGCGAAGCTCGACCCGGCCACCAAGGATGTCATGATAGAGCATTTTAAGAGGCACATGGAGAACAGTGCGGTCCCCGGCAGCTTTATTAGCTGCACGGTACGCTAGAGTCGGATAGGTCGACGGCCAGACTGAGTGCGTTGGCGTTAGCACGGTAAGCATAGCTTGGAGGACGGTCCTTGCTTTCACTTCAACATTTCTTCTTCTTGTAGACTGATGGTACAGAAGCAGAGTGGCCAGGAGGAAGAGACAGAACACAGCGAGTAACGTCCCGAAAGGCTGAAGCACCACCGCGACTATCTTGTGCCAGACAGCGTGAAAGGGGATGCTTCCAGGCAAAGATGAGAGTATTCTTCCAGGCCAGAAGGAGAGCTTTTGGGACAACACGCAGGTATTGGAGTCATGATCAGATGCCAGCGTGGGGAACATGGAGGGCAGAGGGAGACAGAGGTGCCTCCAGGAGTTAGCGCCGAGAGCAATCATGATGCATGGCAGCATGAGCATGTACTTACCCTAGGCGCCTGTGTGGTCGACGTGCGCTTGAGTCCCAGCCACTGCGCGTTTCTGCCGCCTTCCACCACTTCCTCTAGACGAGCCTTCCTTCTCACCGCCGTTACCGACACCCATAGTAATCAAGATACTACCTACTGGATGTCACAGGCTACCCAGGTCGCCGTCGCTGGCCCGAGCGCTCTCACGGACCCCTCTCGTACCGCCATACGAAGCCAACAGCACAACATCCCTCGGTTCCTCCTCAAGCTCTACGAGTGAGTTCGCATGGTGTGTTTGCAACATATATGCCGCTCAACATAATTGTGCAGGATTGTGAACGATCCCGCGAATGACACACTCGTGAAATGGTCAGAATCAGGCGACTCCTTCTACAGTATGCGTTTCACCCGTTCGTGCCACTCTCCTTGATCGTCTAATGTGCTTCACCACTCAGTTTTCAACCAGGAGAAGTTCGCGCGTGAAATCCTTGGGAAGTGGTTCAAGCACCAGAACTTCTCGTCCTTCGTCCGTCAGCTCAACCTATACGGGTTCCGCAAGATATCTGCTCTCCAGCAAGGCCTCTTGCGCACAGATAATGACTCCGAGACCATACAATTCGCACACCCTAACTTCCACCGCGGCCAACCTGATCTCTTAGCCCTCATTCAGCGCAAACGCAATGCCCCTGTGAACGCGCAGACCGACGAAGGTGCGGTCGGTCTCCTTCAATCATCCCTCTCGCAGGACAGTAAAGCGCAAGGCCAACCCCTCGATGTGCGGTCGATCGTGGAGGGCATAAACGCCATCCGGCGTCAACAGCAAGCTATCGCAGCCGAATTGGCCGTGCTCAAGCAGTCCAATGACGCCCTTTGGAAGGAGGCTATTGAGGCTAGGGAGAGACATGCGAAGCATGAGGATACGATCAACCGCATCCTCAAATTTCTTGCTGGGCTGTTTGGCCGGGTGATCCAGGGACATGGCAGCCATAACGGAGCTCCGGCCGGTAGACTGCTCCTCGGAGATGGTAGGGCGAACCACGGCGAGGGCACAGACTATCATGGAAGCGACGCCGACCCGCAGAGCGAGCCAGGGAGCCGTGCTCAAACTCCCTTCTCTGTTGGTGAGTGCTCTTGGTCCGTTATTTTTGCACTGCGTTGTGTCATTCTCAATGTCATGGCAGCGTCGGAGCGCTTCGTTACCGTTGAGACCCCTCAAACGTTAGCTGGCACGCCTGCTGCGATCACTGAAGTCCACGACCACACACACAAGTCCACGCAAAAACCTCCACACCCGGTTCCTAACCTCCGGACTGTACCGAAGGCCACCGCGCATACTTCGCAAGATGCTCAGAATGCTCCTCCTGGTCCAACATCAGCTACAATCGCCCCCTTCAGTCCAAATGGATCAAACCCTGAAGCCATGTGGCAAGCCACTCTGCAACAAATGCTCACCTCCCCCGCACAGTTTCAGCAGGTCCTCCAGACGTTCGCGAGTACTTCACCGTCTCCCTCTCCTACGAGCTCCGTCCCGACCTCCTCTTCCCTCCATGCGCCGCTGAATCCTCCACAACAGCAACTGCAATGGTCTTATCCATATCAGTTTGCCCCACAAGCTCCCCCCACCAACGCACTTGCCGTTACTGCCCCTCCGCCGGCGCCTGTAGACCCACTCGCGATAGCTCCCGCACCTTCCACCGGCCCGTCGCCACAAGAGGAAGCCCTGCTCAACAACGCGGATCGTCTAAATAAGACATATCGCGACGCTGAGCAGATCCGTTCGGACGTGGACGACCTGCAGACCAACCTCCAAGAGCTCATTCACAACATGGGCCTTGACCCGCAGAATGTGACCTTCCCTACCATTGACCACCCCGCCGTGCCACCGCCACCCGAGGACCTGAACGGCGCCGGGCAGGGCGCGGGCGAGTTCTCGTTCGATACATGGCTCAGCCAGCTGAACGGCGCTGGGCTGCCCGACTTAGCATACTCGCCTTCGCCGGCGCGACCGGGCAGGGAGGACACGGACGACTTCTCGGCATTCCTGGACCTACCTGCACTTGATGGCGGACAGTCGGCGGCGTCACCTGGGCCTGCTGCGTATTCGTCTCCAACGGGGACGAAGCGGAAGATCGAGGTGGTTGAAGTCCCGGAGGTGCCTTCAGGGGACGCACCGTCGGCCAAGAAAAAACGATGACGGATGGGATGTGGTCCAAGGGCTTTTGGGTGATGGGTATCCTGGGGATTTCAGGTGTGCTCCGCTCGCATGATGCCGTATGCCCAGTTTGATATGTTGTCTATTTGCAAGGACTGCGCTTCCTGTATCAATAGGTGTACGAGTATGTGATATATAAACTCAGACGGACTCTAATGTCTACCTGTATACACACGATCGACGAGGCGACAGTAGAATCCGACCTTGCGATGTCATGTTTTCTCTATCGTTATCCTATTTCACTGGTGAGCACGCCCGGGAGTTCAGCGGTTAGGCTGTGTCAATCAGTTGATTCCCACAGTGACGTGTGGTGCCTATCGAAAATAAAGCCAGTTATACAGTCCTGCAGCTGTCGCGCTGAGCACAGGTGAGTGCGAGCATGAAGATGCATTTTCCGCACCGGAGAAAGCACGTAGAACTCTTTGCACGGAACGATGCCTCGGACCCCCATTGAATCGTGAACAAAGCGAACCCTAGTTCTCGGTTCAAAATACACATGAGCTGTATGACGGCTTGGAGCTTTTGCATGAGCGAAGCAACGTTCTGTGTTATATCCACCCAGGTCTTCGCGTCCATCGAGCTTCCGATCGCATCCTGTGTCGTAAGGAGAATGCAATCACCCAACAAATCACTACCACTTGTCAGTCTCCCATCGGCAGACCCCCACTAGCATAAACACACGAGCAACATACGCCACAGCATTGATATATCAGCTTGCCATGCGAAGCAGGCGGAGGCGGCGCACCCTCTACACAAACATACTGATTCTACGAGAGGTTGCACAGAATCCACGAAAACTAGATATGTGCATCTCTTGATACCGCACGAAGTCATCCTTCGCCATGCGCGAAACTGCCGAGAATCCAAGTCCACTGTCGATAAGTATCAGTGGCTGGTGGAATAGGCCCGAACCACGCTGGTTGGCAGGAATGCCTCCCACGAGACCGTCTATGTTCACACTATGGCAAAGTTGGGTGCCACGCAGCTGACTACCATCTGAGAACACAGTGCTATACCTGGTGCAAGTCAGTTGAAGGGCATTGAGGACAGTACGGGAGTACTCCAAAAGCAAGAGTCGCCGAAACTGCCCCACCATGAAGGCAGACACGTTCGTCCAGGTCGATGCTCCAGATGCGTTGCCGAGTCGTGAAGTCAAGGCTCAAGAGCACGAAGTCCAAAACTCACGCAACGCAACTCTGCGTTATGGTCGAGCTCTGCTCCGACATGCTGTACGGGTCGGCGACTAAACGGTCGAAGAGCGTGACAACTGGCTGGGAAAGCAGAGGGTGCGCTATCGTGCGCTCATATTATGTATCAGCCCTGTATCACTTGTGACCCACAACGCGCTGTGAAGATGCCATCATAGTGAATCGGCTTCGCAGTCGCTAAGCGAAGGACGAGCAGCCTCTAGAGTGCGAAGAGGAAACGGCAGCGATCACAAGCGTCTGGCGCGGGATTGTATCTCAAACGAACTTACCCGTGGCATGTCTCCATGTCGGAATGTTTACAGCCGGAATTGACTGAGTCGCTGTCGACACAGAGGGCAGGCATACTGATGGAGGTGTCGTAGCCCTACAATAAAGAGCGTGATGGAAATATAAGAAGTCATCGTACATACCGAAGCAGTGCCCATGAGCGTGCAAGGGACTCCAGCTCTGGAACGACCCTATTCCTTTTGGTAACGGAGCGAATATGTTGCCCACTGCGTGTCGACGTTGCAAGTAGTGTACATCACTGATCTACCTGCGCGACTAGCTCGAGACCCGTTAGAATGTTAGAGTCTCCACCATAGCATCCAGAATACGGATATTGTCCGGCATATAAAACTTCTCGTACTGCATTGGGACCGGCATGCTGGCCGAATCCATGGCTTGTCAGCAAGTTCACGCACAGCACACTGGGAATACACTCACTCCCAGCCAGTGACTAGCTTCACCGGCGCATTCAGCTTCAAGAAGCACTTCTTCTGGATCTCAGCTCCAATTTCCGCGCCCACGCCTCCGATGCGTCCAGCTTCGTGTACAACGACGAGCCGGCCCGTCCGCTGCACGCTCTCAACCACGGTTTCGACGTCCCATGGCATGATTGTGCGCAAGTCGATGAGTTCGACTCTCGCTGAGCGTACAGACGGAGGCACGTGTTGAGATATGGATTGAGGAGGCTTAGCCAACAACTCGAGTGCCGATTCACAGGTGTATATAGGTGTTCCCCATGACACGACCGTAAGGTCGGAGCCGCGCCTTAGGACGTCAGCCTTACCGAGAGGTATTTCATAGTCGTCGATTGGCACTTGTTCGACTAGTAATAGACGTCATACCCCACGTTCTAAATGCGAATGATATACTCCTCACCGGCAGATCGATATAGAATCTTGGGCTCCATGAATATCACTGGATTAGGATCCCGGATTGAGCTGAGCAAGAGACCCTTTGCTTGTATCGGTGATCTGGGTATGACAAGCTATGTGCGTTAGATTGAACATGTGAGCACTACCGTGTATGGAAATGCTCGCAACTCTTGCGCACCTTGATCCCAGCAGCTCCCATAAAGAAGCCTTCCGGACTTTGAGAATGGTAATGCCCACCATGACCGACGGCCATCGAAGGACAGCGAATCGTCAGTTTCCCAGCGTCGAAGTCTCCGCTACTGCGAAAGCGGCACTTGGCTGCCTCGTTCACGATCTGTAGCGGAAGTGTGTTTGAGGAGATATCATTACTATGAGCCTGTTGACTCACCTGGTCGAATGCGGGGAAGATGTAGTCTGCGAACTGGATCTCAGCAATCGCGGTATGGCCCATAGCGGCATAGCCTATTCCGAAGCCTGCGATGCCCTGTTCCGTTAATGGCGTATTGAAGACGCGTTCACGCCCTGTGCCTATAAGTCATACACGCTTTCATAACGGGCACACATACGACATACCGAACTCCTCCGCGAGACCCTGTGAGTTGGGTGGCGTCAGAGTTAGGACTGAATGAGAGTATGATGTAGCCATACCCCGCATGTGGGGGACAGACGCCGGAAACGGCTCGCTCACCATTGTACAACGAAACACCCCTCCGAACGCGACATCCTCACCAAATACTATGGCAGTATCATCCTTGCTGAGCGCGATGCTACAGAGATAGCAATGCCATGCGTCTCAGGGACAAGGGGGAGATGGTGGGAGCTGCGAGCGGCGGCGTACCTGAGTGCGTCCCGGATCGCCTGGTACATGTTCATCTTGCGCGTCTCACGCCCCAGCATGTCCCGCGACGGGTCCGAGTCCATTGGGTCTACCCATTGCAAGCCTTGCGTTCGCAGCGCGACGTCACGGGTTGGCTTTAGGAGTGACGAGGTACCGATAGTGTACGAATGACCTCCTGCTGGAGGAGGTTCGGTGCTTGACCACCGGCGGCTCGCGTGCTATTCCGCACATATCAGCTTGTATGGAGAAGCTAAATCTGTTGGCAGAGCACTTACCTGTAGTCTCGGTAGTGTCCTGAGAACACGAAACATGGGCTGACGAGGAGATAACATGGTAGACGTTGAAGGACAAGCGAGGCTTTTGAGGCAGCGAATGCAAGATCCGTGAGGTCATGCGCCCGTTATGTAGACTCCCAAACAACCACGAACGTCGAACGAGCTCGGAACATCCTCCCGCCTCCACCACGGGACTCCTGCTTGCCCCTCCATCTCGCTGACCGGTCTGAGTAGGCATGAAAGATGGAGAATGATTCGACATTCGTCGCTCCCGAGGGCGTTTACTCAATCACAGAAGAGCACAAGCCCTCCCCGCTCGCGCAACATACCATCGCCGCTGCTCCCATATTATACCCCACGAAAGTTTCCACAGTCTCTGTCCGCTTCCCAGCTACGAAGTCAAGCAACGCTGCAGCAGGCCTTTCACAGTTACTGGGAGGGAACCGGGAGAAGGAGGGCAAGAAGGAGAAGGTGGCTGCGAAGGAGCGCGAGGACGGGTTGAGCGTGTCTAGCAGCGACGATCCGGACGACGGCTCTCCAGATGCCTCCAGTGCGCCTGCTCCAGACAACTCTACGTCCACGCCCACCATTCCGCATGAGCAACTCGGCACACCGTTTGCGACACTTCCTGGCGGGCTCGGGAAGAGGAAGGCTGCTCCGCGGCCGAAGCACAGTATGCGGACGACCTCTTCCACATTCATCACTCGACTACAGAACTCGGACAACTTGAATAGAGCTTTACAGTCAAAGCAGGGTGAAACCACGTTCCTGTTCTACAATTCTGCCAAAACGTTCGTCTGGACGGAGGCGGGTACGAAGATCAAGGTGAGTGTTCCTTACGAACGCCTTCATCCTACCTTCAGATGTAGACTACTGCGTTCAGGAGCCTTTGGCACGGATATATTTCTCTGCATATCCAACTTGCCATGACGTGAACCTTGCTACAGTATCTTCCGACCGGTTAGATATAATCATTGGGTTCCATACGGGGGATATATTGTGGCTAGGTGAGCTTTCGCCAAATCTCAACTACCTGGCATTAACACGCACATAGACCCAATATCGTCTCGTTATGGACGCTTCAACAAACAAGTAAGCCAGGTCATAGATGACGTGTCTGCATGCACCAGTTGACGTTATGTTAGGGCCGCATATGTAGCGCAGCGTGCACGGCGATACGCTGGGTCCCCGAGTCTCCCAACCTGTTCCTAGTATCGCATGCGGACGGCACCATCATCGTATACGATAAGGAGCGGGAAGACGGTTCATTCACTCCTCAGGAGCCAGGCACGTCTCCACCATCTGTGTCACCTCTAGATCATACCTCCTCCACCGACTCGCAAGGAGAGTGGAACCCTCTCGACTCCATATTCGTCACTATGCCCCCATGGCATCCGGTGACGATAGGCGGACCTGGATCAGTCGGTGCCAAACCTGACAAGGAAAAGACGGCCAAGAATCCGGTGAGCCACTGGAGGGTATCGCGCAGAGGTATCGTAGGTGAGGATCGCCGGTCCGTGTCTGCCGATTGTCTCTAATGCAGATCGATAGACTTCGTATTTTCGCCGGATGCAAAATATCTAGCTGCAATCTCGGAAGATGGTTGTCTCAGGGTGATAGATACTGTCGCCGAACAGTACGTCGTTCTCCCACTATTCACAGCTGCTATGACTCAAACGCCAGTAGACTAGTGGACTGTTACGCGTCTTATTTTGGTGCATTCACATGTGTCGCTTGGTCACCAGATGGCCGTTTTATTTTGGTCGGTTGCGCATCTCTGCGCTGGCGTGATTTTCAGCTGATATCTCGCAGACTGGTGGCCAGGATGACCTTGTTACGATATTCTCTCCTTGGGAACAGAGGGTGATCGCTAGATGTCAGGGGCACTCTTCCTTCGTCACTGGAGTTGCCTTTGACGAAGTGCGCTGTGATGGCCGCACGTATCGCTTTGGAAGTATAGGCGAAGATAACAAATTCATATTGGTGCGTCAGCATCGCGACCACGTCTCGCCTGATGGTGTCTGACATTCCCCTAGTGGGATTTTTCTAGTGGTGCCTTACATCGACCAAAGCTACATGTGAGCCGGTCAGCACAGGTCTAGGCCACCGAAGCTGACGAACGCAATCTGTAGGCCGCACATCAGCAACGCATGTCTATGACGTCCACGATATCGCTAGCGCTTCGTCGAAGGGGCGAGTCCACCCTCTATTTGCCGCCTTCAGGGACACCAGGTGCCGAGTCTCCTCTACCACGATATCACCCAGCGCCATCGCGCAATGAGGTCGCGGTTGTACAGCCCGTCGTAGTGAGTATTTGCTGTATCACACCAAGCCGTGCCCTATGGACCGCTAACCCGCACTCTTGTCATTCTTCCCGTAGGTTAAGCACATTGGCAACGACATGCTTACTGACCTCACATTCCTTCCCAGAGGACTCCTGACTGCGACTAAGCTAGGGCATATCAAGTTCTGGATACGGCCTCTGGCCGTCCAGCCACGACATTTACGGACACAAAGCACGCTACGGCGTGGTTCTCAAACGGACTCGATCAGCTGATTAAAGACATTTCAGTACTGCTCTCCTGTTGTGACGTTCTGTATTCGATATCTATTCCCTACTAGACTACTGAGCGTATGGGCAGAGCGGCATACTGTATTGGACAGTGTGAGCGCGAATGCCAGATGTGTACCAGGCGCTGCGGTGGCGTCGAGCAAAGAGTCTCGACTATCTCCAGTTCTAAACCTTTTGCGAAAAGAGTTTAAACCGGTAGGTAAATCGATTTGTCAGCGCTCCTAGTTCAGCTTCAGCTTCGGTGGGTCCCTTCGACCGCCAATATGACGGTCGTGCAATAACGTGGCGCGCTTCACAATGTATTCACTGCACCACAGTTCAGAGATTGGGTATATCCAATCCGATTCTGAATCGTTTGCGAGAGGTTTTTTTGCCTGGACGTGTTTTGCGATCATGCGCTATCCTTTTTGTAAGGCTGTGATAGACTCTTTTCGCAAGCGGTTCAGTTGAACTGGAGGTCCGAGCTCCTCATGGTGGAGTTCGGGCGAGACGCCGCCCAAAAGCCGCTAGCAAAAGGACTCTAATATCAGGCCGCCCATCACATGCATCACACTGGCCCCGGAGTGTCTGAGGTCCCATGGGGCCGGAATATGTATGTGCTTCGCGATCGGCCAGGATCTAGAGATGCGCACGGCATCACAATTGGTCTAGTGACTGTCCCATGTGCTCCGTAAACCACCATCAATGCAGTATCACACCGAAGTCTTGCAACGCATGCTTCTTATCTCGTAGCCGCGCGGAATCTTTTGCACACTCAAAGTTGTCAGCGAATGTCGCACTCGTCATGGGAACATCAGTGCGCCAGGTGGTCTGGACCTTTGAAACTTAGGTGACACCAGGCGCGCCCATCAGACAGCATCGCACAGATGAATAGTATGTAGCTTATCGTACGTTTTCATTACGAGAACCCTTCACAGACAAAGAATCATACCTTGATACTACATTACTGATCACAGACGAATAGGAAGCGAGATCACTGGTCAGGCAGCGCACAACGATCTGCAGACAGGTTGAAATCTAGATGGAGTAGGGATGCAAGCCGTTGAGTGTCGGAAGCGATGTCGCAGAAAAGAGACACTCGAATGGAACGTACCGTTACCCCACCACTGAGGGAAATTGTGCGCGGTGCCGGACGCCCCGAAGACCGCGAAGTTGAGGATGAACGAGATGACCTGAGTGCCTCCGTCGAGCGCCGCGGCGACGATGTAGCTGTCGCAAGGGGTCAGTGTACTCCCCAAATACCCAGGGACGAGGAGTTGACACGTACTTGTACTTCGTGAACCACCGCGGGTAGCGTGTGCGCACCCACCATTGGGAGAAGATACCGATGACCATAGACGGGTTGACCGAAGTGTTGATGCCAACCGACAGGAAGCACGAGTACTGCAGGATGATCGGCGTGTTGAAGTTCTCGAACCCAGCCTTAGGCCAGATGTAGTACTGAGCGACATGACGTCAGCTAGGAGCCCCGCGTCATATCACATTCTTGTACTTACGGCGATGATGAACGGTAGAGGCAAGAACACGCCAATGGCTAGGCAGATGGGCACCATGTGATAGACCCCATTGATGCCGAACATCTGAGGAGCGAGACCGCCCCACGAGATACCGTTGGCTATTGAATTGGTCAGTAACGTCTAACACTCGGGAAGATCTGACGCACTGTTGAATGACTGAGCGTTCTGCCCGGACCAGAGACGGGTGCCGGAGACGGAGAGGAGGTCGGCGCGGTTGTTGTCGATGATCGTTTGCATCATGACATCTAAGGGCGAAGTTTAGTAAGACTGAACTTGACAATAGGCCACGAGGAAATACGTACAGTTGAGGATCGCGCCGACGACAGTACCGATGATCTGCATAGCGAACGTGACACGGGGTGCGAGCTTGACATACTGACCGAGCTTCAAGTCCTTCAACATCAAGATGCACTGGCCCTGTGGGTGCTGCCCGTACAAGGCACCATACATGTTCGCAACAGGGTTCCCGGGGACGAGGTAAGCGACAATCATCTGGTAGAAACCGTTCGCAGATGTGCTGAACTCGTTAAATCCGATGGTAGCCGCGAGGGTAGCGAAGAGCATCGACATGATCAACGAAATGATCAGGACGACCGTCACAGCCCACCAAGGCAAGCCGGAGTGAGCAGAGTAGTTGGTCGCCTGGGCGATGGCGTACGCGGCTACAAGGATGAGGAGGAACCACCAACGGGGGACTGGCTTGTAGACCTTCATCTTCTCGTAGTGAGGATCGTGAACGACAAGCGGCTCCTTGTTCCACGGGTTGAACGTCTTCAAGAACGGCTTGATGTCTTGCCAGTGCCAGAAGAAGACGTGCGTGAATGTAGCGCCGAGCGAGAGGTTGGAGGTCATGTAGTAGAGAGCGTTGGTCGCAGAGAAGAAAGCGGGCTGCGATCGTTTTTCGTGAGTCACCAATCGACATACGACGAACGGCGAGAACTCACGCCAAGCTCAGCGTACTTCTCCGCATCGAACTTGCCATTCGTCAAGAGCGCCGTCTGGTTGTATTGAGACCCATCTGCGGCCTTGAAAAGCGGATGAGCACGATCGTGAAAAAGGCATATAAGGCACTCACGAAAATGGCCTGACTCATGAATGGGAAGTCCTTAGCCCTCCAGAGATTGCCGTAGTAAACACCAGCCATCAAGATGTATGTGAGGAAGATACCGATGTCCTGATTGATCTGGAGCCAGAGGGGGTTAAACAAACAGTCGCTACCGATCAGGTTCCAGTCGAAACACCACGACAACAGGCCCATGCCCTCGTTGTTACTAGCGCCACCGAAAATGTTGCGGAAGACGGTGCTATGGTTGTTGGCCAGACAGAAAATCGAGATGCCCGTAAGTAGCGGGAAGATCCCTGTGATGCAGCCATCACGGGCATCGTAAGGAACAAGAATCGGATATATCGTCAAGGCGATGCACTCACATTGCGGGATGATCTCCCAGAAGAACATGACCACGAAGACCGTCCAAAAGAGACGTACGCGCTTGGACGTCATCTGGTTATCGTAATGCAGTGCCTGGAAGAGGTTGGCAGTAGAGACTACGACGCGGTGAGCAGGGCACTCTGACGATTACTTCCGGCGGACGTACTCGTGGAAGGCCAGAAAGCCTTAGTAGGCTTCACCAGCATGTCGTGAAGTAAACCGGCGTATCCATAGCCGAGTAGCTGGGAGCCAATCAGAGTGAATATGGCCAGACCACCATTCTGGAAACGTATTCCATCAGTGGCAGCTCCCTCATCACGAGCGTATGACATTTTACCAGCTTCCTGTTGTAGTACACTAGAAACTGACGTCAGGTCCACGTGCATCATCATATCGAAAGAGTACTGACAGTCCTGCACCGATATGACTTGAATGGCAGTAGCGGAGACAGCGGCCGAAGACGACATGATAATAATAGCGACGTGTTCCTTGACTGAAAGCTGTGAGGCGCAATACGGCGAAAGCTTGTAATTGGCTCACTGTTGAACGGGCCCGGGTTGATCCAACGGAAAAGGCCACGGGACGGCAGAAGCGTTGCCATCGCAGTGCCGAACCAGTAAGACAAGATCAAAAGGAACAACTGCGACACAAGGATTGTCTGGGGCTTGAAGTAGTATATTTGGGCCAGAACACTGTCGGAGACGTCAACATCAGGTCACTCCCGGCGATAGAAGATATTTGCTCACGCGCCGAAGGCCGAGAAGCCGACACCGAGGAATGCAGTCCGGAACGTGACAGACTTAAGCTCAGGATCATCGTGGGTGGTGAGGACCTACCAGCGAAGAGTGTGAGAGCAACATTTGCGAGGGTGATGTAGAACACGAACCTTAATGGCGACCTCATACGCCTCCTGCACGAGGTACTCCTCCGGTTCGGCCTCGTCCCTTTGGAGTCGTTCCTCGAACTCCTCGACCTCCTTGGCCATGATGGCGTCGTCAGAGACATCGGCGCCATCAAGACCTTTCTTCTCGAGGGAAGCGTCGGAAGCCGAGTGCTTGTCGTCCAAGGTTGGCACAACGCTTGGTACTTCGGCCATAGTGGAAACGACTGGGGGAAGAACCTCGAAGTCCCCGTGAGAAGGCCTTGCGGAATATATAGCACTCCAGTAACATAACGTGAGAACAGACGCTGTGCAGTGGTGCCGCGATGCACGAGACTGTCCGCAAGGGAGGAACTGCCGGAATCGTTATCATGCAGTCTCAGGCACACGAGCAATGCCGGGTGGTGATGATAAGTAACGGGCTGTGCGGAACAAGAGTGGAGGACTCGCCCGGTTATTCCACGCCGTCAGAGCTCGCCTGGCGGAAATCTTACCGGAGATCTCTGCGCGACTCCGCGACATCTTGCCATTCAGTCGGGTGACCTGATGGACTCCCAGACGAGTCGAGCCGAGGCATTGAGCCACATAACATACATGATACTGGTCGTGAACAAACGTGAGCTAAAGAAATATGCGTGAGCAACCTTGGAACATGGAGAAGGGGTTGCCACGCAAACACCAGCACAGAGAACTGTGAGACGCGCCGGGCTAGAAATCGTGCTTCTGTTGCTGCCCGATCTCGAGCGCTCTAATAATAGCATTGCTGTTATCTTACAAGCACGCCACATACTCCAAGTTCGGGCGAATGTTGAACAATGCAGTTTTCCAGATCCGGCATGCGGAGACGACATGGAAAGCGATGCGGTGCGTGCGTGAGGGGAAGTCCTGATAGCGGCCATCATCAGCCACCATCAAACCGTCGTATTAGTATGCTCAGAGGAACGGAGCAGGAGGGACGGCGCAGAAGGAACGGAACGCACTGGCGATCTGTAGCACACTGACAATTCCATGCTCGTCCGCCCTGAGCGCTTGAATGTATGATGCGCCTCACAGACGCAGCCAAGTGTATTTCCTGCGCAAGTGAACGGGGATGATATAAATTCAAGACCTGGGACGAGACGGTTGCTGGGAAGGATGCGAATTACGAATTATCCCCGGCGTACTTACTGGACATCATGCAAATTCCCCATTTGACACGCTCATCTCACGAACACCGGACCCCGGACACGTCCTTGGATTTTGACTGCGGCGCTGCGTGATGATTACTGTCGCCTGAGTCTGAGTCTAAGAGACGAACTACATACGACAGGGTATCCGAGACACACCGGCCGTCCTTCTCCTACTCAGGACTTCTTCTCACTTCTCACACTGCCTATAATCATGGCACGCGGCTTGCCAAGACCTTCTTAGCTCCTTACCTACAGGGGAACATCCAGAGTCTGCCATCGTTCGTTAAGCACATCACAGCACTTTAGGCGTAAATCTCAACATTGTCGGTAACTAACTTACATGAGGGCGTCGGGAAACCATCATGATATCGGAAACTCTTATTGCTAGCTAGCTACGCAAGTTGGTGAAATCTCCTCAACTGTACCCTCGTTTTCGACGCGACCCTGAGTACGGTCGTATACTCTCCTAGCGATCGCACGCGGGTTCCAGCAATGCGCCCATCCTTTTTTCCCGTGTTCATGTTCTCCCCGCTGTCACTGAGACTTATCTGACATGGTGTAGATCCGAGGGCGTCGCATGTGCACAATGGGGACCAAATCGCCTTTGCCCATGCTGCCGCTCCTGGCACAGAAGTAGTGCCTGAGGATGGTGCCTTCTGTATTTTTAGCTTGCAAGGGGGACCGACAGCGAATGAGATTGCCAATCCTCGTGAATTGACATCCGGCGTAGAATTCGTTCTCCCAGTTGTTTATCGACATGGGGTTGGCTTTTTCTTGCAGCAGGCTGAGATACGCCCCCCGCAGCGACGATACCAGCCCTTCGGCATGCCATTCGCCGTGGGGTCAGACGCCGACAGCTCTCCACGGACACACACGGACACGATGCTCTGTTTGCCTCACGAAAGGAGCAAACCCCTGGGCGCAGTCCGTGCCTATGAAATAGCTGATCGCCCTGAACATGCACCTCTATGCAGAACATAAAGACCGACGACTAGGCCCTGATTGCCTTCCCAATGACGTGCCACCTCCATGTTTGGCGAGCGCTTCCTTTTACGAAGTACGACCTCTCGACAAGAAAGCTGGCGGATGCTTTGGCTGTCTTCGGACACGGAAAGTTCCCCAAGCCGAACAAAGCTAGACACGCTCGCCATGGCGCAGGCAGGCTACTCAACATCGGCTCGCATTGTCGACATGGACATCAGCTAAGCTAGAGAAGCGTTTCATCATGCACCATCCATCAACCATCGAGGTCGAACTGCATCATCATGCGCGTCAACGACCCGACAGATAGGCGGTCGCGTTGTGGTTGAGGATGTGATCGTTCCGAGCAAGACACGCTCTGTGACAGAATAAATTGTACAAGTAGGGTTGATACGTGAACGTAGGCGGTGTATACTGGGTATGCATGTCGGAAGGAGGGTAACAATACTAGGAAGGTGATCCCCAGGAGGGCGGTGAGAAATAGATAGGCGTAGAAACCACGAAAGGCGCAGAGTAAGAGTAGTGGAGACATGTGATAGTGAGTCTATCAGTGAACAGTTACAATGCTGCAGCAATGAGCAGCCCTACATGATTGAATAGCGAGACATACTGTGCGATTGCTGCTCGGAGGAAGCGCAATCGACCGTTGAGAATAGGTACAGAGCCACCAAGACAAACAAATAAGTGTCAGCCCCATAGAGACGCACAGCGTTGGGCCGATCACTTACCGACAATATCGGAAGGTTACGACGTTCCATCTAAACAGCAGTAGCGAGGTCCATGGTTCCGAACACACGAGACTGAATATCGAGATAGGCGGGCCAAGCCCATGCTAGCATGATGGACTATGGCAGCCAGATCTTGATTGTCTGGTCGACGCTTCCGGAGGCCACGACGTTGACGAACTTCTCGACCTCCTGATGCCCATCCCCCGCTCCATTTGTCTTCGCTGCCTCGCCCCCGCTCTGCGAAGGTGCTTGACGACCCCAAGCGAGACAGGTCACGAAATGGCCATGTGCCTGCACGGTCTTTACGCATCGGCCGGTAGCGAGCTCCCAGACGCGTATCGTGTAATCGTCGGAGGCGGACAGGAGGAATTTCCCTGTTGGGTGGAAGATGAGCGCACGGACCCAATTGTCGTGTCCAGCCTGTCAATGAGTCCCAGTCACTAGACGCGCACAGTCGAGAGGAGAGCACACGCGGCGTACGAGGTTTCTCAGCATCTGTCCACTCTGAGTATCCCATAGCTTGATAGTCTTATCCCGGGAGCCCGTGACAAGGTACGCGCCCGCACGCTTCGAGCGCTCCGTATTCTGCAGCAATGGCTGAACACAGTGTAGGCAAGAGCGTCCAAAAATAACGTACAGGAATTCCCGCTAGCTCTCGGATCGCAGCGTAAGCAGCTAGAGGTGCGAAGGCAACAACCTCCACCGTGTGTTCGTGGCCACGAAGCTCAACCTTTGTCTCCCCTGTTTGGGGATCAATGATACGTGCGGTCTGCCATATCAAGGTAAGCCACGGTCTGAATAAATGTACGATCTTGGTTTTGCTCTTCACCCACCTGATCGTTGGAGCAGCTTGCAAGTAGCCGCCCATCGTCCGAGGGCTCAACCCAGCGGACCCAATCTGAGTGGCCCGTTATTGTCCGAACAAGATGGCTGCATAGACGGGGCAGTTCAACCATTCCTGGCTTCCCAACAGAGACAGAGAAGCAGTAACTCACGTGGACGCGACATCCCAGATGCGGATTGTCCGGTCTCTACTCGCACTGACAATCTGCTGATCGCCGGGCATGAATCGCACGCAGGAAATGCTGTGGTCATGTCCAGAGAACGTCTTAGTATTCTTCCACTCATTTTGCACGTCCCAAATTTTGATGAATAGATCGGACGAGCATGTTACTTCGCAGGCCGTCAGTATCCTCCGCAAGGCGCAGTCCCAGTACATAGTCATGAGCATATGCGCACCTAAGAGATTCCCCCGACTATCGAAAGAGACATCCGTCACGGAGCGCGTATGACCCTTCAGCGTACGCTCAAACTCTCCCGTCTCCCAGTCCCATATCTTCACGGTCGCGTCTTCGCTTGCAGAAGCAAGAAGGTTGAATGTCGGATGGAACGCGACTTTGGTCACTTGATTACGGTGGCCCGTCAAAACATATGCGGCCGGTGCCCTAGGCACCCAGTCGGTCTGGAGGGAAGCGCGTTTGGCTGGTGATAGTGACAGTTCTTCTTGGAGCGCGGCGTTGCGGTTCTCTAAGTCCATAATCTGACCACGTACGAGGATGCACGTGGAGGAATTTTGCATAAGATCAGCATGGTCGGATAAGCATGTCTGCGTACCTTCTTCTGCAATCGTATCACGCTCGTCCACTTCTTCTCCAACAGCCCGACATACTTCCCTTTCGGGTCAGGTGTATACTCCAGGCCAGTATCGGCCTTGAGCGCGTTGAAAGCACCCGTGAAGTTATTGGCATGCAGATATTCGAGGATTGACTTCTGACTTTATCGTGTGCTGCTCATGAAGACATGCTAGCGCTGTAGAGATCGGTTCATCACGTACAGTTCCTCCTTCTGCCGCTCCGAGAGCATAGACATCGTGGGCCGTCGAATGCGCAGTCAAGCCAGTAAACGTTTCACAGAAACTCAGGAAGCAAAGATAAGGAAGCGCAGGACAGAATGAGCGTGAAGGAGGCGTAACGTAGGAGGCAGTTGCAGTCGCGCCGGTCACTCTTCCGCTCATGAACGGCATGCCATTGTGCGCTTCCCGATTTGGTAACCGTCATAGATCAACATATCAACACCACCCTAGGCCTCGAAGCTCTTCGCGCCTCAGGGGCCTTCGACATGCTCAAGAACACGGGTTCGCTTTGTATGTATTACAATATGATGCGAGATACATGGTATGAGATGGCAATGTCAAAATCTGCTACAGCTTGCGAGGGTACCGAGGTCCGAAGCTAGTCATCCTCCCATTCTTCGTCATCCGAATCAAACAGTCCCGATGGTTGCAGAGAATTCACTCGCGTCTGCCTTGACCCGGGTAACACAGGTTGTATGAGATCGTTGGGATCGACGTCGCCGTCGTCAGTCCGCGTCGAATGCGCGTTTGGTAGTACGGAGGCCGCCGCAAGCAGGTCCTCCCTGACGAATCTAATTCGGAACGCTCGTTGTTCGTCGATCGCGGTACCAACAGCCATGCTTTCCCATATGTACCCAAGCAGCCTGTTCGATGGAGGCCTTTGTCAGCACAAGATATGCACTCGAGTTCGATCTTGCACCCACCTGCTTTCCCTTCCAGCACACCATTCCTTCGGATCGATCTCTTCGTAGATGACTTGGTCATCCTCGCCTCTACGGAGCGCGGTGTCCTTGACAGAGAGTGCTTTGGCAATCAACAGGATCGAATCGTGCTGCCCAGGAGGAACCTTCATTAGGTGCCGATAGAGAACGCCTGCATCGATAATGTACACCGGGGCGGCCTCGGTGCGGTGCGGGCCTGGAGACCGAGGACGGAGGTCACGTTCATTCGCCCTCCATCTCCCCGGAGATCGCGAACGCTCCCTGGACCATTTGCTACGGGAGTCGCGATGTCCTGGCTGGACATCATTCCGGCCATTCCGACTCGAGCCGCTCGAGTTGTACAGTAGATGCTTGATCCCACTAGCCCATCTTGACGTATCAACTCCAAGACTACTGAGGACACGCTTCGTCATCTTCTCGTCGTGAACTAGGAGCAGCTTCGGTGACCAGCCTTCTTCCCCTTGCTGTGGAGCGAACATTGTCTGTAGCAGATTAGAAACCTCGGCTCGAGGCATGACTTGGGTGATGTCTGGGAGGTTCTATTGAACGGCTCAGTATTCCGGCATTGTTACTCACGGCAGTTGTATTTACCAGTCGTGTTCTCCCAGGATTTGCGAGATAGCGCTCCTCCTCAACGGTCAAGTGGGTGGTTGACACCGCCTTCAAATCATCATCATCGGAGGGCGGGTCGAACTCTGTCCACCCCACGTCGAGGACTCGAGGGTCAGCCATCCGTACGTCCAACGCGCGCTTGTCCCCGCCCCATAAGTTGAATGCGAAGGAGTAGACCTGAACATCGCCGAACCAGGGGGGCCAGCTGACAGCGAAGTGCTCGGGATGTGCGATGGACTTCTGTAGAAGGCGGTATAGCACCCTTTGGGATAAGGAGAAGTCAGACTGCAAGTCACTTCCGGGTTTCCGCACATACCGCTGATGTTCGAAGGAGGATCTATCCTCCCCACTTTGACTCTTGCCATCCCCGCCTGCGGTGAATTCCGTGTTCGCCCTACTCCGATCGCGAGGGGCCTCGTTCTTGTTTTTCCTGTTGCTTACGAGGGACGATAGCTTCTCCACCAGCTCCTTTCTCTCGCCGAACTGGATGGGTGAAAGAGACTCGAACTCGCCTGCGTCCCACGGGGGCTGTCGCGGATACGGACCGAGGCGAAGGTCAAAGTACCGATCGACTGGGAGCAGCAAGGACGATGCGCCGTTAGGCCGGATTCCTAGAACATGAACGTATGAGGAGGCGCAGGTCCTTCATCATACGATGTATGCCTTACCAAGCACAAGATCGCCGTCGTCTCGGAACATGCGCATGAGGCGTTCAATCAGGCCATCCCTGCTAGTGTCATCCCTGCGCGTAAGGTGTAAAGCTCAAAGCGTCCATCCTGCGCCTGACACCAGTGCATCGCAACTCACTTGAACCATTGCAAGTGCGCTCTGAAGCCACCAATCTGGTAGTACTTCACCGGGAGCATGTGTACTAATGAGAGAGAGGTTGCTGCATGAGCGGACCCTGCGGTAGTCGAAGATGGAGTGGAAGAGAAGCACGGACACGCGCTGCTTGCCTGTCGCGAACGTTAATACTGATATGTGTACCCACGGCCCTGCTGCCAACCTAAGCACGCTGTACGATCCGCGTCGACGCGTCGCGGTCACGTACACGGCCATTTGACGATATCCCTGCAGACGCCGCGATCGAAGTGTCGCAAGTCGCCGTTCGATCGATCAAGACGCATGAATAAGTTGATCTACCCCTTCCCACGCCGGCCCCGCGACTTCAAGAGACCAATCGTGGCAGAAGCAGAATGCAGAGACACGGACGAGGCGCAGAGGCGAAGTACACAGAAGACGTCGGCATTGATTGCGAAACGAAGCAAGAACTAAAAGTGCGTATGTACGGGACACAAATACATGCGAACACATTCGATAGTCCACGTCCGTTCTGGATGATCGTCCCGTGTGTGGTGGTGGTACCTGCTGCAGTCGGTGCAATGCAAATAGCGTAACGTACTACGAAGAACAATTCGAACAGGAGCAGAAGACGCGATCGAAAGTAGAAGAACATAGGGGGCAAGATAGAGAGATAACAGCAAGAGAAGACACATGGAGGGATTGCCAGACTTGTAGCTCGGGGTTGGACACCAAATGGGCCTCTGGAACCAAAGGTTGCCAAGTCAAGAAGGCGAGCCGATGGTGGTTCTGGGGTTGAGAATTTAGCATAAGCGCGTGCATACCGTATGAAAGCTAGGCAGCGCGAGGGCATGGGGGTCATTATGGTAACAGTAAACGAACGACGAGCGCTGCTGGCGGGGACTTTATAGTAATACAGAGAGGGTGAGTTTGGGGAAGACGAGAATTCAGAAAACAAGGAGGGTAGCAGCAAATGGAAAACAGGAACATTAGTGCACATATGTACCGTTTCCGTCCGTCCACGGGAATCGACGGTTCGTCTGGAAGCTCTATTCAAGATGAGGGGTACAGTGTAGTCTCGTTCTTGTTGTCATGCGTGTCTTGGGCGGGGCACATCCTTTAGAACCCTTGCATACCGCCGAGGTTCATGAAATTCTGTGCGCTGACAGGCATTGGGCCTGGGCTCGGGTTTCGCATGACGCTCTGCATCGCCTGTGGATTTACGAAAGGTTGGCCCATATTCATCTGCATCTGCAGCATCGGGTTCATCTGCATGCCCATGCCCATTCCCATGTTCATGTTCATTTGCGGCAGACCCATTTGCTGGGCGGCATAGGCGAGGGCTGTGGGGTTGGCCATGGCGAAAGGATGTTGGCCAGTGGACGTTGGAGAGACACCACCCTGACCTTGATTTCCCGATGTTTGCACGCCTATGGGAGTTTGACTAGGGGATGACGCGCCCTGAGTGAGCGCTTGCGCCTGTGCCTTTTGCATTGCTTGCAGCTAGCCAGATGTAAGCTTGTGCGCCGTCATATATACGGGTAAGTATACTGACCTCGTAGAAGGCGAAGTCCTGCAGCAAAGACGTCCTTGCGGGATGCGTGTGGAAGATGCGCAGCATCTCTTGACCAGCATCAGGAAGCAGCTCCTGCGTATCACGGGAGTTCGTGACAGGCTTGCGTTCTTGCGTGTTACTACAACGCCATCAATGTCAAGCGTGGATGCGATGGAAGATCAACGTACTTGAGGCGGATGTGACGCAGACTGGCATTAGGAATGTCCCGAACGAAAATCCATCGCACCTTGAAGACACCCTTCCATTTGTCAGACGCCCACACTGTGCTGCTCCGCGTGTAGTCAACCTGAAACCATGCAACCTCAGTGATACCATTCATCGATCATGACGCCGTTCAAACGCACAGGAGTCAACATCTCCGCCATGCCGCAGAAGTGACCACTACGTAAATAGCACTGCCGTCAGAAAAGCTCCATGTATGCGACGAAGCGGACAAACCTTGCGTTGACGCTGAAGAACAGGTAGATAGGGCCCCGTCCCGCGGTCTCCTTGAACGCCTTGTCTAGGCGCTTGTTACCGGGATCCGTCGAGCTCCAGATTTCATACTTGAGCGACTTGTGAACGTCATCCTCCGTGTACGATTTGATAACGAAGAACCGCGCCTATGCCAAAACTCAATCGGAGCCAATCGCGACATGTGTCAGAGGATTACTCACGAACGCGGGTCTCGTGTCGAAGTCGACAGGGTTGTAACCTTTCGTCGCGATGAGCGTGGGGACGTCGATGGGGGTGCCGACGAAGCCATCGATTCCCCCACTCTGGTTTCCTTGACCCTGGTTAGCACCCTGGCCCTGGCCCTGACTGGCCACATTGCCAGCGGAGCTCGACACGCCCAAGCGCGGCGCCTGTCCTTGATTCAAGAATTGCGCCGGAATGGACGGCACGCTGGGAACGTTTTGTCCGGTTCCATCCATCTTGCCTTGCTGGTAGAGGGACGCAAGGCCGGGGTTTGACGTCCGGGGGACGAGGAGACGCTCCTTCTGCTCCCATGGAGTGCCCGACGCGGTGAATGCGCGATCTCGCTGGTGCGGGTGCTGTCCTTGCTGCTGCTCAGACTGCTGACCGCCCTGACCAGGGTGGCCGATGGGAGGAACGAATGCGGACGCGCTTTGCACCGCCTGGCCATCACGGCCGTTGAGATCGGTGACGAGCTGAAGCTTCCTCGAACCGCCTCCGTTCCCACTACGCAGCCCTGGAGCCTGGACAGGAGGAGGGTGGGAGGGATTGAATCGCGGGGGATGAACGGACTGGCCTTGCTGTACATTGGCGTACTGCTGGTTGATCTCGAGCGCAGAGAGGGCACGCGATACGTCGTCGATGCCTGCATTGTTCCCAGCCGTGTTGTTGTAGGATCCGCCGTTGCCGCCCATCTGTGCACGCCATTCGCCTCCTGGGGTGCTCCAGGGAGAGGACCGGCCAATCGGACTGCCGGGGTACTGCCCCCCCTGCTGATTCTGCAGCGCGAAATACGATTCGTCATCCACATGGGCCTCGTCTTCGTACTCTTCATCAGCATTCGTTGGGCTCGGGCTTTGTGCGCCCGAGTAGCCCTGAGGTCCCTTCGCGCCGACCTGGAGAGTACCTGCACGCTTGAGGCCGGACGCTAGCCGTCTAACCCCTGGTGTAGTTGTGGGATAATTTAGACTCTGGTGTCTGCGCACGCCACCAGCGCCTGCCGTTCCAGGCGGAGGCGAAGGGCCGTGAGGAAGCCCAGAGAAATGAGGCGATAGAGGAGAGACGGAAGCCGAGTCGCCATGGCCATGATCGGAAACGGACATGCCGGGGTGCTGCGATAATTTTGAGCAACAGCCGTGTGCACCAGCAAAGGACATCGTACCTCGTCATCGTTATGGAAACCCCGCATGTCGCGCTCCCACTCTTCTTCGTCGCCTTCGTGCCCAGCGATGGCGGATAGACTGTTCAAGGTACGAGGGGTGTGCGAGCCTGGCTGCCTAGCCCCTGATCCACCAAATGCTGTAAGTGCAGTCAGTACATGTATGCTCTTCGGACGCCAATCGCATTCGATATGGAACACGAAGGCGCAAAGGTTAAACGTGTGATACATACTGCGATGGTATCTGGTCGGCAATGACGCCTGCCTGTGGAGAGAAGACTTCTCGCCTACAGCACCGATGCCGCCAACCCAGTCCTGGTCTACAGGCTCGTCATCGTTCCAAAACTGCTCTGTCTGTGGGTCGTCGAGTTCACCAAGGGCGATTTTGGAAGTCGGGCGGGCGGTGCGCGATGAGGCTGAGATAGTGTGATGTCTGCGGACGCCGCCCGCATTTGCGTTGCTTGCAGCGCCTGGGGGCGGAGAGATGGGGTTGCCGGACTGAGAGGACATGAGCGGTAAGGAGAGAGAGAGAAGGAAGAAGAGCAAGAGTCGCAGAGAGAAGGAAAGATGGAAATCTGGAGTCGATGCTAACGCCTCCAGCATCTGCTCCTCCACGCCCCTTCCGGCCTCTCGGCCTTTTCCGCCACCCTCGGTGATCCCCACACCGACTCAACACGTGCCATCCACTGTTTCCTACCGGCGCCTCCGCGTTCTCGCCGGCTCGAGAGTCCCTCAGGCCGTCCCGTATGTCGTCTTCCGCCCATTCATGTATACACAGCTCACAGACATCCCGTCAAGACCAGAGTGCCATGACAACGCATCCTTCTCGTTGTCCGTGCATCTGAGTCCAGCATTGCCATGAGACTCGTCCCTCCTATCACTCCCGCAGAGTTCTTCCATCATCTCCAGCGATGCATTCCACCCGGCGGCTGGAGGTCCAGAATAGGTTAGGAGATGCCTAACTAGCAACGAGCATTTCTCATCGAATGACACAGCCGTGGCCAACTCTGGTGGTCCTGATTCAACCGCGTTGCTCTTCCTTCTGAGTGCAACCATTCGAAAACAATTGGGTATGTTGTTCACCGTTCGCGCGTCTATTCTTCTAACAGGATTCTCCAGGGCTGGACGAGAACGATACTCCATCTTCAGAATCTCCAACCTCGTCCCGCTTTCCCTTACACGTCCTCTCCATCCATGTGAACCATGGGTTACAGGCCGCTGCCAGTGCAATGGAAGAGACCGCCGTGAGGATGAGCGAACGCCTCGGTGCTCCTTCCATTGTCGAGGCAATTCCTTGGGGCACGCCGCCTTTTCCTGAGAAGCCCGCAGAGGGAGTTGCGAACCGCGAGAGACTAATCCGCGAGGCCAGATACCACAGGCTGTTTGCAGCTATGGATGCAGCGAGGACGAATGTTATAGCTTTTGGACACCACGCGGATGACCAAGTCGAGACTGCCATTATGCGTATGTCTCAAGGCAGCAGCAATCGCGGGCTGGCTGGCATGCGTCCGGTCCGCCGGTGGGGCATGGGCCATAAAGACATCGAGTACTCCCAGTTCGGCGCCGAGGGCATGCGGAGTTGGGTTGTCCGACCGTTCTTACAAATTCCGAAAGTGAGTTGGTGACGATTATTTCTCCCCCTACAAACAGAATTGTCATGAGATTTTCATGATACAGGGAAGGCTCTTGGCTACCTGTGAGGCGAATAACCTCGACTATGTGAACGATCCTACCAACTTTCAGCCAGGAATCACTATTCGCAACTCTGTGCGTCACGCATTATCAACTGACGTTAGTGCCGAAAACGCAAATGTATCGCTACGCGACCTTCCCAGCGAACAGCTGTCAACGAGTCAAAGCGGATCGTCGCAAGCAGAGCCGATGGACGTCGCGCCTTACGTCGCAAGGCTTCGTGCAATGGCCCCCGACTCGCCTCGCCACGAACAACTCAGAGACGCGGTCAGGCGCCTTGCCATCCGTCTCGAAGAAGTCGAGACTCAGGGTACGCTGCCCTCTCCTCGCGTACCTACCTATCTTCTCACCCACGTCTCAACCTCCTACCAGTCACGAACATCCTCGCGCAAGCCCGCCTCCCTTCCGCACCCTCCACGCTACTTCTTACCGTCCCTGGTCTAGCCCTCGCCACGACGCTCGAAGTCCGCACCTCGCTGATCCGCCGCTGCCTCCGCTATGTATCGTACGGTCCCTGGGGATCCACCTGGGCCGAGGCTAGCGGCGACCGCGATACCCTTCAGCGCATCGCAGAGCAGCTATGGCCTGCCACTTCCCCTCTACCTTCCCCTGAAAGCGGGAGCGAGTCTGGCGAGAACGCTCCTGCTCCGAAACACGAGCGACGACAATTCACCGCAGGGTCGGGCGTGACGGCAATCCCTGTCACAATTCTTCCCTGGAAGAAAGACACGGTCCGCTTCCGCCCTGTGGAGAAGGAGAAGGAGATCGAAGGCTGGATCTTCGCGCGCGAGGCGCACTACCAGCGGCAGGGCGACGAGCCGCAGAGCAGGGGCATCGTGGACGTCACGGAAGAGATCGTGCAGGCCGGGCGGAGCGGGAAGACGACGTGCTCAGTGCTGTACGACAACCGTTTCAAGCTGACATTCGCGCTGCAGAAGGTGGCCAAGCCGGTGGAGGAGGAGATCGTCATGAGGAGAGCAAGGATCCTGATCGAGCCTGATACGAAGTGGGCGCTGCCGATGGTCACTTTGGTCGGGAAGCGGACTACTCAGAGGTGTATTGGCAAATATCTGTGGCATCTGGATGGGTGGCAGGGGACGTGCAAACGGCCTGTCAGGTTCCAGAGTTGGATCACGATGAACTTCGTGCGATCGTTAGATGCAATCTAGAGCTTCTCTGGTTTTTGCTCTTCTGATCCTGCCCGACTTGCACAATCTTAGAGAATACGTCAAGGGGCTCGATATATATGGAGGTGAGCGAATACCGCCGATCAAAGACAATCAGTACTATCTATCCCCCTAGTCGGTAAACTTGATACTGTAGCTCTGCATCTGTAGGACAGTCAATTACAACAGCGACTGCACAATGCGGACCAACACTTACGGTGATTTCTCCTCCCTTATAACTACCACGCTTCTTTTTGTTCTTTTCCTTCCGGAACCCAGCACCGCGGGTGACCATCAAATCTCGAGAAGCACGAGCTCCATAGTCAGATTCGGCAGCACCCTACAGATGGGAACGCCGTCAGCAGGACATACTCGGATGATCAGACTAGACAGCCTTACCCTCGCCTCGAAACGGTTGTCCTTCAAGCGCTCGTCGGCGAACTTGACCTGGTCGACCTTTATCCTCTGGAAAGGAGTATTGCTCTTCCTCGACTTCTTACCGTTACCGTCGCCGTTGTTTTTGCCACTACCGGTCGACTTCGGCGTCATACTCCCGCTCTGGGACGTTGAGTTAGAGACGACGGCTGTCGCGACAGATGTGCCGTCCTCGTCCGTTCTCCGCTTCTTTGTGACAGAGACCTCCTCCTTGACATGCTTCTTTGACGGAGCCTTGTTTGGCTCGTCAGACGAAGACTCTGAGTCAGAGGTAGAGCTAGAGTCTGAGTCCGAGTCCGAGTCTGAGTCTGAAGAGGAGTCGGAGTCGGAGGAATCAGAAGAGTCGGACTCCTTCGCCTTCTTTTCAGCTTTGGCTTTTGGTTTTGCCTCCTTCTCAGTCTCTTCACCGCTGCTGTCGCTGTCGCTGTCATTCGACGAAGAGTCGGAGTCGGGCTCGCCCGTGGACAGTGTTTTGCTTGACGTCACAGGTGAAGGAGACTTCCCTTTAGCCGCTGTTGACGATGAGGCCTTTGCAGGAGCGGTCTTCGGTGGAGGCTTGACAATAGTAGTTTTCGGGGGTGCTGCCGTACATTCAGGAATCGCGCGTATATGAGCGGAGCGGATAGACGACCTACTTGATTTGGCCTTCGCATGCGAACTTGAATTTGACGAGGACGACGAGGAAGAAGAGGCTGAGCCCATGAGATTATCCCTGTTAGGTCTTAGAGGAGATTCGAGACGTTGAGTCTGTGCTCACATGATTCTGAATCTGAGTCGGAGGAGTCAGATGAGTCAGAGCTCGAGCTAGACTCTTCTGAGGAAGCTACACAGGCAAGGTTCAACGCAAGTTTCCAGACGCATGGCAAGATGATACCGTACAGTCCGAATCATCCGAGTCTGAATCCGAGCTTTCCCTTATGTGCAAAATGCGTAAAAGATCCCAACGCAAATCTGCATGGTGAGTACTCACGAAGAGACCTCGCCCGCCGCTTTCTCCTTCAACTCTTTCCACTCCTTGATGATCCGCTCTAATGATGGACCCTCGGGGTTCACTCCATCTTTAAGCACAACAACATCCTTGACAGCCTTTTTCAACGCATAAGCGGCTTTATTGTGCTCTTGTTTCACCAGGAACGTATAAATATAGGTATAAGTAGCTACGGATAAATGTCTCAGTACACTCGAATGTCCGCTGAGATGGAGCATACGTACAGGCGAGGTTTCCATCTCCCTGCTGAACTGCCATGTCGGATAGCCCCGGGATACTAGATAGCCTTAGATCTAGCGACAGAGCAGAAAGGAGGCAGAACTCTAGGAGGAACGGCTGGGAAGCTGCAGTCCGAGCACGAAGAGCCAATGAGGAGAAGAGGAGCCGAAATTTCTGCAGCCACGGGGGGCAAACAGGATCAAACCGCCGGCATGGTCATCACAGCGCTTCTGTGACGCTCGGAGGGGCGGGTGAAGAGCCCGCGCAGACTCGAATACCGAGCATACTAACACCCGACAACGATGTCCGAGTCCATCAAAGGTCCCGCTCCTCCATCCACCAAGCTCGACGGCTCACCGCTGCGCATCGCGATCGTTCACTCGCGATGGAATGAGACCGTCATCGACGCCCTCGTCGCGGGCACCATCGCTAAGCTCAAGGCGACCGGAGTGAAGGACAGTAACATCCTCGTGCAGTCCGTTCCAGGGAGCTTCGAGTTGCCGCTGGCTTGTCAGAAGTACGTAGCATGGATGCGCTATGTTGAGGAGCTAACCCACCCTCTGTAGGGTCATCTCTGGTTCTCATGTCCAGGCCGGTGCGACGGCGACCGACCTTCTTGGAGGATTGACCTCGTTCACCTCCCCCAACCCCACCTCACGGTCCGGCACGCCTGCCCCCGTGTCCGCTTCAATGCCGCACCAGCCGTTCGATGCAGTCATCGCGATTGGCGTTCTCATCAAGGGCTCCACGATGCACTTCGAGTACATCTGCGAGTCCGTCTCGCACGCGCTCATGCGCGTCCAGCTTGACACTGGCGTACCCGTCATTTTCGGTGTGCTTACCGCACTCACGGATGACCAGGCTCTGGAGCGTGCGGGTATTGGTCGTGGACATAACAAGGGACACAATCACGGAGAGGACTGGGCTGCAGCCGCGGTAGAGATGGCGTCCCACACGAGACGCTGGGCAGAAGGCAAGTTCTAGATGGCGGACCCACAAAGTACTTTGAGTAGGACAGTTGTACGATGCAGCAGTCAACAAAAGTCGAATGTATACAATGTTGTAATCATCCTTCTACGGTTATTTCGCGCTGCCGTGGTGAAGCCTGTCAGAAATGTCGGTGCCGGTTGTAAGGAGCGTCATCGGGCGGGCGCCTCCTGCATTTACCTCATACTGCCATGATCGTCTCTTGTTTTGTGACCGCAACTACCCCATCTATCCTCCCACATCCATCTTCGTCCTCGTAGTCAGCTGCTCGCTATCACCGAGGCATTAGCGGCCGACAAGGACCCGCCTTGGATCTATCCTGGCCAAGTTACTCAGACAAAGCCTACGGTTTGCTACCCGCCTCTAGAGATTCGTATTAGCATTGCGGGAGCTGCCAGTCCATCATGAAGAAAAAGGTGCGACCTCTGCTATTTCTTCCGCACGAACGAAGTATCAACATCAATGGCTCAGGTCTTGTTGATGGGCGCGTCGGGGAGCGGGAAGACGTCCATGCGCTCCCTCATCTTGTGAGCAGTCTCCCTGTGCGGCACCGACAAAACTACAACGTCTTCCTCCCAGCTCGAATAATCCTGCTTCTCTCACTTCGCGTCTTGGCGCTACGATTGACGTCGAGCAAAATCATGTTCGCTTTCTCGGCGACCTGATTTTGAACCTCTGGGATTGCGGTGGCCAAGATGCGTTCATGGACTCCTACCTAAACATCCAACAATCGACAATATTTCAGCATGTCGGCGTCATGATTTACGTCTTCGAGGTCGAGACGCGTAACATGGAGAAGGACCTGGACTATTACAAGGCTTGTTTGGCAGCTTTGCAGAAGTACAGCCCCAATGCTGCCGTCTTCCTTCTCGTGCACAAGATGGATCTTGCGCGAGGGCCAAAGGCGGATACGCTGGCACGGAAGTCGAAGGAGCTCAAGGAGGCGAGCGGAGATGTCGAGGTGACTGTCTTTGGCACCAGCATATATGACGAATCTCTGTACAACGTGAGCGATTCGTCATCATTTGCCTGCCATAGCTGCCTCTGACTGCCGTTTGCCGCCTTTCTGATACCAGGCATGGTCAAGGATAGTGCATATACTCATCCCGAATGCCTCCGTTTTGTCCCGTCACCTCGCAAAACTTGCTTCGGCATGTAGCGCAACCGAGGTTGTGCTCTTCGAGCGTACCACGTTCCTCGTTATTGCCACGTCCACCCCTCCTCCGCCTCCCCAAGTCGCTTCCACAAACCCCCCAGGTCTCTCTTCCCCAAAAACCAATGGCCAGCTTTCAGCTACAAGTCATTCCGATCACGAAGCGGAATACGACCCGGATCCACACAAGATGGCGCCGACACGGTACGAGCGAACCTCTGAACTGATCAAGGCGTTCAAATACTCCTGCGCCCGCGTGCGAGAGGAATTCCACGCCCTGGAGATGGAGTTGCCGGAGTTTACCGCGGTCCTCGACGAGCTCACGAGGAACACCTACGTGTTAATTGTAGTGCACGATCCTACAATCGGTACGCGTGCCTTTCATCATATTAGGCGCCCGTCGTTAATAGCAAAACACAGAAACTGCCGCGCTGAGGATGAACATTCGTCTTGCCCGCCCGAAGTTCGAGGAACTCCAGGGCAACAGTCTCCTGTCATAGCCAGACTTCCATTTTTGCCTCCCGTGTCGCTGCTTTCAAGTACGTTCGTCGCATTGTTTATAGCTAATTAGACAGTTCCTACGTTACAGCCGCCCTATGCATCTACTAGCTAACCTCTGTATATATTCTGTTTCTCGTACATGCCGCTCCCACGCTGCCTATCAGCTTCCATGCTTCCAAGCGTTGCTTGTCTGACGGTGACTGCCAAGACTAGGTGGGCCGACTTACACTAAGGTAAGTCGTTTCTGAGATCTGAAGGGTGACCAATGATGTCGACGTCGTTTACGAAATGGTATAGATATAGATGTTGCTTCACATTCATTGATATTCGTCAGTGGGGTTACGCTCACTGCTTGGCCGGCTCAGTCGGAAACAGCTACACTGATGCGCTGTCCTCGGAGTGGCATCGAGCTCAACGACCGCTACAACCGTATCCCCATGGACGCCGTGGCCTGTTCCTCGACGACGAGCTTCGACGCGCAACCCGTGAAGGTAGCTCACCCATGCGGAATAAACGACCGGCTCGTCAACATCAAGTGCGAGCAACGTAGGCACGATGCCCAGTCTCCCGTCCTTGCTATGTGCCGACTCTACTTCACCCGAAACTGTTCGTCTCTTGTGCACAGAACAAGATGAGAAACAGATGTGATGCTTACGCCCATGGCACAAGGCTAGAGGCCCTTTGTGCCTCGAATCCATTGATCACCACTCGCTTGCTCACCCTTGAGGCAACCCACATGATGGACGAGGACACGCCCATAATTGATGGCCTCCCGTAGCCACCTAGGGTACGGCCGCAGTCATGTCCCTACCGTAGATCGCCTTGAAACACGACGGTGCGGGTGATAGGCCGAGTCCTTACGGGATGCCGTATCTGATGGGGTGGGGAGCCTCGACGGGACGCCTATCAAAGTCGCTAGCGGTTTCCAGCTCGCCCGAACCTTGAGGCCTCATATGATCCATGGTGAGACATGCGACTCCATTTGGTGTCCCAACTTTCTCCAAGTGTGTGCTTTAAGGGAGCACGCCCTCGCTCCCTAGAAGCGGCGTTTCCTCGATTAGTGCCGCCGCCAAGATGTGAGCTGCACTTCATCCTCCAACTCAAGCTGCCCCTTCATTGATTTTCGGAACAGGCTTTCGGGATGGACGGAAATATACTGCGATGTTGCTGCAGTTGGTACGTGTTCCGCTCCCTCCTGCGATGTTTATACGCTCACCCCAATCCTGTGTCATAGCTCTTCTTGTATATGATACTTGCCTGACCTTCGATCAAGAGCTTCGCCTGATATGGAGCCAGAAGACGTCTGCGGCAATGTGGATCTACGTCTCAAATCGTTATCTGGCGATTGGGCAATATACCGTTAACTTGTTTATGGCCATTGGTGCCAACAAGGAGGTGAGTTGGTCTCAAAACTCGTCTCTTTAAGAAGCCTCAGAGTTAACCACTTCGCCATGTAAGGAGTAGGTGGTCAGGAAGATCGTTAACTGCCTCAGCTGATGCATACTTTCCCTTCGCTAGTTGTGGAGCTCTAATGCACTTATCGCAAGGTTTTGAGGTCATGTCTTATGTGGTATGGGCGAGTGAGTACTGCTGCGTATGCCGTGGAAGACGTGCTCGCTCATTCCCGCGGCTAACCTAGTCTTCTCGGCTCTACGTGGATATGCGCTATCGGGCAGGGGTTGGCACATCACAAGTGTCATCATGGCGCTGTCTTTGGTGCCAGTCGTAACTTACGTCGTAAGTTGTTTCGAGTTGCTCGTGATCCAGCGCTGCTGCTAAGCGCAGACGCACTATGAATGATCTGCCTCAACACTCAGTACCGGGACTTGGAAGGGAGACCGGTTTGGTTCTCTACAGAGGGCAGCTGCGTGGAAATCAATCACTACTCTGTGGCTCTGGATAGGAAGTGAGTTGCCGCTGCATACTGGTCAATACTCCGCTCATGATCTACACAGCTGTACGTGTCTGGAATAGAATTTCACGGTTCCCGGCGTCGGCCTCTAGCTCACTAAGATATCCAGTAACCGTGCTTGGCCGAGGGTGTCTGATCCTATCAGATATTCTTGTATTGTGCATCACCTGGACGAAGACGTACGGAATCGTACGACTAGCAAAGCAGAGTGGCCTCGATTTGTCATCTTCATTGACCACGGTGATGTTACGAGATGGTACGTCTAGGAATGTTACGCTCCGCATATGCACCCAGCTAACAATAACCACGTCGGTAACCATGTGCACAGGCTCTCTGTATTTCATGTGAAGCCACAATCGCGAGCATGCCGAAACTCGTACTAACTGTCACGGTATCGCAGTATATGGACCATTTTAAATACTTTACACATCGTAGGAACCTATGAGGTATGTAGCTGGGAAAGATGAGCGTCATGGACTCTGGCAGCGTCACAGCATCAGGACTGACGTTATCAACAGGAGACAGTGCAATATATCACTGTATTTACCGACGCGTATGTATCTCCCGCTGCAACCGCTCTGAACCAGATGCGCCAACACTCAGAACAGAATGACGTCGATCTTGGTCTCTCATTTTATTCTGAACCTCAGAGAAGCTGCATCTAGGCCATATCAGCCCGATTCCAACGATTCAACGCTGTCTGACTGGCATGTAGCCGATTCGAATTCACGCTGTTTTTTGATCAAATTGTGGACCGACGCAGACGGCGGTGCAACGTCGGCCTTCCTTGCTCCCCTAGGCGCACAGCTCGATCACTCGATAGACGTTCCCGAGAGGCTCGTCAGAGCTAGTACAGACCGACTACCCCTCGGACGGCTACAGTGAACGCGGTTGACGGTGGACGGGCGGGCGTGACAGGTCTAGTTAGATTCCTCTGAATCATCGGATAACTACGTTTTTATGCGATATACAGCCTCGCGTGTCGCCAGCTGTGCATCGGGACTATGTATCCTACTCTGCTTGCTTGGGGAGGTCTTGTACGACGCTACGACAGTGTGTTCAATTGCAATCCGCCATGATTCGGATCTAGTACGTACTACGACGTCTGAGCGCTAGCGCGCTACCATCCGGCCCGATGTTAAACTTCTGTCAAAACCGCTCCGAAGAGATCGGGATTCCTGGCGTCCTCCATACAGCAAGTACTGTGCCGCGGGTTATATATTGAGCGCGACCTGGGAAGGCACAGCGCCTCCCCGAAGACGTCGACCGATCGATGACCGTCGTGGCCAAGGTCTACATCGTCCGCCACGGCGAGACCGATGCCAATCGGCAGGGCATCATCCAGGGCCAGCTCGACACCGTGCTCAACGATGCGGGCATCAACCAGGCGCGGCTCACCGCAGACGCTCTAGAGGACGTCCCGTTCGGCGCGGCGTACAGCAGCGATTTGCAGCGGGCGAAGAAGGTAGGTCGGGGTTCGAGATACGACGACCGATCAGTACTAGCGGGGCTGATCTTAGATATCCGCGTCATCTATGGTGTGGCGCACGTATAGACTGCGGAAATTGTACTGGAGAGCCATCCGAACGTCCAGCTGGAAACCACGGAAGCTCTCCGGGAACGGGTGCGTGTCCCGCCTCAATTGTAGAGCATCAAACAATATCGCTGACTGAAGCCATCTTTGGCGGATCCGCCACGTATGCCTGTCCTTGGCAACACTAGTACATGGGTGAATGGCAAGGGGGGAGCGTCGCCAGGCGCACCGACCCGCCTCCGGACCTCGAGCCCGTCATTGATTTCACGACGCGCAGCGTAGGATGGTGGAACAGCACCGTCGTACGGCACGCCCAACGCAAGGCCGCCGAACTCAAGAAGAAGCGCTCCAGCATCGCCGCAGCGAAGACGAGTTCCAAAGGCGACGCAGGGAGAGCGAACGGGCACACCGAGGCGCTCAACGGAGATGCGGCGGACGAGGAACTGCTCGGGCTGGACTTCGAGCCCGTTCATATCCTGGCCGTGTCTCACGGCGGATTGATCGGGAGTCTCATTACGAATCTCATCGGAAGCCGGAAACTGCAAGCCGCGGAAGGGGTCGCCGTTGGATGGTGCTTCAATGCATCGATATCAGTGATTGACGTAGATGAGACTGGGAAGGGCGTACTGGTTAGCTATGCGGATACCACACATCTAGACGGAGACGTATTAGAGCACAATGCGGACGTACGGCTGAACTAAAGGGCTAGTACGGCTATGACATAGAGGGAAACGCCGGCGCCGGCGTTGGGGCTGCGAACTCATGTCTACGAGGCCGGTCCCGGGTGCATTGTATTACAATTACACATTGTCAGATCAGAATACCGTGCTTCAAGGGTATGCAACGCCAGCTTGCTTCATCAGCTCTTCGACTTCGACATCTGTGCAGAGGAAGCGACAATGATTATCGACAACGCTAGCTGAGATATGTACTGACGGTCCTCAGTATGCTTCATACGGGACGCATAAGAGCACGATTCTCCTGCAAGCATGCGGCCAAGCGAAGTCAGACCGATGAAGCTTTCACTTAGCATAGAATTCGCTCACCTGGCCCGAAAATGAAGTCACCGCCAAGCTGAGAGATATTGCCTTGTTTTCCGAGGAACTGCGGGTTCTTCAGGGGCCCCTCCTATAGCCAAGAGCCGGGACATAGCCATGGTTAGTCTCACTTGATCGCCAAGAAATGTACTCTTGGGGTGGGGAATACACCATGGCGGACAGGCAGTGCTCGCTGCGTACGCACCCAGATGCTAGACAGCGCGTTTCCTAGTGCGCTTTTCCCGATATAACTGCGTTTCTCTTGGCCGGTGGGGGTGCGGCTCAGATTTTGAACTAGCCCAAGGGTATGGTACAACTGGCGGGAGGGATCGGCGTACAAGCCGCCCTTGAAATCGGTTAAGCCTGACCGATCGTTTGTCCGGGTGAAGATAGGGGTTCAAGCTGTGCATTCGATGACCCATGGGGAACGCAGTTGTTTGCCCTTACCGCAATAATTCTTGATGAGCTTCCAGTCACCGCAACCGATGACCACAAGGCGGGAATTAGCCTCTTCCAAGGCTTCCTTGCGCACGGAGGCTAGTTGCATGACATATCGCTAATCCAGGCCAATGAGCGGTCTGACCGAGCCACAGATGTGGTCAGCGACTCATACTTGGCAAATCTGGCTGCAGCGTCAGGCTAGTGTATTCGTCTGTGGTAGAGGGCATGTTACGTACGCCGCACCAGAAGTGACCTGTTGAACAGAGTCGTGCAGTTAAGCGTCAAAAACGATGATGTCAGAGCGACAGGCGCCGAAATGGGTACAGACGGATGAAAACCACTATCGTTTTCTGGTCCTTGATGAGGCTGCCGAAGGAGACCTCCTTTCCATCACTATCATGTACATTGAGAGATGCGGCATTTGAGATAACGTCCGGAGACAGGAGGGCTGTGGGCGTGGACGCCATGGGAGTGCGGATAGCCTGAGCGCGGATACTCTGTACTAGGTAGGTGAGCATTACGTAATCTGGGGCTGTTCATTCTCATTCTACGTAGAAATGTTCTGCGCGGTGGCCGATGCCAAGCCGGGCGGAAGGCCACTGCGCCAAGTACCGTCCTACAAAAGCCGCTCTTGTCTCGGGTGGCTCGCACGATCCGTCCTGTACTACATATCATACCGCTGCTTCATATATGTCTGCTGTAACCGACCGGACTCCTCTCCTTGAAAACGGGAATGGCGCGCACCACCCAAAACCCTTCTTCGCGCGCGTCGCCGACTCCCTGTCCGTAGAAGGCCAACCGTCGTGGCTGCACTCGTACAAGTTCTTTGTCTTTGGCTCGTACTTCAACATCCTCCTTCTCTTTGTCCCGCTCAGTGTCGTCGCACATCAATTAAACTGGGACGCTGCGCTCCGCTTCTCGTTCAGCTTCATTGCGATCATGCCACTGGCCGCTGTACGTCAAAGATCAACCAACGTTCTCCCGCGACGCATGTGGTTGACGTCCTGCATATTGACGTGAAACATCGCGAATGCGCGCATGTTGTCATTCTAATAGCTGCTTGGCACTGCTACAGAGCAACTATCTTTAAAACTTGGCCAAACCTTGTCCGGACTGCTCAATGCGACATTTGGGAACGCGGTTGAGATCATCGTCGGCATTGCCGCTCTCCTCCAAGGTTCGCGGTTTCAGGACCTTGTCTCCTATGACGTTCACTCAACCGTGATACAGGCGAGCTTCGCATTGTCCAAACCTCGGTGAGTACCTTGTTGGACGGTGTGGATTCCGAGGATGCTCAAGCGCCTCGTAGCTGCTCGGCTCTATCCTCTCGAACCTGCTCCTCGTCCTCGGATGTTCCTTCTTCGCTGGTACGTGATGCATGAACGCTCATATTCCAGATCCCTGCCCTCCTCTGACCTGTGCGCCTCTCCTCCCGTCGCGCCCAGGTGGGCTCAAGTTCCACGAGTCCAACTTCCAAGTCACTGCCGCGCAGGCGTGAGTACCTCTTGTCTCAAGCTCTGCACTGCCCGCCAGCTAACCCCTTCCAATCGAACCTTGCAGCTCGAGCTCGGTACGTCTGAGCCGATCGCATGCAGTCTTTGCATTGACATCTCTCCCCTGGACCCTTGCTGACACCTCCAGCTTATGACGCTGACCTGCATTAGTACGTCACACCGCCTCGCTTCTGCCGAACGCACGGAACTGACCACTATGCCACCACGTTTCGAACACATCCGGTGCCTGTCGTCCTATCGTCTGACGCACGTTGCAAACCCTGCACCGATTGTGGCCTCGTGTGGTTCTGAACTCTGATAGCCTTGGTCATCCCTGCCGCATACCACAGCGCCAAGTCGCATGGGGGAGTGGACACTAATGTTACCGATATTGCCGTTCCCGGCATCGATGCCTTCAATAAGGCGCAGATGGAATTAGGTCTCGGCAGCTTAGATTCGGACGCATACTACGGACTGAAGATCATCTCCCGCGGGACCGCCATTCTGCTGCTCTTCGTCTACATCGCGTACTTGATCTTCCAGGTTCGTCTTTGCATGACGTCATGGAATAGGAGGACCTCGTTTCTGACCTCCTGCAGCTCCGGACGCACTCCGATTTGTATGTTGCAGATGCGATAGTAGAAGAGGAGGAGGAAGAGCCTCAAATGAATACCTTGGCTGCTGGCTCTGCGTACGTTCTCCTTCCTAGCACGCCCACTAAATGCTCATGTGTCACATAGGCTGCTGTTGGTCACCCTTATCACCTCCTTCTGCGCGGACTACTGTGCGTGCAGTCTACACTTTTTGTGTCATATCTTGTCCTGAAGCAGTTTCCTTCAGTGGTTGCGTCGATCGAGGAGACCGCCGAGCGCTACCACATCCCGAAGCCCTTCATCGGTTTGATCCTCCTTCCCATTGTGGTACGCCTATTCTCGACATCCGCGTGGATCATACTGAATGGCTTTCCGCTTGACTGATCCAGGCAAATGCCGCTGAACACGTTACCTCGGTTTGGATGGCATTGAAGAACAAGATGGAGCTTACCATCGGAATCTGCGTCGGAAGCTCGATTGTAGGTGCACTGACTGCTAGGTTCCACACCCCAAATGCACGCTGACCTCGTTTCGTCATAGCAAATTGCTGCATTTGTTGTGCCCCTGCTGGTTATCGTTGGCTGGATCACTCACCATGACCTCACCCTGTTCTTCGCCGACTTCGAGGTGAGCTGCACGAGGTACACCGCCTTCTCCCCACTTCGCTGACCTTGGCTACTAGACCATCGTGCTCTTCGTGTCTGTGCTCCTCGTAAACTTCCTTATCCAGTGCGTCTTTCACACTGTAACCCTTGGAAATGTCCGCTGACAACACATTCGCAGGGACGGCAAGTCCAACTACATGGAAGGACTCATGCTGATCACCCTCTACCTCGTTATCGCACTAGCCTGTACGTGCACTAGTGCTGGTATTCCGCCACCTACTAACTCTAGTTTCAATCGCCCTCTAGTCTGGGTCTCGTAAATAGCCAGTAACGAGCCAAGACCTGCCTGCACACTCCGCCGCGACACCACAGCCATTCGCAGGCAGCCAGATTGATCCGGCGTATACACCAAACACGCATATATCCGCCTCCATTCATTCTTGTACATGCATGCGCCATACCCACTCCTATTCTCTCCTTCCGGACGCTTCGATTCTGTTGCTCGACCTCCGTGCTGTGCTTACTGTACCTACCCCGGACTCCCAGGGCAAGCCGACGACTTGGCTCCTTCCGCCGGCCTACCCTTGTTGCGCCGGCCTAGTCGCTTCCGTATCTAATTTAACCGTCCGCTTCCTCCGAAATGGACCATGCAATAACCGAGCAACAGTATCGTGAGTCAGACTATTACTGTTGACACACGTCTGCCTTTCTACCTGGTGTACCGTGTTCGATACTCGCGTGCGATTGAGCCAGTACAAGTCCCGACATACCTACTCAGTGTTGAACTGCTTTGTCTCCTACGCCCAGTAATACACGAAATAGCGCCATAAGTTGTCCATACCGAACAGTCTCTACCAGTGCTGACAATGACAAGAAGAAATCAATCATTGCGGGGCTCTGAGCCGAGCGTAAACGAGATGAGAGATAAGGAGCAATTTGGAAGGGGAATACAGGGCTACAGTTGGTGGTGGATGTTCAGAGTTCTACAGTTAGAGATATATAGTCCGCATGAGTTCATAGCCTCCGCCGGCTTCACGCACCGCGCGAGAAAGGGAGGGAGGGAGGAGCGTAGCAGGGACCAGAGGATCGTCCTCCGGACGACCGAATGGACGCAACGTAGCCGATGCCCGAAACAACGCAGCGGACGCCGACAAAACCTAATACCACGTGTAAGACATTCATTCCTATATCACCATGAGTGCGGCTGCGATTGACGATTGCAATTGGAACTTCAGAGTCAAGAAAAGGATGTGTTCTTGGATAGCCGCGTCAGAGCAGGGCGGAGATCTCTTTTGTCACGCCTTGGATACGGGGCTCAGGGAACGTTGATGGAAGTGACGACAAGACTTTGCGGGCCACAGCCGTCTGTTCGGCGCTTAGTGGACGAGACTGCTCTTTTGCAGCGAAGGCCTGTCACTTTGATTAGTACACGTCTCACATGGACGCATAGAACAACCCACAATGTTGCCGAGAGCGACCAAGGCCCTGTATGCTGCCTCGGCTTCCCTAGTTTCCGCAGCCAGGATCTGTGAACAACATCAGAATAAACCTCAGTTACGACGCTAACTATGCATACCTCGAGCACCAAGCCAATTAGCCGTTCCCAAATGCCATTAGGCAAGGGTTCCTTGAGACCAGTACACGTAAGACTGCAACACTTCGTCAGTATAGGCCGGCACGCGCATGCGGGTTGACGCGTACTTGAACAGATTGGTCGCTAGAGATACTCGTAGCGAGTTAGTGAGCACCATGTACGGCGCCCCGCCAATCTTATCAAGGGTCTGTCATGAAAACGCAGGAAACGCAGGGCTTGAGCAACTTCCGAAGCATAGCGCTGATGGAACAACGTACCTCTTGCACCCAGACGCCGTCGCCCAACACGACTCCGTCCTGGAAGATGTTCGCCAACGAACGGAACAGGAACAGCAGATTGGTCTCGCGTGGCTTGGGCAGCGGCGACACCCACGGATCGCTCCACTGGGCACCACCGAACAGTGCCGCGACAAATCGTGCGCGTAGGGCAGCGTCAGCGTAGGCGGTAGGGCAGAAGGCTAGTACAAGACGGCTTAGGTCCATCACTGCATAGCAGAAAGTGATCAGCACCTGTCGAGAGCGAATGCGAGGGGCCATGTTACGTACGAGGGAAGAGCTGGGACTGTGGCCACCGTTCGAGAAGCTGGATAATGGCGTCGATATGGTTATGTGTTAGCTTCTTTGATGGAGGATCCAGTGGGTGTGACACCGCTTGCGCCAGGTACGCGAACGTCTCCTCTATAAGGTTAAGTTCCTGGGGATACATAGCGAGGTATCCGGTAGACTGATCGCGGGAAAGAATTAATCGCCATCGAGCACCATTACGATGAGTGCTCACAATCTCGTTTCGAAGCGCCTGGTCAAACTGATACAGCTTCGCCTGCATCGCAGTGACATGCGCTTGACGGAAAGACAGCGGCGATCGCTGTGAGGGTCCCATTTAGGATGTGTAGCCATACTAGAAGGCAAGTAACATACCACAGGGATGATGTTCCCCGCGGGTGCCTGAAGTGGCTGAGGCGACGAGACTGGTGAGGTAGTGCTGCCCGAGTATCGCGAGGCTCCAGTCCAAGGATCGCTGCGGACAGATGTTGGCGGTGGTGAGGTATGCGTCGGCGTTGCAGCCGATGGAGGTGCAAGGGCACGATACCGTGAAGCACCTGGCGAGCGTCGTTCAGGGTGACAACATATACGTAGTTTCAAGTTTCGTACCAGTGAAGGGGTCCATGAAATCCGAGGCAGCGCCCGCTGAAGGAGTTTGCGCTGCCTGGTACCGAGAGGCACCTGAACAAACCGTCAGTCCGGTGGCGACGGAGACTAACCGATCGAAAACTGACCAGTATATGGATCTACCAACTGATTGTTGCCGCCACCAATGCTCACGCCTGCAGTGTTCTTCTCGATAAACTGAACGACCTGGTCAAGGTAACTCAATGGCAAGTCGTTGTTCTGCAGAAAGCGTTGCGCGGCAGTGTAGGGATTCTCTGTTGCGGGAGATGAATCGACTGGAAGAGCTTGGAATCGAGAAAGCACACGTACCGCTAGCGTTGTACGGCAGTTTGAGCGGTGGCGCGCCTTCCTGCACATCAACGTCGAAGACGTAGTCGTATTCCTTCCCTTCGTAAAGCTGTTTCCGACCTGGGCCCACGGCATCCACGACGTCGCCAATCTTCTGCCAGCCCGAAGCGCTGTCCCACTGGTACCAGCGTTACAATCAACTCACTCACTGGAGAAAAGCAACCAGGAGATTGCGTACCTGGTGGGCTTCCACATTGTCGCCCCGACGAATCATTTTGACCTCACCCGGTTTCTTCCCTGGACGACCGTTAGCCCCCCATCCGCGACGCACCTGCACCGTACCCCCGACGCACCTGGCTGCGTCAACGCTTCAGGACCAGGCAACTCGTCCTTTTTGACGTCCCCGATCTGCTGTGCTGGGAGCGCTTGCGCGGCGACGAGGTCGTCGTACGCTTTCAGCTGGTCGGCCGGTGCCCACCTCTCTTCTTGGTCGCTGAAGACACGCACAACGCCGTCACTGCAACCTGTGACGATATCGCCGTTTGGCATCGTCGACACTGCCCAAACTGAGATGGCGGGATGAACCAATGTTTGCAGGCACTCTCCATCTGTGAGTCGCACGCGTAACATGCCGCTTGCGTCAGTTGCAGCTGTAAGTCCGGGAAGTCCTCGGGACTGACCTCGCCACACGCGCACGGTGCGATCTTCGCCACCAGAAATGATGTCGCCATTTGGCAAAACGGAGACACTGTAGACGAAGGATGTGTGTCCTGAGAGCGTAAAGACGCAATCGCCTTCCATGGTCCAGATTCGGATTTCGCTGCCAATTTACACGGGTCTAGACCGGCTCAGGAGGGCTGCTGCTGAGAACGCGTACCTATCATTCGAACACGATGCGAAACCGATGTCGGTGATCAAAGCCAGGCCTCGTACAGCCTGCGTGTGACCAGGGTAGGTACGGACATTCTTGTGCGTCTTCCAAAGCTTGATGGTGTTGTCCGCGGAACCTTCGTGCCGCGGTCAAAACATTCGCACGCGCGGGGAGATGCGAAGAGGAACAGACCTGTCAGAAACTGCGTGCCATCGATAGCCAGGACTGTCCAGACGGATTGATGGTGTCCAACGAGGTCATAGAGCAGCTGGAAGTCCTTCCACACCTTCGCCGTGCTTCCGAAGCGTGAATGGCAGCAAACCGCCACTGAATGGAAAACACCCACTTATCCCAGGAGCCCGAAATAATCGTCCCGTCGTCCGCGGCGTGAAGCGCGCATACATTATCCGTGTGTCCTAGGAGCGAGAAGTTGGGCTCGCCCTTCGTACTGGGCAACGCGAATACATTGATCACCGTGTCCTGACCTCCTGTGATCGCGTACCCTGCGCCCCGCGTCAAACCGCGCGTAAGGACAAGGTAGGTAGCACTACAAGGACGCTAGGACATACCTTCGGGCGCGCCGGGAGCAGGAGGGAGGTACGCCACTGCGTTGATCCATCGAGAGCCGGCACGGAGGGTGGAGGATTGCACGAAGGAAGCGTCTCCGGTCCTATTCCATGATATCGCTGTACTATCGCGCGAGGCGGAGAGGATAAGATCGCTTGTAGGGGAGGCGACCGCCCTAACCTAGGGTTTGTGAGCGTTGCGTAATGCACATCGGGGAGGCTCAGCGACGCACAGCGGAGGAATGGGCGGTGAGGGAGGCCGATAACTTGTACGGCATCGATGGCGCGGCTGGTGGTCGCGGTGCGGTCGTGAAGGAAGGAGAGAAAGAACGGGCGTGACAAGACGGGCTCGGGGCAGATGAGGTATACGGAGGAGCGCGAAGTCGGATTGAGGCGCAGCGAACCCGGCAAGCCGAGAACTTTCGATAACCGACCGCCAGCCATTGGAATTATTAATGCCCTGCAGCTGCTCGCTCTCTTTCTCCGCCCCGCGTTGCTGTAGCCTGCCTAGACCGGTCCATCCCCCACAACTCCTCGCGCTATATCGGGGAGTCTATACCAGACCGTGCATTCCATTGGCTCCCTTGCCGCCTTCGAGGCCAGACATCTCGGAAAAAAATGATCATTCGGATCTACAAGTACTATACAGCAACTAATACCGACAACTCCGAAACCCGAATCCAGTAGCAACAAACCAGAGAGAATATCAAGAAATGTACACCACGCTAACGAGCCCCAGATACGTGAGCAGCGCAACCAGGGAGATACGGAGGTGCAAGTCTATGCCATTGCACCAGTTACTTCATCTCCTGCGAGTGCCTCACGATGCAGTCCGCCACCCGTAAGATATCGAAGTGTGGCGACTCGCCAAATCATGAGGGGATAAGAAAACTGGCAACAATCGTTCGCAGCACTTTTCACTTCGCGTAATTTAGGGCAGGGCCACTTAGTACCCGCGTGTATGCGAAGATCTTGGGCGCCGATCCAGGTGGAGCTCCCATCTTGGTATACTTAGATGGACAACCTCGACCCAACAGACCGGCAAACATCGCGCTAACCAACGCAAGCGAACGGCCCATTTACCACCGTTCTTCACACCGACTCCAAGTACACGGGCCCTCCGACATGCTGTGAAACAAAGAACCGCGAGATTGTCTGACAGCTGTAAGGGGGCGCCCGGGCACGCTGCCAGACTCGCCCATGATGGACCGTTGCGAATCTCTGATCTTAGGGCGATGGACCACATGTGCTCTCGCGGACAGGGCCGCTACCCGAATCCTGGTACTTTGTGAACGTGGTCCTCACTCAGTACTCAGTCTTCGTCCTATATTCACCAATTTGACTGCCCCCGTTGGAATCATGCAAGTCTTGCGCGGAAACAGGAATAGCGTGCAGGCATCGGGCTGGAGGCACAGGCACGACAATTATAGAGGAACCTTCACCCAGGTAAACGAAAAGACGTGACCCGACGCGCGTCGACGTCGACGTCTCACGTTCGCTGCACTACGCGATCGCTTCGAGCTTGCTTAACGAGCGGTGGTGTGCCTAGATCTTCCCTTCAAATGGGGCTTGATCATAGCCCAGTGGAGACCCAGTAAACCTACGCGGAGAGTCCGTGAGTCCACAACATCCGCGAGCAGCGCAAGGGGTTCACAACACCTCCAGTCCCGATTAGGAAGTCGTAAGATCTCCGTATCCTCCCTGGAACCCATGGGACTTATGGAGAAGTCTGGCTGCTGGAGGACACTCAAATACCCGGTAGTTGTTTCAGTGTGTGGAGCGGACTGGGTGGAGGCGCAATTTCGGGGTCGCGAGCCTCGAGATGGTCTCGTGGCGCGCTCGCTAGTCGGTCCCACCGGATCCCAAGGTGTTAGAACACCAGTAAGTCCGCAAGCGGCTCGACGTATAGGGTGCTGGCTAAACGCCCTCTGCTGCTTTCATTGTCGGCGACATAGGCTGGCCGTAACCGAAGGCGAAGCTTCGGTGATCTATCCCAGGTGTGTCCGCTCGGCCACCCTGTCTGTGCAAGGCAGGAGTGTCGCCCAGTCCTACAGTCTTCGGCCACTCTGGACCTAATAGATGTCTCACGATTGGGTGGAGAGCTGACCCGCAACGCAGCTTTCGCACCTTCGCTCTCGTTCACACAAGATTGGAGCAGTATCGCGGCCGGTGTTATGATCGGGCTGCAAGTCTCACGAGCAACAGCCTTCCGACCAAGACTAGCATGGCATCTGTTGAAGGCGACGTCCCAGATTGAGGGCTATTGGTTCTCCGCTTGGGAGAGGTGGCCGCCTACCTGCGCCGCAAGAGAAATCATAGTCTCGTGACCAGACGTTCGGAGTGTGAAGCGGATACGAAAAATCGGAGGTATCCGGACACTCGAACGTCTGGTGGCATCACCCCCGTTACTCCCCCATCGGTGACATGCGTCACATCCCGACGCCCAGTCGGGGCAGTCCGAAAAAGTCGGAGTGCGCCCTTGGTGCCCGATGTGGCAGCCCGCTGTCAATGTTCACCCTGTGCTACACCTCCTGTATTAGCCACAATGCCCCCATAATCCATCATACCTGGCTGCTCTTAAATACACTACATGGCTATCTCAACTCCTCAGTTCCTCTCCCATCATGAAGAAGACCACGCCCACTCGTATGCAATCCTGCAAGCCGCGCGACAAGCCGCAAAAGCCTCACGGCGGTACGACTCGCATGCGACCCGCCAGGCGCTCGAAAACACCTTTCGCGACAGAATGGGAGGGAAGGCGCCACGTGAGTGGCAGGTGGATGTTGCTGAGGCCCTGATGGTGGG